TACACTCTGGTCCAACCTCGTGATAGTCGCCTGAGTGCTCGTCATGAATGAAGCCAGAATATTTTCCAGCTTCGTCATCTGAGTATCTGGAGCTGGAGCTGCTGCTGGCTCGGCAAACTGGCGCTGGGGCTGCTGGAAGGGTTGCCCTTGCCTAGGCTGGTAGGGCTGCTGCTGTGGAACTGGGCCCTGTCGAGGCTGATAGGGCTGCCTCTACTGAAAGCCACCAGCTGGTGCTGGGAAACCAGGTGGCTTGGTGGTGTTGCTGCCCCAAGAGAAGTTGGGATGCTGGCGCCACCCCTCATTATAGGTGTTGCTGTATGGGTTGAGGCGCCGAGCATTGGCGATGAAGTCCAACTGCTCTTGGGGGGTAGTAGACTCCCTCATAGCCTGGCAGTCTTCTACTAAGTGGCTCGAGCTCTCACACCACTGACACTGAGCAACTGGAGGTGTAGCCATGCCTCTGCCCGGAATAAGACTGTTGGGCTGCTTCAATGTCTGCACTAGCTCAGCTACCTGCTGCTCGAGCCCGGATCTGGTCTCCATGGCGTGCACACCACGGTCCCTGGAATGTCTGCCTCTGTTGCTCTGCCCCCAAGAGTGATCTCTGGCAGCCAATGTATTAATCATCTGATTCAGCTCGGGTGGAGTCTTGGTGAGAACATCCCCTCCTGGGCATAAAGACTCAATCACCCTCTGGCTATCTGGGGAGAGAGCGCTGTAGAAGTTCCCCACAGTGAAAGCATCACTAAAGCCATGGTGGGGGCACTGCCAGAAGTAGCCCATGTACCGCTCTGACACTCCAAAAACACAACACCTAACAATGGCCAAGTGTAACCAATGGAAGGGACTGCAGTATAGTGGCTCAAGTGATAAATATCGAATCCACGGGTCTCTAGAGTTACTATTACTCAGCTTCAGTTTATTATTTAGCAAACCAAATTAAGATGAAAGAACTAAAACTACTCTAGCAAACTACAGTTAAAGTTAATCTAATTACAGGTTGGGAACTCACTTAGGTATGATTCCCCCTAGCCACTAGCCAGACTAACGATTGATGATTTCTAACTTGTTTCACTTTCATTCACAATGCGGAGAATCCTTGACTAGACCTTGAGTCTCGACTAAAGGAACAAGGCCCTCTTGAGTCAATTGCCTAGAGGGACGTATCCTTCTCTAGAACAACTGATCAAGGCGTTCTGAACTAGACTCCCTCTATCGAAAGAGGTTCTCAATCGATACAAAGTAGTGAATCAACCCTCGACTAAAGCAATCGATCCACTACTATCAATCTATGGTGCTCTATTGACCTAATCAGGTATTCCCTCTCATAGAATCAAAGCAGAATCAATAATCTCGACTAAAGTAGAATTGAATCATGAAAACATGCATAGATTGAATATGAACTCAAGATTATCCAGTCAGAGTACTCATACAATCATCCAATCAAACAAACATAGCTAGGGTTCCTCAAAACCTAAGTGAAGGGAAGTTACTCCATAGAGAAGAGAGAGACTGCAGTAAGAATCTTCAGATGATCAGTCTTCAAGTCCGGGCTTGTTCCTCGAGCTTCCAAGGCGAAGAAATCCTCCTTCTCTACTCCAAGAATGCCCTCAAATCGCCCTCTCTCTCTAGGGTTCGTCCCTTGGGTGTTTGGGATCCAAAAACCCAGCTCTCCTCTTCTTTGGTTCGGAATTTGGCTTAAAACCAGGAAATCCCGACTCGCACGGCCAGGGTGCACGGCCGTGCATATCACCATTCTGGCCGTGCAACTCAAAACGCAGCGCGTCATTTAGTCGAACTTCAGCCCTCTCGCACGGCCAGGGTGCACGGCCGTGCGAGCTTCAGGGGTTGCCCGTGCGTGTCCTCAGCATAAGGCGCACGGCCATATTGCTCACGTGCACGGCCGTGCAGCCTCCCTGGTCTGCCCGTGCAGCTTGCTCAGCCTCTGTTTAATGCTTCGTTTCTCCCTCGTCCGGACTCCGAATCCATCGCCGTTTGATCCCAGACGCTCGTAGTCTCGTCCTCTTTCGTTTCATAACAAGCTTGCATGATTATTTGTCCATAAAGTGAGGTAGAAATCCATTCTTCTTCAGGTCATGCCCGAGTTTCTTCTCTCGAATCGTCAATTGATCTCTGATTGACTTGAAACTTGCGCCTATGCTTCACTTTATGTGCTAGGACCTGAAATGGGACAAAGGAATACAACCTAGCATAAAATAGGCCAAAGACGCAATAATTCAAGCTCAAACAATCAAGAAACAAAGGGGAAAACATGTGCAAATACCGAGTCATCAAATCCCCCCACACTTAACTGTTTGCTTGTCCCCAAGCAAACCTAACTCAAACCAATGCAACTCTTCAGACCTCTATAGCAACAAACACCCCAGATCGTAGGTAGAGGACTTCCTAGATCATTTAGCAACTTACGAGGTCAACCGACACACAAGTCATCTCATAGCTTCTTCGGCGAGAGCACTAGTATCGAGTCGGCATCATGGCAAATAGTGAACAGAGGACAAATGAATTGTGGATGCAGAGATTCTCAAAAACAAAGGATCATGGACTCACATTTTTCAAGGTGCTCTATTTTCTTCTTGAAGATGGTTGGAACCCCTTTTCTTTCTGTTTTGCTTGTTTTCTGTTATTTTTTTCCTTTTTTTTTCTTTCAAGGGTCCCAACCTGCTCTTACCGGCCATGCCAGGAGCGGATGTCTCGAGCCTCGTGCGGGGGAAAGACATGTAAGGGGGATGGAGGTAGTAGGTGGAAATTGGGAACGAATTCCCGTCTCCCCTTACACACTTTCGCCCTATTCGCACGGGAGACGTTATTTTGAAGCACATTTTCGAGCACCTGTTAAACTCAAAACATGATACAAGAGTCCATGACAGGCAGAGAAACCACAACACCACACAATTCAAGGGTCCTAAGATCACTAATTCACTCAATCAACCAACACAATATGAAGAAGAAACGAGACTTCTTAAATGCATCAACATCCTCCATAGTGCTACACTACCTCCCTAGGTTGCATATTACTATAAAGACTGTCAATTTAAAGCATACTGAGCAGGCAATTGCAAGGAAACACGTACTTGGAGCCCTCAAATTTAAAAATTTGGACAGTGGACTAGGCTCCAAGCACACAAACAGCCAAACATTCACCCGCATACATAATCGAACATCCCCCCACACTTAAGCACGACATTGTCCTCAATGGAGGAAAGATAAGGAGGGTAGAACGAAGTTACCAGATCAAGGGTGAATGATGATGAACGGGTCAGGTGGTGCATTCCAGAAAGAGAGAGTAATCAGAACACAAACACCACACAAAATCTCACGAAGGTTGAGTTATTGACTCTAAAATCAAATAACAAAACTGACTCAACCGAGGAGAAAAAGAGAAAGAAATGCAAACCGACTGGTTGGGTTGCCTCCCAACAAGCGCTTCTTTCACGTCGTGAGCCGGACGATGGCTCCTAAGTTTCGGTCCATGAGAGAACCTCCTTGAAGTTGAGGTTCTCGTCGATGAGGTGGAGTCTCAAGTCATGAGCATGTGATGTGGCAGGTGATGAAGGCTCATGTACTTGATGCAGATGAAGTCTCCACCCTCGAGACCTCTTCTTCTCTTCTCTCGTCTCATTGCCCCAAACCAGATAAGACAGCATCGATTGGCCACCATCGCGTCCACCAAGAGGGACCGATGTCGATGTGGCCTTGGTCTGGCAAAGAGACACTGCAAATGGGTCCTTGCTAAGCAGTTCCTCGAAGTTTGGTGGGGATATCACATGTAACTCATGGCCGGTGCAAGCCTCTTCCACCTCAACTTCGTCCTCAGCCTGGACGCCAATCGCCTCTTCAACCTCCCTTCCTTATTCATGTGGTATCACCCCTGGGAAATGATCAAGAACTCCTCCAGCTTCACTTTCGTCATCCTCCACAACTTCTTTCTGCACCCTTTCTTGCTCTTCTTCTTCTAGCACGGATTGGAGAGCAAGTTGCCAAGCAATTTCTTTCATGAGATCTTCTTGCATCTCCTCACTCATGCCCGCCTCTTCAAAGCTCAGTTTGGGGTGTGGGAAGGTGTGGTCGGCTACGACATGACAGGCCTGATCATGATCATCACGGGAGCTCTCCGTGACAACTTCAGTGTGTTCCACAATGCCCTTGTAGCCTTCTTCTTCCTCCTCCTCTTCTTGTATGGTAGCAGAAGGGTGATCTGGAGCAGGTTGCGCCCAAGATCGCTCAAGATCATCGACGCTCTTCTTAAGGCTCAGGAGGATCTCATCTGTTTCACGATAGGCCTGGACACACTGATCCATCCTGGAGCATGTTCTCTCACAGTCTCGAGCATACTGCTCCATGAGTAACTCCAGTGCCGATGGCCCTTCTGGTTGTGGGAGAAATTCTTCTTGATAATGAGGTTGTTCTTGATATGCCCAGGGGTCCGGTTGTTCTCCGTAGTAAGGGGGTTGGTACTGGAACCCGAATCCATAGTCTTCTCCGCCTTGATTGCTCCACGGAGTCTCGGGGTAATACCACCCAGATGGTGGTGGATACCCCCAATGATTGGAGAAGCCATTAGGATCCATGATTCAGATCTGCACCAACAAAAACAAAAACACCCAAGTGAAAAGCAAGGGTGGAAAAGAAAAGAAACGAAAAACGCTAAAGTAACAAACTTCTGCCTTTCCTAATAATCTAGAAAGTCCCCGGCAACGGCGCCAAAAACTTGACACTCCAAAAACACAACACCTAACAATGGCCAAGTGTAACCAATGGAAGGGACTGCAGTATAGTGGCTCAAGTGATAAATATCGAATCCACGGGTCTCTAGAGTTACTATTACTCAGCTTCAGTTTATTATTTAGCAAACCAAATTAAGATGAAAGAACTAAAACTACTCTAGCAAACTACAGTTAAAGTTAATCTAATTACAGGTTGGGAACTCACTTAGGTATGATTCCCCCTAGCCACTAGCCAGACTAACGATTGATGATTTCTAACTTGTTTCACTTTCATTCACAATGCGGAGAATCCTTGACTAGACCTTGAGTCTCGACTAAAGGAACAAGGCCCTCTTGAGTCAATTGCCTAGAGGGACGTATCCTTCTCTAGAACAACTGATCAAGGCGTTCTGAACTAGACTCCCTCTATCGAAAGAGGTTCTCAATCGATACAAAGTAGTGAATCAACCCTCGACTAAAGCAATCGATCCACTACTATCAATCTATGGTGCTCTATTGACCTAATCAGGTATTCCCTCTCATAGAATCAAAGCAGAATCAATAATCTCGACTAAAGTAGAATTGAATCATGAAAACATGCATAGATTGAATATGAACTCAAGATTATCCAGTCAGAGTACTCATACAATCATCCAATCAAACAAACATAGCTAGGGTTCCTCAAAACCTAAGTGAAGGGAAGTTACTCCATAGAGAAGAGAGAGACTGCAGTAAGAATCTTCAGATGATCAGTCTTCAAGTCCGGGCTTGTTCCTCGAGCTTCCAAGGCGAAGAAATCCTCCTTCTCTACTCCAAGAATGCCCTCAAATCGCCCTCTCTCTCTAGGGTTCGTCCCTTGGGTGTTTGGGATCCAAAAACCCAGCTCTCCTCTTCTTTGGTTCGGAATTTGGCTTAAAACCAGGAAATCCCGACTCGCACGGCCAGGGTGCACGGCCGTTCATATCACCATTCTGGCCGTGCAACTCAAAACGCAGCGCGTCATTTAGTCGAACTTCAGCCCTCTCGCACGGCCAGGGTGCACGGCCGTGCGAGCTTCAGGGGTTGCCCGTGCGTGTCCTCAGCATAAGGCGCACGGCCATATTGCTCACGTGCACGGCCGTGCAGCCTCCCTGGTCTGCCCGTGCAGCTTGCTCAGCCTCTGTTTAATGCTTCGTTTCTCCCTCGTCCGGACTCCGAATCCATCGCCGTTTGATCCCAGACGCTCGTAGTCTCGTCCTCTTTCGTTTCATAACAAGCTTGCATGATTATTTGTCCATAAAGTGAGGTAGAAATCCATTCTTCTTCAGGTCATGCCCGAGTTTCTTCTCTCGAATCGTCAATTGATCTCTGATTGACTTGAAACTTGCGCCTATGCTTCACTTTATGTGCTAGGACCTGAAATGGGACAAAGGAATACAACCTAGCATAAAATAGGCCAAAGACGCAATAATTCAAGCTCAAACAATCAAGAAACAATGGGGAAAACATGTGCAAATACCGAGTCATCACGCTCCCAAGCATCACGGAGTGATTCATCTGGCTCCTGGCGGAAGTGAGTGATCTCCCGCTGAATCTCTGTAGTCTTCGATGCCGGATAGTACCTGTGCACGAACTTGTCCGCCAGATCGTCCCAAGAGGTGATGGACAATGGGGGCTGGGTCTCCAACCACCTCTTAGCATTCCCCGCCAGAGAATGGGGGAAGAGATGAAGGCGGATCGCATCATCGGGAACACCGTTCACCTTGAACCCGTTTGTCAGCTGCAGAAAACGGGACAGATGTACCCTGGCCTCCTCATCCTTCAAGCCATGAAACTGGATCGAGGATGTGATGAGCTGAATCCAGCATGGCTTGATCTCGAAGTTGTTAGCTGGGATCGGTGGGTAGAGGATGACCGGGCGGATGTCAGCAATCCGAGGAGTGTAGTAGTACTCCAAGGTGGGGCCCGGCTGCGGTGGATGATGAACTCCATGATCCTGGGGTATGGGGTTGTTCCCCAGGACCTGATTCGCAGGGGGAACCTGCTGTGGATTCCCCTGGTGCGGATTATACTCTCCGTCCATCCTGTGCTCTTCTTCAGAATCACTGCTCACGTGGCCGTCTATGCGCTCTTCCGTAGCCAGTCTAGCTCGTTGTTGTCTCCTGAGCTGGCGACAGGTGCGGTCAATCTCTGGATTCAACGGCAGTAAACCTCCCGACTGGCTACGGGTCATGCACTACCTGCACACACTCAAGCAGACAAACCCGTGAAGGCACAAGTGGGACAAAGCAAACAAAGCAAAAAGAAAAGCCAAATTAACAGAAATCACTTTTCTTCAACAACCTAGCCGTCCCCGGCAACGGCGCCAAAAACTTGACTCGACTCTACTGTCACTCCAGGAATTGGCCAAGTGAAACCACTTCCTAAAGCGTAGTATAGCGGGTTTGGGTTTAATTATCAACCCGGGTCCTAGATGTGATGACTACTCAGTGAATTCTTGTTATCTAGCAATGAAACTGGAGTGCAAGTCTAAACTACCAAACAAACAAAGCAAGTAAACTGGTTGTATTCAGGTTAAAGAGGTCACCCGGATATGGTTCCCCCTAGACTGCAGTTAAGCCGGATTGCAATTACCAAGTTCAGTTTCTATGACAGTTATACTGCGGAAGGTTCTTAAACAGCCTGAAGTCTCGACTAAAGGTCTTCAGACCCTCTCAATCTGACTCTCTAGCGGGCGACTAACCTCCACCGGAGTCGACAGATTGAGGCCCTAAGAACAAAACCTCCACTACCGGAGTAAATCCGGTACAGAATAGTGAGTTGGCTCCTCGACTAAAGTCACCAACTCCCTACCTTCAATCAAGGATACTCTATTAACCTAGGCAGATATTCTCATTCTAGGTCAAAGCAGAAACAACAGGAATTTGATCAGGATTCAAGTCATTCAATCATTAAAACCTCAATCGAATATAATCAATCATAGAATCAGTACTTGGGTTCATACAATCAAAGCCTAACATACAAATCTAGGGTTCTCCATACCCAGATGAATGGGAGAACTACTCCATGGAGAAGAAAGCAAAAGCAGAATCAGACACGGAATTCATACTGCGAAGGATGGATTCCTGCTTCTGGACATTGATTGGCACTTCTCCAAGCTCAAACTGGCCTCCAATGGTGTTGAAGATCAATCTAGGGCACTTGGGAACTCTTGCTCGTCACTTTCTCTCTCTAGGAATCGCTCTCTTACTCAAAAACTCGAATCCCCTCGAATTGTGGCTGAAATTCTGCTTAAAAGGAGAAAATCCCGACTCACACGGCCAGGGTGGCACGGCCGTGCAGCTCACCCAGTTGCCCGTGTGAGTCAAAACGCATCGTTTCATTTAGTTCGAATTCCAGGCTCTTTGCACGGCCAGAATGGCACGACCGTGTGGACATCCCCTCTTGCCCGTGTTTGCTCTCGCAGAATGTGGCACGGCCAAACCGGCCACTTGCACGGCCGTGCCGATCCTCTGCTCTGCCCGTGTGTGCTCTCGGAAAAACTCGCACGGCCAGGCCATTACTTCACACGGCCGTGTGAACATCAGGGCAGCCCGTGTGACCTCCTTTGTGACCTGTCTCGCACCCGATCTTCACCCAATCGACCCCGAACTCGCTCCTAAACCTTCATTCACTTGCCAGGACCTGAAATATCACAAACAAGCACAACCTAGCGTGAAATCGGTCTAAAACACGAGAAACCACCTCTCAAACGGTGTAAGAACAGGGGTGAAAACATGTGTAACTAACGGTCTATCACTCATGATCATAAAAAAGAGTATCAGATTCATTGTTGAGATGAACTTTGTAATCCATAGGTGTAGAAACTGATTTGGAGTCTAGAACATTAGCTTGTTCAATGATCTCCAATGTATACTTTCTCTGAGATAAATGGATACCAGTTGTGCTCTTTGCAACTTCAATTCCAAGAAAAAATTTCAATGGCCCCAAATCTTTAATGCTGAATTCCTTGTGTAGAAATTCTTTCAGTGCTGTGATTGCAGCAAGATCATTGCCACCCAAGACAAGATCATCAACATAGATCAGTATACAAGTGTAGCTTGTATCTGTTGCTTTGTAAAAAAATGAATGGTCTGCCCTGCTCTGGACATAACTGTAACACCCCGATAATTTAGATTTAGGTTCGACCTTATTACGTGATCGGTTGGATTGACGGTTAAGTACTAAGAGTTACAACCGTGGTTTAGGAATAATAATAATAACTATTATTATTATTAATATAATTAAAAAAATTTATATATACAGACCTAGAGGGCAGAGCGGCCCTCTCTATTATTCCCCAAACCCTGTCAAATAATTCCCCACCCTCACCATTATCTCTTTTTTTTGGTAGGAAGAGTGACGCAGTAGCGCCTATGTCATAGATGAAAAAGAACGTTCATGGGAAATTCCCATGATATCGTAGTACATCCACTGTTTGAGGGTGGGATCGCACACATCGAAAGAATGTGTGCCAAAATTCGAGCAATGACCCCTATTTGCAAGGTAATCAGCGACAAAGTTCGCCTCTTTATACACATGATTGACCCGCACCTCCCAATTGAGGTTCAAAAGATGCTTTACCGAACTAGCAAGAAGGCCATGTCTATGGTCGTCGTTGCTGCAGTTCTTGATGATTGCCACTGCAGTGCTGGAATCAAGGTTAAGATCCACCTTCCTATGGCCTTCCTTCCATGCCAGCTTAAGTCCCTCAATAGCTCCCTTCAACTCCGCAGAAGTGATTGAGCAGATGCCAAGATTGCATGTGAAGGCTCTGCTGCATCGTCCTTGGCTGTCCCGAATCAGACCGCCTGCAGCAGCTTTTCCAGAATGGGTGTGGACTGATCCATCTGTCTGGATTTGCATCCACCCCTCCTCAGGTGGTTTCCAACCAATCTGCTTCGTAAAGGTAGTTTTCTCAGCCACCATACAAGTCTTTTGGGTCCAGTCCTGGGCTTGTCTCACAATATTAAACCAAGCTTGTATTCGGCAGGTGAGGTTCTGCTCTGAGAAGCATCGTCCCTCCATTCATTCCTCTGCTTCCATAAGTGCCAACACACGATTCCAAAATCAATTCCGTTTTCCTCATCCTTGAGATTATCCAACAGCCAGTTTTTGAAAGGGGAGAAGAGGTTGTTATCCACCATTTTCTCTCCAAGCTTCCTCCAAATGGCCTTCGCGTTGCAGCAGCTTCTTAAAATATGTTCAATTGATTCCTCCACCTCCTTGCAATGCCTGCAGTGGCTACTGGTTGCTATCTTCCTTCTCGCGCGCTCCTTGTTGGTCATCAAGCGGTCGTGGCACACAAGCCAAAGAAAATGTTTTATCCTGCTCGGGCCCTTCCATTTCCAGAGGACTTTCCAGCTCTGTTCAGCTTCCGATGTCTCAATGTCGGCCGCCAGGGAGTATGCTGATCTCAGTCTGAAACGTCCGTCTTGCTCCAAGCCCCAAATGGTTTTGTCTTCACCAAGCATTGGGTTAGGTGGCTCCACCCCTGCAATGAGATCAAGAACATCATTAGGGACGAGGCCTCTCAACCTGTTCCAATCTCACTCACCTTCTTCATTCGTCCAGTCTGAAACCGCTGACTCCATCTCCATAGGTGAAATGCTGGATTGCAAGTAGCTGTCGAGGATGACACCTTGTTGCAGCCAAGGGTGCTGCCAGAAGCTAGTTGTAGCTCCATTCCTAATGCTGTAACAGGTACCCCATTTCATGAGTGGAAGAGCTTTGACAATTGCTTTCCAAAGGCTCGAGTGGTTCGTCTTCTTCATTGAGGTGATAGCACCTCCCCTGTGCTTGAAATACTTCCCCTGCACAACCTGCACCCACAAATCAGTTGGATTGTTGAGCAGCTGCCATGCAAGCTTGATCATGTAAGCCATGTTCAAGCTTCGAGCAGAACAAAGACCCAGGCCCCCTTGTTCTTTTGGTTTACATATAATGTCCCAAGAGATCAGGCAAGGTTTTCTCTTCCCCTCACACGACCCCCAAATGAAGCCCCTAATTTTCCTGTCAATTGCATCACACACAGAGGCAGGAAGGTTGGTGGTTTGCATTGCATAGTTAGGGATAGCGTTGAGCACCGAGATAGCAAGCGTAACCCTCCCCGCAAGGGAGAGTGTTCGAGCTTTCCACGCTGACAGCTTGTTATCCATTTTTTCTAAAATATATTTGTAGGTTTCTTTAGTCATTTTCCCATGTAAAACGGGCACCCCGAGATATCTTCCAAGATCATTGGTGGCCTGAATTCCCAGCCTATCACAGATTTCATTTCTGCTATTGTTTCTAACATTTCTAGAGAAAAAGACTCTGGATTTTTATTTGCTAATCAGTTCCCCAGAAGCATCACAAAACCTTTCAAGGCAGGACACGACAACATCAGCATGCTTAACATTGGCTTCAGCAAACAAAACAAGATCGTCCGCAAAGAAAAGGTGAGAGAGGTCAGGGCCACTAGTAGAAAGTCTCACGGGAACCCAATTCTTGCTTTTAACTTCCCCTAGGATGCAATGACTAAGTCTTTCCATACATAAAGTGAAAAGGTAAGGGGAGAGAGGACATCCCTGTCTTAAACCTCGTGATGGCTTGAAGCTTTCCGTTTCACCGCCATTCCAGAGAACTTGAAAGCTGGTAGACGTAACACAAGCCATAATGAGCTTTATGCGATCCGCATGTATGCTTGCTGCCACCAAAGTCTCTTCCAAGAACTTCCAGTTTATGCGGTCATACGCCTTGGCAAGATCGATTTTTAGGAGCATTTGACCTTTCTTCCCTGTTTTCCTTGCCATGGAGTGAACGGTTTCCTGCAAAATAATAATGTTATCAGTAATATGTCTTTTTGGAACAAAACTCGATTGGTTGGGATGAATAAGCTGTGGCATCAAGTTCTTAAGCTTGTTGGCTAAGCACTTGGCCACCACCTTATATCCCACATTGCATAGACTTATGGGCCGAAATTGGTTCATTGAAACTGGTGCATTCACTTTGGGAATCAGTGCAAGCAAGGTTTCATTGATATTTTGAATGCTGTCTGGGTTCCTGTAGCAAGACCAAACAAACTTGCAGAAGTCCTCTTCGAAAAACTTCCAACACTTTTGGAAGAAAATGGCGTGGAAGCCATCCTTTCCCGGTGCCTTCAGCCCATTCATGTTCATCACCACCCCTTTAATCTCCTCCATGCTTGGAATCGTGCTAAGCCTTCCAGTCACATTGCTTTCAATAGGGGGGAAAGCTGCTGGGATTGAGAGGTCGACAGGTCTACCCTCACCATTATCTCTGATGCGAGAAGAAGAAGGAAAAGTGGAGGGCGGCGCAGCAACTCCCCAGCCCAGCACGAGGCGAAAAAAAAGGAAGAAGAAAGCAGCAGCGCCGCTCGCAGCCGATCCCAATTCCGATCCCGATCCCAATCCGAATCCCATCCCTTTCGTGTTTCTAGGTAAGGATCAAGAACCCCTTCGCGATTTCTAAACTCGATTTATCGATAGTCTAATCCGAAGCTCGTATTTTATTAGCGGTGACGTTTGAGGGTTCGATCTGCGGGGAGATCAACGTCACAGGTCATCCAACCTAGGCCTAGGCACGTTCTAGAGGTAAGGGAACTTGATCCCTTTGAGTTAGACCGATCGATTTGGTGATTTTTCATGAGGATGCACTTCTGGGTTTTAGCAACAGGCTTTACAGGCTGTTAGTGACAGATTTTGGTTGGTCACTAAAGATGCTGGGAATTTCCAAAAACGTATTTTTGGATGTTTTATTGTTTCGAGTCTCTGTGGGTGTTTGTTCCTGGGTTTAATAATTTTATAAATTAAGGAACGTCTAGGAAATTGTTGTAATTTAATTTGATGATTTTTGAAAATGTATTTCTATTTTTAGAAATTGTTCTAATATTCGTTTTAATTAAATAAAAATCTTTCCGATGGATTTTTAAGGGATAATTTTCCAGGGTATAGGTGCTCATGGTTGACATGGGAAAATTATTTTCCAAAATTATAAGAAGGTTCAAGTTAGGTGAAAAATTCGTCCAGTTAAAAATAATTAAGAAAAATGGTCGTTTTTGAATGGATAAATTCTAGAAAATTTTAATGGGGGTTAGAGGACCTTTGGAATGAGGTTCAAGGACTTGAGTTTGAGGAGAGGATGTTCTAGTGATTCAAAAGGGGTTTTAAATCAAGAAAGGTCGTCTAAGAAAATGGATTCGTATTAATAGGTTTCCCCAAGGTAATCCGGCTAAGGAGGGGTTTCTTCGAGGAAGGAGTTGAGGAGTCATCTTTTCGAGGTGGGTGTAAAGGGGGTAAAATCTCTGTCGTAGGTCTTTTAGTTTCCGTTTTTCGTTCAAGTTATTATTTAGTTAATTTTTTTCTAGTATGCGCGATATGTGTGTGAGGCATCCCACCACCTGTAAGGGTGGAGGCACGCGTTGTGCTATGTATGAATGTATGTGATATTGTATGGATTGATGGTATGAGGAACCCCTGGGCGGTTGGGTCACTACTCGACGGCGAGATGTAACGCAGTAATTGACGGGCATGGACTGGACGGCGAGACGTAACGCAGTGCCATTGCCGAGTTTGGGTATGCAACCGGACGGCGAGACGTAACGCGGTTGGCATACTAGGGTAGGACACCGTACGGCGAGACGTATCGCGATGGTCCTAGTGTTTTGTGTTTGAGTAAAGGATAGAAGGCGGGCACTCTTAGGAGTTAATGTTTAAATGAGTTGATAAGGATGATTATTTAAGAGCAGAAAGCGAGAACGACTTTCATGCTAGGAAGCAAACTCTAATAATGTGTTTAGTAGGGAGCTTCTTAGGGCAAAAACTTTAGGAAGTAATGACGAGACTGACCCCTTCTCACTCACCAGGTGCAGAGGAGGGGAAGAGGACGCATCCATCAAGAGGAGGTTAAGCAAACCAGAAGATGTCAACTTGATCTTGGTAACGAGATGGGACCTCCCATATATCTGCCTTTAGTTTCATGTCTTAATGAGTATACTGGGAAACTCAAGGATTGTGTTTTATGTTTTGTTGCTCTGGATTGAGGTCGCCCAAGTGTTTAGGGCATTTCTCTTGAAAATCTTAAACATTGTGGTTGTTGATATTTGGTTTTGACTTGTAAACCGTTTTGGGTTGCTCCGGAGTAACCGGTTTGTGGTTTGATTTTTGGTTTGGTTTTCAAAAAGGATCGGGTCGTGTCAATAACCAACTCTAAGAAGGGTGTCTGTAAGTATAGAAAACCACTGTCTTGAGGCCTGCTTTAAACCATATAGTGATTTTCTTAAACGACAGACTGGATTGGGTATGCCAGGTGGTGGAATGTAACCTTTAGGAAGTGTCATGTAGACTTCCTCTTCAAGGTCGTCATGGAGGATGGCATTATTCACATCAAGTTGGTGAATATGCCAATTCCTCATGGATGCAATATCTAAGAAAGTTCTAACTGTGGTCATTTTAATCACTGGAGCAAATGTGTCCTTAAAATCCAAACCCTCCTGTTGTGTGTTGCCCTTAGCAACCAACCTGGCCTTGTGTCTTTCAAGGGATCCATCAGAGAGGAATTTATCCTTGTATACCCATTTGTTGCCAATAGGTTTCTTTCCTTTGGGAAGAGAAACCACATCCCAGGTTTGATTTCTGATAAGTGCCCTGATCTCATGCTGCATTGCTTGATTCCATACATCAATTTGAGATGCCTCTTTGTATGTCTGTGGTTCTTGGTGAGCAGAGATATTGAGGAGAAACCTTTTGTGATCAGGAAGTAATTTATCATAAGAGAGCATGGAAGAGAATGAATACCTTTTGTCTGTGATCTGTTGCAGAGTTGAGTGATTGATGCTGCTAGGACCTTGGGAGAGAAAACAGTGGTAGTTTTGAACCAAATGAGAAGGTATTTTGGGAATTCTAGTTGATTTACGAACTGATGTGTTAGGTGGTGGGGATGGTGGTGGAGGGGAAGGTGGTGGGGAAGGAGGTAAGGTAGGTGGTGGAGAAGGTGATGGGGAACTATCTGGTGAGGAAGAACTGGTGGATGGTGGTATACTTGGAGGGTCAGAATTAGCAGGTAACTGTGATGGAGGAGGAGTAGGTTCATTGATGAGAGTGGAATTTGGAGAGGGAAGAGGTATAATAGATCACTGTCAGGATCAAAATCAGCATCTGTTTGGTTTGATTTGTAAGGAAAGAAAGATTCATAAAAAATGACATCTCTTGAGACAAAAATCTCATTTGTAGAAAGATCATATAGCTTATAACCTTTAATACCAGGAGTGAAACCAAGGAAGATAGCTTTTCTGGCACGGGGCTGGAATTTTGTTCTATGTTTGGCAAGAGTACTGGCATAACAAAGACAACCAAAAACTCTCAAGCCAGAAAGGTCTGGTGGTTTGAGGTCTAGTTTCTGGAAGGGTGTTTGGTTAGAAAGGATTGGAGAAGGGACTCTATTGATAAGGAAGACTGCATGTTTTACAGAGTCTCCCCAGAAAGCAGGTGGCAATTCTGCTTGAAACTGAAGGGCTCTAGCAATGGCTAGGATATGCTGGTGCTTTCTCTCAAACTTACTGTTTTGTTGTGGGGTTTCCACACAAGACATTTCATGAGTTATGCCAGTTGAGTTGAAGAAATCCTCCATGAAAAACTCTTTGCCCTTATCACTCCTGATTGTTTTGATTTTAGTGTTAAACTGTCTTTCCATTTGATTGCAAAAAGAGATCAACTTTGGTCTGGCTTCTGCTTTTAGGTGAAGCAGAATGATCCAAGTCATTCTTGAACAGTCATCAACCACAGTAAGAAAGTACTTGTATCCATCATAAGTTGGAATAGGGTTGGGACTCCAAATGTCAACATGAAGAAGTTGAAATGGAAATTCAGTTACAGACTGACTAGAAGGAAAGGGTAGTCGTTTTTTCTTTTCAATATGACAAACATCACAGGGCTGATCTCTCCGAGTGGAAATGGAGGTACAAAATTTTTTGAGGATTGGAATTTTAGAGTGGGAGACATGTCCTAATCTAAAATGCCAAATATCAAAGGTAGAGGTTGAAGCAGCGGAGACCAACTTAGGAAAAAGGGAAGCTTCTAGGTAGTATAGGCCATGGTGGAGTCTAGCAGAACCAATCACCCTCGTCTGCTTCAGATCCTGTATAAGACAAATTGTTAAATGAAATGTTAAGCAAAGGGTATTGGCTGATGTGATCCTGCTCACAGAGACTAGGTTGAATGTAAATTGGGGAACAAACAAGGCATTTGTCAAGACCAAATCATCACTGCAGATTGTTGTGCCAGAGTGAGTGGTCTGAACTTGTTGGCCAGTTGGAAGTGTTATAAAGACATTTGACAAAGGAATGGGATCTGTAAGGTAATGCAAGGAACAGACAATATGGTCTGATGCACCTGTGTCCACAATCCATCTTGGTTGTGGAGATGTAAAACCATTCATGGTGGGCAGTTGAGAAGAAAGAGCAGAATTGATACCTTGGAGGTGAATGTATGCAGCACTAGAGAAGGATGAAGAAGGTTTCTGTTGCTGCATCATGCTCATAAGTTTCTCATAATCAGACCTTGTCAGCTTGACTTCATCATCTGAAGAGGAAGAGTTGATAGCACTGGCTATAGGTCTGGATCTGGATGGAGCAGAAGTTTGGTTCCTGGGAACAAAGTTTGGTGGGTAGCCATTCTTCTGAAAACACTTCTCCTTTGTGTGACCCCTTCTCTTGCAGTAGTTGCAAATGACAGGAATACCAGTGGTTGAAGAAGAAGTTCTTGTCATGCCAGGAGGCCAGCCATGTTTCTGGAAGCAGACATCTTCTGTATGGCCTTCTCTTTTGAAAAAGGTGCAGTAAGGTGGTTTAGAATTGTTCCTGCGGTTGGTACCTTGAATGGCTAAAGTAGTAGCATTAGTCTGTAAAGAAGCAACAGATTTGGCAGATTGGGTTCCATAGACTTGGCGTTCATGCTGAAGCATCCTCTGGAAAACCCTGTTGATGTTAGGAAGATCATCTCCAAAAAGGACCTGTGCCCTGACTCCCGAGAAGTTTTCATTGAGGCCACGCAAGAACTTGATAACATAACTTGTTTCTTGATATTCAAGCACTTTGGCCATAGCAGTACAGTCAATGTGACTAGTGGGTGTACAAGAGCAAGGTAACAAGGGCTGATAGTTTTCCAATTCATCTTTGAAAGTGATAAGACGACCATAATAGTCAGTAATGGTTTGGTTACCTTGCTGGAGAGAAGACAGAGCCTCTTCAAGTTCAGCAATTCGAATGAGATCACCAGATCCATAACGTGTTTGTAGGCTCTTCCATGCTTCGAGTGATGTTTTGCAGAAGAGGATGGTCTTCCTAATTTCTGGTGATGAGGACTGTTGAATCCAACTCAAGATCATGACGTTGTTGCGAATCAATGAACCATGATGGGCGTCAGTAGCAGCAGGCTCAAGAATGCTTCCATTGATGAAGCCAAGCTTGTTCTTGGCAGCAAGGGCATTGAACATAGCCCTACTCCAATCATTGTAATTGGTAGGATTAAGTTTCTCGACCACGAGAAGAGATCCATGGAGAAATAAAGGATTGGACAGGGGATCCACTGGTTGTGCTGGTAGAGGTTGTGGATCAGGCTGAGGAGGATCCTCATTGTCAGCCATAGTACAGATGAAGCGGCGTCTAGGATTTTATGTTTGGCTATGATACCATAACAAAGAGATGTTTGGGAATGCAAAAACCCTAAAACTTGTCTGTTCTCATTGCATCTTCTGCCCTTTATAGGCAGATCAAAATGGAAGAAGACAAGTTCCATTCTCAAGCTTGTTTGATAGCTTGGAAAGGAAACATTACAGTCTTGGCGAAAAAGAAAGTACAGTCAACATAGAAACAGAAAACGACATCGTTACAAACTACGACTAAGCATGAGACGGTAGCGCATCAGGTAAGTGAGTGGTGATGAATGAAAACGTTGTCGTCTGTGCAGATGACCGTTGAAGAAGAGGGAAAGTGATTTTCAATCTGATAGATGCACGTTTAAGTGTAAAAAACCCATAATTACATCTTTTTCCATTTTCCATTTTTATTCTTTATTTTGAGCTTTTTTGTTCCTCTTAAAATCAACGGCAGCCGGCAGGTTGTGAAAACGCAGTTCCAAACCCGGCCGAACTCAACCAAAAGCATCGAAACCTTGTATCTAGCTTGGAGCTTCGAAGGCGGTGAATAGGGTTGGCAACAAAACCCGAACCCACAGGTACCCAACCCTGTCAATGCGGGTAAAATCCGTATTGACGGGTTTTGGGCCGGGTTTAAGTTTTAACTCGCTACACCATCACCGGGTTGGGTTGGGTTTGAGTTTAGACAAACCCGCCCCATAGGTACCCGCCCACACCCATATAATTAATTTTTTTGGTATATATTTTTTTTGAAGTAAACGACCTGCTGTTATTAATTAATTGGGATTTGGTACATAATTATCCTTGAGTATGAGAGTAACAAGAGAATCTGGTGGACTATCAACCCAAATCATCTCCCTCTCCCAACAACAATCCCAGTGGGCCAAAAAGTGGGCCGACTCATTCCATTTTCGCTCCACATGCTCCCAACGAATATGGCCCAGCCCAGCCGCTTTTTCTTTGATTTCGTTGCAGACCCGGCCCAAATCCAAATGTGTACTGCTCTCCCCCTTGAGTATCCGCTTCACAGTGTGGAAATCCAATTGAATCTCAACATCGGAGAAATGGAAGCGTCTCGCCACCTCCACTGCAAAATCAACCGCCATCGCTTCTGCCATCTCCGAGTCCCATTGCCGGAGCGACCGTTTAACACCAGCTAGTCGGAGATCCCCAGCTCTGGTGCGAACGATCACCCCCAAGCCCATCCCAAGATCTGAAAAGCATGCCGCATCAACATTGATGGTGAGCTCCTCAACATTCGATGGACTCCATCTCTCCCGTTTTCCGCCGGCGTGGATCTCTCTTCGCTGTTGAGCTTCCAGGTATTCATCTAACCATCTTTCTGCCCGCCCAATTATTTCTCATTCTTCCATTTTCGGTTTATTCCAGATCTGACAATTTCTTTGATCCCAGGTAAACCACAGCACTCTTCACTTCCTTTTTGAGTCCTGGACATAATCTTAGCTCCTGTAGGAAGGATATTTCGAACCCATTTCCACGCAAACACCTTAACCTTCTGTGGTCTGGATTTTAAAACCTTTAGCTGTTGGTACCCATCTGTCCTTCCATATATCAATGTTGCTTCCATTCCCTAGCCTCCATCTATATCCTTTAGCAACTAGATTCCTCGAACTCAGCAAGCTTTTCCACAAGAAGCTTGAGTTACGCCCCAAATCTGATTCCATTATATCCCTGTTTGGGAAATACTTGGCTTTTAAGACTCTCGTGACCAGCCTGGATATAATCCTCCAAATTTGCTTACCCAATAGAGCGTGATTGAACCCAGCAGTATCCTTGAATCCCACTCCACCAAACTTTTTAGGTTTACAGAGCTCATCCCACCTCAACCAATGGGTTCTCCCCTCATTCTCTTGTTGCCCCCACCAGAAGTTTGCTATAATACTCTGTATCTCCTTCAGAGTCCCAATGGGGACCTGAAATAATGACATGACATAAGTCATTTGTGTCTGGACCACATATTTTGATAAGAATCTCCTTGCCTCTCACTGAGAGCAACTTACTCTTCCAATGTTTGACCTTCTGTTGAACCCTGTCCACCAAGTAACTAAAGACAGCTTTCTTCTCTCGTCCAATTCTAGTGGGAAGGCCTAAGTATTTCTCATGGGAGTCCACTACCTTCATTCCCAGAATGGATGCTAGTTGATTCCTCATGTCCTCCTTTATGTTTTGGACTGAACGATAGTTCTGACTTCACTAGGTTAACCTGCTGTCCTGATTCTGCCTCATAGAGGCTTAGGATTTGCTTCAATTTTTCGCACTCTAGCTTGGTAGCCTTTGTGAATAGAATACTGTCGTCATCAAAAAGGAGGAGTGAAATCACTGGAGCACCTCTTTTCACTTTGATCCCACTTATCTGTTTGTCCCTTTCTGCTTTTGTGATTAGGCCTGAAAGTCCCTCGACCACTAGTAGAAACAAGTGTGGGGATATAGGATCCCCTTGCCTCAGCCCTCGAGTAGGGTAGAAAGTTTCTGAGGGATGTCCATTGACCAGAATTGAGAATGAGACTGTTGAAACACAGCTCATGATCAGGTCAATCCACCTCCTTGCAAAACCCAATTTCTCCATGATTGCTTCCAGAAAATCCCACTACACCCTATCGTAAGCTTTTGTAATGTCCAATTTAGCAGCCAAGTATCCAGCCTTTCCTTGTCTCTTCTGTGACATTCTATGGAAAGACTCAAAACCAATGATCACATTGTCTGTAATTAGCCTCACAGGGACAAAAGCACTTTGATTTTCTACAATGATGTCATCAAGTACCCCTTTGAGTCTGTTTGCTAGTACTTTAGAGAGAATCTTGTAAAGTACCTTACACAGGCTGATGGGTCTGAACTCCACAAGGCTTTTTGGGGCTTTTTTCTTCGGGATTAATGTCAGCATGGTGTGGAGGCATGTCTAATTTGTTTTTTCTAATTGTGTACGATGAAGTTGATTTTATGAAGTGAAGAGTGAAGAAGATTAGTTGACAAGGAGGAAGGAGTTGTCAATTAATCATATTGTTTATAGATGTTTATCTTTAATTTTGAACAATTTGTATTGATAATTTGCGGTTTGCTTGTATGCTCTAGATTGGTGTTTTTTTGTATGGATAATTTTTATGAGAAAATTGATATTAGACTTTTATTTGGAAGAAACTTGTTATTGTAAATTTTTTACCGTGAAAATCACGGGTACCCATGAACCCGCGGCTACCCAGCGGGTTGGGTTGGGTTTGAGTTTGTAAAACCCTACCCCGGATCTTTTGGCGGATAAACCCATGGATTTGGGTTTGAGTTTGGCAAAACCCGCCCCATTGTCGCCCCTACCGGTGAGAACTGTAATTCCACGATAGCAAATGGATGCATGTACACTGAAAGGTCTCTGCATTTGTGGAACAGAAGTAGCGTGGGATGGTAGTAACCTACTTGGGTTCTATGCTTCTATTGCCTCCATTTGGGACTGTCGGCAAGTAGGTAATGTGGAATGGAAGTAACCACTTAACATGAATGCATCCTAGAAGATTATTAAAACTTACTACCATTCGATGTATACTTGTATCATTTGATCCTTTGGTTTTTTGCTCAGATTCAGTCTGTAACCGCAATTCGTTCTTACATTTGTCAACCATTTGAGACCCTAATGAAAACCTAAGACAGATGGGTTAACCTAATACAATCAGCAAAGCCTTTGATAATGAAGGGGAATGTCAGCGTACAGAGCAGGAATACAAGGTCCCAAAACTGATAAAAACTCATTGCACGCACTGTGGCTCAGAGAACAAAATCGACACAGGGAAGAACTCAAAAGAAAAAAAAACAGAGAAACCAAATCAAAGGGTAACGAACTCAAAACATAAGAGAATCTATCTTCTGCTAGCAATTCTCAAGAGGGGAGAAATGATACCCTGCATCTCTTGCAAAGACTGTTGTATCCTAATCTCCTCATCAACTGATCTTTTGAGGTTCCTAACACAAAGCTTCAATCCCTCTGAAGCCCTAATATCATCAGCCCGCAACTCCAGCACTTTCCTCGTCAGTCCCATGAGCAGCCGTGAATGCCTCGGCACGGTAGCATACTTGTGCAGAAACCCCATCAGCAAACCGAGCTCCCCTTCCACTTCCAAATTCATCACACACTTAATCAGCTTCCTCCTTGCCACCAGTTCCTCCATTACCGCAACCACATTCTCCGGATCCTTCTTCCCCAACACGGCCACGAGGGCCTCCTTATGCCGAAACTTCTTCAGCAGCTTATCGTGCTCCGCCAGCTTCACCTTCTTCCCTCTAGCAACCAAGTAGTCCCCTTCTTTTGCCTTCTCGCCCTGGCCTCTCTGGAAGTACCGAAAGCTCCCAGGCCTTACAACCCTCTGCAGCCTCCTTTGCGCTTCTTCTCCGTTCCCCAGCCCCTTCAGAACTCCATACTCTGCATCCTGTTCCATATCATCATCATCCTTCTTCACCTTTCTCTTCCCTGCAAATATCGACCCATTTGAAGTACCAATGGCTCTGGTGTTGCCATCGGGAGAGATGGCAATTGATATCAGTGGAGCAGGGAACCTCATAGAATGAGTGATCTTCATTTTGGCATAATCAAACACCTTCATATATCCATCTAGACCTACACTAAGTATTCTGTACTGGCTAGCTTCCTCTCCGCCCTCTTTCCCAATGACTCCCAAGCAGAGTGAAGTCACTGTCTTGTTGTGGCTCTCCATTGAATGTACCAGCCTTCCCCCGCCTGTTAAATCCCATAACTTGACACTGTTGCCACCTGCAGTGGCAAACATTAGCCCCGACGGCAAGAACATCACGTCCTCCACCGGCTTCCCATGGTTCACTTCGAGTACCGGCTTCTTCCCGTTGTTGTCTGCCTTCACATCCCACAGCTTGACGGTGTGGTCGTAAGAACCAGTGAGGAACGTTCCGGCGTCGACCGGGGAGCAGTCGCCGCACCTGACATAGTCCTTGTGGCCCTGGAAGTTATGTAGCACGGCCTCGGCTCCGACGTCCCAGTACTTGACGATCGCATCGTCGCCGCCTGAGACCAAGTGGAGCTTGTCGAGGGATGGGTACTGAACGAAGCGGACGGGGCGGGTGTGGGATCGGAGGCGGCGGAGCGGAGTCCTCGACTTGGTGGTGAATACCCTAATTTGGCCGGTGAGGTCGGCTGCGGCAATGAGAGCGCCGTCGGAGCGGAAGGAGCAGGAGGTAACCACATCGGAACAGGAAATGGTGGAGACGGTGGAGAAGTCTTGAGCGGAGAAGAAGGTAAGAGAAGCCGAATTGGCAGCGGCGAAGACACCGCGGCCGGTGGATTTGGGGGAGAACTCGATTGAAGGGATTGATGAGACGAGATTCTCGATCCTGGTGGACTTGAACGAAGACCAGTACTTCGATTCTAGGGTTTTCGATGGATTTCGAGGTTTGGATTGAAGCTTTGGCTTCACCTTGAAGGTTGTGGAGATGGCGGTGGTGGTTTGCTCCGTCTGCGCCATTGTAAAAGCTCCTTCAGCTGAGCTCTCCTTCTAGGGTTTTGGAAGGGGTTTTTTCGGTCGTATCGGACTATCGGGGGCGCCGCGACCTGTATAAGCATTTCTTTCAACTATTTAAAATGTATGGACCGAACTGTAATTTAAAATTTTATTCTAGTGGGCTATTTTGCCCATTTCTTAGCCCTTTCCTGGGCTTCACTCGAACCCTAACCCCAGCTCGCTTGTCCGATGTCTTCTAACACCGACCGGTCCAATATTTGTTTTTTTTTTTTTTCGTGTAGGGATGACAATTCTACTCGGCATCCGATACTTTCCGATCCAAGAACATGGTAAAGGAAACCGTACCAGACATCATATCGGATTCCTTTCTGGTATGATATTTTGTGGTACGATCGTGGTTCAACCGTTTTGTACCGGTAAATACCGTTTTTCACTATTGATAGAGAAATGAAATGCGATAGTATAAAAAATATAATCCATAAAAAAAAGAACCAAATAGAGCATTATACAACCACGGTGACCCATTTTCAACATAGAAAAATAGCAAAATAATATTCTTTTTTAATTATTTTCCACATATTGGACGAGAATACGTAGAAATGAAGCTGAATCATAGACCAGGAAACCGGATCGTACCGGCCGGTTCAAACGGTCAAACCGAAAAAACCGGCCGGCACTGTAAAATCAGCACAATCAGCCCACCGTACCGCTTTTGATCCAATTTCCGGTTGAACCGGTTGAACCGACCGGTACGATCCGGTTTCCTGGTCTATGCCAAGAAGGGGAATTTCTAAATTGATCAGGTAGGGATGAATAGAGGGTGTTTCAGGTGGAATTTCGCGTGATCAATGCACTCTGACTTCAATAAAATAGAAAATGATGTTACTCGGTTCACACCTCTTCAAACACTGTTTGAATAAGGGTGTTCAATGCATACATCAAAGGAACTGGCTACTTTTACCTTCACTCCTATGGAGATTCCTTGAGAGCTCCGCAACTACTGACTACAACTAACAGAAAATCCTCGTTGGAGGGTCACTGGTGCTATGGCTACGGCTACGGTTACTGTTATAGAGAGAAAATATAAATTTTGACGAGACTTGTTGTGGTTTGATTTGTCTGTCCTTCCTCGAGAGTCTTGCTGTGAGTTTTATTGTGCCTTGTCCTCTAACCACCTTCTCTCTCTCTTCCCGAAAATCAGCTCCACGTAGCATCCAGTAACTCCTCCGAGCGCCCTTTGCAAGTCATGTGCTGCTTCTGGTAACCACCTCGACACGTAATCATGTAACTTGACCATTGGACGGTCACTGTACACAAAACAAATTGGACGGTATCCATGTTGACTAAGACAACAATCTATGGGTCATCTTACCCTAGCATCATCCATTAGGGTTTGGAAGGTCTACCATCCATTATGGATTTTGGACGGTATCCATGATGTTGGACACTATCATCCATTATGAATTTTGGATGGTATCCATGATGTTGGACACTACCATCCATTATGGATTTTGGATGATATCCATGTATTTGGACGCTACCATCCATTGTGGATTTTGGATGGTATCCATGTATATTGATGTTACCATCCATTATTGGATTTGGATGGTATCCATTACGTTGGACACTACAATCCATTATTGGATTAGGATGGTATCCATTACGTTGGACACCACCATCCATAAACCCTATGGCCAGACTTGAATAAATTGGACCATTAATGTACACGTGGACCAGCTACTTAAATTGGCCAAGCTGTACAAATATGTAATAATAAATGAAAACTTATTTTGGTGTAAACAAATGCCCCCCACAACTTAGTTCATAAGAACTTATGGACTAAGTTGTTGACACCAACTATACTAAATGCACAACCACTTGAAGCAGATCTTGGCTTTATATAGCCATGTCTCCAAATATATAAGGAATGTAATTCCTTCCTGGCCATGTAAACGAAACACACAAAGAGGGTGTCCCTCACCAACTCGGCTAATAATACAATTTTTAGCCAAATAACGTGGCTTGCCTTTTCCTTTTTTGATAAGGAACACAAATTCTTTTTCATGTAGGACACACCTCTTAACCCATATCCTACTAGCAAAAGGAAACTCATTCCTATTAGGACACAATTAATCTTTTCTCTATAAATTGATGCTCCCATTCACCATAATTCACAACTAAAAAAATATCACCGTACCTCCAAAGCTGTGCGATGCTTCCCCATGGCAAGACTTTTGCTACTGTTCGGCCTTAAGTCACCAAGATCAGGTACTCCTCCTCTTAATCATGGATGGTTACTCGACCAAACTCAATCACAATCCATATACAACATGGATAATGTCCTTTTGCTTGGACAACTATCCATGCAACCACTTAACCAAACCATAGTTATAAATTACTTAAGGCCAACCATCCTTGGCTTCTAGTAACATGGATGGTACAATCTATCCAGAGGGTGGCAAGGTAACCATGTTTTGACCCAACCATCCAAACTCTCATTTGGGCGACAACCATTTTGCTTCCGAGGTAGAAAAACAAACTCCTTTTAATGGCCAATCCAAAAAAGATTTATCCTGACCATCTCACTCCTCGGCCATGTTGCACATCTTAGAAACCATGTCAACTTTGACTAGGTCTCCATGTGCACTAGGCCAACTTCTAAATCATTGACATTCCTTAATGTCCCAAAGGGACGGTAAGTATGGCTTAAGGTACTTGCCATTAATTAAGCGCTCATGTTGTATACCATCCAAATCTTTCAATAAGTAAGCATCATTGGGACGCACAACATGAACAATGAAGGGACCACGCCAATTAGGAGACCATTTTCCAAATTTTGGATCCTTCTCACCAATTGGCAAATGCAGCTTCCATACTAGCTCTCCTTTCTCGAACGACTTATGCTTTACTTTTTTATTTTATGCCCGAGCCACTCTAGCCTTTTGTACCTGGATGTTATCAAGAGCTTGAAGTTGCATCTCATCCAGTTCGGACAACTCCAACATCATTGACTCATAATACTCCGAGGGAGTCAATTCATGTTGTTTCATGTATCGTAGAGACTTTACCGTTATCTCAACTGGCAAGAAAGCCTCATGACCATATGTCAAAGAGAAAGGAGTCACTCTCGTACTACTACGTGGTGACATCCTATAAGCCCATAGTGCCTCTAATAGCACCTCATGCCAATTCCTTGGATTGTCCTCAATCATTTTGGACAAGATCCCTTTTACCACCTTATTGGATGCTTCTGCTTGACCATTGGCTTGAGCATAATAAGGTGTGGAGTGGATGATCTTAATTCTATGATCCTTGGCAAACTACATTACATGTGCTCCAGTGAAGACTCTCCCTTGATCAGCTGTTATAGTGGCTGGCAAACCAAAATGATGAATAATGTGTTCCTTGATAAAAGAAATCACTTCCCCTTGGTTCACCGTCTTTATTGCCTTTGCATCTACCCACTTTGTAAAATAATCAGTAGCCACAATGATAAAGGTGTGTTGCTTAGATGATGGGAGATAGACTTGTCCAATCAGATGCATTGCCCAACCAAAGAATGGTCGAGGCTTAACGATAGGTCTCAAATCAATGGCAGGCTTCACATCCCTTAGAAAATGATGCACAATCAGGCCCAATAGTTTGCCAGTAGTATCCATATCGATGCAATATCCACCTCATGGATGGACCAGCTTGATGTGCTCCACATATCCCCTCGTGGACCTCGGCCATAGCTTGTAAAGTCTCCTTGCCCCCCAAGCACTTGAACAACAAACCATCTGGCCTTCTTTTGAACAGTGTCTCATCTAGTAAGACATAGTTCCTGGCCCTAAACTTGGTAGTATGGTCTGCATCCCCACTTGGATTTTGCAAGTACTTCACCAGAGGAGCACGCCAGTCCTCGACATCACCTTCAATCACACACACCTCAACAACTTGTTTCATTCTATCTATCAAAGGGCTAAGAGTTTGCACAAATATTTGGTCTCTTCCTCCACTGACAAACTCTCTAATGTCGGATGCAAGCTGAGCCAGATAGTTGGCCTTGCCATTATCCATACGAGGAATGAACTTGATGGACACATTGTCAAAATGAGAAATCAGCATTTTGACACGCTCAAGATACAACTCTAACACATAAATAACACAACGCTATTCACCAAGAACTTAGTATACTACCAGTTGAGAATCTCCCCTAACGTTGACATTCTTTGCCTTTAAATCTAAAAGCATCTCCGAACCAACAACCAAAGCTTCATACTCCGCTTGGTTGTTAGTACATGTCACATCAAGGGAGAATGCAAAGTGTATGGCATGACCTTATGGTGAGGTCAACACCACACAAGCTCCTGCTCCTGAACGTGTCTTTGAGCCGTCAAAGAACAACGTCCAGGGCATCTTCTCAACCATCCCAACTTCTATTTGCTCTGTTGGGATATCCAAACATGGATGGTCCGCCAAAAAATCTGCTAGGGCTTGACCCTTAACTGCCCGTTGTGGCACATACTTCAAATTGAATTCGGAGTGTCCACTTACCAATCCTACCATTGATGATTGGCCGCGACAACATGTATTTAATAACATCAGTATGGAAAATGAGCTGCACCTCAACGGGTGTTAAGTAGTATCTTAACTTCGTACAAACAAAGTACAAAACCAAACATAACTTTTCTATGAATGAGTATTTTTGCTCGACCTCATTCAACAACCTACTTAAGTAGTACACTACTTGCTCACTGTCAGAATCATTCTCTTGAGCCAACAGACAAGCTACAGATGTGTCTGTGGCTGAAAGATACAATTTTAAAGGACGATTCCTAATTGGTGAGTTGAGCACTGGCGGGTTCACCAAATAACTTTTGATATCTTTAAAGGCTTTTTGGTGCTCCTCCCGCCACACAAACTCATCTTCCTTCTTCAACATGCGCAGCGAAGAGAAAACTTGGGTCCGGCCTGCACAATTTTAGATGAACCTTCGAATGTAATTGACTTGGCTTAGGAACCGCTGCAACTCCTTTTATTGCATGGTGTCATGGTCTCAATGATGAACTTGGTCTTGTTCTGGTCGACCTCAATGCCACGTTAACTCACTAAGAATCCTAAAAAGTTACCTTCACTCACACCAAAAGAACATTTTAGTGGATTCAATTTTAACTTGTGAGCTCTCATACGCAGGAAAGCTCTACGTAAATGAGAAAGGTGGTGACTTGTCACCTTCGACTTGACGACAATGTCGTCAATATATACTTCCACCAAGTCACCAATCCGCTCATGAAAAATGGCATTCATGGCCCGTTGGTAAGTTGCACCCGCATTTTTCAAACCAAAAGGCATGACTATCCACTCATAGCAGCCAATAACCCCTGGACAGCGAAACGCCGTCTTGTGCACATCCTCCTCGGCTATATATATTTGGTTATATCTAGAATAACAATCCATAAAAGAGAATATCTCATGCCTGGTAACAGCATCAAGAAGCATGTCAACCACTGGCATAGGGTACTCATCTTTTGGGGTGGCCAAATTCAAATTCCTAAAGTCTACACATACACGCAAGCTGTCATTTTTCTTTCTCACTGACACAATGCATGACAACCACTCAACATACCTAGTAGTTCTAATGAAATTTGCTTTCAATAGACGTCCAATCTCTTTCTTAATCTCTATCAAGACTTCATAAGCAAAACGTCTAGGTGGTTGTTTGTAAGGTCTAAAACCACTTTTAATTGGTAACCTATGCTCTACTAATTTTCTATCTAAGCCAGACATTTCATGATAATCTCATGCAAAACAATCTTTAAACTCCTTTAAAAACGCAATTAACTCATACCTGTCAGACTCCGGCAAGTTGGCATTTATGAAAGTTGGACGTGGATCGTCCTCAGTGCCAAGATTGATCTTCTCCAATACGTCACATGCAGCAATGTGCTTGCCATCTTCTCCTGTCTTGCTTGAACTCTTTTCTTCCAATAGTACTTCATCATCAGGTACACAGTCAGCCATCAACACAGGCTCTATATACATAAGCCTTTGCTCACATTGGTATATGGCTAACTTTTCTTGCAAGGCCGTAATTTCGGCCTCCTTTGCCACTCTTGTATGGAGTGGCTTACTCATTTATGGATGATGTCTCAGCTTAGGGTGGACCATCCACAACAAACATTGATGGTCTCACTATTTCAGATAGAGGGTCAACACATTATTTGCTCAACACCTTTGCATTGGACATCACCATGGTACACGATCCATCATCCACTGTCTTGATCTCCAGAGGGCCAAAATCCCCATGGTAAAGGGGAGCTTACGCTATATTGGTTCCAACCGCAAATGGTTTGGTGTCAACTCGTGCCACTTCGACCACACTATCCTTGTTCCATAACATTAAACACTGGTGCAGTGATGACGACACACACTTATTAGCATGTATCTAGTCTCTACCAAGCAAAGCATTGTAGCTGATTGCTTCCTCAATGACAAAGAAAGCCACCATTCTCTCTTGGCTACCCACTCTACAACTACTGGTGGTATCCCCTTGTAGTTGTGGAACCACTATTGAAGCTAGTAACAAACACCTCTGTTGGGATAAGTTCATTTTCACTCTTTCCCAACTTCCTAAGCATACGTGTGGGCATCACGTTCACAGCAACACCATTGTCAACTAACACTCTTGACATTGATACATTTTTAATATGAGCTTTTATGTACAATGGCCTGAGATGTCGAAGCATCTTTGCATCTGGCTCATTGAAAACAATAACTCGACTTGGTTCCTCAACTGTTGATCCTACAATGACAACCTCTTTCCCCTTTCTTGTTGCCACATGCATAGCATTATTTTCATCTAGCTTCTCTTCGAAAACCACTGAGTTATCTTCTTCATCAAATTCTGAACCCCATGTAGAGTTCTCAAGAGGAAGGCTTGTGGATCCTTCTGGTCCTTGATACAGTACGTAGTAAGGATACCGACCATCATCCTCGCTAAGTACGCCTACGTATTTGTGTCCATCCTCGTAGAATTCCCTTAGGATTTGTTGGGAACTCTTGTGTTGCCTTGCTGTCTCAATAGACAAGTTGATTCTTGCTCCAGTACGGGTCATCATGACATTTCACGACTCATCCTCTAGTGCCAAACTTGCAAACTTAGTAACCAGTTCAGCAACTGGGGACTCATCATCCTCTTCATCCAAATCCAGCTCGGCAAATGATATTCGGCTTTATTATATCGGATTCTTGGACTTTATGTGATTATCCCGTGGTATGTTTTAGCCAATTGGTGCTATTTTAGGGCTCGCTAACCCGAGAATGGTTGAAAAACCATTACTGCCTAGTGCCATGAGTTTGATGTATTACAGGTGAAGAAAACACGAAAAAGAAGTTGCACCGGCAAACAATTCTCGAAAGCTGGGCTTAAAGCCCAGCTGGATGGGGATTAATGACATTGGAGAGGGCGGCCATTTTATTGTGGGCCAGAAAATTCTACGGAGGGAGGAATTGGACCGGGCCTGGGGAAGTGAATTCTCTGGGAAGGAGTTTTTTGGGACGGATTCCTTTTGGAAAAAAGAAAAAAGGCGGCTGGGAGGGAAGAAAAGAATTGTACGAGGGAAATTGCTTGGGGGGAACATATATAATTCGGAGAGCGGCAGCCAATTTGGGGGACTTCTGGGAAAGAGAGAGAGAGAGGAAGCGGAATTCTTCCAAGGAGACGGAATTTATTTTGGAAGAAAAGGCAGGGCGCAGCGCAGGTTATTTGGGGAGCGGGCAGAATTCTGGGAGGAGAGAAAGAAAGCGCAAGGCAGCAGAGCAAAAGGCGACCAGTCGATTTGCATCGGCGATTGAGATTTCCAAGGCTACCTGAGCTGAGTTCAACGAGAGCGATTAGTTGGTTGGATTTTCTAAACCGAATTAGTTGTTTCTTGTTGATTTAGAACATAATGAACAAAACCCTATCGATTTATCTTAATTTCGTCATGAACTAAACCCCAATTTCTGGGGGAAACACCATAGGATGTAGCTATTTCTTGATTTGATGGATTATTCATGATTCTTTTCTTCCAACCTCTATTGCATGAAATTTCTTAATGCTTTGTGTTGACTGGCCACCAATACAATGATTTGTAGTTAATTAGGTTATTAGCGACAGTGAAACCCTAATAACTAAACATATTTCATGTGACATAGTAACTTATCGAAGAGACAGTGGATTAAATAAGGTGCTATGCGGTCTTAAATAGGATATCGATCTTCAGGCTAAATAATTAAGTCATTGAGCTACGACAGTAGGATTTGATTTAATTGTTTAGTACGTAGTAATTCCCGACAGGGATAGCTAGCACATTAGTGATATCCTGGCTGTAGAGAATTGGATTAAATTGATTGGAATATGTGAATTAATCTGGATAGGATAGGTAGTGAATCCTGGTGTTTCTCCCAGAGCTTTCTCCCATTGAATTAAACCCGACATTTTAATTTGCTTGTTTTGTTTAATTACTTTGCTAGTAGATCATAGTTTCATCTCATTAAACATTTTCACATATAGTTTGCTCTACAAAAACTTGATAAATCATAAGGTTGTACCAGTCCCTGAGAGACGATACCCGGACTTTCCGGTTTACTACGAGATAGGAAATTGGCATATACGCTTTTGCCTTATCAAGTTTTTGGCGCCGTTGCCGGGGACTGCCATACCTTATTTTTGTTGATTTTTGTGAGTGAACTGTTTTGATCTGGGTGTTAGTGTGCAGGTGAATTTTTCAGGTTAATCCTCCTCGTGCATGCCAAGGAGGACGACTGGCAATTTACTGCCACTAGATCCCGAGATCGAGAGGACCTGCCGACAGAACAGGAAGCAGGTCAAGTTAGGGAAGCAGCCTACCACATCCACAACTCCTAGGCCTTCCCTAACTCAGAATCGTCAACCGAGAAGGCAGGTGACACCACCTGTCATCCCTACACCACCTACACCACCACCGCGCATCATCGAGCCTGTCATCATGGCTGAACAGGATCGTTCGATCAGGGCTCGTCTGAATCGGAGGACTGGAGCCCGAGCTTCATGTGTTGTCATTCCGGCTGGGGATGCAAACATGGAGATTGCCCCAGCCTTCATCAATATGATCACGAATGGGTACACCTTCTCCGGGGCCAGCACCGAGGATCCTCATGAACATCTCCGCCGGTTTGCAAACATTTGTGACACAATGAAGAGCCCGGCTGTGTCTGATGATGCCATCCGTCTTCGGATGTTCTCATTTTCTCTGCTTGGGAATGCATCACACTGGTTCCAGAACTTGACACCCCGTTCCATTACAACATGGGGTCAGCTTGAGAAGACCTTTTTTGATAAGTACTTTCCTCCTGCCAAGGCAATGAAGAGGCAAGAGGAAATTGTAACTTTTAAACAAGCTGAGGATGAAAATCTGACCGAGGCATGGGAGCGCTATAAGGAGCTTCTAATGAGATGCCCGAGCCACGGTCTTGAAGATTGGAACGTGATCTCCATTTTCTTCAACGGAATCAGAAGACAGTACCGAGATGCTCTGAATAATGCTTCCCGGAATGGTTTCACAAGAATGGAAGCACCAGAAGCATATGAACTGGTGGAGAAGATATGCTCTGAAGATACTGAATGGGGTAGTGAGACCGGCATTCGAAGGAGAGGAGGCTTGCATGAGATAGACAGAGTTGCAAGCTTAGAAGCAAAGATTGATGCTAAGCTGGATTCCAAGTTCGATGCACTCGAACGAAGGCTGGCTAAGATGGCTCTTGGTATACAGGAGGAGGTTGCATATTGCGAATTATGTGAAAGTGCTCATCATAGGGATCTATGTCCACTGGTAGCTGATCAGTTGGAAGATGTGCACTATATCAACAATCAGCAAAATCAAGGCCAGGGTGGTATGTATTCAAATACCTACAACCCGCAATGGAGGAAGCATCCTAACTTTTCCTGGGCAAACAACAACCCAGCTGGTGCTCGCAACATTCCACCTCCAGGCCTGCAGAAACAACAACCTCAACCAGAGAAGAAACCACAACTTGAAGAATTGCTTCTGGCTCACATGCAGAAAACCGACAATAATCTGAAGGGTCTTGATCAATTTGTCACTCAACAGCTAGCCATCAACAATAATTTGCAATCATCTATGCTAGCTATGGAGAGGCAAATAGGCCAGATGGCTCAAACTTTGGCAGATATGCAAGGCAGGATTCCTGGGACATTACCAGCAAATACTGAGAGGAATCCGAAGGATGCCATGGTTGTAGCAGTGACATTGAGGAGTGGAAAGGCCTTGGAAGACCCTAGCTGCTCGAAAAAGGCACCAGAGGCAGAAGAGGAAGCACCGAGAGAAAGATCTTGTGCAGAAAATGAAGAATCAGCCTTGCACAGGCAAAATGAAAGCGGTTTGCCTGTGCAAAAGCATGCTGCCCGTGTACCTCAAAAAGTGGAAAAATTGAAGAATGAAGAGGTAAAGCCTTATGAACCTCCCGCACCATTCCCTCAAAGGTTAATGAAGCCCATGGAAGACCCAAACTTCAAGAAATTTGTGAATATCTTCAAGCAACTTCAGATTAACATACCCTTGGCGGAGGCACTTGAACAGATGCCTACATATGCTAAATTCTTAAGGGAGTTGTTGACAAAGAAGCGGAAATGGGCTGATCTGGAGAAGGTAACCCTTACTTCTGAATGTAGTGCTGTGATTCAGAATAAATTACCAGAAAAGAGGGATGATCCGGGCAGCTTCACCATTCCATGTGTCATTGGAGGTACAGAATTCAATAAATCACTTTGTGATCTTGGAGCAGGAATTAATTTGATGCCATACTCAATCTACAAGAAATTGGGATTGGGAGATGTTCTTAAGCCTACTCGGATCACTCTCCAATTGGCTGATCGATCAATGAAAATTCCAAAAGGAGTGGTTGAGAATGTATTGGTGAAGGTGGGAAAGTTTATTCTCCCAACAGATTTTGTAATCCTGGAGATGGAAGATGATCGGGGAGTGCCTCTAATCCTCGGCAGACCTTTTCTAGCAACCGGTGATGCACTCATCGATGTTGGGAGAGGCAAGTTGACATTCCGAGTAGGTAAGGAGGAGGAAATTTTTAATGTCTTTCAAGTTGACCATAATCATGATGAATTTGAAAGTGAAGCTCGAGAAAGGAAAAATCCCTCTTCCTGTGATAGTGAACCATCCGAAGAACTATCACCTATCCTATCTGCTCAGATTCTGAAATCAAAGCAAGGGCAGAAATCCTTGCCAGGTCACCTCAAGTATAGATATTTGGGTAAGGATTTCAATATTCCTGTTTTTATTCCTTCTTCACTGACATTGAAACAGGAAGAGTACTTTCTTGAGGCGCTCCAGTACCACCTACGCCTCACTAAAGGGTCCAACATGCAAGATAAGAAGGTCATACCCAATTTTCGCACACCTAGCCCTGCAGAGGTGACTCATATGCTGGATGGAGGTTATGCGTTCTATCATTGCTCGGGAGGGTATTCTGGATACCTTTCCATACCCATTGGTTGAAAGCTCCATAAATGTCAGGCTGAGGACGTTAAACAAGCGCTTCTTGGGAGGCAACCCAAGGTAAGTTTTCTTTTCTTTATTTTTATTTTTAGTTGTGTCAAACCCGTGCATGTTTAGATTAGGAGTTGAACATTAGGGACAATGTTCCATCCTGAGTGTGGGGTGGCGAGTCTTAGTGTTTGTTTGTTCCTTTTGTCATGTGGTCAGTAAAAAAAAAAAGTTCAAAAAAAAAAAAATTTGTTTGTTCCTTTTGTCATGTGGTCGGTAAAAAAAAACAAAAAACAAAAAAAATCCAAAAAACAAAAAAATTGCCATTAGGTTGAGCACAACCAAACTGCATGCAGTTTGCCTGTGTAAAAAGCAGTCTGTCTGTGTAAAAAGCATGCTGCCTGTGCAAAGCTAATGGCTAAAAAACACCTAAAAATCAGAAAAATGAAAAACAAAACATTGTACTCTTGTGGTAACATTATGTAAATGATTGTGATGCGTGTGATATGAGTTTGTGCTTGAATGAAATCATCAAAATCACCCCACTAGTGTTGAAATGAGCTTGAATGTTTTGACTGACTTGATATGCTTTGAATGAGCAACTCTTTTAGCAACATTCTCTTTTGTGAGGATAGTGTAATGACTTTTGGTGAAGTGGTTAGGTGGAGAACATTGACCATTCGATATGTGTAGATACCGTGCTTACTTGCATCAATTGTGAGCTTTTGATTTGGGAATGAGTCTCTCTGTTTTGAATGTTTTATGATGGGGTGAACTGTATCTTTATAAAAGAAAACACTACCTGACAAGTAAAATATAAGAAAGTTGCCATAACAATTAAAGTGTGGGTAAAAATGCCAAAATTGTGTGAGGCAATCACTCATTGCACATGGGGATTAGGAAAGATTCAATTGAGAATCGGTTCGCGACCGTACGATGTTGCTTATCAAGTACGATCCCCAGTTGAGTGAAGTGCCATTTGAGGATGTGAAATGACCCTCCACACGGACCGAGGATAAGGAGTTAAAAGAAGCCCTTATGCGAGTGCTAAGAAGCAGAAATTGCTCTTGCTCGGTCACCGGTAGTAAGAAACAAATCCCACTTGTACTAAATACAACTTCTCGGCAAGCAAAAGCAGAAAGAGAGAAAGCCTCTCCTTGTCATAAAAGGTAGTGATGTGCTTAAAGTAAAATCATGTTTGCGAAAAGCTTCCCCCATTAGTTTTTGAGACTCATGCTTAATTAATTGCTTTTGATTGGTGTGAGTAAGCGAGATTGTCTTCACGAGATATGCACCTCACTGATGTGGTTAGATTCTCCTAATAACTGTTGCACCATAAGTTGTTAATCATCCGCTACCGACGATCGAAATTGAGTGCTGCTATTTGAGTTTTTGGTGGATTTGAGTCAGTCAATGGTAATGGTTGCAAAGAACTTGAGTGTGGGGTGAAAGATATGATCATTAAAGCACAACTTGTTCTTGAGAAAGAAACTACTGATTACAACAAGAGTACAAGGAAAATTTTGTTTTGTTTGAGTGTTTGATTGTTGAGTCTGTAATGTGTCATTGTTTTGGATGATTTTGTGTTTGTGTTGTTTGAGTCGTTGCTTAGGGACAAGCAACAGCAAACCCACCAACCAACTATGCGATGGCTTGCTCATGGCTTGCTTCATCCACTTCCTCAATCTCCGCTTCAATTTCACCATCTCTTCTCTCGCCGTCCACTTCAAAGTGAAAGATCATGGGCAAAATGTAGTTATTTACCACGACAGGTGGCAAACTCGCAAACTGGATGGTTGTGGATGTATTATGATCATCGTCCTCATCATCCTTGCTATTCCGATCAAACTTTGACCTTGGATGCTCTAACTCCAGCATCTCCTCCTCTATGAAGGATTCATCCATCTCTGCATCATATCCATCATCCGTTGGGGCTTCCTCTTTCTTCTCCAAACTCTTGCTGCTATCAGACACTGTGACCCTGAGACCAGTGGCAGCAGAGTTGTTCACACGAACATTGGTATGCATGTTGTAAGTCCTCTTCTGTTGAGAATTCTTGCGAAGAAGCCTTCTATATTGTGTCCTTGTCATCCCATCCACTGCAATTGGCTGTTGACGATGAACATCATACATATGCCATCCACTTGATGGCACATTAGGTATAACATCCCGAACCTTTTTTTGACGAAGATATTGTCCGCTTTGGGCCTCGACCCTCACGGTTTTTGACTTGGGGTGCAATTCAAGGTGACTTACCATAAGGTCACCCATCCTTGTTTTACTCCACACTGATCACGTTTAACTTCGGAGTTCTCACAAGAACTCTTCCATTACACCCCAAAACGCGTCTTGTCAGTTAAGGTCTGTTTCTTACTTATGAACCATGGATCTCCCCCGTGCTTTGTCGATGTGAGATTTGCCTAAGGTGTTACATTCACCCCCCCCCCCCTTGGGCTCAACGTCCTCGTTGAGGTTTTCCTCACCATCGTTCAAGAGGGACGCAGAGAGGCTCTTCCATTACACCCCAAAACGCGTCTTGTCAGTTAAGGTCGGTTTCTTACTTATGAACCATGGATCTCTCCCATGCTTTGTCGATGTGGGATTTGCCTAAGGTGTTACATTATAGTGTTTTGTGTTTGAGTTAAGGATAGAAGGCGAGCACTCTTAGGATTTAATGTTGAAATGAGTTGATAAGGATGATTATTTAAGAGCAGAAAGCGAGAACGGCTTTCATGCTAGGAAGCAAACTCTAATAACGTGTTTAGTAGGGAGTTCGCCTAGGCAAATACCTTAGGGAGTAACGACGAGACTGACCCCTTCTCACTCACCAGGTGTATAGAGGGGAAGAGGACGCATCCATCAAGAGGAGATTACCCGAGGAGAGCAGTCGCGACTAACCTGAAGATGTCAACTGGATCTGGGTAACGAGATGAGACCTCCCATTATATTTGTCTTTAGTTTCATGTCTTAATGAGTATACTGGGGAACCTCAAGGGTTGTGTTTATGTTTTGTTGCTCTGGGTTGAGGTCTCCCAAGTGTTTAGGGCATTTCACTTGAAAATCTTAAACATTGTGGTTGTTGGTTTTTGGTTTTGACTTGTAAACCTGTTTTGGGTTACTCCGGAGTAACCGGTTTGTGGTTTGAGTTGTGGTTTGGTTTTCAAAAAGAGCGGGTCGTGTCATTTTGCATCCTGAAAGTTCTTCTAACAGGTGGTGAACTTCTGGCAGGTAGGGAGAGTCCAAAAGGTGCACTTTTGAAAGGTGGGGCATTTTGAGCAACCCATTGCCTTTGTTGGCCTCTTACCCATGCAGGTGCACATACTCCTTCCACCTGACGTTCATATGGTGGATACCTTGGCTTGAATGGTCTCTGGGAACCATGTCTTTGACGGACTGATTGGGTTGGTCTATCTCCACCAAAATTCAGCTTCCCTTTGCACTGTGCACACAACTTTTCTTCATCAGCCAGATCAATACGTGGCCCATCTTGCATGCCAGTTGATGATGAACCACCCTGCAAAATGACATTGGGGTTGCCATTTGGTTGCGGTGTTGTATCCAACACCAGTTTGAAGCGTGACAAGTCAATCTTTGAAAAGTCAGGATTGAATATGTTGATGCCCACGCCATTTGGGAATGGATCAGTATCCACTGTCATGGCATCCTTCTTAGGGTCTGGGAACTTGATGCGTCCCTTGTCAATCACATCTTGCAAAACATTACAAAAAACCCCACAACTATTATGCCATTTGCAATAACGTTTTCCTTTTAACTTCTCAGGGGGTGATATACTATGTCCCCCAGACAGTTTAATCTGACTATCCTTGTACAATTGGTCAAAAATTAAGTCCAACTTGCTAACATCAAAAGAAAATTTTCTAGGTAGGACTAGAGCACGATTAGGTTTCCCAACTAGCTATTCATCATCCATTTTGGCTAAGGAAGAGAGCACGATTAGGTTTCCCAACTAGCTATTCATCATCCATATGGCTTTCCTTGCACAATTTCAGCCAAATCTATCTCGACACCATCCACATCCTGAGCAACATGGTTAATGGCATAATCAACGTTAGGGTTGTACAGTCCCCTAGATGCACTACTTTTATTCTCTTCTTCTCGTAGAAGAGTCTCGTACCTAACCGCACATGACAACAACTGGAATAAATCAGAGAACTCTCTATCTTGAAATTTTTTACGAATTCAAAGTTTAAACCACCTTGTGCTAGCTTGAAAAATTCATGTTCTGTCAAGTTCACAAAACAACGATTACGTGCATTTTTAAAACTTGTCAAGAAGTGTTCCATAGTCTCCCCTGGTTGCTGGCGCATATGTACCAAGTTAGCCTTGGTCACTTCTGGTTTAGAACGATAAAATTGTGCATGGAACATTTGTTCCATTGGTTGCCAAGTTTGCACTTAATTAGATGGCAAATTGACGTACCATGTAAAAGCAGGTCCTGTCAAAGAGTTGCCGAATAAACGTAATTTGACAAAATCACCTACATCACCACATTGGACAGTAAATGGTCCAAATGTTCCACTGTGGATTGATCACCCGTTCTAGTAAAAGGTACAAACTATGGTACCCTAAACCCTCTTGGGAATGGATACATTCTATCCACCCACTCCGGATACGGCTTTCGATCGACAGGTGGCATCGTTGGTCTCATACCAAAACCAAACTGCTCAGCCAACAACTGTGTCATCTGATCACGGAGTGTATTCACATTGTGCCCCCCTTGTTGCCCCCCCCCCCCAGCGGATGGAACCACCAGGATCCACGCCTTGCATGCTCATAGGGGGCGAGATTTGCTGCGGGTACGCACGTGATGGTACTGGGTCAACATTGTTCGGACCCAAACCAAACCCAACATTAACAGGATCCATGTATGGTATGGCTTCTAGAATGTTTTGTCGAGAAACACCTTGCACAGGTGGCAGTTTCTCAACATGGATCTGAGATGAAGTGGCGTGACTCTCGCCAACATTCACCCTTTGAGGTGTTGGTACGGTGGTCGCCACCGGTGGTGTAGGGTTCACCGGGCATGGCTGCTCACCTCGACCAGACGGTCGGTTAGCGTTTTCACTTTCACGATTTGGAAAGTCTCGACCACCTGAAGACAAAGCTCAGTTCGTAAAATTGGTATGTTCAATAATTTCCTAAACTCACCCAAATCATTCGTATTTTTGTTTACCAACTCAAATAATTGAGTCAATCGTCTATCTACGTGGGATTGAGACAATCAACTTGAGATTTTACCTGATGAGCCATAGCTCTAGCTTCCTCTATCAACCGGCGACTCTCCGCCACCATTTGGCGGTTCTCCTCCATCATCTGATAAAGAGACACCACTGCCTGGCCTAGATCTGCATTTGGTGCCATGTTAGGCGCCTCTGCTCCAATATTGTTTCCTCCTGCTTGGTCAACTTCAACGTTAACCAACTGCCCCTCCTCCACAGCACCTTGTGGAGGATCACCATCCTGAATCCTTCGTCGCAGAGCTATATCGAATACACGTTGTCCCACCAGGTGTGCGAATTTGTTTCAGGTGGAATTTCGCATGATCAATGCACCCTGACTTCAAGAAAATAGAAAACGATGTTACTCGGTTCACACCTCTTCAAACATTGTTCGAACAAGGGTGTTCGATGCATAAATCAAAGGAACTGGCTACTTTTACCTCTACTCCTATGAAGATTCCTTGAGAGCTCCGCATCTACTGACTACAACTAACGGAGAAGTCTCGTTGAACGGTCCCTAGTGCTACTGCTACGGTTACTGTTATAGAGAGAAAATATAAATTTTGACGAGACTTGTTGTGGTTTGATTTGTCTGTCCTTCCTCTAGAGTCTTGCTGTGAGTTTTGTTGTGCCTCGTCCTCTAACCGCCTTCTCTCTCTCATCCCAAAAATCAGCTCCACGTAGCATCCAGTAACTCCTCGGAGCGTCCTTTGCAAGTCAGGTGCTACTTCTGGTAACCACCTCGACACGTCATCATGTCACTTGACCATTGGACGGTCACCGTACACAAAACAAATTGGACGGTATCAATGTTGACTAAGACAACAATCCATGGATGGTACGCATATTAAATGGTCACCATACCCTAGCATCATTCGTTAGGGTTTGGACGGTATCCATTACGTTGGATACTACCATCCATTATGGATTTTGGATGGTATCCATGATGTTGGACACTACCATCCCTTATAGATTTGGATAGGGATGGAAAAATAGACTAGACTGTTAGAAAACCCGTGGTCCAAACTGTACCGCACAGTTTGGTCTGGACCGTAGACCGTTTTAGTATGGTTTGGTCTGGTCAATGGTCTGTATTATTTTATGTTTTGATCTCTTGGTATGGTCTGGTCTAGACCTCGGTTTACCAGACCAAACCGTGGACCAACCGACTTGTCAATACGTGTTAATAGCCCACTCGATCACTCTCCCAGCTCCCACAACGACACCCAAGTCTCAACCTTAATTTTGAGAATTTCGTCCATCCTTCATTCACAACCACATTTAACCAGAGAGTAGAGATAATCGTGTCTCCATATGACATTATGTTAATGTTCATAACATTATGGTGCAAGTTGGGATGCTTTTATTTTGTATCTTTGTTATGTACTAAGATTTAGGGTATCAAAATTATTCGTGCATGTTAGGATTAATGTTTTAAGGCAAATAACAATTATTTTTCTTGGTTATTGGTTCAATTTTTTCCGTGGTTGATTAAACAAATTATTCATTTTTCTTTGAGTGTGGTCTATCTGGACCAGACCAGACCGAACCAGACCACATAGGCATGGTCTGGACCAGACCGTATAGTCTGTGGTCTATAATTCAGCCTCTCGGTCTGGACCATAGACCGTATATATGGTCTGGTCTGGACCAGACCGCACCGTTTTCCAGCCCTAATTTTGGATGGTATCCATGATTGGACACTACCATCCATTATGGATTTTGGATGGTATCCATGTATTTGGACGCTACCATCCATTATGGATTTTGGATGGTATCCATGTATTTGGACGATACCATCCATTATTGGATTTACATTGGACACTACCAACCATTATTGGAGTAGGATGGTATCCATTACGTTGCACACTGCCATCCATAAACCCTATGGCCAGACTTGAATAAATTGGACCATCAATGTACACGTGGACCAGCTACTTAAATTGGCCAAGCTGTACAAACATGTAATAATTAATGAAAAATGATTTTGGTGTAAACATAAGGAATAATAAGAAAGAATGGTAGGATAGGAACATGACGAGATAGTTTAGATCAAGGATTTCTTCTAGCACTTGCTTCAACCATGTCGAAGCAGATCGGGTCGCGTGGATCAAATCAGAACTTGCCATCATTGCCAACAAGAATGATAAGGAGGATAAGAGTGAAAACGAATATGAAAGAGAGAAATCCACCCCAAATCTATTACGAAAGAACCAAAGGTCTAAACGACTTTGTTAGCTTCTGAGCTTCTTGTCTGTCTTGTAATTTGCTCGTATACTTTCTAATAACTTGGTGTATTGTCTACATTTTCAATAGGGAGACAATCACGATCGTAAAGAGTGATTAGGGAGGTCAAATGCTACCCACTTATCCCCGAACAGTGTAATTAACCTTACAGATGAAAATAAAATCAACAGTTCCCTTGGACGATCAATTCGCATCCAAGATCCATCCATTATGACTAGGGCTGTCACCCGGTCGGTATCGGTTTAACCCCGAGAATCGAGACCTGCCAATGGCAGCCGCACACCGACCGACCCTAGACCCTCGGTTATCCGCAAACCGACCGGATGATTTTCGGTTAAGTTGCGGTTAAATCGAGGACACCGAAACAGTGATGGCCGGTTCGGTTTGCCTTCCTAATCGGTTCGGTTTGCCTTCCTAACCGACCGATAACCGCTAACAAACCGAACGGTAACCAACACAAACCGAGGGTTTTGGTCTTGGAAACCACTAAAACCACTAATCCACCCCGCTGTTTGGTCTTGGAAACCTGGGGGAAAAATTTTGTTCTTACATTATCTCTCTTCTTGACTTCTTGTTATCGAGGGAGATGGAGGAATGGAGGCGCGGGGATGGCGCACTGGAGGGTGGCGGCGATTGGAGGGTGGCGGCGACCGATTGGAGGGGCGATTGGAGGTTGGCTGGCGGCGATTGGAGGGTGGCGGCAGACTGGCGAGGCGATTGGAGGCGATGGCAGACTGGAGGCGCGGCGATGGCGGACTCTTGACTAGCGCGGCGATGGCGGGCTGGCGGCTGTGCGACAGCCGACGAGAGGGTCTGAGGGTGAGGGACGATTTCGCTAAAACGAGAGGGACGATTTCGCCAAAACGAGAGGGGCTGGCGGTTGTCGATGAGAGTGTCTAGGGTTGGGGATGGGGTCGTTTTCTCACAGTCCAAAACGACGTCGCATCAGTTGGTCGGTTAGAGCCGGTTAACCGGTTTCAGTTACTCGGCTAACCGCCTCCCCGCAACCAGTTTCCGCCAACCGACCGTGAATGATTTCTTTCGATTTTCGGTTAGCCGCTAACCGGTGATTAACGATTAGACCGGCCGGTTAGTCGCTAACCGGAAACCGAAATGACAACCCTAATTATGACTTCTGCCAACAAAAAAGTGTCCCCACAGCTATCACATATTCAACCCAAATATGCCAAACTCATCAGATCCAAGAACCCAGACGATCCAACACCATCAATAAAAGCTTTGATTCTTAATTATCGATTAACGATCCATAAGGGTAGAGCTTTAGCAAAGCAATCATTACCCATTACGCGTTGATATCTCAAAAAGGGCAACCTTTTTCCAGGCAGGGTTAATGTCTCAAAAGACGGAGTTCGTTAGCCCACACAGACACAATAACCCTATACAATCACCCGCACGAGAGCTACGTAGCTAATTAGTAAGTTTAGGGTCAAAGAGCGTATTCACATTGAATGTTCGTAAACACAAATAAGTTTTGACGTTATCACGTTTGAACTTGGTTCCCAATACAACAAGCCGCAGCCACACTTCCGAAAAGGTGAAAACTACATATCGTCAAGTTGTTTTTTTTGTCGACTTCGAATGCCTCGTTAATTACTTTTGTTGAGGATGTTGATTAGTTTTATATCCTTAGAAGGTGGGTACTCAGTAAAAGAGAGAGAGGTGAGGTTTAGGATCCGGATTTCGAGCGTTTTGTGCTTGCTCTTTTGTGTCCTATACAGTTTGGAGATAACTCGATATGGTTATTCCACGAGGATAAATACTCTATGATAAGGATTCAAAAGTAAGATTTTCGCGACCAAAGTGAAGTGAATATAGATGAGATATTTACAAGCATTCGAATTGTTAGCACACAAGATCAAGATCCTCCAACAATGGTTTGGCTTCCGTTACGAATGTTGATGATGTAATTGCGGAGGTAGGTATAGTTCAGGTTGGATTCTAGCTGACTCAATATTTAGTTTTATGTTAAAATATGTGAACCATATGTTAAATTAAGGTTTAATTTTGATAGGATGGTAGGCTATCAGCCCCTCTAAAACCTCAATTCAATACCAAATGTGTGGAGTGATTTTTTTTTATTTCTACCCTCCTCCCATACTCTAAAGCATGGCTTCGCCACTGCCAATAAGTAGTAGAGAAAGACAGTCGTGCTGTAGTGGCAACAATCTCATCAGGCGTCGAGCACGAATGATCAAGGAAAGACCTATATCGACGCATTAGCTGAAAGTCACCAGGTAGCAGTCCAAATGGCAATGTATACCTCGTGGGATGGTTATTAGAAGACGGTCTTTGAGTTACACAAGGGATATAGAATATCACTCATAGAGTGCTCTGCTCATTTTAGAAATATTCCCTAGTTATTCGTCTGACAGAGTATTGTTGAGGACCTTATCATTTCGGCGATGATGTGATGCACGATGAAAATTCAATATTCACTCAATTTATAGGTATTTTAGAGGAAGAGAAATAGAGTCGGTTATTGAGTCAAATTATCTCCGCATTACTATAACGAAATAGAACGTAGACAAAATGTAGAAATCCATACACAAGAATGGAAAATAATATCCTACACATTTCCATTTATATGGGAATTGGATGAGGTCTACATTTACTGCATTTGTTTAAGACTACAAATTAAGGAAGTAAAGTGGGCAATTGAAAAGTAAGTCAAAAAGAGATTAAAACATCCACTTCAATTAAAGTTGAGGAGATCCATATTAGGTGACCAGAAGAAAAAAAAAAGAAGATTTTTCTTTTCCATTTCCATGATCATTATTCAAACACTCATAACAGTAAACCCGCCACTGGAGCTTAAAAATTTAATCACTAAGCAAAAAAGTACAGTAGCAGTACAAGGATAGGGAGTGGGGGCCTTTTTGCCCTTACAGTTTCCTCTCCTTAATTTGATTAATAATATCGTATACCTAATCATCATTATTATATATCTATAGTGGGAAAAAAAAAACAAGGTTGATAATTTGATCCCCGTCAAACCCAATTATTACTTAGTAACTAATCGAGGTTTTTAGGGGGTCTAATTAACTACTAATCAGTCAAAATCATCATTATAATTAATCTCTCTCTCTCTCTATCTCTAGGTCCAGAGCGGCTCCCACAGATATCCCATCAGCTGATTACTCTCATCCATGAAGCAGGAATTCCCGCCCTGTGGCGTGTTGTTGCTGCCGATCATCATGAAACTGTCCACGTCATCGGCCGACGGCGGCAGGGCCGGGAACGGCGACGAGGAAGTGGGCTGGTGGTGGGCCATCTCGACGCAGAGGATGGCCATGAGGTTGGCCTGCTGGCACTGCATGGTGGCGACCTGGGCCTGGGCCTTGGCGAGCTGGGCCTGGAGCTCGCCCACTTGCTTCTGCAGCTGGCAGATGGCCCCCGCCGAGCCGTAGACGGGGTCCCTTATCCTTGCGCTCGCCTCGTACACCATGCTGCTCACGGCGTCCGCCCTCTGCTCTTCTGGAAGCTCCTGTTTCCGTTTCATCCATAAAACACATACATAATCAATACTCTTAATTCGCATCGAGTCGTTGTAACGTCAGACTTTGAATCTTTCCTCCTCCGTTTTCTTTTCTTGTTGAAACGGAACGGAGCGAAAATTAAATAAACGAGGTTTGGTTTTTCTTTGTTTCCAGGGTGGGAACGGACTTTTCAGAGGTGTTGAGAGTGATGGGATTTACGGTTCTAAATAAAATTTTTTTAAAAAAGAATTTGAATTTTTATTATTGATTGACTTGCTGCTCATGCTATATACCTTATGGGGTTGACGTTAAGATTAACGTAGCAGGGTTTTAACTCAATTGATTAATTAATTAATCCTTGTTTTAATCTAAAACAAATTTATGGTTAATCTAAAAGTATACCTGCAAGAACTTGATGATGTTGCTGGCGCCGAAGACGCGGTGGGCAATGGTGAACTTGGCGGGGTCGGTGGGAGGGAAGTAAGGAGCCAGCACGCATTTCTCCGCCGTGCACCGGCGGCGGAGAATCTTGCAGGCGGCGCAGGGGCTTACAATCGCCGGCGGCGGCGGCTGAGCAGGAGGAGGGGAAGAGGAGGAAGGAGTGGGAGAAGATTGGTGGTGGGGAAAAGAGAGAGGGGAGGAAGAGGAGGAATTGGCAGCGGTGGTGGCCGGAGAAGAAGGAGTAATAGTCGTAACGGTGGTGTTGGCGGGAGCTGGGTCGCTGATGAAGTCCATTTTTCGTTGCTGGTCTTTGTTTTTCTTTGGGCAGTTGGCGTTTGTTGGTGGTGGAAAAGAAAGAGAGAAACGGAAGTGGAGAAATGGCGGACTATAGTACGTGTGGTTTGGGTTGGCTATGGCTAATTGTGGGAGAGGAGTGGTCTGGTTATTTATAGAGAAAGCAGAGCGTCACTAGGGGTTGGAATTTACGTCATGCTAGCTAGCGTCGAAAATTCAGATTTTTCAGATAGAAGAAGTGGGGGACTCTGGCTTTATTTCCTAGTCTTTTAGTCTTTTGCTATGTTTAGTAACCTCTTCTACATGTGCTTCTTTTAACTATGGGGTTACTTTTTTTTGTAAATAAGCAGCTTTGTATCATTCTCGATACTAGAAACATGTATTTGTCGAAACAAGTCGAGGATACGGTGTACAACTGTATGTAAGAAAACGATTAAAATCGTTTGTTCATATTAAATACAATACAAAGAAAAAAAAATTATATCCGACCCGCATTTGACCCGAATTTCTTGATGTGGGTGGGGGACGGGTTTCGCTGTGAGCCAGCCGCCCGGTGGTGGGTGGGTTGCGGGTGACCCGTTCAACCCAACAACAACAAAAAAAAATGTTGGCGATGGAGAGAGGAGAGTGGAGACGTTAGACGGAAACTAGGGTTGCTTTTGGAGATTGAATATCAAAGCCAATCTTCCAAATCGCGATCCCCTCTTCTTCTTCTCTTTTTTCCTCTGATTCTTGTGCCTAAATCACCTTTCTTTCCTCCGTTGAATTATTTTTCTTAGTTCCTTGCACTTGATAATCATCTCCATATGTAAAAAACTTCTATATAATAATATTTGTATCCAATTTCATAACTACTGCTTCGACATTTTCCCTCTTATTCCATCTTCTTGTTCCAACACAATAACTAGGGCTGGCTATTTGGTCCCGATTTTTTGATTTTACCCTAAATCGGACCGCATAACCCGCACAGAGACCAGTCCGGGACCAGATAGTAAACAATCCAATCCAATCTTTGGGCTTAGATTTTAGGTAAAAAACCGTTCGGGACCTGATAAAAAACTGGATAAAGACCGGATAAGAGAGCTCAACACCCAAAACTTAAGGGTAATTAGCATAAACGGTCACAAACCTTTGCACTTAGTAGTTAGTACAAAACTTAACCAACTACTCACCCTTTTAGGCCTTAGGCCACTCAAATCCCCACAAACACAATATAAAATCAAGACCGAATTGGGACTGGAGCGAGTCAAGACCGGACCATATCAAAACCGAACTGTATCCAATCCAATCTTTGGTCCTTATATTTTCGAAACGACCGGACCGGATCGGATCAATTTGGGCCAATTTAACCGGACCAGACCGTATAGCCACCCCTAGCAATAACGCTCTCCATCGATTATCATGTCAAATTGACTTCTTTATATTATGTACATTGTGATGTGGGTGAACCCGCAAACTCACTCGCATCATTCACCATCCAACCAACCCAACCCGATAATAAACGTGGGTGGGTGGTGGGTGAAAATTTATCAATCCGTTTAATCGTGGATGAATGTGTTTTATGGTCAAAATCCACCCGACGCACCCAACGCTCGCTCCTAGAAATCGGAACGAAGGAGGCACGGGAAAAAAAAATATAGAAGCAAACAAAAGATGGTTAGTTTGGTATTAGTGAACAGAATTGTCTGCTCCCATGGCCTAACTTATCCAAGCAATGGAATACGATAACTTGGCTCTTTGCTCCATTTTCTTCTTCATGATCAAAGGCTGAGAAATCCCATTTTCTTGGACTCCTCAAGTCACTCAAAAACAACTATTCAACGCGACGAATCAATAGATAGGTAATTGGTCTTATGTTCAAATGGCATAGATAGTACAACAGAAGAACTGGTGATGGAGTCACATATGCAAGTAAGTCACTACCGTTCTCCATCCTTGGCAACAACTGAATGCCACAATTAGGTGCCTGCTAACGATGACCATTATTTCAACCTGATTAGACACAAAAAGATAACCAAGAGAGGGGTTTTTTTCTTCTTTTTCTTTCTCTCTGATAAGCATTTGGTTTAGTATTCTGTAATGATCATTGTTGTTAATTTGTTTGAAATATCTGTACTTGCTTTTAATTGGGAGAAATTTGAAAAATAAAATATTTTTAAATGGTATCCATACAAATAGAAAATTTTATGGCCATTATAAATGTTTTTCATATGCAATTATCGCGTGTTGTGATGGTAGACAACTGAATTATATTGGTATAGTTTAATAACTCTATGATATAAGTTCATGTCATGTGAATAACTATATTTTTGGAATGATAACTTATTTATTTATAATATTCAAAATGAAAATTATGGTTTAGATCATATAAAGTTAATCTAATTGAGTTTAAGACCTGTCTAATGTTAGAACTATAATGCTAAAGAATACATTGTAGATTAATCATAGATATTACAAAAAAATTAAATTAAATAAATCAAATGGAATCAGGGTTAGGAGGTACCACTAAAGAGTTGCTCAAATGGAAAAGTATGATGAGGATTGGTCTGGTGTGCTCTTGGGGTTCATCAATTCATATGATTTACCATTTTGAGCAAAATTTCTTGCCGATCATCAACAAGACTTAAACTTTTGAATCATGTTGTCCTATAAATTTGTTGGATACATATAGGGTTAGAATTGTCTCAAACATATCCGATGTTTCATCATAAAAATGGATTTACAAGTATATGTTGTTGGACTTTTGGAAGTGAAATTCGGGAGCTTGGGATTGTCTCAAGGTTGTCAAACTATATGTTGTTGGACTTTTGGAAGTGAAATTTGGGAGCTTGGGATTGTCTCAAGGTTGTCAAACCGAATTAAGTCATTGAGCCGGTCAAATAAGGGGTTTGAGGTTTAATAGTCTGATCGGGGTCCAGCTGGTTTAAGCCGGTTTAGACGTTTTCTAAATATATATACAAATAAGGTAGTCAGTGGCGGACCCAGGATTCTTTGATAGGTGTGTCAGAAGACAAAAAATAATTAATAAATTAAATGTATTAAATAAAAAGTAAAATAAAATATTGATTCATTAAGGTCGTAATTTATTATTTTTCACAGTGACACACGACAACTTTTCATATTCAGAAAGGTTTGTAAAATATATTTGTCGCTTATGGTGTGATCAAACTTTTTTCGACGTAAAAAAGTAAAAATTCATTCAAAAAACTTATTTTGAAGTTTGCTCTTGATTAACTCCACAACATAAAATGGAGAGTAGGAACGGTGGCGACAGGCGTTAACGTAAAGGTTTGAAAGAGGATGAGGTTCCACCGGCAGGTGCTAGCAATTAGAGAGTGGAGCAGAGGACAGAGAACTGTGAGCCATGGGTTGTGGATTTCTTCCTCTCGACATTTTCACTAAAAATTCAAATCAAATAATATATATATTTGTGTATTTTGGTAACTATTGCTATATGACATCAAAATTAATGTAGTGTTTTAAAGGTGTGTCGATTGCAATTATGTGAGGTGTGTCAGAAATCCCGAATTCAAGTTTTTTGTACCAACGAAACATGGATCTCTCACAAAATTTCCGAGCCAAGGTGTGTCGGTTGACACACCTTACTAATGCATGGGTCCGCCCCTGAAGGTAGTAATTAAAGATTTCAAAACTGAAATGAAATTTATATCAAATGTATCTTTTAAAAACTTATTTTCCACAAAATAAATCTATCTAATCTCTATGACCAACCCACCATCTCCCTTCCTTTGTTCTTCTTTCTCTCTTTCCCCTCTCTAGGGGTCGGACCAATGGCTTTTTGAAGGTCGTTTTGAAGCCCGACATAGGTTGTACCGGATCCAACCCGGGGTTTGATATGGATTTAACAACCTTATTTGTCTTCTTTATAAATTTTGATGGGGCTTGGAGGATTAAACGATATATAATCATGTAATGTGGTATAGGAGAATTTCTTTATGTGTATGTTCTCCCCCCCCCCCCCCTCCCCCCTATACCGTTTCCCATCTTTTCCCTGCCAATCTCTTCCTACTCTTCTCCGTAACTTAAACGAATACAAGAACTTACCTTGTATAAGGAAAGTCCTGAGGTAAAATTTGAAGAAAAGGTGTCGTCTCCCACAAGCTATTTGAACGACGACGCTTTCCCTGCAACGGCACCGTTCAGGGATTCGTCCTTCCAAGTCTTCTCCTCAAACTAAGATTATCGTTCTGCTCAAACCTAGTCTCCCATCTAAAAGTAGCGACATCAAAACTCCAAGGAGTTCCTCGATGATCTTCCACAGACACCACCGACTCCATGGCAGGTATGATGAAGTCCAGGAGCGCATCAGGCTAACAGCAACGGTCATCTTCTCTTCTTAGTATAAATACTTACTCTTCTCCTTCAATTAGAATTTGGCAGTCTGTAGTGAGAGAAACAAGAGAGTTCTTCACCTACTTTGGGTCCATAAGTGTATTACTTCAGTAGCTTGACTCACGGTGTGTCGTCTGGGTGAGTTAGGCTTGGGAAGTGGGTTGTTGTTTGAGAGTTTCAAAGTGCCAACCTCGTTGGCATGGATTAGAGAGTTCCTGTATAAAACTTTTCTACTGTAATTTCCTTTTAAATTCAATAAATTATCTCTTCTTTACAATCTGTTTGAGAGAAGAAGAAGAGTCACTGGTCCATTTTAGCAACTGCTTCCTTCCTCAGAGTCAACAATTGGTATCAGAGCTGGGTCTTTGAAGGATTTGAATTCGTTAAAGACGATCAAGGAAATGGCAGGAGTCTTACCCGCCTCTGCATCTTATTCAGCAAACACCAATCCGCCATGGTTCGACGGCACAGACTACACTGTGTGGAAGAAAAGGATAAGAATCTACCTACGAGGCGTTGATGGCGGGTTATGGGCTATAGTCAAGAAGGGGCCAATCCCCATGGATGATGAGGAAGACAAAAAATGGGAAGATGATCAAAGGTTGTCTTCTCAGCAAGACTCAAGGGCAATGCATATTCTATTCTCCGCGCTCAATCCAGAAGAAAGAAGTCAAGTGGCATAGTGTGAGACAGCCAAAGAGATTTGGGAGTCTCTTGAAACCACCCACGAAGGTACGTCAGAGGTAAAAGAAAGTAGGATAGATGTTCTACTAAATGAGTATGAATCGTTTGAAATGTGCTCGGGAGAATCTATCACAAGCATGTATAAGAGATTCAATGATTTGATAAACACATTAAAAGGCTTAGGAAAAACTTTCCCTACTGAGGATCTAGTTAGAAAAATCTTGCGAAGTCTCCCTAGAGAGTGGCTACCTAAACGAACTGCTATAGAAGAAGCAAAGGATCTGAATGCTTTGTCAATTGAAAGGTTAGTTGGATCTTTACTTAGTCATGAGGAGGTAATTGTTCAGATGAATAGAGAGGATAACAGAAGAAAGAAAGTCATAGCATTTAAATCACAAGACTACGAAAGCGAATCTGAATATAAAATAAGAGAGGAGTTTGAAAGAGAATTCGCCATGATCAATAGGAAATTCCACAAAATGTTAAAAATAAAAAGAGATTTTGACGACATAAAGAATCATGGTAATCCAAGACAATTCAATAATCGCACTTATGAGTCTAGGAGAAATAGAGAAGGACTAGAAAAGACATTCATTCGATACCCTGATAGAAATGCAGGAAGTAGCAGTCAAAGTGACAAAAATCTCTCCAGAAGAATAGATAAACCAACAGAAGAGCGTGAAAGGTTTACTCAGGAAGTTAAGGAAGACCATAGGTCTTCCAGTGAAAAGGATTTAACAATCTGCTTTAAGTGTGGAAAGTCAGGTCACATGAGGTCCATATGTCCTCTGAATCTAAAGAAGTAAGAGAAGGCAATGGCAGCTTCCTGGAGCGATTACAGCTCTAAGGAGGATGCAGAAACAAGGAATCTTGCCTACATGGCATTTGCGACCAAAGATGACAGTGAATCAACTTCACAGATAAGCAGTGATCACATACTTCCCACAAGTTATCAGGTAATCTCCGACTCAGAGTCTGAAAAGTGTGAATATCCAGAAACAAAATCTGATTTCTTGCATGCCTTAAAAAATCTTCAAGAAGAGTGTAATAGACTCAGAAGTAGGTACTGCTTACTAATGACTGAAAATCATGCCATGACCAAGGAACTAAGCATCTTAAAGAGAACTATATCAGTTCAGCATGAAAGTGAAAATAAACTTAAGAAACAAATCTTTGAGTTGATTGATGAGAATCATAAGTTGAAGCAAGAGATCTATAACAAGTATCCAATCAAGTTTAGGAACCCTGTTTCAAAGAACAGAATATCCCCACATAGAAAAGTCTTCGAATCTCCTGACAACAGTAAGGTGAAGAATCATAAGAAAGATAGAAACTATGTGTGTTCTTATTGTAATCGCAAAGGCCATTTAGCAAAATTCTGTTATGATTTACAAAAGCCAAGAAAACCTGTTGTGTTCAAGACATTTTGGGTACCAAAATGTACTAACCTATGACTGATTGCAGAAATCGGGAGAAAAGAAAAACATTTGGTATTTGGACAGTGGGTGCTCCCACTACATGACATGTAGAAAAGAGTTATTTTCTTCATTAAGTTACAGAAAGGGAGGTAAAGTTGTGTTTGGAGATGATAGAGTAGGCAGAATTTTAGGAAATGGGACTATTGGTAAGGGTCCTCTTCCTGTTATCAAAGATGTTCTGCTTATTGAAGGTTTGAAGCATAACCTTCTATCAATTAGTCAACTCTGCTCTTCTGAAAACAGAGTCATTTTCAAAGCATCTTCATGTCAATTTCTAGAATTTGTGATAACAAATTATTATTCAGTGGCATAAAGAAAAACAATATGTATGTGGTTAATTCAAATAATTTGGAAACTTTTAATGAAACATGTTTCCATGTTGTTTCTAGTGAAATAGAATTGCTTTGGCATAGAAAGCTTGGGCATGTATGTATGTCTAAGCTGTCTAAATTGTCAAAATTAGAGTCTGCACGAGGCATTCCTATATTAAAAGATAAGCCTAATTTTTTCTGTGATGCTTGTGCAAGTGGTAAATTAACCAAGAAAAGTTTTAAGTTGAAAAGGGATATAACTACCACTCAGGTATATGAACTAATACACAAGGATCTGTTCGGACCAACAAATGTGGTAAGTCTCGGAGGTAAATCTTATTCTCTAGTTCTTGTTGATAATTTTTTTTTTTTTGTAGGGTTTACCTTTTTGCTTCAAAAGATGAAGCATTTGCAATGTTTAAAATGTTTGTATCAAAGGTATTAAATGAGTCAGAATTTGGAATCAAGTCAATAAGAAGTGATAATGGAGGTGAGTTCATATCAGAACAGTTTAGTGCCTTATGCAATGATAAGGGTATAAATCATACTTTTTCTGCACCTAGAACACCACAACAGAATGGTGTCGTAGAACGAAAAAATAGAATTATAATAGAGACAGCTAGGACCATGTTATTAGAATATGGAACTCCTAAGTTTCTATGGGGAGAAGCTGTCATGACAGCTGTCTATATAATAAATCGAGTGCTGATAAGAAAGGGTTTGGAGAAGACACCATATGAACTGCTAAAACATAAAACACCTAACCTTAGTTATTTCCATCCGTTTGGATGTAAGTGCTGCATACTAAATACCAAAGATCATCTGTATAAGTTTGATGCTAAAGCTGGGAGAGCAATTTTTCTTGGATATTCCATAAAGGGACAAGCCTATAGGGTATATAATCTAAGAACAAGAAGAGTGGAAGAGTCTGTTTTTGTAAAATTTGATGAATCTGCCTGCTCTGAAAAAGTGAATGCAGAAAACATAGATTTCCTACTTCCTTTGCCTAGTGAGAAAGAAAAGAAGTCAGAAGATGATGGAGCTAGTGTAAAGGAAGATGAAGATACTCCAGATAAGGAAACCATTCAACCAGAAGAAAGAATGGCGCATGCTCATATACAGAAACGGCATCCAGCATCCCAAATTATCGAGAATCTGAACGAAGGGATACACACTCGAGGTAAGTATTGTCCAGGTCAGTATGCTTTCGTTTCCCTTCTAGAACCAAAGAACTATAAGGAAGCTTTAACTGATGATGAGTGGTTGCGTGCAATGCAAGATGAACTTGTGCAATTTGCTAGACTGCATGTTTGAGAACTAGTACCTAGACCCTTTAACAAGTTAATCATAGGAACAAAGTGGGTGTTCAGAAACAAAACAAATGAGCTTGGAGAAATAACAAAGAACAAGGCTAGATTAGTTGTACAAGGATATCTACAAGAAGAGGGAATAGATTTTGAAGATTCATTCGCTCCTGTTGCTCGAATTGAATCTATAAGAATGTTGTGTGCTTATGCTTGCTATATGAAAATCCCTTTATATCAAATGGATGTTAAAAGCGCTTTTCTAAATGGCGAAATTAAAGAAGAAGTGTATGTGAGTCAGCCTCCTGGTTTTATATATCATGAATTTCCTGATCATGTTTTTAAACTATCAAAGGCTTTGTATGGTTTAAAACAGGCTCCTAGAGCATGGTATGAAAAACTAACCTCTTTTCTGAAAACTGAAGGTTTTGCCCAAGGCAATGTAGACAAAACACTTTTCATTAAGAAAGAAAATGGGATACATTAGTAGTACAGATATATGTTGATGACATCATTTTTGGTGCAACCAATCCAACTATGTGTACAAGTTTTTGTGAGTTAATGAAATCTAAATTTGAAATGAGTATGATGGGAGAACTTTCCCACTTCTTAGGTCTGCAAATCAAACAAACAGATACAGGGATGTTTATAAGTCAGACTAGCTACATTGAATCGATGCTTAAAAAATTCAACATGAACACAGTAAATGCATGTCAAACACCATTGGCTACAAATTTAAAATTAGATAAAGACAAGGCTGGTGTGTCTGTTTGTGAAAAGAAGTATAGAGGAATGATAGGATCTCTTCTATATCTAACAGCAAGTAGACCTTATATACAATTCAATGTTGGGGTGTGTGCTCGATTCAGTCAGATCCTAAGGAAAGTCACTTGAAAGCTGTAAAACGAATATTTAGATATCTTAAGGGAACAATTGAGTTAGGACTGTGGTATCCATTTTCTAATTCTTTTGATCTCTCGGGCTATAGTGACTCAGTTTTTGGGGGAAGTTTAGTTGATAGGAAAGCACCTCTGGAAGCATTCAATTTCTAAGACCTGCTCTTGTCTCTTGGTTTAGCAAGAAGCAAGGAGCAGTTGCATTATCAACCGCTGAAGCGGAATACCTTGCAGCAGGGAGCTGTTGTGCTCAAATTATGTGGATGAAAACACAATTATTCGATTATGGATTTAAATTTCAGAATATCCCTGTTTGGTGTGATAATACAAGTGCAATATGCATGACGAAAAATCCAGTACAACACTCTAGGACTAAGCATATAGAAATAAAGTATCATTACATAAGAGATCTAGTCCTAGCAGGCCATGTTTGCATACATTTTATACCAACAGAACACCAGCTAGCCGACCTATTCACAAAACCCCTATCTTGTGAACGTTTCACTTATCTCTGCACCGAACTAGGGTTAAGATCTTTTAGCCAAATCTAGGGTCTAAAAGATAAAGAACTCATTGGGGGTGTTTGGCTCTAGGCGCTTTGCTTATCTTGGTTTACTTAACAAGCTTCCTTTTTCGGCTCATGTGTACTAACTCTAGATTTTTCCTTAATCACTGCACTCGGTTAAAACAAAATGAACTCTTCGTATTCCTATCTTCCCCCGCTCTCCTGCTCTATTTAAACCGAACTTCTAACCCCACCATTCTTCACTCTTCTCCGATAACAACAAACCTGAGACCACCTAAACATCTCCCTACCATCAACAAACTCAAAACCAGCCAAAATGAGTGATCATTTGCCTCGACCCTTTCGGTTCGATGGACTGGTTCATACCTATCCAGGCTACATGTTTCTTGAGCCTGTGGTGATAAACCATCACCGTCACCTGCAACATTTCGAAAACAGAAGGCTGCGCCACTTTATCCAACTCAACCCTTATGAGTTCAATCTCTATAAGTATGATATCATATCTCTTATAGAGGGTCTGGGATGGGATTATCTCCTCCGTCAACCACTCCATCTAGCCTGTCCCGGTGCAGTCAAGTACTTCTACTCAAATCTTAGATGTCAAGGAATCAGCACTAGGAGCTTCTCAACAATTTTCTATGGTCACCTTTTGACCATCCCAGTAGGAGCTCTAAATGGAATCCTTGGGTTTCTAGTTCAAGGGATCGATATAGCCCATCCCTCAGAGTTTTGGAAACAAGACTTCATCCTACCCACTGAGTATGCAAACTTCTGCACTGAACCTACAGGAGGGACTGATGTGCCTATTCCCATCAGCTGGCTGTCTCCACGATTGAGGATTTTCCATCACTTCATCACTCACGTTTTCTTTCCTCGATCATACAACCTAGATGTAGTCCTGCCCCTTGATCTCTGGATCATTGCAAGCGCCACTGCAGGACACAAGCTAGACTACTCCAACCTTCTGTTTGCCAACCTCCTTCCAGCTGGGGATGAGCATTACCAAGGGCTGCTACCATTTGGATCTATCATCACTCGACTACTGGTCAACCTGGGAATTCATCTGTCAAATTACCGAAGTGTGTCCCACACCATGTATGTTGGTGCCCTTAATGTGCTGATGATCTTAGATCTTCCTACTGACATTGCCCCTTCACCTCCTCCTCTTCCCTCTACTTCCATTCTGGGTCCTCGCCCAAAACCTGTGTCCACCAAAAAGGGAAAGTCTGCTGCTGGTGAATCCACTAAAAATGCAAATTTGGTGTTTACAGTCTCTGTTGGAAACTCTCCCTCAGATGACTCAGCTGCCTCTGCCCCAGAAGTCCCTTCCTCTCCTGTCTCCTAATATCCCTGCTTGTCCTGAGGGGGAATTCTTATTTAGCTTCGTAGTGCCTGTAGCTTTAAGTTTCCTTTTGTTAAGTAGTTTCTTGCTGCACCTCGTGTGTATGCTGGTGTTCAGGGGGAATTTTCTTTAAAGGAGTCGGTTCCTTTTGTAGTTGTTAGTCCCTATGTTTCCCCATATTTTGTAATTCTCTTCTGGCCTCCTAGTAATATAAAAGTAGTTGTTGTTTTTCTTCGAGTGCTGCTGTCTTCTCTTCTGTCTTTTATTTTTCAGGCTTTCCCAGACTTCTCGGACGAAGGGGGAAATTGAAGAAAGGTGTCGTCTCCCACAAGCTATTTGAACGACGACGTTTTCCCTGCAACGGCACCGTCCAAGGATTCGTCCTTCGAAGTCTTCTCCTCAAACTAAGATTATCGTTCTGCTCAAACCTAGCCTCCCATCTAAAAGTAGCGGCAGCAAAACTCCAAGGAGTTCCTCGATGATCTTCCACAGACACCACCGACTCCATGGCAGGTCATGATGAAGTCAAGGAGCGCATCAGGCTACCAGCAATGGTCATCTTCTCTTCTTAGTATAAATACTTACTCTTCTTCTTCAATTAGAATTCGGCAGTCTGTAGTGAGAGAAACAGGAGAGTTCTTCATCTACTTTGGGTCCATAAGTGTATTACTTTAGTAGCTTGACTCACAGTGTGTCATCTGGGTGAGTTAGGCTTGGGAAGTGGGTTGTTGTTTGAGAGTTTCAACGTGCCAACCTCGTTGGCATGGATTAGAGAGTTCCTGTATAAAACTTCTCTACTGTAATTTCCTTTTAAATTCAATAAATTATCTCTTCTTTACAATCTGTTTGAGAGAAGAAGAAGAGTCACCGGTCCGTTTTAGCAACTGCTTCCTTCCTCAGAGTCAACAAAATTGTCATCTCTAAGTATATGAAAATAAAAATTTGACATCCCCGATACCTATAGGAAGGCAATTTCTCTACTTTATAATGGTCACACTCTAAGCAGTTATACAACTTGAGACAACATTAATAAGATAGTGTAAGTCAGCCTCATTTGTACACGATATGTGACCATGTTAACAACATTAATGTACTTTTGCTGTGAAATTAGGCATGTCAATTTGGTATCAATACACGTATGGTATGAAGAAACCAATAAACAGATGGCACCCCCAAAAGCCTTACAACTTAGCTAGCACCATTGTACGTACACCATTAACAATCTGATTCTCATTGGAATTTCCCATTAATCTCGTCCATGTAAAGTCATTCATTGTAGTTGTACAACTAAAAAACGAGGACTGAAAACACTGCAGAGAAGTCCAAATGCGTAAGCCACGACTGAGATCACAGAGATGAAGTCTGAATAATGCAGAAATAGATAGCAAGACTGCACTTGACCATACGGCATTGCTACTACTACTACTTTTTGGTTTTAATTAATAGCGCTCTCTCAATCGGACCTTTTTGCCTGCTCAATAAATGCCCCTTAAACCTAAAAGGCCGATGGCTAGGGTTCTTCTCTGGTCGCCGGGTTTCTCTCCAAAGATAGGCCAGGAGGACACGTGATTGGGTGAGATGCTTCCATTTGTGCTCCACGTACCACACCTATGACCAAAAACATTCCCTACATACATAGACCAAGAAGAAGAAGAAGATGGGAGAAAGAAAGAAGCAAACGCCCTTTTGGGTTTTAATTCCGCTATCGACCTACAAGTTGTAAGCCAAATTAATAGCAGAAACTGACCTACCATGCAACCACAAATTGACTGCTGAACAATCCCAACTGGCAACTTCTACTGAGGTTGCAGGATTCCAAGGGAATGACAAGTCATAATGAAATCCCATTTCCGTCTGCCATGCCATGTATATCTTTTTCTAGGATAGCAATTTCCACCGGTCTTGTTTCATCAACCTATTTTGAGGTGGATATTACTAGCTCTGTATGCGGTGTATGGAAGGTAGGAGTGTTCTTCTCAACCTAATTTGTGCCGATTCGTCCCATTTTTGTCTCATTTATTTTACCTAAATTACATGTATTTTTTCTCAAATTACTTAAATTTTTACTTTTATTATCTCACATTATTTTTGTCTCACTTTACCTAAATTACATGTATTTTTTCTCAAATTACTTAAAAAATTTCACTTTTATTATCTCATATTTTAATTATAATGTTTTTTTAGGATAAGGTTGATATATGTTACTTTTTTGTTATTAGGTACTACTGAAACGATTCGAACCTGGGACCTCCAAGTTCAATACTAGTGGTATGACCACTAAACCAATCCCTTGTTCGTTATATAATGTTATAAATAAATAGGCGAGACCTTTAATTGCTCGAATAATTTAACAAAATTGATCGTAGTTTCTAAAATTTTTAATAATATTTCTAATGTTTTCCTTTCCTTTTATATTGCATACCCATTTAGATCGACCTATCCCGAGTTGTGGGATGCGCCCGTTGGTGGATCCAAAGATGAAAGGAGTGCCACTGTGTCGGGAAGAAAAAAGCTTAGCTTAAGAGATTTGAACCGAACAACCTGTGAATTTGACTTTTGATGCTCCTTGTATGAGTTTTATTGTTATAATACATTGAGAGGAACCGCCCCCTCGTCACTCTTCTTATGCCTTTTTTCCATCGTCACTTCCTACCGCACACTCGCTTCATCAACAGCCGGCTCGCTTGTTCGTTCATAACAGGACTGCTCATTTACCTGATTAAAGGGGAAGATTGGTACAGTAGTTGGCCGGTAGAATACCCGCAGAATTTACTCCTAAGCCCCAGTGTAACCCTAAGAATTATCTCTGGATACCCTAAGTATTATCTCCTAAGGTTTATTATGAGCCCGTAGGGCGAAGACGAGGGGAGATATTGAACGGAAGCACAAGAACAAGGGATTACTTGCTAATCCAGCGACTGCTGAAATACTTTAAAAAATAGATAAAGAAATTCAAAACATGGATAGCGACGGCAGCAAACCCTGGATGCCTTTTGGGAGCACCTGCCTCCCATCGATCCAGCGCTTGTGGCTGCAGCCATGCAACGGATCCGGGACCGCATTAGCGCTCTGGAAGACAGGAAACGGGCCCTCCTCCAAGAACATAAATACCTCATTGTGATTCACTCACCCGCAACCGGAGAGACTAGAATAAATTACTCAATTTGTTACAGAGCAAGAATCAGTATCGACATACCTGCACCATGTCATTCCTAATGGAAGATAGGTCCACACTGTTTTGGGAAGTAAAGGGTCTTCCATCCTTTTTGTTACAGCCAGTATCCCACTTGGACCGTTAGCAAATAGTTCAAAGAGGGGGGAAATAAAGGGAACCCACACGTACAATAAAGTGATTACAGCTTGATCAGGAACAAGATCCCTTCTTCAACTCAAAAACGAATAAACAAATGAATGGATGTCTAATCTGAAGAAATCTCCCCTGAGGTCGCCGAATTGGCAGACAGACACGGTTTCTTGAGCAGACAATTGGAAGTATATGGAACTCGAACCCACACCATGATGGCATGTGATCACTCTCATCAGCAGCTTTGATCAGTACCTCTCTTTTGGTTTGATGGGATCCACACATTATACCAGTGGGTGGTGAAACTGTGTACGAAGGGAAATATGGCTATGGCTGGCCCCGTCTCACAGTCCTTTGCCACCAAAAGCAAGTGCTTGAATAAAAGGGTGGAAAGGCCCAAAGCCGTTTTAGGATACTTCCTTTTTCCCTTCTCTGTTTCACATGACGGCTAGTTCCATTGCACTCTCTGGCATTTCACATTTGGGATCTGTCTCTGCATCTTGACAGCCATTTTTTGCTTTTAACAAACATGCACATGCGGGTAGGAGGTCCGGTCATTCTCTTACTCAGTGACTGGAGCCTGCCGAATTGCGCGCTCGCTTGGTTCATTGTAGGTATCTGCAGATGAAAGCGAAGAGTGTATTAATGGCGGGAGATGAAAGATCAGCACAAATTTGAAGGAAAGGAGATGGGATTATTCAACAAATTTTGTCTAACAAGTTGACTCAGGTGGATCAGAGACCAGTTAGCCAATAACACATAACAGCTGGGTCCGGAGGTATTACTTACTACACATAATAGACAGGAGTCACATCGTTTTCTAACTGCAAGATTCCTGACAAGGCAAAACACTCGAAGTATAAAAATCATGAAACCTAAACCACAGAAAATTAAGCACTCGTATCCAATGGGTATTAAGCTAGAGAAAGAAAAAGGAAGACGTTGAAATACATATTGTTTATGGACAGAGGAGCGTTTTTGGTAATGTGACATCAATGACAAAATTGTCATGCTGGTCTCTAGAAAGTCTAGATAATAGATACGCTAGTTGAGTTAGGTCAGGCTTGACCGCTTTTTTGAAGAATAATTTGCGCCTAAACAAATATTTAAGTATAGAACTGAAGACCTCAAAAGTCCACTTTACGTGCTTGCTTACTTTAAGCTATTCACAATGTTCACAAAACCCCCTCAATGGCTCCAACTAGTGGTTAGGATACAGGAACCAGGACAAGAACTCCAATAGTTTGTCAACGAATTACTCTTGAGGAGGAATAAGTACTAGTGATGAACATCTAAGTTCCATCTACCTCTGTTTGCCAGGTGATGAAATCGGGAGCTCAATGTGTAAGAAGCAGTTGGCCCAATTGGAATCCTAAGCACTAGAGGTATAACAACTTAAGGACAACAAGGAAATGATGCACATACCGGAATTGGCTGACAATGGTAGTTTTTTCAGTTCAGCGACTTAGATGCTTTGACAGAACAGGAATATGCTTCACCTGAACCTTAACATGTCAACCTGTGAGCCACAGGCCAGGGAGGAACTATTTGAATGGCGCTATTGGCAAGCAGCTTCAGCCTGTGGCAAGTTAAGACTAGAAGATACGTTTTACTCATCTCACAGTAACCAACGGAAGATAGACTGATGGTACCTGCAATGTTCAAGTCAATAAAAGAGATGGGAGTTGATAGCTTATCAACCGTTTGACTTAATCTAACATACACTATGCAATATCAATTATTATTTAGGGCAAAGTTCTCAAACTCACTGGACTTGGGGGATCTGCAACTTCCCTTGCAGTCACTAGGTATGGCCTCAAGAAGTAGTTTGATGTCTCTGACTGTAAAAGAGAAAACCGACAATGAATCATGTACTGCTGCAGCCAACAATGATAACCAGGTATACTTGTTATATTTTGTTTGCAGGACAAAGGGCACTCAGCAATGAACTATCTCTGGCTAATGTTAGAACTTAGAAGGTAGCTTTTACTTGACGAGGTATCAGATTCTTTTGCCCATGGTCCTCAGGAAATAGATGAAATTCTCATCATAAACACGCAAATAGGATTCTGCAGCAACTATTTAGGCCTGGAATTCAATTTTCCAATTAGTATTCATTTCCAACTAAGATTTAGAAGTTGAATGACAACGAGTAAAAGGTTAATGACAAGTATGACAGAATAAATTGCATCATATTGCTTACAGTCAAACCCCCAACTAAAAATATTAGGGAACGAAGACAGGTGTTCATTTTAACTATCTCTAAACTACTCTGAATTCAGACTGCACATACTCTTATACTTCTTCGTGCAGTTTCCCAGTGCTTTACTTAACATTCTTTCCTCACTCCCACACCTAAAACCCTGACATCATAGAGGGAAAGCCCATTGTTAAGAGACTAAAGTATTCCCAGACCTGTTATTTCTAAGTCATTAGATACCAACAAATCATAAACCTTATCATAAAATAGAAGCTTGTAATGTATAATTAATATAATCACTGCATAATGACATTACAGTCTACCTGCTAATATTACAGAGTCCAGCACCTGCTTCTGATTTCATGGAACACCAATAGGCAGCATCACTAGACAAAATGTGTGTCCAAGCTAGAAAAGAGAGAACAAAGGGACGACTAAGTTAACTGCTCCTGGATATTCTGAACAAAATTGATTTTTCGGATGCTTAAAATCAGAGGTTAAACCTGTGTCACCTTTATAATACGTCCTTGAAGGATAGTGCGCTGAGAGGATACACTGAAGCCACTTTGCTATATGTGCCATTTACAATGTTCACATTGAAGCCTCTGAATGTATGGCATTGACTAGTGTCTCAGCAACATTACTATCAAGTGTAAATCCTTTTTCCATCATCTGATCCCACAATCTACAAGCAACTGAAATTTTCTTGTCCTTGATGAGGCCTTTGATAAGCAACTTGTATGTCACTTCATCAGGATAGCATCCCTTATTCTGCATGTCACAGTACAAATCCGTGGCTTCATTTAGTCTAGAACATCTGCAGTATCCATCAATAAGAGCATTGTACGATACTACATCTGGCACAATGTGATGCTCCACCATATTTGAGAAAACACCATGAGCTGCCTCAACTTTCCCGCTTTTGCAGAGGTGATCAATGATAGAAGTATAAAATATACGATCAGGAACCAGAGCCATTCCTGTCATCTGATCAAGAAGTTCCTTGGCTACATCTGAACTACCTTCCTGTAGGAACGCTCTTATGAGTACTGTGAATGTCACTGTATCTGGTGCGATCATTTTCTGCTGCATTTCTTGAAATAGCGAAAAAGCCCTTCTATTTTGTCTACACTTGCAAAATGCCCCAATTATAGTGTTGTAAGAAGCAACATCAAAAAAACCTTTCGGTTCCAACTTATTCACCAGGAACAAATAAGCTTTGTCCAACCGATTAATTTTACAAAGTCCCTTAAGATACTGGTTATAAGTATATACATCAGGTTCTACCCCACTGTTCTTCATCTGCTTCATCAACATCTCTGCCTCAGCCAGCAAAATCTGATCACAATAATAATTCAACAACACATTATATGTAACTACATCTGGCACACACCCATTCTTCATCATAAATGATTTAATTGCCAGTGCCTTATCAATCTTACCCGCTTTGCAGAACCCATTAATCAAAGCATTATAAACCAAGGCAGTAAACTCAACCTGACCACTATTCATCCAACCAACGATTAGCTCGTAGGCCAAGTCCACTTTTCCTCCCCCACACAACCCAATCACAAGGGCTGCACAAGCCTTATTATCTGGTTTAAACCCTTTACTTATCATCTCATTCCAAAACTGAGCTGCTCTGTCGAAATTATTCACTCGACACATCCCGTCGATCAAAATTGTGTATGTTACAACGTCGGGCAGTCTCCCTCTACTAGCCAATCTATCAAACACCTCTAATGCTAGTTCTGCCTTACCTTCACGAAACAAAAGATTCAAATAAATATTAAACGCCCAACTATCGGGCAACCGCTCAAGTCTCTCCATGTCACGCAACAGTTCATCGGCGAGAGCAAAGTGCATAACTTCACACAACCTGAAGATGAAGCGGGAGTAAGTGAACGCAGACAGGGCGTAACCCAGGGGCGCCATCTTGGAGTAGTAATCATGGGCCAAGTCGAACCGTCCGTGACGAATCAAAACTCCCATGAACCTATTGTAATCGACGCTGAAGAAGGGGCAGGCCGACCGAGTCAATTCGTCGAACACCTGGACTGCGTTGTCGATGAGACCCATTTTGACGTAGCTGGCGATACGGGCGCGGTAGACGAGGCGTTGGACGCCCAGGGAACGATACATGTGTCGGAGCCGATATGCATAGCAGTTGGCTGAACGGCGACGACCTCAGTGGGCAGTCTTGGCCGTGGAGGATCTCGCAGCGGACATGGCGAAAAACGTATAAGCCAGCAGCAGGTAAATGAATTGAGAATGGCGCAGCGAAGGTGAAACTAAACGCCCTTGAAGGAAATGAATTAGATAGAGATGGAAATGGTGAAGCCAAGCAATGGAGTTGGTTTCGGCGAGGCGAGGGAGAGTGGAGTGGAGTGGAGTGGAGTGGAGTTAGGAAGAGAAGAAGACGGAGAGCTCGCGCACAAGGAATAGAAGTGAAGAACTAGGGACTTCTGACTTCTGAGACGAGAGTGAGCGGCGTAATGAAAGGACATTGCAGTTGGAAATGGGCCGGTCCAGTAGCGGTCCATCATGGGGTGACTCTCGGGCATGAATTCTTCGATTTCATCTTGGCCCAAAATAAGAACTACCCAGCAAACTATCGATCCAATCCGGTATGTTTCCTCTGAGAATTAACGAAATAAGCCGGTGAAAGAAGAGAACGACGAAGCAAGCTTGATACAGAAGAAGCTCTGTATGTGGACCTTAGCGTCTTATTAGTCTGCTCTGTTATGAATTATTACACGAAAGTCAGGTTAAAGAGAAAAACCAGGAAGTGAGCCAAGAGCTCTGTTTCATTGTTTGATCAACAATCTACTACAAAACAACAGCATCCCAATAATAGGTTACACTTGCTTAAGACACAATTCCAAGATACTAGAACAAAAACATACTCCTACTGCAAAAAAGAAGACTTGCTGCCACCAAAATCACAGTTAGAGCGATGCTGATTGCAACTTTTTACTTCTCTGCTCCAGCAGGGCCACATCAAAGAAGTCCTGAAGCGCCATCACATCAAAAGGACGCGTCGCCACGCTCTTAATCGCCTCAGCAGTTGCCAGAGCACCTGCAACCGTCGTGATTATTGGAACCTTGTATGCAAGGGCCATCCGTCTCAGCTGTCTGCCATCAATCTGGTCCAGGGCATCACCCGAGCTAGTGATCACAGTCAGATGAATATCCCCATTCGCCAGCATGTCACCTGCGTGTGGGCGCCCTTCATGCATCTTCAACACTCTCTCCACAGGGATACCTTTCAGCTCAAGAAAGTGAGCCGACCCAGAAGTGGCAATGATCTTGAACCCTAGTTCTATGAACGCTTTAGCCAGCCTCTCAAGATGTGGTTTTGTCAAGTCGTTGAGGCTCAAGAAAACCGTCCCTGACAAAGGCAGCTTCTGCCCAGCAGCCAACTGTGCCTTTGCAAAGGCAACAGCCACCTGAAAATCGATCCCCATCACCTCTCCTGTACTTCTCATCTCAGGTCCTAACACTACATCACAACCTGCAAACTTCTCGAACGGAAGCACTGCTTCCTTTACAGCAACATGTGAAGGGATCACCTCTTTAGTAAAGCCCAGGTCATGGAGCGACTTCCCAGACATGACAAGAGCAGCATATTTAGCCAACGGATGACCAATCGTCTTGGAGACGAAAGGGACAGTTCGAGAGGCACGGGGATTTGCTTCCAGCAAGAAAACATCTCCAGCTGCAGTGATTGCATACTGGCAGTTCATCAACCCACACACTTTTATACGTTTAGCCAATTTCTCTGTCCATGTCCTTATTGTTGTTAAACATGATGACGAGATAGTCTGTGTGGGGAGAATGCAAGCTGAGTCACCAGAGTGGACCCCAGCCTGCTCGATGTGCTCCATGATCCCACCAATCACCACGTTGCCATGAGAATCTGCAAGGGCATCGATATCAATCTCGACAGCATCTGAGAGATACTTATCAACCAAAACTGGCCGCTCAGGGTCCACCTCCACCGCATTTTCGAGGTAAGTAATGAGTTTTTCATCACTATACACAATCTCCATCGCTCGGCCACCTAGGACATATGAAGGTCTGACGACGACAGGATAACCAATCTCTGATGCGATTGAAAGAGCATCAGCTTCGCTCTTGGCAATGCCACCTTTGGGCTGCTCGATCTGTAACTCTTTGAGAATGGCATTGAACCTCTCTCTGTCCTCAGCAGCATCAATGTTATCAGGTGTTGTGCCCCAGATGCGAACAGGCCCAGCCCCACTAGCTGCCATTGGCTTATTCTCGTCCAAGTATTGCTGAATAGGCAGAGCCAGCTTTAGTGGGGTTTGACCTCCAAACTGGACAATTATGCCATCTGGTCGTTCCAGATCGATAACATTCAGAACATCTTCAACTGTCAAAGGTTCAAAGTACAGACGATCACTTGTATCATAATCCGTTGACACAGTTTCGGGATTCGAGTTCATCATTATAGTCTCATATCCTGCATCCTGTATAAGAGACAAACATGTGTAAGGGATCATAAGGCAATGCTACAAATCTTTGAGTAGTTAGTAAAGAGTACACTTTGAGGAACATCGTAATGCAATAAATCTACCAAGAGTGAGATATATCCTTTCATTCTTGTCCAACATAAATAAAAAATGCCAAATACAGTGATGACTGTGGCCATATGCAGTTCAAACATACATCCAAATGACCCTTTAAAAAAAAAAAAAAACATACATCCAAATGACAGCAAAAATTGGTTCTCTTATACAGTTTAGAAAGAGTGGAAAATGACGAACCTGGAGGGCAAATGAAGTGTGGCAACAGCAGTAATCAAATTCAATACCCTGACCAATACGGTTCGGGCCACCACCTAAAATCAAAACCTTTTTCTTTGAAGTAGGAGTTGCCTCACACTCAGCATCATATGATGAGTACATATAAGGAGTATCAGCCTCAAACTCCGCAGCGCAGGTGTCCACTCGCTTATATGCTGGACTAATACCAAATGACAACCTTTGCTCTCTAACTTCCTTCTCTGTTGACTTAGTGGCAAATGCTATCTGTCTGTCACTAAAACCGCGCTTTTTAACCTCATACAAATCATCCTTTGTTAAACCAGACAAGCTCTTGGACATGAGATATTGTTCCACATCAACCAACTCCTTAAGCTGAGTGAGGAACCATTTGTCGATGAAACTCAATTCATGAATCTCATCCACTTTCATTCCCTTCTTCATTGCTGCATAAACAGAATGGATCCGGTTTGGGTTTGGAACTCGTAGATTGTATTTCAATTGGTCCCAATCCCATTCGAGTTCCTTGATATGTGAACAACCCCATCCCGGGTAGCCACACTCCAAGCCCCGAACAGCTTTCTGAAATGATTCTTGAAATGTGCGGCCCATCGCCATGTCTTCACCAACAGATTTCATCTGCGTTGTGAGTATTGGTTGGGAACCTGGGAACTTCTCGAATGCAAATCTAGGTATCTAATAGAAATTAAAAAAAAAAAACAAATGATATCAACTCATTAGTCTTTGAGGTACATGAGTTTTCTTAATGAGAAACAGAGGAGCAGAAATAAGAGCATTGTACAAGACCATGTTTGTTTAATTTGGTTCTCGTAGTTGAAAGAGAAGTCACCACAGGCCAGCCCATACTGATTTACATTAAACAGTTCTACTAACTGGCACCTTACAAAATTTCCATAACCTATTTTAGTCAACAATGTAACTTAAAGTGTCAATTAACAAAGACCATGGATAGAAAACTAGAAGCTAAGCCATGACTTTTTATACTATCAAGCCTATTGAATGATGGAATACAGAACAAATTATTATAACAATAAGCAGGAACTGATTTACCTTAGTAACCACATAATCAATTGAAGGCTCAAAGCTAGCAGGCGTCTTCTTTGTAATATCATTGGGGATCTGGTCCAGGGAGTACCCAACAGATAATTTAGCCGCCATTTTGGCAATGGGAAACCCAGTAGCCTTGGAAGCCAGAGCCGACGACCTCGACACCCTAGGATTCATTTCGATCACCATAACCTCCCCGTCAACAGGATTAACAGCAAACTGCACATTAGACCCTCCACACTCCACCCCAATCTCCCTTATAATCTTAATCGAATAGTCTCTCAGCCTCTGGTATTCCTTATCCGTCAGAGTCTGAGCTGGGGCCACAGTGATTGAATCTCCAGTATGAACACCCATGGCATCAATATTCTCAATCGAGCAAATAATCACAACGTTATCAGCCAAATCACGCATCACCTCCAATTCATACTCTTTCCATCCAAGCAACGACTTCTCCACCAAAACCTGCGTAGTCAAGCTCGCATTCAGCCCCGCCTTGCAAATAGCCTCGAACTCCTCCTTATTGTAAGCAATACCACCACCAGTCCCGCCCAAAGTAAAAGCCGGCCTGATGATCAACGGGAACTCCCCAATTTCCTGAGCAATCTCAATACACTCATCCAGCGTAGTCCCAATCCCAGAAGGCGGCGTCTTGATCCCAATATTCTTCATCGCCTGCTTGAAAAGATCCCTATCCTCCGCCTTCTTGATAGCTTCCAGCTTCGCTCCAATCAACTCCACATTGTACTTATCCAGCGCACCGCTCTCCGCCAAGGCGACGGCGAGGTTCAGCGCAGTCTGGCCACCCATAGTCGGAAGCAGCGCGTCGGGCCGCTCCTTCTCGATGATTCGCTCCACCACCTCGGGCGTCAGCGGAGCCACGTAGGTCCGGTCCGCCAGTTCCGGGTCGGTCATGATTGTAGCCGGGTTCGAATTGATCAGCACGACCTCGTACCCTTCCTCTTTCAGCGCCTTGCAGGCTTGAGTCCCCGAGTAATCGAACTCGCAAGCTTGCCCAATCACAATCGGCCCCGCGCCGAGTATCATAATCTTTTTGATATCGGTCCTTTTCCCGACCTTCGCCGCCGCTTCAGCAGCCGCCGCCTCCGTCGAGCTGCACCGCACAGCGACCAACTTGCTGGGCCTCCTCGAGTGGCGAATCGGCCGGCGGTGTCGGCATGGCTGGAGGTTCAGAGAAGAGAAGCTGCCGTTTGTGTGAGAGAAGGAGAAGGCGAAGTTTCCGGGGCCGGGAAGACGACGGTCGGTGGAGGTGCGCAGGAGAGAAGTGGAAGACAGAGCTTGGCAGCGGTTCAAGCAATGGCTGCTCATTGTTATTTGCGTGTGTTCGAATTGATTAAACTCAGAGAGATACACGAAATAAAGCTATACACACATATATATATTGTATGGATTGACAAGGGATCGGACAGTTGATTTTGCAGAAGGAGAAGAAAGGAGAGCAGCTCAGTGATGGTGAGGGGAGTGGCGAAACGGTTTTGTCGGTCTGGGTGATAAAATGAAGAGGGAGGGAGGTGGCGCAAATTAGGGTTTATGCAGACTTTGCTGAGGCAATGCTACGCCTGCGAGGGCTGCGAGCAGCCAGCGTGATACGGGTTATGCCCAGCCCGACCCGTATACAATTTGTCCTTTTCCCTGCCGCGGGAAAGCGGGTGGGTTCAATTATCACTCTCAAATCTCAATCGTAGGTCACCTAGCTATGAATGACAAAAACGACTTAACCAACAGTCAATCTAACCAAGTAGATTGTTCCGATTTTGGCTACGTTCCATCCGCATTTCCCTATTTGAATTTAATTTGGAAAAAAAAGTACATCAAACCGGCATATTTAGGGTTAATTCCCTGAATATTTTTTTTTTAATTTATCACGAATATAGTGGTTTAAAAATTATTTACAAGAATATTGTGTTTTTTGGTATGTTTAAAGGGCTAAAGCCTTAGACTCAGGCGCGGCCGCTAGGTGCTGTTTTTTCAAGAAAATACAGCGGCGGCGCCCGAGACTGGGGCTTTGTCGCTAAAAAATAAGTAAAAGCGGGGGCGCCCCAGACTGGGGCTTTGTCGCTGCCTTTTTCTTCCACTCCAGCACCACCCATCACCATATATGCACCTTTCCTTCGGTTCTTCACCACCAAAAAACTGAAAGAAGTTCCGAAAGAAGCTCTGGTGTTGTTGTCTGGTTGCTGGGAAGATGGCTAATAATAGGTAAGAGACGTATTTATTTTTTTTAATGTATTCATCATAATGATTTTGTCCAGTTAGTAATTAGTGAGTTTGTTTTTTATGTAGTGGTTTTAGAAGATTTGAACTAGCTGTTCGGTGGAAATCAGAGAAAGTAGAGGACAATTTGGGTGTCCATTTTGTTGGTGGTGTAAGTTTTCGGATGACTATTCCATCCAGGGTGAACTATCAGAAACTTTGTGATAATCTAATTCGGAGAATACAGCGTAGAGACGAAACAGTACAAGATAGTGTTGTGATTACAGGTTTCACTTACTGTCTTCCAGAATGGCAGAATGGTGTTTTATTTCATTATGCAATGCCTATTGTCGATGATGATAGCTTAAATGTGCTTTGGAATTTTATGATACAAAATCCTTATTGTTTGGGTGCTGAGATACATGCTAAGCTCAGTGAGGATCGGGGTGGAGAGGAAGAAGATGACACATGGAGCATGCCATCCGATCATGACTATGATGACGGAGAGGAGGAAGACGATGATGATGATGATGAGGAGGAGGAGGAGGACGACGACGACGACGACGACGGGGGAGGGAGGGAGGGAGGAGAACAACCTAATTATCCTCCATATTTTTACTTGCAGGGTAATGAAGAGGACATGGAATTATCATATGCTGATTCATATGGCGTAATTCCAGGGTCTATTGTTGGTGGTTTTGATGGAGAATTCTACAAGGGGCAAATATTTCACTCGAAACAAGCTGCACAGGTGGCGATTAAACACTATGCACTACAACGCAACTTTCAGTATAACGTGGTGGAGTCGTCACTTTCAATCTGGAAGATCAGATGTTTGATGCACAAGGAGGACAAATGTCCTTGGATGGTGCGGTTTGGATGTCGAGATGTGGGAGGCGATTGGAGCGTGAGAAAGGCCGAGTTGGTGCATACTTGTAGCAGTACGACTCAACCGACGGATCATCGCCATCTTGATGTCGACGTTATATCTGAGTCCGTGAAACAGTTGGTACGTGCTCAACCAAATTTGCGTGTTCTAACTGTGAAGGCCAAGTTGAAAGATAAGTTTAATATGCAAGTTACTTACAAGAAGGCTTGGTATGGGAAACAAAGAGCATTGGAGAAGTTGCATGGAAATTGGGAAGAATCCTACGATTTTTTGCAAACATTCTTGCGGGTGGTCAAGAGAAAAATGCCAACATCGGTGATTGATTGGGTAAGAGTTCCTTCGACTCAACCAGGTCATTCGATATTTCAGCGAGTATTTTGGGCTTATGGACCTTGTATAGATGGATTCAATCATTGTCCAGGCGTCATGGTTGTTGATGGAACATTTCTTACTGGGAAGTATAAAGGAGTGCTACTCATGGCGAGCTCATTTGATGGCCGGAAGAAGATTTTTCCAATTGCATTTGCCATAGTGGAGAGTGAGAATACTAATAGTTGGCCATGGTTCATAAGTCACGTTCAAGGTTTGACTGATCAAAATGATGTATGCATCATCTCAGATAGACATGCAGGACTCTATGAAGCCATGAATAACATCGGAAGAGGTTGGGAGTGGAGATGGTGCATGCGACACTATGCAAGCAATTTGCAAAGGAAGACTAAAAGCATAATTATGTATAATCAACTATTTCGATTCGGTAAGCCTTCTTCATTTAATTTTGTTATTTATTTTCATGTAATTTTGTCATGAATTTATCTAACCCGTGTGGTTATTTATTTTGTTAGCCGGAGAAAACGCTTGGAGAAGTTCGATCGTCAAGTTGAGCAATTTAAGAAGGTGGCCACTGATAGAAATATTTCATGTGATAACTGGGTCGACCAACATCAAATTCGTTGGAGTTTAGCACATGATAACTACAATGGTGGGCGTCGTTGGTAGGGATGGCAACAAAACCCGAACCCACGGGTACCCACCCGACCCAACCCGGTCAACGCGGGTAAAATCCGTGTTGACGGGTTTTGGGCCGGGTTTGGGTTTTAACCCGTTCACTATTCACCGGGTTGGCTTGGGTTTAGGTAAACCAGACCCATGGGTACCCGCCCACACCCATATAATAATTTTCTTGGTATATTTAATATTCTAAACAACTAATCTTATTTATGTTTGTGGAGACATGTCTAATTTTTTCTTTCTAATTGTGTAGAATGAAGTTGATGTTATCGAGTGGAGAGCGAAGAAACTTAATTGAAAGGAAGAAGCTTTCAATTAATCATGTTATTTAATGATAATTTGTGATTTGCTTCAATTTTCTTGAGTTTTCTAGATTGGTGTTGAACAATTTGTATAGTTAATTTGTGATTTGCTTGTATTTTCTAGAATGGTGTTTTATATATGGATAATTTGTATTGAGAGATTGATATTTGACTTTAATTTTGATAAGAACTTGTTATAGTAAATTTTTTACGACAAAAACCCGTGGGTACCCATGAACCCGCGGATACCCAGCGGGTTGGGTTGGGTTTGAGTTTTTCAAACCCAGTGGGTTTTACCCCGGGTTTTTTTCAAGGATAAACCCACAAGTTTGGGTTTGGGTGTGGCAAAACCCGATCCAACCCGACCCATTGCCATCCCTAGTCGTTGGTCTATCCTGACATCCAACATGGCAGAAAGCATCAATGGTGTTTTCAAAGATATTCGTGCACTTCCTATAGCTTCTCTTGTGCAACATACCTATTGGCGATTGGTGGAGAAATTCGATAAGATGAGGTTGGAGACGGGAGCAGAAATTATAAGAGGCGCACAACAGTATTCCACCAAGTGCGAGGAGCTGATGCAGCCGTGGAGACAAAAGGCAGTTGGACATTCCGTGTCAGCAATGGATCGACGTCAAGGCATCTATGTAGTTCAGACTCCTCCCAACAATTTCAACATGACGGGGTCAAACACACTCACAGTGTACTTTGACGACCCCAACCGCACGGGATTTCTCACGCTAGTGAAGAAGATGTCGTCATCTGTAGCGCCGATCTACCCATCTCATGGTACAAGTAGGATAGCACAGCTGCTCCCCAAGCAAACCTCCCCGCTTTGCGCCAATCCTCCACCAAAAGTAGGTACTGCAGGTGAACTGAACCTCCAGACCGATCGGAGAACAAGACACCTCCCATAAGAGACAGCGCATACGCTCTTGCAAACTGCTCTGTCATCTGGGGTGATGCAGAAAGCGGTAGCTCATCGAAAGTCTCCCTGAGCCAAGCAATCCGGATGACGCTGCCATCAAGATCAGTAGGAGCCTGTCCTAACAGTCGAAGACACATAGCCGACCAGTCCTCGTCTGGTATGTCTACTACGACGACATCACCGTCGATCGCTAGACCGGTCAGTGTCGCAACGTCCTCTAGGGTGATCGTAATTTAATCTAATTCTATTCGTAATTTAATTTAATTCTATTTTATTCTATTATATTATTCAGCTGGTAAAAAACTATAGAAATAGTTTGAAAACTTACCTCATTTGCCCAAACTGCGTCAATACGATGGTGACCATGCCCCCAAAGAAGTTTCGGATCCACCGGAGCTGTATCGATTGTCGCAGGTGGTGGTCTCATCGAACAAGGATCGATAAGCCTAGGATCTGGAAAAAAATTAGAACATAAAAAAATTTGCCGCCGCCGACGAGACTCCGACCACCGCCAACTTACTCCTGTAGCGTTCGCCGCCACCGCCGCCACGACGCCCTCGGCCCCTTCCTCTGCCGGGCGCCTGCTGCTCGTCGTCGGACATGGCGGTGAGAAGCAGATTTGCTGCGATGACGCTCTTGTTTAGGCGCCTTCGTCGGGGGGTGAGCGTGGCCGCCTGAGACTGAGGCAGCGCCTTCTTCTTCTCGGCGTCGCCACTCTCTCTTTTGGCGTCATCGCTGTCGGGGAGGTGAGGGAGAAGGGGAGAGGGCCAGTGTGTGGTGTGTGGTTTTGGCGAGAGTGGCGAAAAAGGGGATAAGAAAGAAAAGGTTCAAAAATTTCAAATAGCGTCAACGCCTAAGACTCAGGCGCCGTCGCTGCCTTCCCCCCTCCAAAACACAATATTCCTGTAAATAGTTTTTAAACCACTATATTCGTGGTAAATAAAAAAAAGACTATATTTTGAGAATTTACCCGCATATTTACCGCATTTATACCAATTATTTCCAATTTATGCTCTTGCCATAAACAATTTTTTCTTGTCGCTAAGAAAATCATAAAGGACGAATAAAATTTGTTGAATAAACTATAAAATAACATCACCATGCCCCTCTATTCAAAATACTTATGATCAAGAGGATGGAAAATCTGGGGAAAAAAAGTTTATGGGACCACTAATTTCCTTTACTAGTCGACCGATGGTTTTATACACTATAGTGGTGAAGGACATTAACTTTTTTGTAAGCTTTTACATGTAGTGGTCATGTTCACTTTTGCCTTTGTTCTTTATAAGTGTTCCTCATTCATCGTTGTCGTACCCAGGGATATGAGAAACTGTTTTACGTGGTTTCTTTTGGTGATGCCTTGATCACTAATTAGAGATGCGACTCAAGTCATCTGCGCAACTTTTTTGAATTTCGTATTATTTTATAAAATTTTAAGTATGTTTCGAGCTCTTTCGATTTTAAAAAGAAGCAGACAAACAATTCATTCAAAAAATTTAGACATGATCTTGTATCGTTGGATCGATCCGCACCGCTAATAAATAATGTTAATTGGTCTATTGTAGTGAGTTCTCAATCTTATCTTCCTGTTATAAATCATCTATGGGACAAAAGGCATGCAGTCTGGTGACTTTATATACTCTGCACGCGGGTGGAATTTGTGAGCTTTGGTGATTCGAAATGTGAACACAGAGGCAAAAACAGGGCGGATTCATTCGGCCGAACGCCTTATGATTGGGCCTCTTGGGTCGGTAGCAGGAGTTGCTACTGTCACAACTTTTGTCGGCCAACAAAAGTTTATCACGTTCATAGTGAAGTGATACGTGCCATTGGGAACTGGCCAGCCCAATTGTTTTGGGCATTATCTTCTTGGGTGTCTGGGCTTACTCTATGGCCCAACATTAGGTTAAGACATTAAGGTGCACCAGAGAATCTCAATCACGGGCTCCATTCTGTTGTTCCTTCTCGCCCTAGTTTTCAGTTTTTCACCCATTTTCCGTCTACTAATTTGCCTCAAGTGATCATTCAAATAGTGAAGTTCACCAATTAAAACAAAACCCCACGAAAAGGGTGAACATAGTTCGACGAAAAACCGTAAGAAGGACCGACAACAAGTTATGTCAAATGCACTGATCCTTCTGTTCTGATCCCATAATTCATTTAACTAAAGTGACAAAATCAACACTAACAGACTGTTTGGTACCAAATGAATCGAGAATTCATTTCAGTGTATACTGAATTACCGTGTAGAATTCATTGTCAAATGAAATCTTGTGTTTGGTATGTCATATTCAAATCTTTAGAAAGAAAATGAATTGACGTGTATAATTCATTGTCAAATGAATTCCTGTGTTTGGTATATCATATGTATAAGTAATTTAGTTAATAAAAGAGTAATTTAGTAAATACTTGTGGAATTCATTTGGAAATTCCATCTCAATTCTTTGGAATTGCTATAACTAGTTCCACTTCCGTAGAATTCCAAATTTAAAATTGAAAATGAATTCTTTTAAATACCAAACACAAAAATAATTCATTTCAAAATGAATTCTTCAAAACTTATGGAATTCATTTATACCAAACGGTATGTAAATTGATTTAAAAAAAACACTCTTTCTACTTTTTATCTTTTCCCTCCCAACCTATTGTAATGTTTCCCACGCAAAACCCAAAAAACACACATTTCTCCCCTAACTCACCCACTTTTTTCTACCAATCATGGTGGATGGTATTAAAGATTAATACATTAAAGTGCACCAGAGAATCTCAATCATGCTCCATTCTGTTGTTGCTTCTCACCCTAGTTTTCACCCATTTCCTTCTACTAATTTTGCCTCAAGTGACCATTCAAATAATGAAGTTCACCAATCAAAACATAAGCCCACGAAAAGGGTGAACAGAGTTCGACGATAGTCGATCGAAAGAAGGACCAACAACCAGCAAGGTTCATGTCCAGTGCTTCAGCTTCCATTTATCAAGAGTACCAATTATAGTCCTATTAATTAACTCAATAGCTGATCTTCTGATCCCACAATTAAACCTGTTCATCATAATCACCTAGAGATCAAGTTTTTCGATCTCCAGCTGCAGAACATCCCGCTCCTTCCTTAAGGAACGTAATCCCTTTGCTCTCATCTCCATTTTTTTCGAGCCCTCCATACGTACGACGATTCCAATCCGAATATTTGCGTACAGTTAACAGAAGAGATCGATCTAGCTACGAGTAAGGAAACAACAGCAAGAAGTGTCGCGCGCCTTCAGCAAAAACAACACTTGGCGAGAGGGGGCTTCGCTAACCTGGGAGATCGTCTGACACCCTCACGATTCACAGCAACATCTACATAAACAAATCACAATCAATACTACATTTTCTTAATTAACTTAGCCCAACACGAAAAAGGAAGAAAAATTTAACGACTAGCCCTACCCACCTTTTGGCTTCCTTTTCTTGCTAGCTAGAGATCCTGCATGCAAAAAGAAGAAGCATACTAATTAGAAACTAGACCGATCATTATTCGAACAGAAACTTATAAAAGAAAAGCATGCATCATGTGTTTTCAGTAAATTGAAATAACCTAGGCCGGGGGTAGTATCGTCATCAGCCTCCCCGGATTTGACTACTCCAGCAGAATATTGTTGACTGCCGCTGCCGCCGGGGAGATTATTCAGTGCCGCCGCCGCCGATCTCTTGGAGCGGAGTTCAGCACAAAGCTGATCGAGTTCCACGCACACATTGTGCGAGTAAATTGAATAACCTGGGCCAGGGGTAGTAGTAGTATGGTCATTGGCAGCATATTCGGATTCGACTACTCCGGCTGAAAGTTGACTACTACAGCTGCCGCTGCCGCCGGGAAGAATCAGTGCAGCCGCCGGTCTCTTGGAGCGGAGATCGGCGCAAAGCTGATCAAGTTCCACGGTCACGTTGTCAAACTGTATTATCAGCGACTCTTGGAGCCTGTGTTGATCTGAGGTTATTGCAGCCTCTTTCACCAGAGCAACCTTTGCATCTATTTTCCCACTTATCTCCTCTTCTAGCTTACGGATCTCCCTCGTCGTTATAATGCCACCATGGTTATTATCGTCATCATCAGCTTCGTCTTTGATTGGAAGAGTATCCTTTACTGAAGAAGACAATAATAATATTCCATAAACAAAACCAAAAAAAACTCCATAGTTGCATTTTTTTTAGGCATGCAATTATCCATACGCCTCAAAGAAGAAGAATCCGCACTTTACACGGTTAAGGGAAGCTCAATCAAGTGATTAAGAACTCGTTTTTATCACATAACCTGCCTAAGCTTGGAGTACCTCTGTGGATCGATGGCGTACGTACGTACCTCTGTGGGCGGCTCGGTAGTTCGAAAGCGCAGGGTCGTCGCTTCGGAGGAGATCCATGGCTGCCTGGCGAATCTTTCTCTTCAGAATGGTCAGGCAGGAGTCAACGATCTCAATTTCAGTTTCGATGGCAGTCGTTCTATCGCTCCAATAGATGAACCTCTTCATCCGGAATACAGCATCAAAATCAGCTGGAACGGTTTTGCCGAAGGCGCGATTTTCCTCTTCCATCTCCAGCAGCAGCGCATCGCGCTTCTTCAAGTTCTGGACGTAGTCCTTTGATCTCATCTCCATTTCTCTCTTGCTCGGGGGTTCCAGTACAGATTAGAAGGGGATGATAGGGGGAATTGAAGAAGCCCTAATTACCGGTGGCGGAGTTGCCGTCGAATCTTCGGCGCTGCCCGGCGGCGCCTTCAGGCTTGTTCTCCTTCTCTTTTCAACTTTTCCCTCCCGTGTACATGGGTAACCGGTAGGGCTTCGGTTTAAGTTGCCCTAGGAGCGCCTCTAAAGCGCATTTCCCCTTTACGACCATTTTTGATTAATAGACCTCAATTATTAGAAATTAACAAACGTATTCTTATATTATATTTTTTTCACAAACGTACCATTTTAATATTATAATAAAGTAGTGAAAATATCATTTTTTTTGAAAATTTTGTGAAATGGTCGTTAACTGACCTTGAAAAATGACCCAATTACCCTTACTAATTGGTGCATTAGGATCATTTGCTATTCGGTTATCCCTATGCAAAGAATTGTCGGATTTCTTTCAGTCTCATTTGCATTTCTATCGTCCTTTTCCTAGCTCCGCTGTGTATTTTTGTATGCTTGGGCCGGAAGTGTGGGTGGTGCAAAGACCAATTAAATGGATGCTTAGGTGTCTTCCTTTTGCAGTATGGTGGAATCTTTGATTGTAGCAAAATGTTAGGATCTTTCAAGATAATTACCGGTAGTTAAAAGCGCGATTCTACCTAGAAGTATGAAATGAGAAAAATTGTAAAACGTAGAATCTAAGCATAAAAGCGTAAGTTTTTTACGCACCTTCTAAAATAACTAAAATATGTTAAGTACAACATATAGTATGTAAAATGTGAGTGTATAGATTTTAGACAAGTGAATAACTACATGAAATTCATAATTAAAATGTAATATCTAACACATAAACTATTTTGTGTTGACTCAAAAGTAGAGAAAACTCATAACATCTTAATAATAAGCTCATAAACGTAGATCGTAAACCGTAAACAAGGTTGAGAATCCAAATTCTCATAAGCTGGTTTGAGTTTACATAATTACATACGATCAATTACCGATAAACTTTTATTGTAACCCAGGTAAGAGCCACAGGTGAAGATTAAGAGAGAAGACTGATAGAAGGTCAGCGGCTGTTGAGAATACCATTAGGTGTCTTTTCAACCTACTGTGAAGCCCCTATCTCGACACTAGTTGTAGAACGAGTGATGAATCATGTTTTCCTTTTTTTATTTTTTGTTGATATGTCTCCAAAATTACATCATTTTGGGCCAATTAGCACATTTTTATGAGATGATCAAAATCATATAAAAACGCTTCAGAATCGCGATTTTGCCGATTTTAAGCGATTTTACCGATTTTACCCATGTTTTTACCAGTTTTTGTGACTAAGCGACTTTGGGTATAAACTTAAACGTTTTGGTGGCCTAGATAAGTAAAAACATAAACGTTTTAATGCGCGATTTTAACTGCACTGCTCACTAGAGAGAATACCTTGATTTCAAAAGTATCTTTAATCGTATTTCGATGATTGCATGTTTATGGGACATGACGATCGACACACTCATATGGCTTCGTGGGGGTTTTCTTGCTTTGGCTTTCTTTCGGCTGCTATCCGAGCATACAATTCAGGCTCAGCAGCCATGATAGCCTGCGATTTCTTTTTAGCCCTCTCCCACCATTTCTCCAATTCAGTCTCCACGGCCTCAATCGTAACGTCCAAACTAGCAACCGCCTCGTCATCGCCGGCGGCTGCGGCGCGCTCCTGCTGCAAATCACTCAGCTTCTTCGTCAGATAATTTGCTTTGAATACTATCCGAGCGATCTCTTTCTCTGCCTCACTGTAATTATAAATAAAACAAACACATAAACGAACTGAAGACATAAACGAACTGCTCCCCTTGGATTTTACCTAACAAAACAAGTAACGAGAATACAGGATTCAACTGCCATGCGCGTTATACCTGGCTTTGCTTTTGAGATCATCCATGTCGTCCATTATAGCTAGAAAGATCACTAACTAAAAGCATGAGAAAAAAAAAAGAATTAACCATCTAATGATGAAAACTGAATCCACGTACGAATTAACGAGAGAGAAACAGAACGATCTACTAGTGAATAGACGGAGATCGAGAAGAGACGAGAGGAGAGGAGAGAGCAGCCGCGGGCTTACAGGAATCGATCGGTCGATGAAGATGCTAAAGATGACGGATTTTGCGCCGGCCCTTCCCTTTCGTTTGCCGCAGATCGAGATGAAGGGTTGGGTGTAGGGTTTTAAGTGTTGGCTGTCGTCTTTCTTATTAATTAGTTAACGTTGCCGTCCCCAATTCCCAAATGGTAATTAGTAATGACTGTTACTAATGAGCCCAGTCTAGGGGGAAAAAAAACTAATGTGTCTGTAGGCTGTCAACTTGGAATTGACCCGTCTGATCAAACCGGGCTCGACCGGCTCCAGGCTTCTTATCGGGTGCTAGTAGGCAGTAGCTTAGTGATGACAATGTGGTGGGTTTGTCTAAACCATCTTCAATCCCGTTTTTAAGTATACAAATCCATACATGTCTCATACCCATGTGGGAAGGTTTTGCAAACCCACCTCCATACCTGTGGGTTTCGGGTACCCATGGGTAATACTCGCTCCGTACAACCGACATTATAATACCTAGAATTTTATATTTAAATTTTCAATTATAACACTAAACACACCTACTATTAAGGGTGTACATGGGTCGGGGTGTTCGGGTTTGGATGTTTGGTCATTTTAATCACCCGATTCATATACTACGGTTTTGAAAATGTTAAATCCAACCCAACGCAAAACAATTAAAACCCTACGGTTTGTTTATAATTAAGTTACGTTGGATCGGGTTGGAAATACTTTTAATTAAATATCCAACCCAACACAAAAAAGACAACTATTATACGCTACGAAAATATTATATAACTAATTAAGATTTTAAACAAATGAATCGAGGCAAAAAGTTTCAATATGCATAAATATCGTTTGAATTTTAATGAAATGCAATTTACTTCAACATTAAAAAGAGTTAATCCCACTAATCTCCGAACCCTGTTCACCTAGACACAGTGGACTGTTCACATAGCCCCAAAAGCACTATTCATTTTGTTCTGATTGGTTGGTTGGCTTGGTTGGGCCCAGGGTTGCTGGCTGCCTGCCGCGTGGTGCGTTGGCCCTCTGCCGCCGTTGCGTGGTCATCTGATCCTCTCCCTCTTCCTGCCTGCATTTGCTTCGGGTGTCGCGTCAGCCTCGAGTCGTGGTTGATGTCCACCACCGTATCCCCTATCGTCCTTCTTGTATCTCTCCCAGTCCTTCTCTCTCACAGGGTGGGTTCAGTGGCCATCGATTTTTTGGGTACGCGGTACCAAGGTGATGCGAGACAGACCCTTTTGATTGACGCAGCTTTTTGGCTTGCAGAGATATGAGAGAGAGGGTTAGCGAATAGGGAGGTCTTCTCATAGTGGTTTCTTCGTTTTCCATCAAGATTACTTTTAGACTAAAAAACGATGGGATATATCAATGTATCACTCTTCCTCTTCTCTCTCAGTTCTCTCAGTTTATCTCATCTCTTCCTTTCCTTTCCTCTCTCTCTCTCTCTCTCTCTCTCTCTCTCTCTCTCTCTCTCTCTCTCTCTCTCATCTCAAACCCAAAGTCGTTGCGAGCGACCAGGGAATCATCGATAACTCGCCGCCGCCGGTTATTGGAGTCGCTCTCCGACGAAGAGGAGATCCGGAGATAGCGCGGTGTAGACTCAAATCGTCGATAACCCGCCGGTTAGGGTGATCATCTCTTCTCTTTCTCATCTCAGTTCCGTGGTTGTTTCGAGCGACAAGAGAATCGCCAAGAACCCACCAGTGACGAAATCCATCTCCGGAGAGGGTGTGAGGAAGATCCAGATCGTGGCTTATTAATTGATTACGGTGATTATTTCTTCTCCTTATCCCTATTGAGTTATTTGGTCGGTATTGTTTGGCGTGTTCCGTCATATGAAATTGGGGATCGTTTGATGGGTTTTTACAGATCTAAACGGGGGATTGGCACCTCGACGATGACAAAGTGGTTGACAGGATGAAGATCTCACCATCTGGCTGCGCCTCCTTCTCACTGGTGAGTTGATGAAAGTGCACTGCCTTTGTCGATGAAAGCTTCATGTCATAATCTTCCTCTCTGTATCTTCACTGTACCCTGTTTCTAAAACATGTCTGTTGCAATGATCTTAGCGTTGAGTCTCTGTAACTTTACTTTGTGAGCGCCCGGTGGGCAACTGCAAGCGGAGGCCAAGGAAATCATGAGATCAATCGGTGAGCTCTAAGTCTTTCAAAAAAAATTCGTTTCATTTTTTCTTTATGCATCGATGGCGGACTCGGTCATTTTGTTCCATTTTGTTGAGTTCCTGGAGATCGATGGGTAGATGTTGGAACAACGGTGCTCGGGTTCCCTTCTTTGAAATCCCCGCCATCGTCTCACTTCCGGCACACCAATTTCTGGGGGATTCGCTCCGTTCATGGTGCCACACCTTATGCATTTGATTCCTTGGAGGTGGGATTGACGGAACCCACTGTCGATTTGTAGATCATTTCACATAATCCTGTGTGGATAGCAAAGGGTGACCAGAGACACCAGCAAAGGTTAGTTCACTTCTACATGGTTATCTTCCGTCTATTTCCCTCCTCTCTTTGCCTCATGTTATCTATCTCAGTTTTCACTTTCTGATGAATTTCGTTTGTTGCTTATGAGGGCGACCTGGTGTTTTGGAGGTGATAATCAACCTGAACTTATGGGCAATTGAACAGGGTGAGCTAACTAGAGATGAGTTGGAAGTTTGGAACTCTCACATGGAGAGAATGAGGGAAAGACAACAGTTTGTTGGTTCTTTCTGGATTCAGGTGATTATTTTTGTTTATGTCCCATTTAGTTGTTTTAGTGAGCAGGTTCTGCAATATGTAATTGAGGATTGTTTGGTGTTTTTGTATATTTGGAAAGTGTTTCTCCGTCTTACCAGTGAGGAAATCACACTGCCATTACAAATGTATGCAAGTTCCCAGAAGCTTTAACATATAGGTCATAATCTCCCTCTCGACTACAAAGCCTAATTTTTCTCTATTTTCAGTTTTGGTTTTGCTGCCAATATTTTTTTGTTAAGGAACAAGCAGATCTGGGTTTTCGCTGTGCTTAATTTTCCAATAGCTAGATCTCTGATTTATGTTGAAAATCTTTCACTCGATCTCTTTGTGATCAGCAAATGCACTCAGAGGAGCCAGAAGACACAACCTGCTAATTGATTTTTATATTTGGTGATTAGTGATCATGGAATCAGAATAGTAAGCTCTTAGTCCTTGCTTCCCTTCCTTTGTTTCATTTTCCAAACCCCCTTATTTGTGAGGATTTACGAGGGTTTTGAGAAGATTCTCTCTCTCATGATTTTATTTTCTGTTCATGCCAGCGATGCAGCTTTGAGCTTCTGGTGGTGGAAGGTGAGTAATTATAGAGGAGTAATCCCTTTTATCATTCGGGGTTTCATGAGAGTTGTGTTGGTGATGAATATATGTGATGGGGAAAAATTAAGTACAGCAAGTTGTGCGAGGTAATTAACAATTAAGAACAACAAGTTGGTTGGTGATTTTGTTAATTATTGAGAATTTACCATTGTGTTTGCAGGGTATCGCAAGTTGAGGATTCCGAATTTGGTCTGACCAAGAAGCCAGGGTAAGCCAAGCCAAATAGGTAATTTGTATGTCTGTAGGTGGTTTTTCGTTCAGCTATTAGAATTGTTTTTTAGCTCAAGTATTACCGATTGTTAGTGTCTGTGTGTTCATGTGATTATTGTCCTTAGGGAAGTAAAGAGTGAATACAACACGATGTCTCATTTAGGTATGGAAAGTTTTTGTTCGTGGTTGAAACATGGCTAGAAGCCTAGAACATTTTGTACAAAACTTTGAATTGCTCTCATGAAGCATCTTAAAATTCACATGAGCAAATGGTACTTCTTTGTACAATGTCAAAGTTAATAATCATATTTCATGAATTTAGGGGGGTGCTGGGTCATAATTAACTGGACTTCATTTGTTAATCTCACTTCTATATCTGTTCCCATTTGTCTTGCTTTATGAATTATGTATTTACAGACAACCTTGAGAACAATTTCCAGTCTCTATTCCACTGTCCATTGAGGGTGTGAGAAGCAATCCCAGGACCACAGAAGTACTCAGGTCAAGCATATTGCTAAAAAAAATGTTTGACAATATAATTCAATGTTTCCCTTTTGTTATCAAGGGTTGTGGATAAGACCCTTCTATGAAATCCAGCTTTTCTTTTTTGTGATCTTTTAATATGCATCAAACACTACTATTTGTTTGTTTAAACTTGGTGGTTGTTGTCTTCTTGCAGTTGGTTTTGGGTGGCCTATCGTCTGGAATGCTGATGGTGGATATGTGCTTTTAAGTTTGATGTAAATAGATTAAACGTTTAGGTTTCCATTCTCATGTTGTTGTTATTTCATGTTTAACTAAAGCTTGGGGGTGGGAAATAGAACACTTCTACTTCCATTGTCTTTTGGGAGTGGCGTTAAAATGTCCAAAACTGAGGTCTTGCGAATGCCACCATTGCTTTGAATCATCAAGTAAATAGTTATATCCAAACAGAGTCATAAATATTACGCTTCCCAGCGCGGAGCGCGGGCATATAACTAGTATATCTAGTTTTTTCATAAATATTTGTTGAAGAAAGCCATTGTAGTTATGAGCTAACACATTCATAATATGTCGTTCTTCTAAAATTGTACACACAAGAAAAAAAACTAACACATTCATAGTTTAAATTAAATCGACGTCTAAATATTAAGTTGAAGATGTGTACTAGATTACAGAAACCACAAGAGAAATATATGATAAGATAGGTTAATTTTCTCACAAATATATTTATTTATGACACACGTATGTGTTGTATACGAATACTTATGACAATAGTTCAACACGGGTTGGGTCGGGTTCTACAAGTTGCGTTACCCGAAATCCGGAACCAACCCAATAGAGGCAGGTTATACAAAAGAAAACCCTCACCCAACCTTAAAATTCAATTTTGACAATAAATACGGGTGGGTTGGGTCGGATTGGGCGGGTGGGTTGGTTTGTGGGTTGTTTTGTTCACACCTACCTACTATATCATGAAGTCGACAAAGAGACAATCATTCTTAGGACAAGTCACCATAATTTTCACTTTTTGGTCGACCTCAGATAGGATTAGGTCGACCTAATCTGTTGTTTCAGTTTTGTGAGGCTAAACGACGGGATTGGCCTTTTACACCAAATGGTCGACCTCTTTGGGAATCAAACAACATAAAAGGTCGACCGAAATATCTCAAAGGCAAATCATTTTGCTATTAAAAGGTTGACCTGACAAGTACGAGGTTGATCGTGTGCGCACCGTATCCGTATTGGATAATGATTCAACACCAGAAAGGTAACTCTAACTTGTCTACCACTTAATTCGACCCAATCTCGTCCTAAATATCTATAAATACGAATATATGTCACCTTCACCGCCACCGAAACTCTAAATTTGTTTTTTTGTACGGTTAGAGCTTTTGTGAAGAAGAAGATCCTTTGTGGTTGCTGCTGTACGTGTTTCAAGAGGTCGATCACGTGAAAGGTGAGGTCGACCTATTTTAGCTATCGCTATCATCTTGTCTAATTCGTAATTTGCAATGTTTAATTTGATGTTTTGTTGCGTGCAAAAGACAATTCGGTCGACCTGATTTCAATCAGGTCGGCCTGTGTTTGACAATTGCAAGAAATAGAATTTAGGGCACAACACTCGGACTTCTGTACTTGCGAGGTAAGGAAGATCAAACCCAATAGGTTGATGATAGACTGATAATTGCACATGTTTTTACCCCTATTCTTGAGCCGTTTGAGATGTTGATTCTCGTGTTTTAAGCCGATTTCACCCGAGGTTGTACGTTTATGTCATATTTCAGGACCCGACGTTGGAATCGAGGCGAAGGAACGAGATTCGGATCGAAAGGAGCAAGTGAGGCTTGAAGTGTGCTAGAGAGCAACAATACCCGGCCATGAGCAGAAATACCCGACCAGGTATTATCTGGCCATGAACGGGGATTTTTGGCTTTGGGCGTCCGTGAGAAACAGAAGGGGGCCCGGGCAGGAGGCAAAAAACCCCGGTCGGGGATTCTTGGGCCAGACCGGGGATTTTCCCCTGACATTAAACGCACGTTTCAATTATACCCGGTCGAGACCCAAAATACCCGACCGGGTATTTCGACCGGGTATCACGACAGGCAACTTTTTAAGGGAAAAGAAGGCTAAGAATCAAGGGTTCCGAGTCTTTGAGAGACAGAGCGATTCCTAGAGAGAGAAAGCGACGAACCAGAGTTACCAAGTGCCATAGCTTGATCTTCATCACCATTGGAGCCCGACTTGAGTTTGGAGAAGTGCCGATGGACAACTAGGAGCAGAAACTCATCCTTCAAAGTATGATTTCCGCATCTGAATTTGCTTTTGCTTCTCTCTCCATGGAGTAGTTTTCCCATTCATCTGGGTATGGAGAACCCTAGATTTGTATGTTAGGTCTGATTGTATGAACCCAAGTACAGATTTCATGAGTTGATTATATTCGATTGAGGCTTGAATGATTGAATGACTTGAATCCTGATCAAATTCCTGTTGTTTCTGCTTTAACCTAGAATGAGAATATCTGCCTAGGTTGATAGAGCACCCTTAATTGAAGGTGGCGAATTGGTGACTTTAGTCGAGGAGCCAATTCGCTATTCTGTACCGAATTCAATTTAGTAAAGGAGGTTTGGTTCGTTAGGGCCTCAATCTGTTTACTCCGGTGGAGGTTAGTCGCCCGCTGGAGACTCAGATTGAGAGGGTCTGGAGACCTTTAGTCGAGACTTCAGACTGTTTAAGAACCTTCCGCAGTATAACTTTCATGGAAACTGAACTTGGTAAATTGCAATCCGGCTTAACTGCAGTCTAGGGGGAACCATATCCGGGTGACCTCTCTCGACTTGAAAACAACCGTTTAACTTGCTTTGTTTGTTTGTTAATTTGGACTTGCACTAAAGTTTCACTGCTAGATAACAAGAATTCACCGAGTAGTCATCAAATCTAGGACCCGGGTTGACATTAAAACCCAAACCCGCTATACTACGCTTTAGGAAGTGGTTACACTTGGCCAATTTCTAGAGTGACAGTAGGAGTGAGTCAGTTGACCTAATTCTTATCATGGTCAACCGTTTTTGTTTGTTTTTCTTGTTTATCCAGAATGTCGACTTTGGCTTTGTTTGTAAGACTAAGTTGTGCTTAAAAGCTCGGTCGATCAATGTATCTAGTCGACCTATCAATTGTTCGTGGTAGTATTACACATGTTTTTATTGGTATGTTGATATTATTCTATTGGATAGGTCGACCTAGGAAGAGCAAAGGTCGATCTAATTGATTATGGTAGTGACAACTTACGTCTTTAAGGTCGACCTATTAATATTTCAGGTCGACCACTTCTCTGTTGTTGGTCATTTGTACAAAATTAAAGTGACCACCTTAGGGGATTCGGTCAAACGTAGTTAGGAATAGGTCGACCGAATTGTGCAAGTTATGATGACTTGCAAGACACCATAGGCCCACCCTCACTCTTAATACGGTTTAAAACATCTTCTCCTAAAACAACTATTAATCTATAAGAAATAGTATAATATAATCTAAAGTATTATTCTTGGACTCCATAACTGGGTAAATTCTCCAAATATTGTTTTTTAAAATTTACCATAGATATAGCAGTTTTAAAAATATTGACAGGGATATTGTATTTTGGAGGGGAGAAAGAGCGAGTTCGCCTTACACTCAGGAGGATCCGCTTTTTGAGCTATTTAATTTGGAATGAGTGAACCCGCGTGAGACTCCATGCGGACCTGCTTGAGAATAGTGCGGACGCATCCCCTCCTTTTATTTCCTCGTCCCCTTATCCTCTTCTTCTCCCTCTCCCAAAAACTGCACACATCTCTCCTTCCTCCTTCCAGCAGCGGACTCGCCCGATTCGCAAGCGCCCATGCCAAAGACATAGCTGCTTCGCCTCCGTCTCAAGAGGACCCATCGAAGACCAGCCACTCTTCGCCTCAGTCCCAGGTAGACCCGACCAGAGTTCTTCTTCCCTCGCGCAGACCAGGTCTGTGGTTTATGCTGAAGATGTCTGAATCCGATGAGTGAACGATTTTCGATAGATGAAGGTGGAGAGGGAGGCGAGCCAGTATAGAGGTGAGGACTCTGCCGTCGAGGAGATTTATTTATTATATTTTTATTAATTTTTTTTCCAGTTTCTAGGCTTATGGACAGTTATTACATGAGACCACCACCTACGACAATTGATCCAACTTCGGTCGATTTGGTACTTCTTTGGGCACATGGTCAACATCATACCGACTCAGTTTGGGCAAACGAGGTAAGTCTTTCAAAACAACTACTTCTTTAAAGTTCATTAGCTAGTTAGATTAGATGTTTAGATTTTTACTAGGTGAACTAAATTGACATTAGAATATAATTACGTATGATTTTTTTTAATTAATATAAGTTTAGATTAGATATATGTTTAGATTAGATAGATTTTACTAGGTGAACTAAAATTAGAAATACGCATAAAATGGAATTAAAATAAGTTTTGTGCACTATAAGCTAGTGATCGAGTTTATCATATTCGAGGTACGACCCATATAGTCACGTACCATCCTGTCATGTTGAAATTGTTGTGAGTAACTACATAGATGCCCTGACGTCGATCCACTCATCCACCTCCGTCACGGAATGTCCAACTGCCTTTTGTGCCCACGACTTCATAAGATCTTCGACAAACTTGGTGTATTGTGAATGACAATTTCTGATTTGTGCTTCTGTCTCCAACCTCATCTTATCGAATTTCTCCAATAATCGCCAATAAGTATGTTGTACAAGAGAAGGTACGGGAAGTGAATGAATATCTTTGAAAACATCATTGATGCTCTCTGCCATGTTGGATTTCATGATAGACCATCGATTCCCACCATAATGGTTATCATGTGCTAAGCTCTAACGAAGTTGATTTTGGTCCACCCAGTTATCACAAGAAATATTTCTATCAGCGACCATCTTCTTAAATTGCTCAACTTGACGATCGAACTTCTCCAATCGTTTTTCTCCGCTAACAAAATAAATAACCACACGAGTTAGATAAATCAATGACAAAATTAAATGAAAATAAATAATACATAACAATAAATAACCATAACGATGAAGAAGGCTTACCGACTCGAAACAGTTGATTATACATAATCCTGCTTTTAGTCTTCCTTTGGAAGTTGCTTGCATAGTGGCGCATGTACCACCTCCACTCCCAACCTCTTGTGATGTCACTCATGGCTTCATAGAGTCATGCATGTCTATCTGAGATGATGCAAACATCATTTCGATCGGTCAAACCTTGAAGGTGTCTTATAAACCATGGTCAACTATCAGTATTCTCGCTCTCCGCTATGGCAAATGCAATTGGAAAAATCTTCTCCTGACCATCAAATGAGCTCGCCATGAGTAGCATTCCTTTATAATTTCTAGTAAGAAATGTTACATCAACAACCATGACTCCTAGACAATTCTTGAATCAATCTAAACAAGGTCCATAAGCCTAGAATACTCGCTGAAAGATCAAATGACCTGGTTGCGATGAAGGAACTCTTACCCAATCAATCACTGATGTTGGCATTTTTCTCTTTACCACCTGCAAGTGCGTTTGCAAATAATCGTTGGATTCTTCTCAATTTCCATGCAACTTCTCCAATGCTCTTTGTTTCTTATACAAAGCCTTCTTGTAAGTAAATTGCATATTACACTTATCTTTCAACTCGGCCTGCATAGTTAGAACACTCATATTTGGTTGAGCACGTATCAAATGCTTCACGAACTCATATATAACGTCGATATCAAGATGGCGATGATCCATCGGTTGAGTCGTACTCCTACAAGAATGCACCAACTCGACCTTTCTAACAGTCCATTCGCTTCCAACATCTCGACATCCAAACCGCACCATCCAAGCACAATTGTTATCATTGTGCTTCAAGCATCCGACCTTTCATATTGAAGGTGACGACTCCACCACTACATACTAAAAGTTGCGTTGTAGTGCTTAGTATTTAATTGTTACTTGTGTAACTTGTTTGGAGTGAAATATCTGCCCCTTGTAGAATTCTCCTTCAAAACCACCAACGATAGGCATTGGAATTGCGCCATATGAATCAACATATGAAATTCATCGTCCTCTTCATTGCCCCGCAAGTAAAGATCTGGAGTATAATTAGGCTCTTCTTCCCCTTCCCTTTCCTCCTCCAGCTCTTACTCGTCATATTCCTCCTCACCCTCATCATAGTCATCATCAGATGACACACTCCATGTCTCATCTTCACCCTGGTTCTGACTAATCTCAGCATGTATCTCAGCACCCAAACAATAAGGGTTTTGTGCCTTAAAATTGAAAAGCACATTCAAGCTATAATCATCCACAATAGGCATTGCATAATAAAATATAACACCATTCTGCCATTCTGGAAGACCGTAAGTGAAACCTGTGATCATATCACTATCTTGTACTGTTTCGTCTTTACGCCATATTCTCGAAATTAGATTCTCACAAAATTGATGATATGTCACTCTGCATGGAACTGTCAACTGAAAGCTTCTACCACCAACGAAATGGACGCCCAAATTGTCCTCTACTTTCTCTGATTTTCACCGAACGACCAGTTTCAAATCTTCTAAAATCAGCATAAAAAACAAATTCACTAATTACTAACTAAAAAAATCATAATTGCATTTTAAGAATATAATTAAAAAAATTAATGTGTCTTTTACCTATTAGCCATCTTTGCGGTAACCAGCAGAGCTCCTCTCGTTTAGCTTCATAACATCGGTTCTTTTTTGTGTGGTGAGCAACTAAAAGGAAATCGTTCATTATATGGTGCTGGAGTGGGTGGGCAAGTCAGCGAATCCGCCTCAGACAGGAGCGGCTCCGCTGGTCAATTGTTTAGGGAGTCTTCGCTATCTACGCCAACAAATCCACCTCAGACTCGAGCGGGTCCGCTCATTCCAAATTAAAAAGCTCAAAAATCGGATCCGCCTGAGTGTAAGCATGTAAGGCGAACTCGCTATTTCTCCCCTCCAAAACACAATATCCCTGTCAACACTTTTAAAACCGCTATATCTGTGGTAAATAAAAAAGACTTATATTTTGGGAATTAACCCTCCGTACCTCTACTAAGTAATAACTAACATAATCTTGTTAATATGAGAGAAGAAGTGAGAGTGAAGTGAGAGTTGGGAAAAAAGAATTAGTAGGTTTTGATTTGTGTGGCCACGCAATTGTATTTTTACTATTTAATTTTCTGTGTTATCCTCATTATTATTGATAAGTTACTATTTGATACATATATTTTTTATATGTAAAGTAATGTTTTTAGTGTGGCGGGTATGAGTATGGAACGGGGAGGCTAATAATATACCCGTCCCATACTCCTCAAACATTTTGTGGATTTTACACATACTTATCTCGTACCTAGTCAATACGGAGATTTCTCACAATAACTAGATTGGAAGCGGTGGCATACCGACAGTCATAGATTTAATTGCTATTTAGTATTTAGAAATCCACTAAACTTGAAATCTGTGGAACGCAGGCGATTTGACTGGGCTGATTAGGGTTGTTTATGTTTTTCAATTCCCAAATTTCCTTAAATAGGGTTGTTTTGTTTATATTTTAAAAAGGTTTTTTTCCCTTCAATCAGGAGCAAGGTTGTCAATCCGTGGGTTGACCTGGACTGGGTCGAGTTAGTGGGTCAAGAGTTAATGGGTCGCCCGTTTTAGCTCGGTTTAGCTCGGAAATATGGAAAGAATTATTATATTGTACTTATCCTGATAATTTATATAAAATTTCATCTAACATATGAGTTATAACATATAATATTACGCCAAAATAACATGTCGTACTTAGATCCAACATATAGTGAAAATTCCCACACACTTATATAACATCAATATTCAAATGTTCAACTTAGGATTCCAAAGATTGAGTTAGGCGAAAAGAAAAATCGGAAAATATTATCATTTCGCAAACCAAAGAAAAAAATGATACAATTTCACCTCCAACCCGATACCTTGTTGCGGTCGACCCGACAGGTGCGCACGACCCGCTTTTCTCATCGGGCTAGGGTCAAAGTGGGTCGACCCATTGATCAACCCGCGGTTGACAAGCTAGATCAGGAGTAGGCCTGTCGGTTCGGTTCGGGTAACCAAACCCGAAAACCACTAAAAACCGAAAACCCGAAACCGACTCCCACAACCCGAAACCGAAACCGGACCTATGTTTTGTGGGTTTCGGGTACAGGAACCCAAAAAATACAGTGACGGTTTTGTTCGGTTTGGGTGAACCTGAAACCGAACCGGTTTGAATTTTTTTTTTAAATACTTTTGTAATTTGAATTTATATTCTTTTGCTTGTACAAACAATTTTATTCTTATTATTTGTACATTCTTATTTAACCATTATGTTTAATTTTATGGGACGTGGACAATATAAAACTATTATAATTTGTACATTCTTATTATTTGTACATTCTTATTTAACTATTATAATTTGATAATTTGTACATTCTTATTTGTACATTCTTAGTATAAAACTAATGTGTTTTATTCTTATTATTTGTACATTCTTATTTAACTATTATAATTTTATGTATTGCTATGTTAAGTAATACAACCTTTTGGGCCATTTAATTGTGGATTTTCATATAATTAAATGTACCATAGGTCCAAAATTGAAGGTATATCAACTATCATATGCAAAAAAATATTTGGTGTTTGGCGCAAAATTATAAATAATTTTGTTCAACATAAAATACCGACAATCATAGATGAGATTATCTTCAACTCGTAATTAAACACATTAGTTTTACAATTCTCAAATGATAACATCCAAGTAAAATCAAAGTTCATCCACCATACAAGATAAACACTACTACCATTATCACTCCTCATCAGGCTCTACATCCACATAAGTCTCATCATTCTCATCAGAATTGTCGTCGACATAGTCTTCTTCCACTTGTGAAATAGTAGGACTCGAGACCAAAACATGGGTAGCAGGAGAGCTTCCACTAGGTTCTGCACGAGAGCTTCCACTAGGTCCTGCAGGTGCACTTGAACTCCGAGCTTGAAAAGCTGCATATACTGGATAACATAAATAATAACAACTTGTTAGAATATGACTTGATCAAGATAACAAATATAAGAATAAAGAGAAAGATTAAATCCTTACCATTTTGAAATACAACTTCATCACCCTCATCTTCTCCATTAGCCACCAACTCGGAGTCTGAAGATCTTATCCAATCTTCACAACAAATCAAAGCCTCCACAACTTCAGGGGATAAAGAGGTCCTAAACGAATCTAAAACTCGACCTCCTGTGCTGAATGCCGACTCAGAAGCAACAGTGGAAATAGGAACAGTAAGAATATCCCAAGCCATCTCAGAAATAGTAGGATATTTCATCTCACTTCGCGACCACCATCCCAAGATGTCAAACTTGTATTCATCCTCTTCTGAACCCACCAATGCTCGTGTAACCACTTCATCATCCTCCTCCTCCTCAAGGTACCTATCAAACTCAGATTTTGAACTTTTTCTGGTTCCTTTCAGAATGGCATCTCTTTTCATTTTCCTGAAATCACCCCAAATCTTCCCTTTCTTCTTCCCATCCCCACTTCCACTAGGTTCTTGCTCATCTTCCTGAATCACAATGGGAGAACTGCCATGAATTCCGAGTTTATGCTTGTAATGGTCAAACAGAAGACGCATTTCATCTTTCACCTCTTCGACCAAAGCTTTACCCCTGCTCTCACCATATACCTTTTTCAAAGCTTGTTCAAGATATTCAACTTTTCGCCTAGGATCTAATATGACTGCCATATAACACAACCGATTCATCTTGGAATTCTCCAACTCATCTTCAAACCAATACTTGGCAAGTTTGGACTTGATTCTCTCAGCCATGCAAGACACCTCAAAATCTATACCATCAGCCCACTCAGATATCATAGTATACATTTCACATACCTCATCAAACAAGAGGTGTAAAGTCACATATGAAGTCCCAGAAACTCGAACAGTCAAATCATAGAATAGCTTCAGGTAATCAATCAACCGTCCCACACTAGACCAATCATCAGAAGTTGTGATACCAAGGCTTTCATTTCCATATTTTTTTTTAATTGAGATGTTTCTTGAATTTCTTATCATTTCTAGCTAATGTCTGAAATGCTTTCTCAAATGGCTTTGCAGATTCCAACATCAGAGACGTTGAGTTCCACCTTGTTGCTATATCCAACGAAACAAATTTCTTCGACACTATCTTTTGAAACTCAGTGCAATCTTTAAATTTTCTGCTCCTAGCTGGTGTAGATTTAACCCACTTCACAGACTCTCTCACTCGCTCCACAGATTTACCAGTTTCTTTAAGCCCATCCTTCACAGCCAAATTAATAATGTGAGCCACACACCTCATCTGTAGATATTTTCCATCCAAAATATCTGATCCCCACTCTTTCAACTGTTCCTTCATATGGATAGCAACCACATCATTGACACTAGCATTGTCCATAGTTATACAAAACACCTTCCTAATGCCCCACTCCACCAAACAACTAGCCAATTGTTTTCCAATTTCACTTCCAGAATGTTTTGTAACTTGGACAAAGTTAATAATTCTTTTATGCAATTTCCAATCTCTACCAATGAAATGAGCAGTAATGCACATATAATTGAGATTGGACAAAGAAGTCCAAGTATCAGTGGTGAACGATACCATCCCTAAACACTTAGTCTTGAAATAGTCCTTCAGAAACTCTCTATTTTCAAAGAACACCTTGATACAATCCTCTCTAACGGTCTGACGGCTAGGTAACACAAACATTGGACAAACACGAGCCATAAACCGTTTGAACCCTTCATGTTCAACATACCTAAATGGTAATTCATCTATGATAATCATCTCCGCTAAAGCTCTCCTAGCATCAATCTGATCGAATTTTCAAGTGCCAAGAGTGTGTACCTGGCCTCCAGAAGATGATAGATGGTCGACTATCAACTCACCCTTTTCTATCTTTTCCAAACAACTATCTTTATGATTCCGCAGAGTAGAAGTCCCATATTTAGTGGAGCCATAAGAACACCATTGCAATAAATGCATCTTGCTTTCCTTTTTCTTGAAATTGTCTCCTCGTCTATTGTTTGAGCAGGAGGTACATTGGTGGTACCGGTAGACGGTGCAGGAGCAGGAGCAGGATCGGAAGATGGTGCAGGAGCAGGAATGCTGGTACTCTTAGAGCGTCCTCCACGTCTAGGACGAGAAGCCGATGGTGCCTCACTTCCCCTGTCAAAATGAAAAGTTGAGTTAAAGTCTGGAACATAAAGCAAGAAGCTAGCTTATTTGGATATGGTGAACATAGACAATTTCTTATCTACATATTTTACTGCTACTGATGCTCCTACTAACTTCAATGTTCTTTCCATTTTATCCATACAGCTGCTACTACTACTAGTGGCTCTATGACACTGGATCATGATCCCAGGCAAGTAGAAAAGTTTCAGAAGCTCATTAAAAATTTGCTTTTTTTTAATCTAAGCTACCCCGATGGTGATTATCTTGAAACTGGGAAGCGCATCATAGGTGTGGTAAGCCAGCTCCAAACTAAATACATACAGCACAAATTCCTATATCATCAGAATACCAGATATGCAAAATCATTTGTAGTCCAAAGATGCAAAAAGTATATTCTACATCTAGACAATTTTTCTTTGTTCTAAATGTAGACAAACATAAGCAGAAAGAAGCAAACTGTGGTAATAAGAAAGATAGTCCTCTCCTTTCGAGCAATATTCTTCCCTACTTTATCCTTCTGCAAATAGCAAACTAATAGCAATCCCCTTTGTGCCGACTCTTTTACTGACCCCTTACAATTTAACACTGTATGCGCATATGGGGGCTTTCTTTACATCACTAAGGCCCTTAAACAAAAGTACCTGTTCTAGTCAGTTGCAGCAGCAGAAGGGATTTGAGTCATTTTACTAATCAGTACCATTACAAGTTTACAACCCATGTTTTGAACAAAAGTATTTTTGGTGGCTTTGTACTGTTCTCATAAACAAAGAGCTGCGAAACTTCAATCCAGAGAAAGCAAACAGTCTCCATTATTACTGAAATCAATCTCATCGTATCAAGAACCAGGTAGTTGCAGAAAAGTCATAACTCAAATATGCTTCTTAACAAGAAAGTGGATGCTTGATTCAGTTCTCGCTAGCATTCTATAACTCAATTAGTATGTCAAACCTCCTCCTAGGATTCTTGTCCAAAGCAGAACACATGAGTGAATTTCACCAAAGCAGAACCCACGAGTAACAAATTAGCTACGGTAACAAGAACCCAGTAATAAATTGAAGCAATAGAAGAATTGTTTGAAAGACTCACTGGGATTCCATGTTCGGAAGTAGGACTTGGATCGCCGACAACCCAATCTTTCGCCTTCACGGCCAACGTCTTCACGAACTCGTCGTATATCCCTTCCTGCACAAAAACTCGCGAGCTCGCCACGCAGACTTCGCCCTTGTTGTACAGAATCCCCAGGAGGGCGAGATCCGTGGTGATTTGAATTGGAGGTAGGGGTGTGGCCACTCTCTCTGTGAAACCAGCAATGGAAGAAGACGAAAGAAGAAATTGAGGAAGGGGTTGCAGTGGGTGGAGTGGAGAGCAGCCTACAAATTAGCTGGCGGCGAGGACGATGATGGTGGCGAGGGGGCTCTGTTTCGTTTGGCGGCTGCGAGAACGAGGACGAGGTGTGGACTGTGGAGTCAAGACTCGAGAGCTAGGGGCCTAGGGCTGAGGCTGAGTCACTCTCCTTCCCAAAACGACAGCGTGAATCCCCTTTGGCCAGTATCAATTTTCGGTTTTCGGGTTGCTTGCAGTTTTGCGGGTTTCAGTAACCCGAAACCGATACTGTAGATATCGGGTTGAACCCAAAAAACCGAAACCGAGAATGAAAAAACTGGTTCGGGTTCGGGTTAACCCGAAAACCCAAAACCGAATTGACAGGCCTAATAAGGAGTTTCAAGCCTTTATTATTCCGCTGTTCAGTCAGCTAGTTACACCATAACTCTCTTTCATCTTTCTGCCTCCGTATCTCTCTCAGCACAAATATGAACTTCGGCGGCGGCGGCGGCGGCGGCGATGATCACCACTACCTCCACAGTCTCTTCTCCGTTCACTACCGCGATTTCATGGCCGCCGAACCCCTAGACTCTGACCTCGAATTCGCCTACGACCTCCAACTCCAGGAAGCCATCAAGGCTTCCCTCTCCCTCGCTCCTTCCACTTCTTCCTCCCCACCACCTCTTCGCGGCGCCGCCGTTCTTTTCCCCGAGACTATCGGCGCCACCCCCTCCGTCTCCGCACCCAAGCTACAGTTCGACGAACTCGCCAGACTAGAACAGGAGATGAACGACCGGAGGCAATCCGAAATCGAGGCGAGGCGGATGAGAGAGGCTCTCAATCGCCGCGTCCATGATCAGGAGGTCGCGCATGAGATGCTCGGAATTCCCGAAGATGATTGGCCTGATTGGGGGGATGAATTCGACAGGCCGTTCGGCGAAGGGAGCTCGAAGACAACCGCTGCTGCAAGTAGTCTCCGCCGCGGTGGCGGCGTCTTCAGGCTGTATTTCAAGGGCTTGGTCAGCGAAGAGCGGGTTAATGGTCAGACTGTGCTATTGGCTGGGATTGGTGTGGCGATATGCGACCCGCTTGAGAATCTGGTGTTCGAGGTCAGGAAGCCATTGATTGGTGAAAGGAGCAAGGGCGCTGCAGAAATTAAGGCTCTTATCGAAGGGCTGAACGCCGCTCTTGCGTTGGACCTTCAAAGAATTGTGGTCTTCTATGATTACTACCCACTTTACCAGTTCGTAAGTCTCACTCTTTCCTATTGAATTCTGCTCTCTGTTTATCATGAATGAATGTTAGAAGTTGCACATTTTTGTTGAAGCTAGTAGGTTATGGTCAGTGAAATTGAAATTTGATTTGGAACCTTACCATTTGGTTTATTCCCAACATGCTATTCTTATTTGTTTCTCTGCTTTCTTTAGCCGGTGGCCCTCGTTTGGCCTGTGTTTTTTGAATTTAGTGATGATAATCTATGCAATGTTGCTAGATTTTTAGTCATAGCTACCAGTGATGTTACTTTCTGATATTTGCACGAATCTTACGTGGATAGATCACTGTGAGAATTGATGATGATTAGAACAAGAATAAAGATTCGAGTTAACTACTTGTGTCTCCAAATGAAAATTTTAAGGAAAGGGGAGGCGCATTTTGAATTTATGTCTCCGCGTATGTACGTGTTCTCTGGTATTAAGTTCTTACCTTGCTCGCGGCCTTTTTCCTGTTACGTTTGGCACACTTCATTCTCTCGTATTATGTTATTACCTTGATTGCGTTAAGTTCTCACCTTGACTGTACCTTTTTGTGTGCCAATCGATTGTTTGTATTTTATGGTTTCGGTTTAATGAATGTGGAATTGGTTGATCATAGAAGACTTTGCAAAAACTTGTGCAGAGCTTTAGCTGAGAGATATTTTGGGTGACTGTGTGTGGAGTGGAGCTTTATGTAATTTCTTGTTTTTTTTTTTTTTTGGGGGGGGGGGGGGGGGGGGGGGGGGTAATGCAGGTTACTGGAAGATGGCCTCCAAAGCAGCGTAAGGTAGCAATGTCAGTGAATCAGGTGTCCTGTTTGTACAGCCAATTCGAGTCGTGCGATTCAAGTCTGATACCTCGTTATGCCATCAGACTTGCTTTTAAGCTTGCCCGGGATGCCATAGTTTCACAGATCTCAGGAGGGCCCTCTGACTCTGTCCATGGAAAGACTCTTCCTCACGAGACTTGTGATATCTGTTTCGAAGATACTGATGTTGACAAGATGTTCTCAGTTGACCAATGCAGTCATAGGTTCTGTTTTTCATGCATGAAGCAGCATGTAGAGGTGAAGTTGCTTCATGGTATGGTGCCTCAATGTCCCAGTGATGGCTGCAAGTCTGAGCTTAAGGTTGACAGCTGTCAGAAGTTTTTGACACCTAAACTCATTGAAACAATGCAGTTGAGAATAAAGGAAGCTTCAATTCCAGCTACTGAGAAAGTATACTGTCCATACCCGAAGTGCTCGGCACTAATGTCAAAAAGCGAGGCATATGCTTTTGTTGGTTCTGAAAGAACCCCTGCTAGGAAATGCTTGAAATGCCATGGCCTTTTCTGTATAGACTGTAAGGTTCCTTGGCATAGTGCTATGAATTGTGATATGTACAGAAGGGTTAACCCGAACCCTCCTGAAGATGCGAAACTGAAGTTTCTTGCATCGAGCAATCTATGGCGCCAGTGTAAGAAGTGCAGCCATATGATTGAACTTGCGGAAGGTTGTTATCACATGACATGCAGGTATTCTTCTATCATTGTACTCTCATAATCTTGCCTATCTGAATATTTGTTTTGTAACAGACTTTGTTGCGAGTTGTTTCCCCATTACTGTGGTCGTATAAAACTTTGGTTGCAAATTGTGGTAGTATGAGCGAATTTCTTGATGCAGTTTGATCACCTATTTGTCAGGTTGTTTACTTGGTTGTGTTTGAGAAACTGATCTTTTTAATAACATGCAATTGAAATTATTGAACAGCATATCTGCTTTGTTTGACAATTCTTATGTATCTTGAGTTCATTTCAAGTTGCACTTGATATCTGAAATGCATTTAATCATATACTTCCGTTTATGAGCATTTGGAAACATAGGAGAGAAAATAGAATCGCGAGCCTCTTTTTTCACCTCTCTTACATAATTTTCTGCATAATTGCGATGAACCAAGCAATCTCTTTAAAAATCTGCTTCACTAACATGAAATTATGACAAATAACATCAATTTACAAATACAACGAACGAATTCTATGTCGAATTTTCACTTCGAAATTATTAATTTTCGTCTGGGGTTCGTTCATATGACATCTGGTGTTTTTCTCTTTGTTTTTTTTGTCTCAGATGTGGAAACGAATTCTGCTATAACTGTGGGGCTGAGTGGAAGGATAAGAAAGCAACATGCTCTTGCCCACTGTGGATTGAAGATAACATTTTGTACAATGATGAACTGGGTTTCTCCGACGAAGAGGAGCCTGAATTCGATCACGACTGGGATTCAGATTTAGATTATTTCTTATGATTTGATGAGAAAAATGAAGCTAGCGAAACATTTATTTCAGTATTAGGGAGGGCGGATGAGTTTGTCTGTGAAGAAAGTAAACAGTCTTATATCAAACTGTAAAAAAAAAAAAAAGGCTGGAACCTGGAATTCTTAGACTGCCAACTCTCTTCTAGCTCAAATTCAGTTTTTTTTTTTTTTAAGTTAGATCTTGTCTGGAATGTATAGCTTGTTTATGATTAATTTCATTGATTTTTGGTGAGGTTAACTGTTTAGTGGTGTCGCTACTCTATAACATCTCTGATCTTGATTAATCTGTAACTAGGGGTGTCGGTTCGGTTCGGGTTCGGTTATCCGAACCGAAATCCGGGAAAACCCGAAAACCGAAAACCACTAAAACCGAACCCGAACTCGATAAGGACTTGCGGGTTCCGGTTACCCGAAACCCGAAAACTCCTTATCGGGTTCGGTTAATGCAAAACCGAAACCCGAACGCCTAAGAATACGGGTTGAGTTCTATTCATTGGAGGTTTTTAGACGAAACCCGAAAAACCGATAAGCAAAACCGAACCCGAAACCGAAAAACCCGAAACCCGAAAACCTGAAAATGTATATAATCGGGTCGGTTTCGGATAAACCCGAAAAACCGAACCCGAATGGACACCCCTATCTATAGCTAGATTGATTCAAAACCGAATTAACTCGCGACCACAATGATTTGTTAACGTTTTTCTAATGCTTGATCGAATACTAAACCAAACTAGAACACCAACCAGGGACATCCCTTCTTTACCAAGTAGTCTTTGGAATCCTGAGGATTTTCAAACTTGCAGGTTTTCAGCCTTTTCTTGGCAACAATGAGGTAACCTCTACCGCAAGTCTTAATCATCGAACATTGACAAATGAAGTACAGTTGATGAAGACATTGTTTAGGTCAAAGTCTTTCTTTATTTTTTGGCAAATCGAAGTTGCCAAGTTGGAGTCTGCATTCAATTTCAGCCGATCTTTGCTATCCCTTAATTAATCCTACGTGTAATACGAATAGGGAATTTCTCGATACTGTGACTGTGATCTTCTATTTCCCCTTTTTTTCCCCTGTCGCTTCGCTTCCCTAAACCTCTGCTCCAGTTTTCTTTAACCCCACTGATTTCTCGCCGACACACTATCACAGCAGCCAACGATGGATTCCGCCGACAAGGACGCCGTCGAAGCCGTACTCTCCGAGCAACGCCGTGAAATCCTGGAGGCCAAAACCGTCAGCGCCGACCTTGACTTCGCCTTTGACCTCCAAATGCAGGAGGCCATCACCGCCTCCATGCGGCACCTTCCTTCCTCCTCCTCCTCTTCGCTCTCCCCGCCGCCGCCGCCGCCTCCCTCGCCACCTCCTTCCGCGCCCCCTGCCGAGCCGGAGTTCGACTACGTGTCTCTCCTCCTCGACGACATTGAGCGGCTGAATCAGGAGTGGAGGGACCGGGAAGCGAGCGAGTATTTTCTGCAGGAGATGAAGACGGACCTCGACCGCCGGATTTTCGATCAGAACTTCGCCGGGGAAATCCTCGACATCCCGGCCGATCAGTGGGAGAAGTACGGCGACAACTATGAGAAGCCGTACGGCAGCGGCGGCGGAGGAGGAGGAGGCGGTGAGTCGTCCTCTGATGCCTCCTCCTCGTCGAAGGTGGCGGCTGAGCTGGCGTGGGTGAGCGCGGAGACTTTCCGGCTGTATTTCAAGGGTTTGGAGAGCGAGGAGCGAGTTAGGGACAAGAAGGTCACCGTCGCGGGTTTCGGGGTGGCTATTTGTGATTCTAAGGATAATTTGATTTTCGAGCTCAGCAAGCGATTGGATGCTGCTACCGTTAGCAGGAGCGCTGGGAAGATTAGTGAAGGCTTGCTAGTAGGGATTCATGCTCTGATTGAAGGGTTGAATGCTGCTTTGAATTTTGATCTGAAGAAGCTCACGTTCCTGTGCGATGATTTCATGGCGTACCAATACGTGAGTTGCTTTCCTTTTCCCCCAATTTTGCTTTGGGCCGCAAAATTGACTTTGCTGTTATGCCTTTGTCATCATCTGTGTGATTGTCTTTTTCTTGCTATCCAAAGGGCACTATTCTATTGAAAACCGTATGCATCTGTGAATGCTGTTTTCTGAGGGGGTTGACTCATTTGGGCAACATCCCTTTGCTTCATTGATCCTCAGATGCTATGGCGTAGCATGATTCAGTATCTGATTGTTAAAATTTCTGGATAAACAGCTTACAGGTCGAGTTCAACCAACGCAGGCTGAGGTTTTGGACTTGGTTACCCAGGTGTCTTCTCTCCAGAGGAAGTTCACGGAGTGCACACCAGCGCTAGTGGGACGCAACAACATCAAATTCGCGTTTAAGCTTGCGAGAGATGCGATAGTTTCTCAGATCACTTGGCCTGAGGAGACTGGCAATGGTGGAAAGAGTCGGAAGGAGACTTGTGTGATTTGCTACGAAGACACTGATACGGCCCAGATGTTCTCTGTTAATGGCTGTCTCCATAGGTACTGTTTTGGTTGTATGAAACAGCATGTTGAAGTGAAGTTGCTGAATGGCAAGGATGCTAAGTGCCCTCATGAAAGTTGCGACTCTGTAATTGAAATCCTTTCTTGCGCAACGTTCCTGGATCCTAAGTTGGTGGACATGCTGAGCCTGAGAAGAAAGGAAGCTGCTATTCCAGTGAAGGACAAAATTTACTGCCCTTATCCAAAATGCTCGGAATTGATGACGAAAACCGAGGTGTTGGCGTACACGAAGCTTTCCCTTGTGGGCGCGGAGGTATCTGGAGCCAGGAAATGCATGAAATGCAAGAAATATTTCTGTATCAATTGCAAGGTCCCTTGGCATTATGACATGACCTGTGCTGACTATAAGCGATCAAACCACCACCCTCGAGAAGATAAGATGCTGAACACACTGGCAAACAAGAGTAAATGGCGTCAATGTGTTAAGTGTAGCCATATGATCGAACTTGATCATGGCTGCTACCACATCACTTGCAGGTAATTGTCTTTCAATTGCTTGCTATAGATAATTAGATACTATATTTTTCAGGTAAGATATCCATGGTGAGAAAAAAGTTAGGATGTATATGTTATAGAGTAGATTGTAGGATTATATATGTTGATTTGTATATGCTAAGAGAATCATGCCCTCCTGGAATCTTAGTTATAATCACTTGCCCGCGGATTGCATCTAACCGAACAACATGGTGATGATAGTAGGTGCTGAAAGTGTTATGATGCTTGATCAAGTAGGCATATTCTTCACTGTGTTCATCTGATCTTGTCTTGTAAAATCATTTTATCTCGGCTCTGTAATGTCTCAACACCACGGCCGAGCAATTTCAGCACCCCTGATTTCCTCGTTCCCTCAATGTGTTTCTGGTGAAGTAGTTTGCTGGCAGTCATTGTTAGTGTTTTGTGTGTGACTGGCAGGTGCGGGTATGAATTCTGTTACACTTGCGGAGCTCCATGGAAGAACAAGAGAGCAACTTGTACCTGTCCAATCTGGGACGAGCGCAACATCATTCGGAGATAGAGGAGCACGGCGATCTCTTGGACAGTCCAGAGATAGACTTACCTACCTACTACATACTTGCAGATTCCTGGCCCTTCGTTTTTTGATTGGATGATGTATTTACTAGGACATCCTTTTTTGTGCATGCTCTTTTTTTGGAACTGCAGAAATGAGAGAAAGAAAGAAATTGTGTTTAATTGTCAGTGCTTGATATAGCTATTGAGACAAACTTGCAGGGCACATTGCTTGAATCTCTACCCTGCTTGCTATTAGTAGTCACTGCTGTGTTACCCTTGGAATAGAATACAGAAGTGTCTCATTGATGATCGATCGATCAGATTTGTGTGCAAGGGTAAAATATTTCACCCTGCAAGTTTGGAAATTGCATGTGGGATATCTGTTAGCTGTTTAGACCCAAAAGCCAAAATTGTATTTGATGGTGAGAAGTGAGGACTGAGAACACTATCGAAGTGAAAACCAATCTCTGGTTAGACCCCAAACATTTGACCCAATTATGTTTTTGACAGACTAAAAGAGTGTGGGATTATGTTTGATAATCGAAATAAGTGACATCAATATTGTCATTCGTCGAAGAAGTAGACGTGATAAATGTAGCTCGTGAAGTAGTCATTGCAAGTAAAAAGTTTGCTAAAATAGTATGTCTCTTTGATGAGTAATTCATTTTTTATTAGGCTACACAAAATTATATTATGTCAATTAATATGGATGTTTTTTCAACATAGTTAACATTTTATGTGACAGTGTTAATTTTTAATGATATGTAGAATTTTGTCAAACCTCAATATTAATTCAAGTAATTTTTATTATCTGCAAGTATCTGACGCATCTTTTTTGTTTCTAACAAAATTTTATTTTTACTGATAAACAACAAAGGTTACAATATTTAGTGGTATGGACTATGACAGAGCGGTCATGAACGGACCATGGATGATAGGACCAAACTACCTGACAGTGCGTATGTGGGACAAGGACTTTGACCCATACAACCACGAAGTGGCTTCAACGGTGGTCTGGGCTCGACTACTCGAGATTCCTATTCAATACTTTCACCAGGATGTAGTTATGAAGATCGGGCGCCGCATTGGTATCTCAATTCGAATAGATGAAGCTACTCGTACTGTAGCGCGTAGCGACTATGCTCGTGTGTGTGTCCAGGTTGATCTAACCAAACCGCTGCTTTCCAAGTTTTCTATTAATGGCAAAAAGTACTTTGTTCAGTACGAGGGACTTGAAAAGATTTGCCTCAACTGTGGCACGTACTCCGAGAGGGGGCGTGTACCTGCACTAAGATGCATGAGCCAATGGAAGCGGAGGAAGTGGACAAGACGATGGAGCCTCAGGAAAAGCAATCTGAAAAAATATACGGGGAATTGATGATTGCAAAAAGGAAAGCGCGGGCGGGAAAGAAAGACCAAGGAGGAGGGATGCGTCATGACAATGCCGCAACCAGCCCAAGTGAGAAGATGAAACCGGGAGGTTCCCGATTTGAGGCGCTAGTCGTGGAAGAGACTCCTGAAACACAACAATCACAGCCAGCAGAAATGAGGGAGGACCCTGCTCCTGGAAAGACCCATCATGGCAAGGGATTAGGAAGGGAAAACAAAGAACATACTCAAGAGACCCAACGAACAAGCACTCGGGAATCGGATCCTGTAATAGCAGCAAAGGATAAGCCACAAGACAAGTCCAAGACCGCAACAAAAGGATCCATCCCGGCTGAGAAGAAAGAAATACAGGGTACGAGGACGGAGAAGGAGATGGATAAGAGCCTCGAGCACACCATAATCCCGAGACGCCTTAAGACGGGGCAAACCACGATGGAAAAGCAGGTGGTAGACCATAATCTCAGTGGAAAACCACCCGACGTGCCAGCCCATCAAAGGCAGTCGACAATCACCGAGAATCCAAGCGACGCAAGCGCGAGCCAGACAGCAATGGGTGTTGATGGGATCATCCCATCCACGAGATAATTAACAGGGAGTCCCTGCCTCTCTTCTAGATTTTATGGATTGTAAAATTCTAGCTTGGAACTGTAGGGGAGCGGGAAGTAGGAATTTCCTACGTGTTTTCAGAGAATATCGCAGAAAATTCAGACCTCGTGTTGTGATTATTGTTGAGCCTCGGATAAGTGGGGACCGAGCGCTTGAAGTTATTCGAGATATGGGATACGATAGTTCCCATGTGGTCGATGCTCATGGGTTCTCGGGGGGCATCTGGGTGCTCTGGAATGCTTGCGACTTTTAATTACTAGGATCAACTCTCACCCTCAATGCCTTCATGTGCAGGTGCACGACCCGAACTCTCATGGCCAGGACTGGTGCCTGTCAGCGATCTATGGGAGCCCTGCGGAAGTTCAACGAAGAGAATTGTGGGAGGAAATTCGGAAGATCAGTGAGGACATGGAACTCCCATGGTTGCTCGTAGGAGATTTTAACTCCATCATCTGCCCAAGTGAGAAGCTCGGTGGTGCACCATTTGACTCATCGAGGATTCGGGACTTCCAGGATGTGGTTCAGGACACCGGATTGAACGACTTGGGGTTCAATGGTCCGGCGTATACCTGGTTCAGAACAGGGCTGAGAGAAAGACTCGATAGAGGGATGGCGAACAACATTTGGTTGCAAGACTTCCCCGAAACAACAGTCAGACATGTGCCCAGAATGGAAAAATCTGATCATCGCCCGCTATTCGTTTCAATGCGAAATGAGGCCTCGCCAGGAGGGGCAAAGCCTTTCCGGTTCTTGGCGGCGTGCTGACGCACGACGGATTTCGGTCGATGGCGGATGCTGCTTGGGCTAAGGGAAGCTCGTTCACGGATTCAGCAGAAGCCTTTGCACGGGATGCCACCAGCTAGAACAGAAGAGTGTTCGGCCATATTCTGTGGAAGAAGAAAAACTTGCTCAGGAGGATTGAAAGACTTGAGAACGCCGGGGGAGGTGATTGAGCGAACGAGCAACTTGCCTAGGTCCAAGAGGAGCTCGAAATCATTCTTTTCCAGGAAGAGCTTCTCTGGTATCAGAAATCTCGACTAGAATGGCTTGTCTCGGGAGACAAGAACACAGCTTATTTCCATGCAAGGACGGTGAGACGTCGGAAACGAAATCGTATTCTGATGCTGAAAAATGGGGAGGGAGAATGGATAGATGACCCCTTTGCTCTTATGGAGCTAGTGCGCACGTACTTTAGCAACCTATACACAGAGGAAGGAGGAGAGCTAGAAGTCTTACAGGTCGAGTTTCCCACCCTCGATGGCTCGCTCTGGGCAGGGGTAGCGAGGGACCCGGATGCGGAGGAAGTTAAGAGAGCGATTCGTGCGGTGGGAGCTTTAAAAGCTCTCGGGAAAGATGGCCTAAACCCCATCTTCTTCCAGAAGTGCTGGGAAACTGTGGGACCATCTCTTGTTCAGTTTATTCTTGACTGGTGGGCCAACCCAGGGAAAATCAGAGAAGTTAATTCGACAATCTTGGTGCTCATTCTGAAGGTCCTGCAACCGATCTTCCATTGAGCAATTTTGTCCCATCAGCCTATGCAATGTGGCATATAAAGCATTGACAAAGTGCTTGGCGGAACGGTTGAAGAGTCTCATGCCATCTCTCGTCCATGAGACCCAAACCAGTTTTGTGCCAGGACGCCATATCACAGATAATATTTGCATCCTGCAGGAGGTGGTGCACTCAATGCGTGCGCGCAAGGGGAAGCGGGGGTGAATGGTCTTGAAAATAGACCTCTCTAGAGCTTATGATCGGATTAGATGGGGGTTTGTTCGTGATACCCTCGAAGCAACAGGTGCCCCAGCAAAGTTTGTGGACATTACAATGGCGTGCATATCCTCGGCCTCTATGCAAATCCAGTGGAATGGGGGCCTTACTGAAAGCTTCCAGCCGTCGCGCGGGTTACGCTAGGGATGCCCGCTGTCTCCCTATCTTTTCACTATGTGCATGGAGAGATTAGGGCATATCATTGACGACTCGGTCAGATCTGGCAGGTGGCAACCTATACGCCTCTCAAACACAGGTCCGGCGCTATCCCACAGCTTCTTCGCCGATGATTTGATTGACGACTCGGTCAGATCTGGCAGGTGGCAACCTATACGCCTCTCAAACACAGGTCCGGCGCTATCCCACTGTTTCTTCGCCGATGATTTGATCATCTTCGGGGAAGCATCAGTTTCCCAAGCCCAGAAGATCAATGCCTGCTTCGAGAGATTTGGGGCATCATCGGGACAACAAATTAGTAAACCCAAATCAAGAATCTACTTCTCAGCCAACGTGACGGATACGCAAAGGCAAAGCCTCGGTCAGGAACTTGGGATTCCGGAAACAACGAACCTGGGGCGCTACTTGGGGGTTCCCGTGATTCATGGTAGAGTGTCGAAAGCTACATTTACGGATCTGATTGACAGGATTGATAGACGTTTAGCGGGGTGGAAGGCTGCGTCTCTCTCGCTTGCCGGGCGAATCACGCTAGCGCAATCCGTGATCTCATCGCTACCGGCTTACACTATGCAGACAACCTTGCTTCCAGCAAGTGTGTGCGACTACATTGATAAAAAGATCCGGGCGTTTATCTGGGGAAGCACCGAACAGGGGAGAAAAGTGCATCTTATCGATTGGGAAACTATCTGTCGACCCAAAGAGGAGGGAGGCTTAGGGCTGCGAGATTCTACAAGAACTAATGAAGCTTACATGCTGAAGATCGCCTGGAGAATGCTCACAAAGCCAAATGACCTCTGGGCAAGGGTTCTTCGAGGGAAATACGGGAAACAGACGGAAGAGGGATGGACCTTTCGCAGTAAGGAAAGGCTGTCTAATCTCTGGCGAGGAGTGATGCGCGTCGCACACTTGATCGAGGGGGCAACGGCGTGGAACGTTCGAAATGGCAAAGTGGCACGATTTTGGAGTGATAGATGGCTGGATGATGAAGTCATCCTCAGTGACCATGAGTCCGGCCTAGCGCCAGAAGTGTGCAACATGCCAGTGATTGACTTTGTACTCAACGGTGAGGGAAACCTGGAATATTTGCGGCAATACTTACCCCCAACTCTTGTTTTGCAGGTAGGATCGCATCCTGTCCCGACGGAGGAAGCCGATGACGTTCGGGTTTGGAGATTCTCAGAACGGGGGGAGTTCACCCTCCGAACGGCGTACGAGCTGACTGAACGGGAGGCGAGCACGACCAATGTCCAGTCTGTGTGGCGAACCATCTGGAAGGCACCAACCATGCAGAGGGTGCGCTCCTTTCTTTGGCTGATGAACCACGACCGCCTCTTCACCAACGCAGAGCGAGGGCGCCGCCACCTGACGACAAAGAAAGGATGCAAAATCTGTGGAGTTGACCTGGAGACTACAATCCATGTTGTACGTGACTGCCCCTTCGAACGAGCTACCTTGGCAGAAATGCTTGGAGGCGAACCGGACAGCCTCTTCTTCGAACCCGATGTCAAGCGCTGGTCGCACTACTATCTTTCAGGGAAGAGTCAGATTATTGATAGTACTCTCTTTGCAGGTGTCTGCTGGTTACTGTGGAAGAATCAGAATGGCCTTATCTTCCGGAGCGAGCTGAAAACTCATACACAGATCCAGTTCCAAGCAAAACAGCTCAGAGAACAGATTCTTAAAGCATTCGAGAAGGAGAGGAACATTTTCGGAGATGGGGGACTCCGAGTAAGGTGTGAAATTGGCTGGCAACCACCGGCACCTGGCTGGGTCTGTGTCAATACAGATGGCTCAGTTAACTCCTTTCCAGAAAGCACAGCCTGTGGCGGCATCGTTCGGGGAGACGATGGTCGTTTCATCAGAGCATTCACAGCGAATCTTGGAGGGGGTTCCATAACCCGTGCCGAGCTGACTAGAATTGTGTATGGGTTGAAGCTTGCTTGGGAGGAAGGCGCCAGGAAGGTTGTTCTGCAGACTGACTCAGCGACAGCCAAGTCCCTGATAGAGACGGTATCACCGAACCACCCACATTATACGAGGGTGGCTGAAATTCAAAGATGGCTTGACCGACCATGGACTGTCAGGATCGATCATGTCTACCGCGAAGCCAATTATGTCGCGGATCATTTAGCCTCTGTGGGCCACTCGGCTCCGACTGTGTACCATATTATTAATAGCCCGAGTAGTAATCTGGCTTACTGGCTGTACTATGACACTTTGGGAATACAAACTCCCCGTTTGATTCGTACGGAATAAAGGTTAGGGCGCCCTTAGCGCCCTGTTCTCACAAAAAAAAAATATTTATTGGTATTGAGCAGGATAAACTGTAAAAATTACACAAATTGGGGTGAATGCATTTTCAACAGTATGATGGTACCTGGGCCTGCTCATATCCAAATGGAGGCCCAAGCCTTGTTCATATCGCATGATGGGTTTCAAGTTTCAACCCAAAAATGGCAAAACCACTCCGGCAATTGAGCGAACGAGTACGAGCCCCCATTGGCCGCTGCTTATACAAAGAGAATTCCCCACCTTTGGTCGTCCTCTCACCTCTGCGATAACAGTCGTTAAACGAAGTGGAAGAATCTCTGGCCGATCAACATAGGGGAAGCGAGAGAAGCGCTATACGCCGGGGAACCATGAGCGGGGTTGCGAAGAAGGTGACAGATGTGGCGTTCAAGGCGTCAAAGACTATTGATTGGGAAGGCATGGCCAAGCTCCTTGTCACCGACGAGGCTCGCAAGGAATTCGCCAATCTCCGCCGCGCCTTCGACGATGTTAACTCTCAGCTCCAGACCAAGTTCAGCCAGGTCACCTCTCCATTTCCCTATGTACATAATTTTTTTTATGAATTTCGGCCGTCCTCTTTTCCAGTTTCCGATTGCGCCTTTTGATAGGGTTTTTCTGCAATCTGGGCCTAGATCTAAATGTCTGCGCTTCCGGCATATATGGAATGATCCTTGGATTGCTTTAGCCGTAGGTAACGGTTTAAGATTCGTATGATAACATCGTCAAGGCGTTTGGGACTTGGAAGCCATTCAACTTTGTTCCGTTTTGTAAAATTTAGGCAGATGGATAACTAGAGTCTGGCTGTAACAGTGTTTTCTTTTCATTGACATAATCTGACGATCGGGAACGTATCACAGTAGATGAGCTTAGTTTTACTATCGGTATCTGTTGGGATTGATCTATCTCAGGAATTCCTGCTATGTTGTAGTACAAGGTTAATGCTTCTATGGGGTTTATACATTTAAAGTACTGAGCAAATGTAACTTAATGTGTAGAATATTATTTTCTAATTGAAAACGAAGAGATAATAGGATTAATAAGTGATAGGTATATACTGATTGTTGAGTGAATGTGCTATTGGTTCTCTGGCATGTATGGGGTTCATGTTTGTATGTTGGATCAATTGACTTAGGTTACTGAATCTTGTTGCTCATGTTGTTGTAAACTGTATCCATCCACCTGTGCCTTCACGGTCTAAAGTTGATTCCTCTTTAATTTCTGTAAAATTTTGGATCTTTGTTTCGTTATCGGTTATTTATTGCTAGGACGTGTCAGTATAATGTATGTAAAACTGGAGGTAGCTTAATAGTGTAATTTTTTTATTTTCTTCAAGAAGCAATTTGAGCACAAACTTATGCGAGTTATTTTCCCTTTGAATTTTCAGGAACCCGAGCCAGTAGACTGGGAATATTACAGAAAGGGGATTGGTTCTCGCTTGGTTGACATGTACAAGGAAGCATATGACAGTATGTCTCCTATAACTTCTTAAGAGTTATGAACTGTATTTGTTTGAGCTATTTCTTGAAAGTGCACTTGTATTCTTCCCATGTGGTTGTTCATAATTCTGCTGGAGTCAACAATTATTCAGCTGGCGCTTTTCTGAATCTCTATCAATGGGGTCATTAGTCTTCTCCAGCTGTGGGATATTAAGAATGGATCTTCGTTCCTCTTGATGTATTTATTATCTGACCATCGTCATAAGATAACATAAAATGTGTAAAAAAAGGCTCGTTTTCGGAGAACCAAATATTTGGTCCAAATTTCCAATGAATTATGTAGAAGGGGTTTCATTATCTCCTGACTTTTCAGATAGCACTCCGAATCCCAGGAGTTTTCATTTGTGCTGAGCAAAGAATTGAAATGAACTATGTAGAGAGGGAGGGAGGGAAAGAAAGAAAGAAAAACAAGGGGATTTTTATTTATGTGTAATGATGCTAAACCTGGCTATGTTTCTGTGATTTCACTTGGACGTTCCACCTATTCCACTTCATTGTGAGTTTATCCCTTGAAATATATAGGAGGACATGGTTGTTAGCTAAGATACTTAAAAATCCCGCTCCCGTTCTAGCTGGAAGTTGCCGTTACAAACAGGTTGAAAAACCTTAGGATTGAGTAAGCTTTCTGATTGGCTTGGTTAGTTTTAGTCTATTGCCACGTGAATCACTTAATTCTAATGAAAAATCTGATAGAACGATGTGAAGTACGTGCTCCATTTAAAGTGGCTCAGCTTGTTTACCTGTTTCCATAACTGGTGCTTCTTATCTTGTAGTTACTACGTTTGAAGTGTAGTAATAGAAGTAAATGTGGCATACTAATTAGTGCCTACTGAAATGTGTTTGCTTCGTTATGTTGGTGCTTTGTATATCAAAGAATTAGATTGCAGTGCCATTTCTTAGATCAAGGCATTTGTGGCTGTTTCTGTTATTTGATGGACTTGTGTCTCTTTAATATTTTTGCAGGCATTGAGATACCAAAGTATGTGGACAAAGTCACTCCTGAGTACAAACCCAAGTTTGAACAACTGGTGAGCATGAAGAAAACAGGAAACCAACGCAAATCCTGATTTTTCGTTTCTTAACCTGCCGCTGTCATTAGTTTTGTGGTTGATTAGTTCAACCTTGTTTCGATTGCTTCTATAGCCATTTTACGGAATTAAACATCTGCACTTGTAGATGGTGGAACTCAAAGAGGCAGAGCAACAATCTCTCAAAGAATCTGAACGCTTGGAGAAGGAGATTGTTGAAGTCCAAGAGATGAAGGTGTGACATTGGATGATTTTCTCAGACTTATTTAAACATGCTTGGTATGCAGTTTTCATCACTCTTATTCTCTCTGCTCTTTGAATTGTGTTTGAACAGAAAAAGATCAGCACCATGACTGCAGATGAGTACTTTGAGAAGCACCCTGAGCTAAGGAAGAAGTTTGATGATGAAATCCGAAACGACTACTGGGGTTACTGAAATCTCTAATCTGCAGCCTTTGTCAATTTGGAGAGCGAGTCGAGGGTCTCATTCTGAGAATAAAAGCACCTCCAGAATACTTTCCTCAGTAATTTTTGGATTTTCTGGTTAATTTTTGAATGGCTAAGGTTTATGTCACAATGCACCACTCGGTAAGGGATCGATTTGGATCCCCTCTGCAATGGAAACGATGGTCTGGCATTAACAATAGAACTGTCGTTGCACTTTTGGAATTGCACTGTGACTGTTGTTTAGTGTGCAATCTCTGATGCTATCAAGTAACTGGAAATCTCTGGTCAGATATTATGGCGTCCCCCGCCTTTAGTGTTAATATAATCCAATGAATGCAACAAATCAGTAAATAGGAAGCAAATCTTGCCTCAAATAAAAGAAAGTAAAAATTCTCATCGTAGAAAACTTACAATGTCTAAAGAGGAAAAAATCTCAAAGTACACATGTTCTTAAAAAAAATTCCCAAAATACATAAGTTATAAAAAAATTTCACAAAATACACATGTCTGCCGCGTTCACCGTCGTCGTCGGATGTGGTGAGGCGTGGATCGTGGTTTTCTTCCCAGATCCGACAAACGCCTCACGCTAAGCCACGTCACTCGATCCGCGCCCATTCACCGTCCTCGAGAAACGCGGTCACTTCACCGTTTCTGACTGACGCGGTGAATGCTCACCAGTTTCATTCGGCAGATTCCTTCCCCCAACTATAAATAGACCCTTTCCCCACCACTTACAACTCACACCACAACCATTTCACTTCTTTCTCCCTCAATTTATCCGCTCTAGTCTCGTTCTGAGTATGCTCTGTGGTTGCGGATAAATCCGATCTTCCACATCAGAAAGAATTACTAGAGTTTGACCCTAAAGCCCCCATCCCGCTACAGCTGTGGGTATGCGAGCATCTTCCAATGTTCGCACCTCAAGACCCACGTCCATACCGGAGAGTCGATGATGAGCTAAGGGCCAAAATGAGGGGCAACCAAATGAAGAAAACCAGTGATTTGAGTTTGAGTTTGCATTGTCGTTGAGTTATCCAGGTTGTTTTTAAAATTTTTAGGTCTTGTGATTTGAGTTTGCATTGTCTAAAAACTATCCTACGCACTTAAGTTGTCATTGAAACACTTTATTGATGACATTTTTTGTTTTATTTTTCGCCTCGTCGTCGTTATCATCAGTATCTTCCTCTTCGCTCACTGATCTCAAATCTTCCTCAGTATCCTCGTCGCTTGAGTCAAATGGATAGCTCGGCCCAGAAGGATCAACATGACCACCATCACCAACATCGTCTTCTCGCTCAACTGAAGTACGCCATGCTCGAATGGTATTCTCGATTTCAGCCCACTCAGGCCCCCAAGCAGGCCATTGAACGCCATCGGCAAGTTGATCCTGTTGCGAGTATTCTTCCGACGGCACCCATCCTGCACTACTTCCTCCACCGTAGTTGATTGAACTACCACCCTCTCCATAACCTCCTATATAACCACCTCCTTCGTAGTTGCTCGAACTACCACCCCATCCTTACCCTCCTGCAAAACCATCATCATAAGAATACTGGTGAGAATGAGTTTCACCGACCGCCTCGGTCTCAACATACACCTCTGCAAGCCGCATCCCGTTATCGCTTAGGAACTCCAACATCATCGTAACCGCGTCATCATCGTTTATGACAACTTCTTGGTACACAACCCCGCCAGCACTCATGTCTGGATACCGGTAACTAATTTTGCTAAGTCTCGTCTGTCCGCTCGTACAAACCCTGTCTGCACAAATATCACGGAGTTCTTGAAAATTGAATCGCGACTCAATTTTCAGCATAGTGGATTCACCGTTCTCATAATCAATCCCTATGTCAGAGTTTGTCGCCCTTCCATTCCACCGAATAATAAGCCGAAACTTCTTGAATTTACCCATATCTAAAATTTACAACAAGTGTAACTATTAGTTTAAAGACAGTAAAATTAACCAAAACCATATTGAACGACTAATATTACTCCATCTCATAACTAACGTAACATAAATTCAACTAACTAACAACAACATAAATTCAAAAATTAAGTACTACAATTGCTACAATAAGTAATTCATAATAACATAACAATATAACTACTAAAAACATTATTGTACGACTAATATTACTCCATCTCATAACTAACGTAACATAAATTCAACTAACTAACAACAACATAAATTCAAAAATTAAGTACTACAATTGCTACGATAAGTAATTCATAATAACATAACAATATAACTACTAAAAACCATATTGTACGACTAATATTACTCCATCTCATAACTAACGTAACATAAATTCAACTAACTAACAACAACATAAATTCAAAAATTAAGTACTACAATTGTTACGATAAGTAATTCATAATAACATAACAATATAACTACTAAAAACATTATTGTGCGACTAATATTACTCCATCTCATAACTAACGTAACATAAATTCAACTAACTAACAACAGCATAAACTCAAAAATTAAGTACTACAATTGCTACGATAAGTAATTCATAATAACATAACAATATAACTACTAAAAACATCATTACGCTATAATACGAAAATTAAATCATACTATAACTACTAAAAACCCATCATTAACCTATAATACGGAAAATAAATCATACCGAAAATTCCCCGCCTGTGTATTATGCTCGGTTTTGGTTGCTGAAATTTGAAGAGGGGGGAGTGGTTGTGTTTCTGTAAGTGCTGGTGGGCTGGTATTTATACTAAAATCTGCCTAATGTTCACCGTTTTGGTCAAACACGGTGAAGACCATCACCGCGTTTGTCTCAAACGGTGAACATTAGGTAGCTCATACCTAATTTTCACCTAACATGGGTTGAAAACGTGCCTAGTACTCACCGTTTTAACCTAGAGCGGTGAAGGTATTCACCGTTTTGCCCTAAAACGGTGATGCATTCACCGTTTCCTACTAAAACGGTGAATACTTCACCGTTTTAGGCTTAAACGGTAAATTATTCACCGTTCTTGTCAAACGCGGTGATAGCCTTCACTGCGTTTGTCAAAAACGGTGAATACCAAACATGTGTAGTTTTGGAAAAAAATTTTATAACTCATGTATTTTGGAAATTTTTTAAAAGAATATGTGTACTTTGAAATTTTTTCCGTCTAAAGATCTGAACAATAGAAGGCACATGTACAGAAGCCAGAAAGTACAACCACTGCTCTGTGCATAAATGAAATACTACCTGTTTTCACTTCAACAATGAGAAGTGAGGCAGCAGCTACCACTGCAAATGAACTAATCTGCTCATGAGCGACTTGACTTTGGTTCTGGAAAAACTTATTTAATATTCGGCAAACGAGTCGAATTTGAGCCAAATCATATTTTACTCATAAGACTTGTAATTTAGCTCGATTTGGTGGCTTGTTGAGTTCACCACGTGAACTTTCTCATTTTGAGCTAAAAGTTCGGTCGGTAGTAAGGCTAGCAAGCTATCTCAAATGGCAACTTATAAGCGAACCGATTAATAGTTTAGATAAGTCATAGGTTTGTTGATTATATATCTCGTCACGTATAATGTTTAAAATTTGAGCACGTGATCAAATATGTCTTATTTATAATAAAAGTACTAGCTTATTACCCGGCCCGTTGGCCGGATTACTGTATGTTACCCACTTGTGGAATGGGAGAGAAAGCAAGTGAGAGTGAAGGGATTGTGATTCCAGTTGATTAGGACCGACCCACTAATCTGATTCTTCCCGATCCGCCCCAACCTAAAGGGTCAGAAAGAGTCAATAAGAAAATACGAACAGAGAGAATTAGTAATATATCTTGACTCTTCAGAAGTGGGTCAAACAGGATCAATGTTGGGTGAGGGCAATTTTTAGCGCTAAGCAGAGTTCTGGGTTGAATAAATTTACTTAGTCCTAGAAATTGGTGCTGATGCAGACTGCAGTTTTTATCATACCATCATCAATCATCGTTGAATTAGTCCTAGGCATCCCTCCCCGTTGTCGGTCTGAATTTTAATGATGGCTTCATTCCTTGCACCAGCCATATCGGCGAGTTGTCATCTCGAGCATGATTTGCCTATGTACAAATGATACAATTAGAGTATGAAACTGATATCAAAGAAAAGGAAAAGAGAATTCTATCACATGCCAATAAATACACACATAATAGTTGAAGCTAAGTGAAAGTCATTACTCGCACATCAATTCTCAAAAATGACAGACTAAACAATGGCCAGAATGGCACTGAAACTACCAAAAATCATGGACGAAACAACTTGTCAAATTAAATAATCCTTATACTGAAACTACCTTCTAACTTGAAATAATACATGATCACAGTTCATAGCACTCTTATCACTATGAATTGGTTGCAGCTCGTCCTTATCACTACCTCCCAAGCTCAATTCAAACAGAATAGACACAGTTATGTAAGATAACCATATCCTTACTGATCATAATTCCTTTCTTCACTCCATTTTTGTCGGAGAAAAGAGTTATCCCCCTCTCATGCATTTCCCTTTCCCCCTCTCTTCTCCCTCTTCTTCACAAACTGATCCCTAAACCAGCAACAACAACACAAAAATAGCCTTTGCCTCTGCCATCTCCATCTATTGAACGCGTTGGTGGCAAGACAGGACTGCAGAAGCAAAATTTTCTAAAATCAAACTAAATTTTTTGAAGGATACTCAACCACGAAAAAAGAGTAAAGCAACAATGCTAATAGTTCAGATGGTTGGTTTTGATGTTATACGTTGCTTTTGTTCTGGTCTCCAGTGTATCAACTGCAACAGAGATGTTTCTTCCAATCATCTTTAGTGCACGATTTAGAAGTAAGTCCTCTTGTTTGTGTCAAACGGAAACATTCATGGGTTCTTAACTCCCCTGTTAGTGTAAATGCAGCAGCAGCAAAGAAGTTTGACAACACAGCAAGCACCCAGGCAAAATGATACAATGCAGTAGGTGATATGTGTCTCGAAGGTTTTGAGTTACTAAAGTTCATGTTAAAAATAAATATGAATTAAAATGGATTATTCTATTAAGCAAACATCCCCTCTAATCATACAAAGATCAGATATCCAATTCACAAACAATTAAGCCATAAAAAATCATCAAACATCCACCACCTTTGATTGCCTAAATTTGGTTTTTCGCAAAGTTATGGACTCTTAAGGGTAACGTTCATGGGTAGTCTGTTTCATAACTCTAGAGAGCATAGTAAGCAGCCACCAACCAGACACAGTGCGGTAGGCGAATATGATTCTCAATTCACAATTTCTCACCACCGGAAGTAAGAACAGACCATAATAAGCGTAGCGTTCATGGGTGGTCTGTTTCATAGCACTACTACACAATTTGTTAAAAAAGAAAGAAAGGTATTTAGCATCACGACGGAACAACTTTTACAGGCCAACAACGACAACATGTTGCAACCACCAGAACTGGTATCACAACTCATAGGGAAAATCAAAAGATTTACTCTCAAATTAAGTAGTTACAACATCGAGCAATCGTCAAGCACATACACCATCACAAAAGTCACAGAACCTGATTCACAAAGCATTCAAACATTTGAGGACATTTCTGCAAAGGTACAACTTATATGTCTTTTTTCCAAGCCATTTCCATCAACATGCTAATAAATTTGCAATGCATAAAACAAACAGGCCAAAACTTGAAATTCAACCTATTTGACCGACCCATGCCAAATTCTAATTATTCTTTACTTTTAAACTTTCTATTTGAAAATAAAAAATAGTAAAAGAAAAGAGACGACTACAATTCGCCATTTGCACATCACTTATTTGGGAATAAAACCATATAAATTCAAAAGGAACTGAAAATGTTTAGGATCGTTTTAATATTTAAAATAACCAAATAGATCTTTATGTTTAGTTTTTTACTAACAAATACCAAACGATTCCCTATAAAATACACTATAATTTGATCATTATGATGTCAAATAATTATAAAATATATATTTGAAAGGATAAAAATGGGACTAATTGGGTTGGTCGAGGTTGAACCATTGAATAACTTTAAAATACATTATATTTTAGCCACTAAGATATAAAATAATAGCATAATATATATTATGTCAGAGAAAATAGCTTGTTTTAGAATGGCAAACCAATGATGTTCATTTGTTTTACTTGATGACCAAATCCCATGTAGGTCAGGCTCATTCAACTCTTTTGTTTTATGGTTAGCGGTTAGCCCATTAGATACCATGCATTAGTTTATTGTTAAATTTTTTATTTTTATTAATAAAAAGGAGTATTATTTTTGTCTTTTCATATATATTTTATCACCACGGAGAAATAAAAGGGTATAAAGAAAAAAATTGACACTCCTGGACCCGTTTAAATCCGCATGTGTACGGTAAGTTGGCCCGTTCCACAAAGAAAAGAGAAAAAAATTGACACTCCATATTCCACCATTCCTACAAACGCTCCTGGAATAGGAAATTTGAAATAGGGGAAGAGTTTTTCCCACCCTGCTATTATATGTTTTTAATTTAAAAAGATACAACAAATGTATTTAGTGTGATTGGTTATGATCTTTGCCTTTCTTTAAAATGGTCATGGTTTGAATCCAAGTATGTATCTTTTTAATGAATAAAAAAAAGTAATTGTGAAGACCAAAATGTCCTTCCTACTTTCACTCTCATTGCAGGAAATTTGAAATGGGGCTCCCGTTTTCCCCTTCGGTGTATTATATTATGTGTAGATATATCATAAATTTCTTAGATTCTAATTACTATGAGATAAATTGATATACATACCATGATATAAACAACTAAAAATTATTAACTGAATGATTTAATACTTGCACTCGAGCCAATCTCGTGGACTAATTTATGAATCGAGTTTGAGTAACATACAAACCAAAATTTATGTAACGAATGGACCTCAAATTAGGTCAAAACCGGAATCAAATGCTATCCACTGGGAAATCTCGCCCTACCGAGTTCTAAGCAAGAAAAGGCCCTTTTCACTATAGAAGTGGACCGGGCCGAGAAGACTGGCCACGTTATCATGGGCCGAAAGGAGAAGGGGCACAAGCTTGGCTTGTTCGCTCTCGGCCGATAAGAAAAAAATGAAAAATAATAAAAAGGGAGAAAGGAGCGCTTAGCGGCAAGGACGACGAAGAGATTTCACCACAAAAAGAAAGTTGGAAAGGAAGAGAAGGAGAAAAACAAGGCGACTCCGATAGTGGGAAGAAAAGGAGAACAAGGCGGCGTCAGCGCGGACGAGAGCGCTGAGCGGGGACGGTCGTGGAGCTTGCTTGTCTGGCCGACTCCGATACTGGTAATCAGAGTTTTCCTCCTCCATCTTTTATTTTTGGTTGAAACTGAAATACTCGATCTCTTCTCTTGTACGCAAAATCTCGAATCCCCTGCTAACGGAGTTTTTCTTCCTTGTCGGTATGGCGTGCGGAATGGCCACCGTAGAGCGCTAGAAATTGGAGATGAGATCAAAGAGATACGTCGAGAATTAGAAGAAACTGTATGCTCTGCAGCTGGAGCTCGAACGGAGAAACGTTTGCTTTATTATCGTGTTCTTAAATTGAGATCAAGAACTTCTCGTTTCCATGTCGAAACGGTGATTACCTAAACCCTTCTTCTTGTTTGTTTCATATTGCTGGTTGCTTCCTGAGAAACTTTCTTTGGCTATGGCGATGCTCTTTTTGCTTAATCTTCGTTCATTTTCTTGTTTTTTCGTATTGGGGATGGCAGTTTCCTTTTCGTGCACTGGGTTGATTCATGGAATGTATATTAATAAGGCTTTGATTCTCTTCATTGAAGAGGCTGGGTAGAAATCTTGTTCTTATTAATATTTAGTGCTTCTCTTGTTGTAGCCATTTTCCTAATAGATTACTGCATTCTGTCTTCCGAATCATGATAATTCTATGCTTCTCTTTCCCTCCATTTCAAGTTCAGCTGTAGAATCAGGTTGTTGTTGGACTTGTCCATGTGTGAAATTTGCTAGTTTCTGGTTAGGTTTTCGATATTGTAGATGATTCATACCGAATGAAATCGACCTAGTTTTATTTGTATCTTTGCTTTCATTTATGTTGATTGTGTTGATTTATACCTTTGACTCGTTGCTGAATCTATTTGTTCTAGGGTGCTGTGCAAGTTTTTTGCCCATGGAGCATGCTTGAAAGGGGAGCATTGTGAATATTCCCATGACTGGAAAGATCCATCAAGCAATGTAAGTCTGTTTGATTCTGTTTTTTATATGTGTGTTTGGAATTTTATTGTTCACATGCACTAGTTATTTTAGATTCCTTACTCCAAATCCCTGTACAGATTTGTACCTTTTATCAGAAGGGGAATTGCTCTTATGGGAGTCGGTGCCGGTATGAACATGTTAAAGCCTCTAGACCACAGTCTGCTGGTTCATCTTCTATGACTGTTCCTTCTGGCAATGGAAGGATTGGACCCTATGGTGTTACAACAGTTCATGGTTTGCCTTCAGAGCTCTCCCCTGGCAGCCAACCTTTCCTTCCGTCCAATCATCTTGCATGGCATTTGGGATCTGGGGATCGTGAGTTCTGTGAACCTGATGTTACCGTGGAGCTGCAAAATATGAAACCATCAGATCGTCCACTTTGTTCTTTTGCTGCGGCTGGAAATTGCCCTAGAGGAGACCAGTGTCCACATGTTCATGGTGACTTGTGTCCCAGCTGTGGGAAGAATTGTTTGCATCCTTTCAGGCCTGAGGAAAGAGATGAGCATATGAAGACGTGTGAGAAGATGCAAAAGCACCTTGATGCGTTGAAGCGCAGCCAAGAAATAGAATGTTGTGTGTGCTTGGATAAAGTGCTGTTGAAGCCAGCGGCAGCAGAAAGAAAGTTTGGCGTGCTCTCTGAGTGTGATCATCCATTCTGCATAGGTTGTATTAGGAATTGGAGAAGCAGCTCACCAACTTCTGGAGTCGAACCGAGTTCTATGTCGAGGACATGCCCAGTATGTCGCAAGCTATCCTATTTTGTGGTTCCCAGTGTGATCTGGTATTTCTCCCAAGAAGACAAGACGGAAATCATTGATACCTACAAGGCAAAGCTTAGGCAAGTTATATACTTTTTATGTTTGTTCTAATTGCTTGATTCTCCCATCATATAACTTTTAATTTGTTGAAACATATTTTGTATGTCCAGACCATGCTGACTATATTCTGTGTTTAAAAGTGCTAATTTTTAATCTATGTTCATATTTTCCATCTTGCAGGTCAATTGATTGCAAACACTTCAACTTTGGAAATGGAAACTGCCCATTTGGCTCCAGTTGCTTTTACAAGGTAAACCTGACTCCAATTCTTACTTCTGCAACATCGATGGCCATGCTTTTGTCAGTATTACTGTCTGAACATGTTATACCAAGTATGTTTTGCAATAAACACTTACCATATCCTTCTAATATATTGTGTGATAAGTTCCCACCTGTAATGCTGTCAACTTTTCTGTTGTCTTTTCCATCTGTGAGATGAATTTCACCTAGATGGTTTAAATCTCCAAATATGCAAGTGGTGTCCATGTGCTTCTCTTTTTGTGTGTTCTTACGTGTTATGACTGGCTGACCAGCTAGGTGCTGCTAGCCTGACGGCTTATCACAATTACTGTTGTTAAAAGGTGGAAGGTATAGCTCTTGGTCCAAGATGATCACAAGCTTTTGAGTGTTGATCTGTGCATTTTCTTGCTCAATTGATCCCCTACATACCAGTCTAACTTCACAATTACACAGTTTGTCCTCACCAGTTAATGGCACAGGGTCATTTGTTCGTTTTCCAGTCTGCATTGTAGTAATCTTCCAGATAGTATCGAGACCAGCTTGTAGTCAACACTTTTCCTTCTCATTTTCCAGTGTGCTGTACCATTTTGTCCTCTGTTGAGTATTAATTCAGGAGAATGTTAACTTCATGACTCCTTTAATGGGTGTAATGTTCTGTTGTATTCCAGCATCATGTCAAGCCTGGCTCTTATATGTGGAAACATAACAGACCACCTCCACGGAGGCCTTTTCCACGCAACTCCAATGCTTTGGATTTTCCAGCATTGTATATGCAGAGAATAGCAGAGGATGATGATGATGATGATGATCCCTGGGATCCTGAATTCCTTGATTATGATGACTTCAGTGATCCGTTTAATCCGGACAATCTCGATGTTGAAGAATTTCCCTCCTTGGATGATGATTTGACACCTTTCGAAATGGCTTTATTACTAGCTACCCTCCATTGTGGAACCCCTGACTATTCTAGTGACGAGTAGGGTTGTTAAGCTATCTGTTGGGGATGCCTCGCTCAGTGTTTAGTAGTTTGGATTTTGTCTATGCAGCAGGAGTGAAGATTCTAGTTGTTGAAGCGATCAAGTATCTGTTCCCTGTGAACATTTGACTTTTGAACTGTGGAATTCTTCCATTGTGTTGACTCCCTGTGTTCATACAATTTTCTGATAGTTAATATTGTTCTGCTGGTAATTGGGAGACTGAATTTGTGTGCATGAGCGTGCTGCTTGTTCATGGTGGAGTCTTTTTTGTTGTTGAAAGTTTATAAATGGAAGTGGAATGCAATCGTTGTGTTGTCATGATGCATTATGCTGTGTGTTAGTGTGTTTACACTATGCAGAGATATCTCAAAGAGCATATAATTTGCTTTGAATGCATGTAACAATGAGTTTTCCATCTCTTACAGCATGCATACAGAGATGGACGTCTCGAGGAAGTGGTATTGCGCCACCTTGGTTCTGAAGATGGGCACACAGTCATAGCCAAAAATATCAGGTCATTAGTACTCTCCCATATCTCTCTCTCTCTCTCCGATCAATGTGATTTGCTGTACTGATGCGTCCAATGGGTTGTCTCTTGATGCTTGTTCGTTTCGTTTTTCAGGCTGTCGGATTTCCTTCGCGATCTCCGAATTTAGCTGCATACAGTTGCACTTGAGAAAGGAACTATACTGATGCTCGATTCCTCGACATGAGCTGGAATTTTATGTACAGTTCGCATACTTTCAGGGATCTCATTTACATTCTTGCAACCATAAAGAGACCCTGGTGAAGGGCCGAATACAGCAAGAAAACATAAAGAGAGAGTGTCAAACTGTATACTTACCTGTGGTAGCAGCCGCCGTCCCGCTCTTATGCGAGGCCGAAGCTATAGCGAACAGTTTTTTGAAACAAATACATGTACTTGGTTATACAGAAAAGTGCAGAAACAGGTCATTGGTCCTTAGACATTCTTCCCTAAGACTCGGGAACATGATGTCCAATAAGCATGGTCATAACAAGTGCAGAGCAGCTCGTTAGTCTGCAACATTCTTAGCCAGGCACTCACTGAATATTTACATGAGAAGCACATATTTTTTGGCTTGTCTAATGTGCTGATAACTACTTAGCTGCAAAAACTAGGCTTGCAACATGCAAAGAATTCGCGAGATTCGAATCGATCGATGTTTTAATGTCGTCGTCGTCCTGCTGCTTAGATGAGTGCAAATATGATACTTTAAGTTGGAACGTGATAATACAAATGACTAGAGACGTATACTATTGCTGGAGGATTAAGTTGTATATAGTAAGACTTCTAATCTTGTTCATTATTTTATTTTCTTCCCATTGAATGGAATACAAAGTAGCATTATTCAAGGGTGAGAAGAAAGACGAAGATCAAGAATGAATCAGATAATCTAAAATGTAACAAGCGTCGAAGTTTGGTGATAGATCAGCACAAGGAAAAGACTCGGTAAGTAGCGCCATGAAGCAGAGGTGTGTGTGTGTCTATCATTTACAGTGCCAGCAAATCCTCCCTTCACCGCATGGAAGCCACGTATCATCGTTCCCCGGCCACCTCCCTCCCTTCTGCCTCCATAAATCCACTCGGCTAGCTTGTCGAAACCTGAAGCAACCACAACAAAAAAAGGAAAGAAGATAGCTGATCAAGATGGGACGTACTAGGAGAAGCGGCGCTGTGGGGTTACCGTTGCTGCTGCTGGCTTTACTGTGCTGCTGCCATGTTCTCGTCACCGCCACGGCGGCGATGGTGGGGCCTGCTGCTACGGGTTTGTACAGAGAAGAGGAAGAGGAGGAAACAGAGGAGGAATTTGGTGGTGGGAGAGGAGAAAGAAGGCGGAGAAGAGAGGAGGAGATGGCGGGTGGAGATGATGATCGGTACCTGCTACAAGACTCCAAGCAGGTGATCCAAACTGAAGCAGGGGTTATGAGTGTCGTCAGGAATTTCGCCGGATGGAGAACTGTGGAGAGGCCGCTCCATATCGGGTTCATTACCATGGAGCCCAAGTCGCTGTTCGTTCCCCAGTATCTCGACTCCGGCCTCCTCATCTTCGTCCGCCGAGGTACTGCTACAATGTGGTTGGGTTTAGTAATTTCAATCAATGTGGTTGGGTTACTTATTATGTTGCTTCCATTTTGGCTGTGGCAGGGGAGGCGAAGATTGGGATGATCTACAAAGACGAACTGGCGGAGAGGAAGCTCAAGATCGGCGATATCTATTGGATTCCGTCGGGTTCAGCTTTCTACTTGGTTAACACTGGAGAAGGGCAGCGTCTCCATATTCTCTGCGCTATTGATCCTGCTGAGAGCCTTGGTTTCAGCTCCACTTTCCAGGTTAATTTCGTTCTTCTTGAACATGAGTAGTAATCACGAGGTGGGCAATGAACCTGACTTCTGGTGTTTTAACATTAACTCTTGCAGTCTTTCTTCATCGGCGGTGGCAGTTATCCAACTTCGGTCCTCGCCGGTTTCGATCCAGACACCCTAGCAACTGCCTTCAATGTAAACCTCCTACTGTACAACCCTCCAAAAATTTTGTTCTCAAAATCAACAATGTTAGTGCATCCTGACCTGAATTAATTCAAATCAGGTAACCATGGGCGACCTGAGGGAGCTGATGTCCCGTCAACAAGAGGGTCCGATCGTCTTCGTGGGCGACTCGAGGGCGCCGGAGCGGAGAACCGTCTGGTCCGAGTTCCTGCAGCTGAAACACCAAGATAGGCTTCATCACCTCAAGCGAATGGTCGATTCTCGGAAACTGGTGGAAGAAGAAGAAACATCATCCTCCGCCGGCCTGACCAATTTTTCGTGGCGGAAAATCCTCTACTCCCTGTTTGGACGCCAGGAAAATAATAATGAGAACAGGAAATCCAGAGGCTGGACGACCGGGAAATCCCCCGACTCCTACAACATCTACGACAAGAAAGCCGATTTCAGCAACGCCTATGGCTGGAGCATCGCACTCGACCACAACGATTACGCGCCTCTCAAGCACTCCGGCATCGGCGTCTTCCTCGTCAATCTCACCGCGGTAAAAAAAAAAAACCCTAATGTATAACCAGCTTGTTAATTGATTTTCCTTTTTTGTGCGTTTGTCTGAGTTGATTTCGTTACGCAGGGGTCGATGATGGCGCCGCACGTGAACCCGACGGCGACGGAGTACGGCATCGTGTTGAGGGGAACGGGGACGGTGGAGATCGTGTACCCGAACGGGACGCAGGCGATGAACGCGAAGATTGCGGAAGGCGACGTGTTCTGGGTGCCGAGGTACTTCCCCTTCTGCCAGATCGCGTCGCGGACTGGGCCGCTGGAGTTCTTTGGGTTCACGACTTCGGCCCATAAGAACAGGCCGCAGTTCCTGGTGGGCCAGAGCTCGGTGCTGCAGACGATGAAAGGGCCCGAGCTGGCCGCGGCCTTCGGTGTGACCGACGAGCGGATCAGGGCGATTATTGAGGCGCAGCGGGAGTCGGTTATATTGCCGTCGGCGGCGGCGTCGCCGCCGGATGAAGGGAGGAAACGGAGGAAGGCGGAGAAGGTGGTGGAGAGCCTTGGGAAGGAGATGGTTATGGGTTTTGAATAGAGAGACAAGAGGGCCTCTTAATCACCCTCCTTTTTTGTTTGTTTCTCTGTATTTTGTACTTTGTGTTCAGTTCTCTTGTTGTTCGTCTTCTGGTGCAACTGCAAGCAGTAGTCCCTTTTTGTCTGCCTGATGATTCTGTACTGTTCTTTCTCTTTTCTGAGAGCAACACAGCAATCTGTACTCTGTAGTGTTCATTAACCTCGTTTCCTTCCCTTGGTTGAGAAAGGTTTGGTTTTTGGAATTTGGATGCTTAGTTAGTTCAGTTCCTTTATGTGTTTGCTTATTGTTAATTAGATGATAGGTATTGGATGATGCATCGTTAGGTTGTTGTGACGAGTAAAAGCTGCCCCTTTTTCCCACTTTCAGAAATGATTGATATGAAGTCTGTAGGCTTGCAAGTATTAGAGATCCTCGGACTCCTAGTCGAGTTGCCCTAATAAGTAGGAATTCTGATGAACTGACTCTACAGATGAAACTATAATTAATTATGTCAAGCTAGCCAATCTAGTGATTGAATTAACTAAATGTTTTGTTAGAGGATCAAACTGATTGCTCAACTGATTCAATGCAAAGTAAGAATTTCTATTCACTCTCTGGAAGAGTTGACAAGAGTAATGGTAAAAAATGGGGTTGAAGTAATGGATTTATGGTGAAATCACATTTTATCTTTTTTTTTCTTCTCGTGTAGTGAAGCACGAACATTAACTCGTCTACTTGCATATTAGGTGATGCATCAGATCTCAATAGATTATGAGTTTGTTTAATGATGTTGAAATTTAGGATTTTATCGTTATTAGTGATGACCGTGATTAAGTTATGTTTCAAACATTCGATTTGATGAAATATGACAAATTGACACAATTCGGAAGTGGCAAATCTAGAAAATGAACCCGAGTTAAGTGATGTCTTCCAGGCATGACTCCTTTAGTTGATCCTTACTCATAACTATGGAAATACATTTTCATCTTCTTTCGACTCACCACTCTCACTTTGTTGCATTCTGAATACATGCCACAATTCACAAATACTTAAAATTACTCACAATTCACAATCAAATATGTGTCGAAAATCATCAAAGAGTCACTTGAGTTGATATTTTTGTTGCCAATTCTTATAATCTTAAATCGCCACATATGTAAACAAAATTAAATATGAGTGCTCTCGGTTCCTACGCATTGAAAACAGGAGAGAGCAAATGAAAATGGGCCGACCATAGACAATATCACCACAACAAGGCCACGGATAGAAAAACAACAAATGAAAGCCTTGCGTAATGTTCAAGCCTTTTTCTTTTCTTTTCGCCGGACTCCTTCAGCGGCGGCCGGTTTAGTTTCTACCTTTTTCCTCTTCCCCTTTTATCCCTGAAATCGTCCCCTCCCTTTTCTTCTGTTTTCCCGTTTCCCCAAATCTATCTACATTTCCGCGCCCGTTTCTTCTCCTTCTCTGCTTGATTCTGCATAGGATCTCGCAAAGCAGCGGGTACAGGAGAAACCGTTGACTTGACGCTGCCTTAAATTCCCAACTGTACCAGACTGTCCAACACAGTAAACCATGAACTCGGATCCCGACGACTACCACACTTTCTCTGCCGCTCCGCCTCCTCCCGTCACCGGAATCCCCGCCGGAATCAATGGCGTCGCCATCGGCTACGTCGTGCGAGGGCCGCAGATGAGCTTCCAGGACCAAGTCCGCGAGTTCTCCAAAGGCGCGGCCGAGCTCAGCGTCCAATTCGCCAAAGGCTGCAAGGACATTGTGTTCCAGACCCTGGGCCGCGAGGATGCGTTCCTCGCCCGGAATTTCGGCAGGAATTCCTTCGCCGGGAAGCAATTTGGACGCGGCTGTGACAGGATCGGGAAGAGATTCAAGGCTTTCAATGACTATCTGCCCGAGGATAAAGATCCCGCCCACGCCTGGTCCGTCATCGGCTTCGTCTTCGTTCTTGCATTTGCAGGTACGGAGGTTTCCACTTCTTGGATGGGAGAGTTAGGCATGACGATCGATTGAACAGTAACCTTTAGGCGGATTCTTGACGATTTCTGTTTGTTCTGGCCTTAAGATTAGTAGAGAACCTTTTGATACTGTTTCTTGCTTTACCACTGTTCTAAACAAACCTAAATCTATTCTGAATTCTGATAGTGTAGTGTGTGGGCTACTTTGTGCACAGTGTTGAGTGTAAACAGCAACTACGCTGCCACGTCTGCACCAGCAGTGAAAAAGGTGTCCATTCATCCGCCTAGTGCTGAGCGCTTGTTGCTGCCTGATGCTAGATACATGGCGTACAGAGAGCAAGGGGTTTCAGTTGATAGAGCTAGATTCACGATGATAGCTCCTCACAGCTTTCTGTCATCTAGGCTTACAGGTCTGGTAGTCCATGGTTCAAAACGATAGGCATACATTTGGGGTTTCTACTACTGCAAAATTGGCTGATTTCTGTTTTCTGATGAAAATGTAGGAATACCTGGAGTAAAGGCTTCACTGTTGGAAGAGTTTGGTGTTCGGTTGTTGACATATGATCTTCCTGGATTTGGTGAGAGTGATCCTCATCCATGCAGGACTCTGCAGTCCTCTGCATCGGATATGTTGTTCTTGGCTAATGCTTTGGGTGTTAAGGAGAAGTTCTGGGTCGTGGGGTACTCAAGTGGGAGCATGCATGCTTGGGCTGCTCTTAAGTACATTCCTGAGAAACTTGCAGGTAGCATACCTGCGCTTTCTTTCTCTCTTGGCTTCTGTTTGTACTGTACATTTTGTTGGTTGCTTACGTGAATGTCCTCGTCCTTCGCTTAGCTTAGCTGTTTTAGAAATTGCAATGTGTAGCTGTCCCCTTTTCACGAATATACCAAGACAAGTCATGTTCAACAGTGCTTTAAGTGTTTAGAAAGAATGAAAAGAGCTGTTTGAAACAATTTTTGTCAAGAACCTTCTTCAATGGTACTTGCACCTTATGTTTCTGCAAAAGCTTCTTGACTTTTTACTTCACGGCTTTTTTGTGTGTGCTGGATCCATATTGACTACATTCAATGAAAATGATTTAAAAAAATGGAGTTTAAATGAACTATAACTGGCCTTGTATGTGGCAGCAACATGTCCTTCAGAGTTAAGCATTCTCTGAGGCTTCTTATGTTACTTAAAGTTGGAGTAATGAAAACCTCAGAATTGCAGTTAGCACATTGTCATGTACGAATCCAACAAATTAAAAATCATGCGATTTGGACTTCATTTGCCCCCCTCCTCCTCCCCCTCCTTCACCAACACTTGGCACATTCTTCTGGTCTCGTGTGCTTTGAAGCACAGGAATATAGTTAACGAGATTGCGATGTATGCTCTTAAAACCAAAATTTGCTTCAGATCCCATGCTTTTTTCTTGGATTATGGCAATGAGTATTTGGAAATGTACAAGGTTTCTGCTGTAACACTAAAAGTAGTTATCTGAATCAGCCATAACCTAAATTGCAGGTGCAGCCATGTTTGCTCCAATGGTTAATCCATACGATGCATTGATCACCAAGGTGGAGAGACGGCTAATATGGGATAAATGGAGTGGAAGAAGGAAATCTATGCTTTTCTTGGCTCGGAGGTTTCCCAGACTACTTGGCTATGTTTATCGCCGAAGCTTCCTCTCTGGGAGGCATGATAAGCTTGATGTGTGGCTCTCTCTCTCACTGGGCAATAGGGTGGGTAATTTTATGGACTATGAGCATATATATGTCTATTATCACAGTAACTGATTAGCATAACTGCAAGGACATGTGTGACTCAATTTGATATTACCAGTTATAGATGGTCATTATGTGAAATGATAGTGGCTGAGAGTTAAAGGGACGGAGACGTATTGCATTTCTATGTTTCTTTTATTAATCGCCTGGTTCTTGAACCAATGTTCATATTTCAGGACAAGGCTTTGGTAACGGATCCCATCTATCAAGAATTCTGGGAAAGGGATGTGGAAGAGTCGATCCGCCAGGGGAATGCTAAGCCATTCATAGAGGAGGCTGTTCTACAAGTGTCGAATTGGGGTTTTAGCCTTGCAGACATCAAACTGGAGAAGAAAAAACAAGGCGGAGGCATCCTTGGTTGGGTTAAGGTCTTACTTAATGGAAATGTAGATGAATATACTGGTTTCCTTGGACCAATACACGTATGGCAGGTACGACATCTGAAACTGAGATCTTTTCTGTAGCATCAGCATAAGTTCTTAGACCATTTGATGTGTTCCTTACAGAAACCATTTAGTTGACCTTGTTTTGGATTGTTAACTTCTGCAAACCTTTCCATTTGATTGCACAGTTAAATAGACCATTTGATGTGAAACAGGGCATGGATGACAAGGTGGTTCCGCCAGCGATGACTGATTTCGTGCATCGAGTTCTACCGGGAGTTGCAGTGCACAAGCTACCATATGAGGGTCACTTCACATATTACTATTTCTGTGATGAATGCCACAGACAAATCTTCACCACACTCTTTGGAACTCCACAAGGCCCCTTGAACAACTTCACAACAACAGAACTACTAGCAGCAGATCAAACTCCACTCGAGACCGGCCACGCAGAGGAGGAAGGATTGGAGGCCAACCAACCTTCATTGCTTCAAGAAGATACCACAAATGAAACCGAGAATTTAGACAATCCAGCTTATTAGGTACAACGTTCATCAAGTTTTGAACTATTCTGGAGTGGTGTATATGAAATAGGCTTTGCTTCTAAAACTCCAGGAGACAAAGGGTTCCCGAAGAAGAACTATATACATAGTTACTACGTCAATAGAGGAAAAAGTTGTACTGATTTATCATACAGTTAACTGAGATGCGAATTGCAGATAATTTTCTGGTGCTTTTTTTTGCTTATCCAACAGAAATATCTGTTAGTTCATCAAGAACAAGTGCAGCTTCTTTCTTGACACTAACGTAGCGAGGGAAGCACATTTATGGCTCCGGGCCGGGCCCATGCGTAATCCAGGGAAGGACAATGCAAACGGAAAAAATGTCTCTCTGGCAGGCCCAATCACGTCCAAGCCCAGATACACCTCCGATAGCCCGTCTCGCGATAAGTGGATCTTATTCCCGTCGTTGGCGGTTGGCCCACTTATCTTTCTTCCGGCGAGTAAGCTAATCGGCGACAAAGAGCCGGGCGCCGCGCTTTTTCCGCACGCACCCAAGACCCAACCAAGGGACTAGAATTAATTCTCTCTCCATTTCTCCGACTAGCGAACTCATCAGTGCAGTGGAACCATTTCCGCAGCTCCAAGTGGTCTGTTTGCTGATTTCTCTCATGTCGGTTCAAATCTTTCTGCTGTATATAGTAGTCGCAGGAGGAGCTTTATTAGTATAATGCAGAGGATCCTCTCATCTTCTCGTACTCTCGCCCTCCCTTTCTCTTCTTCTGCTTCCCTTTCCTCTTCCAGAGCCTTCTGCCGCAACTCCTTCCACTTCTTTCCCTCCTCCTGCGCAGCCCTATCTCGCTCTCTTACTCCTTCTCCGCTTCACTCCATCATGCCTCAGGTAATTGCTCTGTTCTTCCTTTTCGGCTTTTTTTTTTATTGTTGACCATGGGACTCCTTATGGCGCATTTCTTTGCGGCTTTCTGTGTTAATTTCCCACTTTCTCTGGTGTTCTGATCGGCGAACTGTTCAAGAGTTGTAATTCAATCCCGTTTCGTCTCCTTTCAAGATAATCGGAATTGCCAATGGTACAGTATTTGCGGCTTGGGAAATTCGTTTCTGAATCTTTTCTTCTCCTGGCCGCTTGGTTCTCTGTTTCATGTGTTCAATCGCTGGCGATTGGTTTCGCTTTTGTAGCCAGAATGTCAGTTCATTTATGTTATGAGAGAGAGTGAGAATTGAAACGAATCGAGTATGTCGGTTTAGTAATTGGTTTCGACTGAGTTAGGTTTACAGCGCGCTCTTTCTTACTGAGCTCTACCATTTGCAGAGAAGAGGTGCACAGAAGGGGCAGACATGGAAACCAAAGACTCAGGGTGATAAGTCCTCATCATCAGCTGTTGATGAAGCGGTCACCAGTGGAATCGCCGGTCTTAATATAGCTGAAACCAATGGCCAGTCTCATGCTCAATCTTCACGACTGCAGTCTAGGAATGCGCAAGTCGTTAACCAGGGTGTTGTGCCAGGGCAAAAGGCTGTGTGGAAACCCAAGGCTTATGGAACTGTCAGTGGAGTTGATGGTGCGTCTGCCCAAAAGACAGTGGCTGATGGCCACAGAGTTGCTGTAGCTGAGAAGGCATCGTCTCCCAGAACTAGTGCTGCTTTAAGCCAATTGTTTAAGGCCAACGTGTTGGAAAATTTTACTGTGGACAACTCGGCTTACTCCCGCAGTCAAATCAGAGCCACTTTTTATCCGAAATTTGAGAATGAGAAATCTGATCAAGAGGTATCGCGTGAATGTGCAGCCTTGCTTCTCCTTTCTGTTGGAATGCAAATTATTGTAAAGTTATTGATGACAGTAAAAGTAAACATTTATTGCTTTGACCTACTTGCTCGCCATCGATGGTTGAGTTGTTTGTTAAATCGTGTTTATTGATCATTTCCAGATTAGGACAAGGATGATAGAGATGGTTTCCAAAGGATTGGCTAACATGGAGGTAAGTGATTTCAAGTGGCTTCGGAACATCTTGGATGGCTTGGCATTACAGTTTTACTTCCTCTTTTAGCTGAACCATGGTTTCAGTCAATATAGAATTTCTATGGCTAATACTGCTGGAACATTCTTTGTTGTGAAATCATTTTGTACATGGTGCACAAAAATTATTGCTTTTAGCCATCCATCTGCAGCATTTGTTTTTGCTGCTAATTTGATAACTGGCAATGGTTTCTCCAGCCTGATGGCCTTCCATTCCATCTCTTTCATTTGTTTGCTTAGTTTGTTAAGTAGAATAGTTATCTTTCAAAGGGTTTTGAATTATTGATTATATGCTTGGTTACTAAGTTTCAATGAACTTACATTTTCCACAGGTTACTCTCAAACATTCTGGCTCACTTTTCATGTACGCTGGCAATAAGGGGGGTGCATATGCCAAAAATAGCTTTGGGAATATGTATGTGTTCTCTCTTGTCCTAAAATCTTTCTTTGCTCTGTAGCCTGCCCTTTCCTGTCATGCACTGGCTATCACCTTTCCTATTTTCTACCAACTGTATGAATTTCTGAACCATTGGTTCATGGAGCATAGTTTACCAACTATTTTCTATCAACTTTTCACTGATGTATACCTTCACATGCTAGGACAAGTTGTGCTAACCTTGTTTGTCCTACACAGATACACTGCCGTTGGTGTCTTTGTTCTTGGACGAACATTTCAGGAAGCTTGGGGAACTGCAGCTGCTAAAAAGCAAGTCGAGTTCAATGATTTTCTTGAGGTAATGTTAGAATATGTGGTTATTGCTATAAAAATACACAGGGAATTCCTGGTTATCTTGTCACCTGTTTCCTGATCTTATAACTGTAAATTAGGAAATATTCATTAATGTTAATCTTTGCTTCCAGAGACATAATATGTGCATATCAATGGAGCTCGTAACTGCTGTTTTAGGAGATCACGGGCAGCGGCCCAATGAAGACTACGGTATTTCTTCCTTCTTCAACTAGGGAGTCCTTCAGGATATCAGATAGAATCCTTTTAGACTTGTTCATTCAATTAATCTTGAGTAAGTTGTATTTCTTCCAGTATTTTGGTTTGACATGCTTGTTCCCTTTGCTTATAGTATCGTGTTTGCTTTGGTACAGTGGTGGTGACTGCGGTTACAGAACTGGGCAATCGGAAGCCAAAGTTCTACTCAACGCCTGAAGTCATTGCTTTCTGTAGAAAATGGCGCCTCCCAACAAATCATATCTGGTTGTTTTCAACAAGGTGAGTACATGATCATCATTGCGGATTTAGATGATGTTTCTACACTGCTATTATATTGCAAGTCATAGAAATTTGCTTATATGATTATCGAGAATGTTGGACAACGTGCACCCTGCTACCCTACCATCATGTCAAGTTCACTGTCTCCAATATCATTTATTTGGCCTGCTGCAAAAAGATTTCTAAGCCAATGACATGAGATGCACATGTTGTATAATGATCTGATATCATGTTTCTAATTACTGTTTTTGCAATGAAGGAAATCTGCGACGTCTTTTTTCGCCGCCTTCGATGCACTTTGTGAAGAAGGAACAGCAACTACTGTATGCAGGGCCCTTGATGAAGTTGCTGATATATCTGTGCCAGGTTATTATCTACATTAACTCACTTCACCTTCCCTAGGTTTGCTGTTACTGTGCGGTCTGCAAGGAAGCAGTTGTGCATGAATAGGCCACAACCATTTTGCAGACTGCAGAATTCAGGGAAGCAGGGATATTCAATATAACCCATCATCCGTCATCTATGGGAAAATGAAGCTTTTTTTTTTTTTTGTTAGCAGAAAGGATTAGTACTGTGCTTTATATCATCCTGAAGTGTTCCACATGCTTAGTGAATTATCTGATCCCATGGCTATGAGCATCACTAATATTGCTATAGCTGTATATCATTTTGATCGTGATACTTTTCTTTTCTGTTTTTTTTTCTTTTCACTTTCCTGAGATTCTCGTTCTTGGTTATACTGATTCAGGTTCACAAGACCACATAAAGGCACAAGGTGAAATCTTGGAGGGTCTAGTGGCTCGTATCGTACCTTATGAGAGCTCAAAGCATATAGAGGAGGTCTTGAAAGAAAATCCTCTTCCAGCAGCAGATGGAGGTTTGATTTAATTCACTCAGCATTGACATATTTCTCCAGTCAGTTTGTACTTCTATGAAGTGGTGTTTAACCTCCTGACATGGTGGCTGTAATTCTCTAAACGGGAATCAAGTTCCTTCACTTCAATGAACTTATTAAACTTATTGACTTCTTATGTGAAGAAAATTGACATCCTTAAAAAAAGAGGATTTGGTTTTGCAAATGTGTGTCACTTATTCTCTTCACTCTTGTCGGCAACCCTGGTTCTTTTTGTCACTTGAAGTTGATTTCTTAAGCATGCATATTATGATATGTATAATTTGAACATAGATTTAGGTTACTTGATGTGTAGACCAAATTTCCCATGAAAGTTCTAATTACATCTTTGCGGAACAAATCCCTTTTCGTTTTCTTCTATTGTACTGGGGAAGTTTGATTTTCTGCAAGACGAAGTTGTTAGTTTATTGGACTGAAATAAAACCTGTACTGCAGCTGGCATTGATTTGGGACCAAGCCTGCGGGAAATTTGCGCTGCAAATAGATCGGATGAGCAACAGGTGAGTTCTCTTCCAGTCATAGCATTTGTTTGCCTATGAAGGAGGTAGTTACATCATTTAAGAATCAACATTTGTGTGAAATTATCACTGCAGCAAATAAAAGCACTCCTTGAAAATGTTGGCCGTTCTTTTTGCCCCGACTCGGTAGACTGGTTTGGAATTGATTCTAGGGAGACACATTCGAGAAACGCGGACCGATCAGTGGTTACAAAGTTTCTGCAAGCTCACCCTGCTGACTATGCCACCACTAAAGTTCAGGTTAACTACAATCCCTGTTGCTAGTGTAATTCTTGCTTGGGAATTATCTGAACTTTCAGTAGTACTAGTTGCTGGATGCTGTCACTGAGTTCCTTGCCAAGTAGCTCTAACCTTTTCTTTATCTGTTTCCTGGTGCTGTTATTTCCTTTTCCCATTTTTCTGAACCAGGAAGTTATTCGTCTGCTGAGAGAAAGACGCTTACCAGCTGCGTTTAAATGTTATCACAATTTCCACAAAGTTGAGGCCATAACGAAAGACAACCTTTTCTACAGAATGGTTGTCCATGTTCATAGTGATTCAGCATTTCGCCGATATCAAAAGGAGATGAGGTATTGATACAACATTTTGAATTCTCGAGTACGAATGTTTCCTTCCCTATGTAGTTCCTAAACCTGTCAGTTCTCTTATATTTAATCTTTTTTTATAGGAACAAGCCTGGGTTATGGCCATTGTATCGAGGTAAACCTGGTTTATGCCTACTCAATTGCATGCGGTCATCTTATATGTAGAAAATGGGAAATGTTTATGAGTCTGCCCAGGGGAGTAAAGATATTCTGCTTCTCAGCTTGATTCGGTAGATGAGTCTTGTTTCATGTTCGCGAGGCAACTCTGTGTTTTCTGTAAAGAGCTAAATATGATGCAAGTAATGCCTGGAATGGTTGGAAGTAAAATGAATATCTTCCAAGAGTAGGATTAGTTCTTAAAATGCTGTGATTGTCTGGGTACCATTCAATCCATCCCACTACCTGAACAATGTCCTGGACAAGGTCGGCTTATCTTTTCTTATTATGCATTTCATTCTGAGCTTCATCTCTTCATTCTAATTCAAAATGGCCAATGCAGTATGGAGCTAGTGTTTTCCTCTTTTCGATTAGAAAAATAATATGATGATCCAATTAATGTCCGGTAATGTATGTTCAGGGTTTTTCATCGACATTAATTTGTTCAAGGCGAGCACAGAGGGAGCTGCTGAAATTTTGAATAGCCAGAATAACACAGTGGGAAATGCTAACGAAAATGGAGCTGGATTATCAACAGACAGTCTTGCTGATGATGATGCAAATTTGATGATCAAACTAAAATTCCTTACATACAAGGTAGTTATCATGAAATTCGGTCTTGTTTCTGAGGTTACTGATGTTACAATGTGTGACCTTTGAGGCTCGTGCATGTGGAAATGAAGAAAGCATAACTTGTGTTTCCTTTCTCCACCACAATGTATCTCACTTCAAAGCTCATGCAGTTATCACTTAGTGTTCTATTGCTTGAATCAAGTTTATGTTCTTTCCTGTAAGCAGAGGTTATATATTACTATACCTTACTGGTTTATCCATCTGTTCTTTTGCTTATAGACAATAAGGAGTCTTACCGTGCAAAATCTCAACTGTAATTGTACAGTTCCACCCAGATCTTATGGAAACTTGTCTATGCCTCGACATGTAAATTTATATATTCTGCTGCCTGGAGCCAATGATATTTTTTTATTTGTTTGGTCTCCTGACTTTCTAATATGAATTGGCTATGGAGATGTTAAATTCCAAGCTGATTGCTCTCTTCAGGTTCATATTCAGTAAAAATGTGTGTCATCACTGAGTTCTTATGCAGATATTAACTGTCTTTTTATTTTGTTAACCATCTCTTGCAGTTGAGAACATTTTTGATCCGTAATGGGCTGTCAATTCTTTTCAAGGATGGACCAGCTGCTTACAGGACTTACTACCTAAGGTAAGACAAGAGGTTGTATGAGAAGCTGTCCAATTGACATGTATGTGTGGACTTTCTTTTCTTATATTATTCTCCCATTGTATGAGTCATGACTAACTTGTTTCTGTACTCTGGTTGCTATCTTGTTTACGAACTTGTGGTTTTAATTTGAGATTGCAGACAAATGAAAATATGGGGAACTTCAGCAGAAAAGCAGAGGGAACTTAGCAAGATGCTTGATGAATGGTAAAGTGAACTTTTACGAGCCTTTATTTCTACTTCTTATGTGATCGGTGCAAATTCATAACTGTTCCTTTTTGCTTTTGGTTAACGATTTTCAGGGCTTCCCATATCCGTCGGAAATGTGGAAGAAAACAGCTATCCTCATCAATATACCTTAGTGAAGCCGAGCCTTTCCTCGAACAATATGCAAAACGGAGTACTATAAACCAGGCACTTATAGGATCTGCTGGGAATTTAGTAAGGGCTGAAGATTTCTTGGCTATCATAGAAGGTGGTAGGGATGAAGAAGGTGATCTTGAGAGAGAAAGAGAGGTGGAGCCTCCAACCCCGAGCTCGCCAGTCAAGGAAGCTGTCCATAAGGATGACGGTTTAATTATCTTCTTTCCTGGTAATTATCATCCATTACATCTCAACTTTTGGTGAAGTTTGGTAGTGGATGTGTTTTCACGTAATACGCACATCTGTAGAACCTGTGTAGAGACGGGTTCTTGGATGACTCTGAAATTCTTGAAAGCTTGACAGTGCCAATGTTCTTCACCTGATTGTAGATGTAGGTTTCTTCTGGGTATCTGAACTTTATCGAATGTTCATTAGTTGTCTTTTTTTCACCGAGTGGAAAGCCCTGTGCTGATTTATATTTTCTTACTAATATGATCTTGTCAAGAAATTGTCGGGGATATTTATGAATTTTATAAATTGTGAACTTTATATGATATACTTTCTTCTTGATAGTATATGTAAGTTTGTACTACATATTTGGACTCTGATCACATTTGAAGTAATTCATTAGCTGTCTTTTGCTTGGTGAATGTAGTTGTCTCTGAACAAGGGTTCATCTTGCTTTTTGTCTTTGAAATGTATCACCAGGAATACCTGGTTGTGCTAAATCTGCACTTTGCAAGGAAATACTGAGTTCTCCTGGAGGGCTTGGTGATGATCGTCCAATTCACAGTTTGATGGGTGACCTTATCAAAGGTATGCGATTAATTTATATCGTATCTGTAGGTTTGGTCTGAGCAGCAAAAGAAGGAAACTAGTGAATCTGATTTTCTGGATTATGTATTTGAGAAGAACTAGGACTGACATTATCTGGTGAACAGCGTACCTGCTCATATTCAGGCTGAAAATGTAGTGCTGCTTTATCAGATAGGATGCCTAAAATCTTGCATTTCAATTGCCTAATTTGAATAGTTTGTGTTTGGCGAGTATCACTGAATCAGCATAAAGCCTAAAATGTGTAGAAATGTTGTGACTGGAAATTATCACAATTTTTTATTTTTTTTTGTATAATCTGACACTGATTTGATTCCTGAAACTAATAGAGTTACAAGGATTACTGCTTGCTATTGTGATTGAAGTTTTATAAAAATTGAACATCTGTCAGTTTTCATGGTGTATATTCCTGGATTTTCGGTAATTGATAAAAGCCATCTGAAGTGTCACAATTACGCATAAGTGCATGTTTTAATATTTTGCCTTTGGTCATTGAGCTCAGTAATCTATTACATTGGCAAGGAGAGAAGTTGACATTAATTTTGTGCTGATGATGAATCATAAGCATCAAAGAACCTCAGAAATTATGCACTTTTCTTTTATGTTATATTTGAGAATAGCTACAGGCTATTGAACTTGCATATTCAGCTCATAAACTGGGTTGCTGATTCTTGAACTTTCAAAGGGAGGTACTGGCAGAAGGTTGCTGAAGATCGCAGAAAAAAACCGTACTCTATAATGCTTGCAGACAAGAATGCACCAAATGAGGAAGTCTGGAGACAGGTAAATTTGTTTAATAATTCGTTAACCAGTAATGAAAGAGGTCTTCCATCAGTTGGTTGCACATAAGAGACGTAGTCCTAAATTAAGTATTTCCCTTCAGCTTTTGAGGACAGTTTAACTTGGGGTATTTCATCTTCCTCTTATGCTGGTTAAGTAATTCCAGAAACGGTTACAGCCAATGCGAATACTCTCTGTTAGATCTAATTTCCAACATGTCAGTTATGTTTGAGAGGTCGTGGTGTATGTTCCAATGCTTAGTTGAGAAATAACTGGCTTTGGATGATTATCCAACTGCCCTTGAACCTTTTTTCTTTCTTTTTTCAGATTGAAAACATGTGCAGGACTACCCGAGCTTCTGCAGTTCCCGTAGTACCTGATTCTGAAGGTTCTCTTTTGTCTCCATTGTGACTGTGTTGGGTTCTTGTTTGTTTTGCTGCTAACTGATTCCTGTTGTTGCTTGTGAAAAAAATTAGGAACAATTTCCAATCCATTTTCGCTTGATGCATTAGCTATTTTCATCTTCCGTGTGCTTCAAAGGGTTAATCACCCGGTACTTCATACACCCTGCATCTTCTTATTTTCTTCCATGAGTCCATGTTATAGACTTATAGTTAGTAATAGTCAACCCACATCTTTGTGCCCTTAATTTCTTGTGCAGGGTAACTTGGACAAATCCGCTCCAAATGCTGGTTATGTGCTACTAATGTTTTATCACCTTTACGAGGGGAAGGTAGTTTGTTGTTGAATAACACAGTCATACGCTTTTCTTTTACTTTCCTCTAAACATCTTCTACTTATTTTTCAGAGTCGGAGTGACTTTGAGGCTGAGCTGGTTGAACGTTTTGGATCCCTTGTCAAGATGCCATTGCTTAAATCAGATAGGTAAGAAATGTTGTAGGATCTCTCATACTGGTAAAAGTGAACTGTTGAATAGACATATTCTTGTATCCCTCGTAGAGTGTTCCTTCAGCGATTATATATTTATGTGATCAACGATTTTACAAGAGTTTCTCGTCATACTCATATGAGGTCTGCCTTTTATACCATTGTGGCATGAAGTTCTTTTCATATGTAACTTCCGCAATGGCTCTTCAACCACTGTCCACTGTTCTAGTGCCTTTTCTGTGGTAGTTCCAACTTCCAAGTCCACTTCCCCAGGATTTGCTCATTTCAATCTTAAGGCGAAGGACTATGGAGCCTTTTCTTTTTCTTTCGTCAGTGGAAGTGCACAGTTTAAACATCAATCTTCACATCATGCTTTTTAAATTGCATATGTTGTGGATGATCCCATCCGGTTAGCCTTGAATCTAGCCGGGTCGGTGGTTTTTCATGTCTATCATTAGTTTTGGTTTGATGCGACATTTTGGTTGCAGGAGTCCTCTGCCAGACCCTGTGAGATTAGTTTTGGAGGAGGGGATAAGCTTATACAATCTTCACACAACTAGACATGGAAGGTAAATAGCCATTAACTGCAACTAGAAACATGAAGACATATTTTCATAGGGAAAGAAAGTTTTGCAAATTTGCCAGACTTGTCTCATCCAAAACATCGTCAGAAGAACATGTTAGCGACTTTCTCCCCCACGCTTCACTGGAGGAGGAACTTATCTTTCTTCATTAGTGTTTTGTGTGTGAGCATTTCCCCTTATTCTCTGTCTCGGCAGTTGTCCCCCTACGTACTTCTTTATTCTTTTGTGGTCAGGTTGGAGTCTACGAAGGGTTCATACTCGAAAGAGTGGGCCAAATGGGAGAAGCAATTACGGGAGACTTTATCTTTGAATTCAGACTACCTAACTTCTGTTCAGGTTTGTTTGCTTGTTCAGCACCGCATGAAAGATCTTTACAATCAGGATTCTTTGGACACAAGTTATCAACAGAGTTCTGATTTCTCTCTTCTGCACAAATTCTACAGGTTCCATTCGAGGTTGCTGTCAAGCAAGTGTTGGAGCAGCTGCAGAGTATTACCAAGGGAGAGTACAAAACTCCCAGTACAGAGAAGAGAACGTTTGGGACGATTGTTTTCGCTGCTGTCACTTTACCGGTTTTAGAAATCTCCAGTTTCCTTAACGATGTAAGCCAAGAATTCTGCTCTCTTGGCTTGTTTTTTTTTCAACTCTCAGTTGGCCCCCTCACTAATCGTCTATCCGACATTAACATTCCAAGCAGCTAGCTCAGAAGAACCCCGAGGCTGAACAGTTTCTCAAGGACAAAGACTTGGCACAGAACCTCAAGAAGGCTCATGTGACTCTAGCTCATAAGAGAAGTCACGGGGTTACGGCTTTAGCTAAATTCGGACCATTTGTCCACCAAAGTGTCCCCGTGGAGTTCACAGCGCTTCTCTTCACGGACAAGATGGCTGCCCTGGAAGCACAATTGGGATCAGTGGACGGTGAGAAAATAGAATCGAAGAACGAATGGCCTCACGCCACTCTCTGGACAGCTCAGGGAGTTCCACCAAGGGAAGCAAACACACTTCGACAATTGGCATCTGAAGGGAAGGCAACACGAGTCGAAATAAACCCCGCAGTAACAATCTCCGGGACTGTCGACTTCTACTGAGGATAGAGCACAGCAAAAGTTTTGGTAGGCACTCAGGTCTTTTGGTTTACTGAGAGGGTTGTATATAATGAGGGATCCTTTTCGTATTCATATTTTTCACTATTCCACTAGCCACTGAGATCCACGTACTGGGAATCCATTATGATTCTGTGTCATGGTGGACAAAAAATTTCATAAACCCAGTAACAAAAAGAGGTATTAACTGGTTCAATGTTCAGTAGCCAACAATGCAAAAGGATGAAAAGACAGTATTGTTCGTAGTAACTACGAACGAGAAACAGCCTCATCAGTGGCTCTTCTAGTCCTTTTCATTTTCCCAACTCCTGCTTATTGCTGTTGGCATATACTGGGCAGAATTGCAGTAGCCTCTCCATCGATAACAAGCAGGTCACCCTTCTTCTTGAAGCATTTCGTCGCAAATTTGGCGCTGCAACAAAAGCAAGATGGCGGATGAGTTAGTCTGTCAAATTCTCAGAGGGGTTACGCGTATGTGATTAAGAATCAGCTTCTTACATACATGTATTTGTTCTTGTGTTCCCTAACACTAGTAGCTACCACCTCGCCAATGATCTCTTCTCCAATATAAACAGGCATCTTGAAATGCAGGCTCTGCGACGCATATATAGCTCCAGGCTGCAAATTTCTCAACAATGTTACTCTTCACGTCTATTCTCTACAACTTCAAGCTAGCTTGCTTTCGTGCAATCAAGTAAAATGAAGGTGTTGAAAATAGAGGCTTACAAAATTAGACGAGATGATCCAAGGGAACAGTGCGGCGACGAGCATTCCATGAACAACTCGGTCCTCAAATCCAGAACCTCGAGCCACTTCAGGATCAAAATGTAGCGGATTGGAATCGTGGCTCACCTCTGAATATCGAAGGATGTCTTCACATGAGAAGACTCTGGTTTGCCTTAAAGTATCTCCGGTTCTCAGTACTCGGGAAGCTGTAGTAGAAAAGAATTTCGGAGAGAACGCCGCACTTTGCAACAGACGCTTCTTCATTGCCGCCGCCATTGCTCGAAATGGTATCTTGGCGATAGTCAAATGAACACTGGGCGAAGAGTTAAACCCACCTTGCTAACTAGAGCTTAGGAATTTTAACAAACACTTGACGTGCAAATGATTATGAATGCCGTTCCAGCCACGGGACTTAGAGGCGCATTTGTAACCGTCGGGGCTGATCGACGGAGTCTCTCGGCGAGATGATGACTCCAACGAGTCAATTAGAAGATTCAGACCGAGATGAAAATCACACCAAACCTGGCCCCGAAAATGGAAAAGGAATTTTCTTTTATCTCTCGAGGGTAAGGAAGGAGAAGCGGCAGCGACACAGGGAACCCTGAACCTTTTTGTAGATATTACCCTTGTCCTTCCGTTATTATAGCATTTGCCACTTCCAGTACTAACTAACTACTAACAGAACTGACTTACTTCCCTATCCCTCCAGTGCCCCGCGATGGCTGTAAGCTAAATCTCAATCTGCTCTTTAGTCTTCTTAATCGAGCTTAGGTCATTTGATACTCTCATGGCTACCATTAAAAGCACTGTATTACTTACTCATTGCAATTTGGTTCTATCCTTGGGTCAATGGGAGCCTTGATGGGGCAAAATCAAGCAGAGTGTATCTGCGTGGGCTGTATCGGTGTCCAATAGTTGGAAGCATAAATAAATCGAACTACAGTATTCATGGTGGACAAGAGAGACTACAATAACAACTTAGTTCATATACGAGATTAGACTCATTACTGAAAACCGACTAAAGCTTGCATCTTCTAGATGTTCACTGCAGTACATAGCTTGTTTCTGCAAACATGGTTTGTGTGTACAAGAGATTCTGCTCATTGATACTGACAGACAGTAGAGACTATTGACGACGAAAGGAAGATACAAATCTTGTACAACAATCTCTGATCTCTACTGAAACTGCCCATTTTCTTTCAACCCAAAATACAGAATATATCCTAGGGGCGTGAATTTGGTTCACTTCACTTCACACTTCCCATCCTGAAAGCTCTCAAAGCGTCTCTGCCATTGGAGTTCCTACGAGGAGGGCACAGGTAGAGGTACTGACCAATTCCTCACCCATTCCGATAGTGTTTCGACATTTCTGGCAACATCCTCGATCGTATTGCTCTGTAGCGCCACAACGATTTGCTCTGGGTAGCTCTCTTTCGCCTCTTCCAATAGGACACCAAAGATCTCGCACTCTATGTTGTTCGTGATCTTGGTCTGCGAATACCCTCTGCCATTTCGCCGCCAACATAAACATACTATCAATTATCACTCATCAGGGAGCTTGGAAAGGGCAACAAAATAGGAACAATGGATTGTCAGTCTACCTCTTGGTCAGGCGATCAAACAAGACGGAATTCTCCACCTGAAGGACCACAACCCGGTCGAACCAACGCTCCGGGAAGAAATCGCAGCCGTGGTAATCCACTATGTTCCCTCCTTCATCCATCGCATCCTCTAATTCATCGCACACCTATTGTATATGGTAAACCCATTTGCAAACGAAGTAAAGATCAGATTTTGACGCGTGGGTAAAGTGAATGAGAATTGAGAGGCAGGGATATAGCAGAGTAAACTAACCAGGTCTTCATTGATAACGTGGCATTCGAATTCCTCGTCCCAGCCGTCGTGCAAGTTCTTCTCCCGGACCAAGTCTCCGATGTTGATGTGGCGGAGCTGCGTCGAATCCGCCAGAGCAGTGGCCATCGTCGTCTTCCCGGTTCCTGGGGTACCGGTTATCAGTATGTTCGGCTTCTTCCTCCTTCCTTCTCCGCCTCCCGCCATCTCCGCCGCCGCTCTCTCGTCGGAATCAATCGGTTTAGTCTGTGGAGAGTTTTAGGTTTTTGGCTGCTGATGGCGGGGGATCACCTTCGCCTTCGTTTTACCAGGGTTTTCGGTTTCCCTGTTTGGGCCCTTTTCGGATCGGAGACTTTCAAACTTTCATGGGCTCTTCTTGAACAGGCCCAATTTGCTTTAATAATGTTTTCTCTAACTTGGCCCATTTAGCTGGCCTTATCGTCGCTCTGCCTAGGTGAGTTGACAATCCGTCACGGAGGCGCTAACTCTGCCTCGTTTGCTCTTGGTCGGCGGAAAACTCTCCGGTGGCCGGCGAAACGCAGCTCAGTCGCTTGTTTCCTCGCCCCAATCAATTCAGCTCTGTTCAATTTCTCTGATGATTTCAATCCGTATGCATTGGGTGAGACTTGTTTGCTCTCAGCTTCATTCAACGATCAACCACACCTCAAAACCCCTTCTCACATGTCCCTCCAACCTCCCATGCTCCGAAGTCCCTTCAAGTCCCCAACTTTCCGGCGCCTTCTGCCGCTTTTACTCGAACAGGGCGCCGTCGAGGTCGCCGTCAAGGAGAGCCAGCCGGAAATTAAGAGCAAGCTTGAAGCCCGTTTTGGACGAAGCCAAATTCCAATCCGCAGTAGCAAAGCTTCCTCCTCGGTTTACCAATGAAGATCTGTTCAACGTATTGACCCTCGAGGAAGACACATTGGTTTGCTTGGAGCTTTTCAATTGGGCGTCTCAGCAGCCCAGGTTCAAGCACGATTGCTCCACTTACCATGCGGCGATTAAGAAGCTCGGCGTGGCCAAAATGTACCAGGAAATGGACGACATCGTCGCTCAGGTGCTTGCTGTCCCCACCATTGGTAACGAGGCTCTGTTCAATACGATTGTCTACTTTCTCGCTGAGGCTAGGAAGTTGACTAGAGCTGTGAATGTGTTCAAGCATATGAGGAATTCCAAGAATTCTGATTGCAAGCCATCGATTAGAACCTATAACATCCTTTTCACTGCAATGCTGAGTAGGGGAAGCAACTCTTATGTGAACCATATGTATATGGACACAATTAGAAGCCTGTTTAAGCTGCTGGTTAACGACGGGATCGAGCCAGATATCTATTCTTTGAACTCTATGATTAAAGGGTATGTTCTGTCACTTCATGTCAATGAAGCTCTGAGGATATTCCACCAGATGGGTGTGGTATACAACTGCTTGCCAAACTCATTTTCCTATGATTATCTTATTCATGGGTTGTGTGCTCAAGCTAGAACAATCAATGCTAGGGAGCTCTGCGATGAGATGAAGAAGAAAGGGTTTGTGCCAAGTGGCAAGTCATATAATTCCCTTGTGAATGCCTTGGCTCTTGAGGGGGAGGTTGATGAAGCTGTAAATTATCTGTGGGAGATGGCAAGGAACTATAGGTCTGCAGATTTTATTACATACAGGACATTGCTGGATGAGATCTGCAGAAGGGGGAAGATGGAAGATGCGATGGGATTGTTGAAAGAATTGGAGGAGAGAAAGCTTGTTGATGGGCTGACCTATAGGAAGCTTCTATCCGTGCTTGATGATGGCTTTGGAAACTCGGATGCTGAAGAACAATTCAGGTACGCAGCAGGAATTGACTTTCTTCCAAAGTGTTCTGCTATATCTTAACTTTCGATTGCTGTTATGTTCGCAACACTATACCCCTCAATGATCCATGTTGTCTTTCTCAATGCCAACCATATCATGCTCTACATTCTTTCGAAGTGTTTTGCTGTATCTTGATTTTCAACTGCTGTTATGTACACAAAACTATACCCCGTATATGATCCATGCTGTCTTTCTCAATGCCATAACCATATCATGCTCTACATCTCATGTGTGTTCATCTCTGATGTATAGTGCAATCATCTTCATGTGGTTTAAGCATTTGCAACTACAAAACCAAGTGTGTGCAAAAGTTAAAATGGTTTCCCTTTTCTGTCTAAGTTTAACCGTGACTTTGGGCAACTTCATTTGTCCCACTCCAGCCCAAACCTTGGAGGTGAATCTGGAAAGATTCTACCACATTTCTACTGTCTCCACCATCTTCTCAGATGAAATTATGTTCAATGATTGATTCACCGATAGTTGTTTTATAAGTGTTGTGTGTCCTTTAGGTGAGTGTTTATAGATCAATCTGTACTGGCCTTATTGCCAAGTGAAGAATAGAATGTTGATCATTCCATTTTTATCATTGGTGCAGCCGAGGTGATGCCTGGAGATGATTTTTGTGCATCTCCTTTTTTATGGATGGAATTGGTGGTGATAAACTACCTACCATTGATATGATGGTTCCTCTATACGAAATTTGGAGAAGGGAATTCCGGGCATATGCTAAGTGCAATCACTTCAGCAAGAGATTCAACAACCAAAAAGCAACTTCATATTTGGCGAACTGTTCATTCAGGGGTTCAAATCATATCAATCCAATCATCTGATAATCTTGATCTCTTAAGTTTGCATATCTACCTCCAAATGCTGCACCAGATTCCTCCACTAAGGACCCTCGTATGAAGACACAAAGTCGTCAGAAGAGAGCTCTCTTCATTGCTGTTCATACTTCCGGACACTTCCAGTTATTGCCATGGGCAATGTTGGCACCTTCACGTCTGTACTGAGAAGAAGAGGAAATCGCGAGCAATTGGACAAGCATAGAGGTTGTATGGACGACTGGTACCTCCTACAGCCCCGCAGGGCTCCAAGTTAGGGGTTGTTTCGAACTGAAGGTTTTCGATTGAGCAAGGTCAGGAATCGATTTTTCAGGTTCACTAGGGTAAGGGGGGGCATTCCGATCCTCTATAGTTATCTGCTGGTGGCAAGGCCACTCATGATGGCCATATGTATCAGATTGCACTCTGGTTGTCCCCTCTACTGGGTGTGGGTGGAGTAAGATAATTATATTATCCGCACCATTGAGAACACTATAACCTAATGTTCGGGTAATTTAGCAATTGCTTCTTGATTGATCCATTTTATACCAGATAGATATGTCACCAAATGCATTCAATGAAAGACCAAATACAGAACCCACATTCATTGAGTTGAGAGTTCATTATCTATCCACCCATTTCTCGTACTCGGTTTTCGTTTCCGAAAGCAAGAGAACAAATCAGTAAAATTACAAGCTGAAATTGGCAGTGGAAGGTGTTGCCAAGCGGAGTTCTGGACAACGTCCCTACCCTATGCAGAATCATAATTCATAAGGAAGTACTGGCACCAGACATGAGCAACCTAAAAGCTTAACTAAACTAAGATATTAAGTAGGCAAGCGATCGTAAACAAAGGAACTGCTACAGAAAAGGTGTAACGGCCAGAAAATATTCGACTGTTCAATACCACATGAAAAAACAAAACTTTTGAGCCACTCATGAAGAAAGAGCACCTCGACACAAGGAACAGTAAATGAAACCTACAAACCACTTGCTCAAACACAGTACTCAAAATGCTAAGATAGTAGGCCCCGCAACCACCGCCACCGTCTATCAAGCACCCAATTCTGAGATAGGGCACCCAATGACAAAACCCAAAAGCTTGGCGAAGGCATTCCAAAATCTAACAGAGAGAACAACAGAGCGTTCCAGGGACAACAAAAACGATTATTAATAAGACGCTTCAACTCAGAACAAAAACAACCATCCTGCACGGTTCACTTCTTCTTGGCAGCAGCCTTGGTGACCTTGGCACCAGTAGGATCCTTCTTCTCCACGGCCTTGATGACACCCACAGCAACAGTCTGCCTCATGTCCCTCACGGCGAACCTACCCAGAGGTGGGTACTCGGAGAAGGTCTCCACCACCATGGGCTTGGTCGGAATCATCTTCACGAACCCGGCATCACCATTCTTCAAGAACTTGGGCTCCTTCTCGAGCTCCTTTCCAGATCGCCTGTCGATCTTGGTCATGATCTCAGAGAACTTCACAGCAATGTGGGAAGTGTGGCAGTCGAGCACTGGGGCATAGCCGTTTCCGATTTGACCAGGGTGATTCATGATGATGACCTGGGAGGTGAAGTTGGCAGCCTCCTTCGCAGGGTCATCCTTGGAGTTGGAGGCAACGAACCCACGCTTGAGATCCTTGACAGCAACATTCTTCACGTTGAACCCAACGTTGTCACCAGGGAGTGCCTCCTGGAGAGCTTCATGGTGCATCTCAACAGACTTGACCTCAGTTGTCAGCCCGGTGGGACCAAAGGTAACAACCATACCGGGCTTGATGACACCAGTCTCAACACGACCCACTGGCACAGTTCCAATACCACCGATCTTGTACACGTCCTGAAGTGGGAGACGGAGTGGCTTGTCTGATGGCCTCTTGGGCTCGTTGATGTTGTCAAGAGCATCAAGAAGGGTTGGGCCCTTGTACCAGTCAAGGTTGGTCGACCTCTCAATCATGTTGTCTCCCTCGAACCCAGAGATGGGAACAAATGGAACCTTGTCTGGGTTGTACCCAACCTTCTTCAAGTAGGATGAAACTTCCTTCACGATTTCATCATACCTAGCCTTCGAGTACTTGGGGGTGGTGGCATCCATCTGCAGTACACATCGATAAGAAAATCAGTACAAGTACAACTAAGTAGCACCAAGAATACATAGTTAACAAGAGCAGCAAGAAAAGACTCGCTGACCTTGTTGCAGCAGCAGATCATCTGCTTGACACCAAGGGTGAAGGCGAGGAGAGCATGCTCACGGGTCTGGCCATCCTTGGAGATACCAGCCTCGAAACCACCAGTGGTGGAGTCAATGATGAGGACAGCACAATCAGCCTGGGAGGTACCAGTAATCATGTTCTTGATGAAATCGCGATGTCCCGGAGCATCAATGACTGTGCAGTAGTACTTGGTGGTCTCAAACTTCCACAGGGCAATATCAATGGTGATACCACGCTCACGCTCAGCCTTGAGCTTGTCAAGCACCCATGCGTACTTGAATGACCTCTTGTTCATCTCAGCAGCTTCCTTCTCGAACCTCTCGATCACACGCTTGTCAATACCTCCAAGCTTGTAGATCAAGTGGCCGGTGGTGGTTGACTTCCCAGAGTCGACATGGCCAATGACCACAATATTGATATGAACTTTTTCCTTACCCATCTTGAGATAAAAACTGCAATACATGAACAAATTCAACATCAGTATAAAAAGTCAATCTACATCCTATAACATCAGACCATTGAAAACAGAAACTGATGATTAATCACACAAACCATCACAATGATGTATAACGAAAATTCAATCGAGAAACTCTATTCCATCCATAACACCACCAGAATAGACCACTATCACAACAAGTAGCCGTTCCTATGATGCTAACCCTACAGACTTTAGGCATTGACTTCTCCATGACAGAATTGAACTGATCCATTATTAAACAGATGTAGTGATGCTCAGGCATACAATTAGCAATGACAAAGATGAACGTATCAATGCTCCATAAGCATCAACGACATACAACGACAGAAACTTCCAACGAAAATCAGATTCATGGAGCAGACGGACATAGCTAGATAACACACGAAACTGAGACTACGAGCGTAAGAAAGTTTCCTTGACTTTAGCTAACAGCAAACTATACGATTGGAAACACATACAATGGCTATCGCTCAATCATACATGGAATTGATACTACATCGCACGAACAGCAACGTCGAGAATAGATCTGTAATGCGTAGCGAAGGAAACCAGGATGTACGGAACTTACCAAAGGAACGAAGAAGAAGAGCCTCTCCTTCTGTCGCCGGCGGTGACGAATTGACGAGCAAAGAGCGATTTGTGGTGCGGGTGTGCTCTGTGCAGCTGCGAGAAAACAGAGATGAGAGAAACGCGCAGCTTATAAAGAGTAGGAGAGGGGAGAAGTGTCACAGCGTGGTTAGGGTTTATCACCAACCGTTGGATTTTAGTGGGAGGTATCCAACGGATGAGAAATTACATAGGTTTCAGTGTGCAGGTCGGTTGACGTTGCAAATTTCGCCTGCCCTAGGCCGTCGTAGGGATTGGATGAACCGGATTGGTGGGTCAGCCGGCCGGCCGGCCAGAGGATTCTTTTTGTACTTAGCCTGTTTTGCCGAATAAAATACCAAGTAAGTCCCTGAAATTTAGATTACTTTTCCATATGAACCCTAGAGTTTTTTTTTTGCCATAGATATTCCAAAATGGAATAGCAAGATACGAAAATATACAAGACCTTTACAGGCCACATTAAGAAAAAAATAAAGCACGTTGGTCAACAAGCTGCTCAACCAACGATGAGAGGACTTGATTTGCCACGATATGGGCAGCCCTTTTGTACCTACACGACGCGAAACGGAACGAAGCATGCTGGAGAGATGAATGTGTACACCTGAACTTCCACAGGATGGCACCTCCCAAAGCGTGAGCCGAATCCTTCGCGCTGACCATCCGAGAGATCACTTGTGCAACACAGAAAACATAAAGTGAGAAAAAGTAAAAGATTAACAACAGCGAATGGCATCACACAGAGCCATGAGTTCCATAAACATATAGTCTATTATGCACCCTAGGGGAGTGACTGCCAAATTCGCTAGACAAAATCTATGCTACCAAACTGTAAGGTTAATTTTGTATTTAAAGATAGTCAATGTGGCGTGAAAAAAGAGAGATTTATAAATTATAATACGATTTTACAACTAGCTTATGCATATTAGAGGAAAGAAAACTAGAACATAATTATTCAAGAAACGAACGATACCAAACTGCTTAAGAATCCAACTGGGTGCATACATGACGGATAGATGGCAACAGGGGCAGGGCCATAATCAATAAGTCGCATATTTGACCAGTAACCCAACCCCAAACCAAATGGGTTGGATCAATATTTGACCCGAAATAAGTCAAGCAAACATGACCTGACCCGTAACCGAAGTTCCCAACCCGACCCGATTGCAGGTCTACAAAAATTAACACACGTACCTGATTCGTGTTCGTAGGTCGAGGATGGAAAACTCCGGGTATGGCCAAATTTTATCCATTTTAAAATGAATCAAGTAATGGCTATCAAGAAGAAAAAGTAAAAAGAGAAAAATAAAATAATAACAATAAATAAATAACAGGGAAAGACAACCGTCCATCTTCCCCACTCCCGTTACCGTAACCGTCCCATTTTCTTTCGATCCTATGCCGGCGAACCCTAGAGTTCATATGTATTTATTCATAGCCTTAAACTTGCATGTATGGAATTTTGTACTTGAGCTCAATGCATCTATTACTGAAATCCATGTTTCTTCCATAAAACGATCAAGCAAATAGAGAAGGGGGCTTATTGGTTCCATAAATAATCATATTTGTTGGCAATGGAGCATTGTCTACTTCACACAAGATTACAATTATGGAATTTGTTATAACAGCTACACAAACAGAGAGCGTTGTGCTCCAATCCAATCAGTATTGAATTCTGCATTCTCTGAACTCATACATAACTAAAGTTACTGAATTCGTCTAATGTTCATCTAGCGCTGTGGCTTCAATCCAATCAGTATTGAATTCTGCATTCTCTGAACTCTTACATAAGAACTAAAGTTACCGAATTCATCTAATGTTCATCTAGCTAGGATCACCGTTTATAGTGTCATTATTACTGTTCTTTTGGGGGCTTGTTGCTACAACAGCAGACATAGGATTCGTGGGGCAAGCAGAAGCGAACTGACAAAACCGACACTTCCAACGCTCATCCTCTGGTGCGTATCTAGATTCTCGCTCATTGAACCAGAACTCAAGGGATGCCTGGATTTGACTCTTGACCCAATCAAGGTCATATGTGAATAAATCTTCAGACAGTAGTGAGTTGTCCTTCTGCAACTCATACCTGTTGAGTTCAACAGCAGCATGCCAAGGTAAACAACAGGAACAACTTCAACCACAGTATAAAAAAAAAGTCTTGTTAGTCCACTGACCTTAGTAACATTTGGTTATGTGCTGGGAGGAAAAGACAGCTGGTATTTATGAAGAATCTCAGAATGTCATCCAGGGTCTGAGGATAGCAGCACAAGGCATAGGATAAAGTACTTTAGAATTTTGCTCCCCTAATTGAAAGCAATATATGACAATTGAAATTCCCTAGCCTTGAAAAATGCACAATTCAATGAGCTGATATTGACTCTTGAGGGAATGGACATTTTACCTTAGCCGGGATACCCGCTTGTTTAGCATTCTCCCTAATCTCTTCGGACAAAATGGCATTACGGTTCAAAGAAAAGAAGTCATAGAACTTCTGGGTGGGGAAGTTACCAGCAACCAAAGTGTCCCATATATACTTGTAGCACATCAGCTGTAATCTGCAGAAACAGTAAAAAGCTCATATCACCAACATATATGGTTTGTTCACCCCATCTGGGCAGCAACCTTCTCAACCATAGATCTCGAGAGCAAAATGTAATGCCAAAACATGGGATGTTTAAAACATGTGTTGAGGAAGGATAGAGAAACAAAGGTAATTACATACCTTCCGTTCCTACTTTGAGGTTCAGCAGGAAGAGTGTCACGCACTCGAGTTTTTGTGTCAACTAACATGAAGTTCCTATCACTGTCACCTTCAGGCATCCTGATCTCATCAATCTTTCCCACCATCCATACACCTTCAACAAAGCCTATTCTGCCATGAAAAGCAGAATGGAACATCAACACCATTTCTAAGTTCATCCAGCATATCTCTTCATTGAAATATCTTATAACAGCGCTTCAAGCAGTTCCAGTTCTCTTTGGTTCCTTCAGTCATGAGATCAGCTCGATGCAGTCCAACCATGATAAAACTGAGGCAAGTCAAGAAGCTGTTGTTCAAAGAAAAATGGAACTTACATGGGAAGCTCCCGAGTGAGACCTTCGAACAACAATTGGTTGACACCGGCTATGAAATTCAGAAACTTTAAAGCCCATGCATCTTCAGCTGATTCCACAGAAACTGCAACTTTCGTAATAACCTGGCCCAAGGTTCAAATGGGAATATCAGAATGTTCCAAGCTATGACAATCAGGAGAAACCCTCACGGACGGACACCAAATTTTACAGGAATTGGATAAATTAGCAGCTTAACATGAACAAATGAAGCATCAAATGGAAGTATAGGACAGACAGATATGCTTTTACGGTTTTACCTCTTCTTCCAGCTTCAAATGACGAGCACTACCTGCTTTCATTGCTTTAGTGGCTCTTCTTTTACCAACGCAAAGGACAAACTCCATTTGCTTCTCGCACCACTCCTGCGTTTGAACCCCCAAAGGAGAAACCCAACTCAATTCAATCAAACCCGTCAATCAATTGCTTAAATTATCATCTAATTCGCCGAAAGGGAGGATTTTGTTTATGGGTTCTCTTTCTCGGGTAGTCATTCAAACAAATGCAAGGCAGGAAAGAAAAGGATTGTTAATCGTTACCGTAGCGGTAATATCGGTGACAGACAATCCCCGGGCCTTCCGAAACCTGATAAACAAGGATTTCTCGTCTCGAGTCTTCTTGTGGGTAGGAGATTTTCCGGCGGAATCCTCGATATCGGCCACGACGGTGGGAAGCCTTCGCTTGGAGAGGGAGGTAATGGAACCGATGGATTTGGCCTTGCTGGGGAAGGAAGAGGAAGTAGAACAAGAAGTACCAGCAGCCACAGAAGGAAGAGAAATGGAACGGGCCGCAGCAAGGGCTGCTTCGAAGAAGCCCATTTCTTCTTCGGAAACGATCTCGATTGGGATTTCGAAGACGCCGCGAATTAGTATGGTATCAGAAGGAGTGGATGATGGGGAGACAGTAGTATTGTGATGGGGGTCGTCAGTGGATGAGTGGGTGATCGTCGTTTTCGTCAGGGGATTCACCGGCGGAGAAGTGACCGTTAGGCTCCCTGATTCAGACGAGGGAGTCATTTGCTGGGGGTTTTTTGCGTTGAGGAGGGAGAGAAGGAGAAGCTCTGCTTTTTCAAGGTTCTCCTTGCATTGCAAGTTTTAAAACTTCATTCATCAAAAAAAAAAAAGTTCTAAAACTTCCAAAAAGAGGTAGCAACGGGAATTTGAGGGTTATTCACATTCAGCGCTTAGGCTTTACCTCACTTACAATTAAGCTCCTCCGCTTTGGATTTTGACTAATTCATCCTTATACAAAATGAAGTTCTACGAAGTTTGAAAGTGTGACGACTCTTCTTTGTGGCAAATGTTGGACCGGTAACTTTTGAGTCAGCAATTAGCGAGAGTAACAATGCTTTAGTTTTGAGAGACTGGAAACTTACTTGTTCATATTTCATCTTCAGGGTATCTTATGGTGGAAACACCCTCACAGATATGTAGATGAAGACAAGTTTGCTTCTTGAGCAAGTACGGTTCGAGAAGTCAGTATGGTCCATGTGTTCTTGGAATGTTGGATTCTCGATGATGTAAATGGTAGACGGGTTGTCACAATACAGTGTAGCTGGTTCTGGTTGGGGAGGAGGAATCTGGATGTCTTTGGGCAGATACAAGTCACTGGACATCACAAGTTATGCAAGGACCCGATACTCTGCCTCGCAAGAAGATCGAGAAATGGTGGTTTGTTTTTTGCATTGCTATAAGACAAATGTAGTTTTAAGATAGACACAATATCTAGTAATGATGGGATGTGTGTGGATACAGGAAACCTAATACGAGTAACTAAAGGCCTTTAAGTGAAGAGGAGTAGTGGAAGAAAAGAACATGTCAATGGATAGTGCTGACTTCAGGTAACTCAAAATTCGAGCAACATCCTTAGAATGTGTTTGAGTATGATTAGACACTAAATGGCTTACTTGTTGAGTGGGAGAGCTAATGTCAGGCCTCGTTGTACATTGTAGTGAGAGGTAGATTAACTTGCCAACCAATCTTCTGTGTGTTTATGTTTCTGGAAAGGGATCGTTATTTTGAGCCAGAGAGATGAACCTTGTAATCCATGGGTGTAGTGACAGACTTTGTATTGAGTAGATTAGCATCTTCAAGAATTTCCATAGAGTATTTTCTTTGAAAAATGTGAATTCCTCGGTTGTTTCTTGCAACTTCAATGCCTAAGAAGAATTTCATAGTCTCGGGTATTTGATGTTGAATTCATTGTATAGAAAAGCTTCTTAAGGGTTGTGATCACATTTAGATCATTCCCTCCAACTGTCATCAACATAAACCAAGATGCATGTGTAAGATTTTCCGGTAGCCTTGTAGAAAAGAGAATGATCCACTTTGCTAGATGTATAAACCTGGAGGCACCATGTATGCTAATTTGGAGAACCATTGTTTTGAATTTTGATGCTTGTATGAGTCCACATAGTGATTTTTTGAGATGGCAATAGGGTATATATTTAAAGCCTAATGGTGGTGTAGAACCAGGAGGAAGTTTCATGTAGACATTCTCTTCCAAATCTTCATGCACAAAAAAAGCATTGTTAATGTCTAACTATTGAATGTACTAGTTTTGAGCGTTTGCAATGGCTAGAAAAATCTTATTGTAGTTAATTTAACGACATATTGTACTTAATTTAACAACAAGAGTAAATGCATACTGGTAATCTACTCCTTCTTGTTGACTATAGCATTTGCCTATAAATGTAGCCTATACTTGTCCACACTAAAATCAAGATTGAATTTAATCATGTAAACCCACTTGTTGCCCATAATTTTAACATCTTCAGGGCATTCAACCACACCCTAGGTCTGATTTTTATAAAGGGCTTGTAACTCAACATTCATAACTCTATTCCAGTAAGAGGACTTAGTGGTCTCCTTGTATAAGTCAGGTTCCTTGCGTTAGGAAATCCTAGGACGAAGTGTTTGTGTGAAGAAGACAAGTTGTCATATTGAACAACTGAGTTAAGAGGGTATGCGATACCTTGAGTTTGCTGTTGTGGAGAATGAGTGGTGGAATAAATCTATCGAAGCATATTGCAATGGTATTTTTGGAGATGACTAGATCGTCTGTTTGTCTAGTTTATTTTCTGAGGTTTGCAGGTGGTGGTGGTGGGGGGGGGGGGGTGAAGGTGATGGTGTGGTGAGGCCGAGTCATCTGAATCTGAGATAGTAGTATTGGCATGACTATTATAATTAGATTTAAAGTGAGTGGCATTGATGAAGTTTTATGGGATGTCAGGAGAATTGGGTGGTGGGAAGGGATTGTAAGTGGGGATGTTGTCATCAAACAAGGCAGAGTTAGATGGATGGTTGTAGTCGGTTTGGTTTAGAGAGTCTGGTTGATTCTTTTAAAGGGAAATGAACATCCCTAGAAGTGAAGACAACATGACTAAGAAGGTCATATATCATGTACCCTTTGATACCAACAATACATCTAATGAAAACACTTTTCCTAACCTTACGATCAAAATTGTGTGTATGTGGTTGCTTAGGGCATCAACAAAGTTGAGACATCCAAAACCCTTGAATTCAGCGAGATCTGGTGGTTTGTTATAGTTCTCATAGGGTGTTTGGTTTTCAAGAACCGTGGAACTTTATTAATCAATTAGACAACATGTTTCACATAATCTCCAAGAAACCAGCAAATAAGTTGGCTTTATACTTTAATGATCTTGCAATAGGAAGAATGTGTTGGTGTTTTCTCCCAATTTTATTATTTTGTTGTGGGGTTTCAACACAAGAAAGTTCATGCAAAATGTTAGTTTGTTGGAAGAAATCACTCATTTGAAATTCTCTTTCCTAATCACTCTTGATTCTTCTCACAGGAGTCTCAAAATTCTTTTTCAATACTAGCTTTGTGCCCGGCTATTGGCTGGATAATTTTTGTTATTAATAATTAATTAATTATTAAATTATTTCAGTTAATTAGTATTTTATATATATGAGACCCCTTATATCTATAAAATTTGTGTTTTTATCGATAGAAGTTTGTGTCTGTGTTCCATATGGCTTACAACGTCGAGTCCAAGCTGCCTGTCCCGCTATCTCGCATTCTCATGTTTTATTTCCTTGTCATGGAAGAAATGATTTTCGTGTCTTGTTAGGGTTTCACCCTAGTTTAATATATACATATGAGTGGTTATATTGTACATTGGTTAATATTAAATATATGATATACCCTGAGTACGAAAATAATATTTAGACTTTGAATCAATCAGACTATCGGAGTTTGGCATATGATGCTATTCCCAAACCCCTAAGATTAAAATCTAGGTCTTAATTCTATAAATCTCATACACTAACACTAAGATCTGTTTTATTAGAAACAAAAATCGACGGTCATGATTCGTCAAAATATATGCAACAAATTATATGCACAATCTTAGGGGTTAGACTCTATAAATTAGATAACTAAGACCTGGGGTTCACTCATCAAAAGTTATAGTATCATGCCAAAAATTCGGTTAATTTGAGGTCTAAATATCCGACAATCTAACTTGTTACACATTTTTAATAAACTTTTCCACTTAAGATGTTCGGCCCTCGGTCGATAACTTTTGATCCCTAATGTAAGAAACTGAGTCCTATATGCTTTGTCAAGGGTCAAGGCAGTTAGTTATCAATGACTAATCATTTTTTATTCTTGTACTACTTGAATTTATACTTATTTATTAATTTCCTGTATTGATTTATCAGAACAAAACTTTTGAGCTTTGTTTATGCTTAGGGCTGGCTATTTGGCCCGGACTGTTTGGTTTTACCTAAAACCGGACCGGGACCGGACTGGGACCCGATAACAAACAATCCAATCTCATATTTGGGCTTAGATTTGAGGTAAAACCCCGAATAAAGACCGGATAAGAGACCCCCAACACCTAAAATCAAGATCAAATTAGGACCGGACCGGGTTAAGACCGGATTGTATCTAATCCAATCTTTGGTCCTTATATTCCCGAAAAGACCGGACTAGGACCGGATCAATTTGGTCCAATTTAACCGGACCGAACCGTATAGTCACCCCTATTTATGCATACTTATCCCTTGCAGTATTTCTACATGTAATAATATTTGTTTGTCAAAAATTAATTCAGTCTTGATGATGAATTAACATCCCATTTTATGTTTGGTTGAAATTATGACCTCAATATGTCTATCTATTTATAAAGTATATGATTTTCAAAGTTACTCTTTTATTACATCCATATTGAAGTTTTATGAACAATCATTTTATTATAATTTTTTTATAATATTCAATTCTAAACTTTGAAGGACACTTATTCATAAAATATTTAAAAGATAGAGGGTAGGAGTTTTGGTTTACCGTTACTTTTGATAACTTTGAGTGACCTGTCTAAAGTGGCGAAATGATTAGAAATAAAAAAACGAAAATAAAGGTAGAACAATTGTAGTTTAATGGGCAATGATTCAGTTTTTTTTTTCGTAGAGATAAATAAGGGAGAGATAAAAATGCCACCGTAGAGAAAATTTTGGGATAAAAAAACGGTGTTTCCCAGATATTGCGGGAGTTGTTTATGATGGGTAGGATTTTTTTAGTGAGAATGAATTGTGATTGGTTGAATCAGCATGCTGACGTGGATGAATAAGGAAAGAGTAAATTTGAAATGGAGAGGCCTTTTACGGGAAAGTGTATAATATATTCTTTAGATTTAGATACTCGCAAAATTCTTCTAGTTTGGTTCTAGCTTCTAAATTATCTGTAAAAGAATGATCCATGTCATCCTTGTAAAAAAATTAAGGTAGTGTCTATTTTTTAGACAAACCTTTTTTAGATTCTTTTTATATTATTGAACCTATTAAAATGCTATTAATTATTCAAATTTTTCGTAATGCATCAAAATATTAGCATTTTTTACGTTATCGTTAATAATTTTATAAATTTTTTCTTAGTTAAAATACTAAAAATTTAGAATGTTAACCTTCATTTGACTCTTCCAAGTTGATATTATGTTGTCAATATTACTAACAAAATTGTTAATTAAAAGTCAACATTTGGATAATTCTTAGTATTTCGATAGGTTTGAATAATATAAAAGAATTTGAAAATTTTTGGATAAAAAATAGACATCATCCAAAAAATTATTATAAACATCATAGTTAGGAACAAGATTTGGTCCTCAAATATCAACATGTATTAATTGAAACGTTTAGTAGAAACAGTTGAGCTACAAGAGAAAAGGTAGTATCTTTTGGTTGAGAGGGGGTCGAGGTGGGGTACAGGGTAGGGAGGGGCGATGTGGGTGTTCACGGATGGGGTCATTGACTCGTCCCGAATACCACAATAAAACTCTCAATTAAGACCCATGTATAAACCTCACTTGGGTGCAATATAGGGCAAGTACGTTTAAATGTCGACCCGGGCCGGTTCATGTACCCCTACTTCGATTGTTTGTAACATTATCTAGCGGTTGATTTTTGGTTAAAACAACGATCTATAGCTAAAACGTTTGGAAAAGTGAATGGATTTAACACTAATTGAAAAGGTTTCACCCGGGGGTTGCTCCCCCTAGCAAACAATTATGACTTGTCGAATCGAATGGTCATGTGTGGTAAGGTGGTTGTAAACCGTAGGAAAGTGCAACAAGTAGCCAAATGCCACTCTCTCGGTCTCTAGGTCCAGGGAATTCGATTCAAGCCAACAAAGTGACTCTCTCGACCTATCGACTAAGGGTTGCCAAGACTTCACCCTCGAATCGGTGTTCGGATGGCCAATTACTACCAACCCTAGGTGCTAGTACGAATATAGAGGGATGTCCTACATTAACCTAGATAGGAGACAATGAATCGCCTAAGAAAACCCAGCTTTGCAAGCCTCTTTCAAAGAAAGAGAGTTTTATCTCTACCTAGGTTAAAATGACAATTAGATTGGTAGACTTTCGTACAACACAATCATTCATGAACATACCTCCACATTCATTAAACACATCCACACACGAATCATTCAATCCATACAAGCATTCACATAATTGTAGCTAGGGTTTACAAACACCCAAGTGAAAGAAGGGACTGCTCCATGCTAGAAGAAGGGAAAACACAAGAGAGAAGAAGGAAAACCATCAATGAGATGCTAGCATTGCTCCTTGTGTTGAAGAGATCCTCCTTTGGGGGAGGAATTCCCAAATCATTGCTTGAAGATGAAACCCTCGCTTCTCCTCTTCTTTGGTTCGTCACTTTCTCACTCTAGAAATCTGTAGAAGAAGAAGAAGAAGTTTCTCACACTAGGTCTCCCCCTTTTTCTCCTTCAGCTCAACCTCCTTTTATACCCAGATCAGGCTCAGATCATGGTCCCAGTTCACGGTCATGAACTGAAAGCACGGACCGTGATCTCAAGTCAAAACGCGTCGTATCACTAAGTCAACTTCACGGGCAATGGCCTGAGTTCACGGTCTTACGACCGTGAACTGACTTGCGTCCATTGAAAGTGATTTATGCTCTGGATGCTTGGTTTTTCATGGCTAGCGCCTCCAGTTCACGATCTTAGTGACCGTGAACACACAGCTCCAACCGTGATCTGCTGCTGCTTCCACCCTTTGACTTGATTTTTCGCCTTTTTGTCCAACTTTCGACTCCGTGGTTGGTTCCACCTGCCATAGTCTGAAAACACCAAAACGAGGGAAAATCTGGCGTAAAACCAAACCTCCAGAGTACAAATGCTTCAAACGACTAAGGAAACTGAGGGGTAAAAGGTGTACAAATGAGCCCAAATCACTCCCCCACACTTAGACGTTTGCTTGTCCCCAAGAAAACCATTTTCAACCTAGGTGATATCTCAACCTAACAAAATAACTTGGGGACAAATAAAAAGGCACAAAGTGGTGAATCTCAATGACTATTGGGCGTCAACACATGAACCGCCTCAAACAATACCGGCATCCACCACAAATGACATTCGATTGCATCAAGAATTGGCAAATAAAAAGTTCTCACCCTGTTCACAAATCAATGAAAGTCCGACCAGACTACTCACCAACCGCAACTAACCATGCATAGAACTCAAGTCCAAGGAACAAACGACGGGGCAACATAGGTCCTCACCGGGGTAAGATATGAACATGGAAAACGAGAATGAATCACTCACTCTCGACCAGTGGGGTCATGACCTTTTTTATGAAAAAGATGTGCACAATCATCAACACTCAGCCCTGTCGTCTCTCCACCACGGCGGCAACCTCAAAATATTAGAGCTCACAGGACGGTTGTCATCACTAGCTTGTCCAGACTCCGGAGGTCTTAGACACTGGTTCAAATGACTGACAACTGCCTTGGACACGGGGAAAAGGCTTTTTCGGTGGTGGCGAACATGACATGAGGTCCTACATCTTCAACCTAAAACCAAAGGTCCTATGGTTTTGACTAAGAACCTTTCCTACAATCAACAACCACTAGCATCGGCCAAAAACCACACTTCCCTTCTTCCAAACCACTACTAATCATGAACTACATTCAAGCACACTTCTTCGGCCTATCTTGTTATTCACATTTCAAACCTAATAGTGAAGGAGGTCATCAAACAATTTAGGTGTTTCAATGGCTTGAGTGCCAAGAAACCTTTTATAGAGCATACACTTAGACTTTATTGGCCACTCTCTACTTTTATTTACCCTGTTTTATTACCTTTTTCGTTTTTTTTTTCTCTTTCTTTCTTTTTTGTTCTCTTTTTCTTTTTTCGAGGGGGGTACTAGAGAGTGCAACGCATGTCACCTATCCTTAAATGAAGAATGCTCTCCATTAAGAACTTTCTTCCATCGATAACTTCGCAGTTCTAGCAAGAACCGTGCAAAACCACCTATGTAGAACCTCAATGGAGTTCAAAGGCGAGAACTCCGCGACGAGGGGGGGTCGTTAATTTTGGAGGGGGTCGGTTTTTAAGTCACCATTAAGCTCAAAAGGCACAAAGCTCCTAGCATTAGAACGACCCCCAAAGTTACACGGCTCAAAGGGGTTAACTAGGGGATACAATGTTTCGGGACAATCAACTTTTTGGCGTGGAATAATCTTATACCTTCATCATACTCACTAGTGAAAATGGTGAATGTTACACACCATGACAAGAGGGATCTATCACACATGAAAAAGACGATCGGCACAAAACTCACATGGCTACCTAGCCACCCAATCATTTATTCCAATTTCAAAAACTTCAATGCATGGCAATTGTAATCAAGAAGTAACCAAGACAAGACATCCATTCATTTAAGCACACATGAGAACTAAGCTTTTGCACAACCCTAATGCATTCTTAGTCATCATAATAGGATGCACTCGATTACATGCAACAATTCAACCGACCATTTTGATCATGCATTGCTTGGAGCCCTCAAAATTTTCAAATTTGGGCATACATCAAGGCTCCAAGCATTCAATCACATACACAAGCATACTAATAAACTACCCCCCGCCCCACACTTAAGCTCGACATTGCCCTCGATGGCGTAAAATAGGGGGTACAACGATGTTACCGCATGACTTGGTGAATGAAAGTTGGGGAATTTCCCAGGGGTAGGATGTTTGAGCTTCAAAGGGAAAACAAAACACATGCACATTCTCGCTCGAGGCGGGGTTATTACACATAACAAAGTTTCACATGAAGATTCACACGACATACCTCCGCTGGGTTGCATCCCAACAGGCGCTAGTTTAACATCTTAAGCTAGATGAGGACTTCGAGCACCTGCAACTTCCTCTCATTTCCACACAAACTAGGGTCCATATTTAGGTAACTACTTACGAGAGCGGGAGCGAGATAGCGTCTCTTCTTCAAGAATTCATGTCCGAGAGCGTGATCAGAGTGTCATATTAAATTGGTATTAATTAATTATTTTAATGGTAGTGACTGGTATACTCGAGGAGTATAGTATACTCCAAGTGATCTGCCCTTTAGATCTCCTTTTTGAGCTTCGGTCAATTAGTATTTTTTATTAAATTGATATGTATATATATAAATAAAAAATTATTAAATGATTGTTGTAAAGTAAATTTCATTTCAGTCACTAAATTAAATTAATACCTATTTGTCTTATACTTTTGATATTATTGTTTAGGATTAAATGACATACAAGACCCTGTACTACCGAATGATAACAAATGAGCCCCTGTAGTATATATTAACCGAAAAAAGCCCTAATATTATGCTTGTATAACAAATGAGCCACTAAATTATGAAAATTTATATTATCGGGTCATTCTTCGGTTCTGTTCTAATTTCTAACAACATTGATAAAAAGAAGCCAACCCTAGCCGGCCCACCGTCCAAGCTATTAAGCTAACGGAACGGATTAGTGCGACACCGTTTGCTTTTGCACCTCGCATCATCTGCCGAACCCCGCACCCGACGGTCAAATAGACGACATCTCGTCCGTTCAATCCCCCGAGAATCCAACGGCTAGCAATAAACCCTAATGACGTTGTTCTCTTGCTCTCATCTGCCACTCTTTAAAAGCCGCGCGGTTCTCTCATCTGTGTCTGTCCCCTCAATCCATCGCCACACAAACTCAGCTGCTCATCACTCTCTCTCGGGAATTCGTATCGACAATCGCCCTCTCGTCAACGCCGGCGAGAGAAGGAGAAGCTCTTCTTCTGCGGTGAAGTCTCCGATCTCCTGTTTCCTCATCCTTCGCCTGTTTCGGCGATCAATTCCACGCTTGTCCCTCCTTTGAATTGCTCTCAGTTGCCGAGCAATTTCTGCTTCTCTATGCCCTTCTCTTGCATGCGACCTTAGCACAGCTCGTTTGTGATTTAGATCGTCTCTTTCTCGCAGTCTTCGTGCTTTTACATAGTGTAGTCTTCTCGCTGTTCGATTGTTTTGTTTAGTTTATGTACATCTCCGCTTATTTGAATATATATGTATCCCTGATAATCATAATTCGATCTATGTGTGAAATATGAACTGTCGATTGACTTGTTCGATTATGTTGGATTGGATGCATAATCATTCTGGATTCGATTGTTTAGTTTATGGAATGATTGGCATTGTTAGTATTTGTGCTGATGGGAAGTTCCGTTCCCTGTATTGCAGTTGTATTTGCTGGTAATTCAGAATGGGTAAGGAAAAAGTTCATATCAACATTGTTGTCATTGGCCATGTCGACTCTGGGAAGTCAACCACCACCGGCCACTTGATCTACAAGCTTGGAGGTATTGACAAGCGTGTGATCGAGAGGTTCGAGAAGGAAGCTGCTGAGATGAACAAGAGGTCATTCAAGTACGCATGGGTGCTTGACAAGCTCAAGGCTGAGCGTGAGCGTGGTATCACCATTGATATTGCCCTGTGGAAGTTTGAGACCACCAAGTACTACTGCACAGTCATTGATGCTCCGGGACATCGCGATTTCATCAAGAACATGATTACTGGTACCTCCCAGGCTGATTGTGCTGTCCTCATCATTGACTCCACCACTGGTGGTTTCGAGGCTGGTATCTCCAAGGATGGCCAGACCCGTGAGCATGCTCTCCTCGCCTTCACCCTTGGTGTCAAGCAGATGATCTGCTGCTGCAACAAGGTCAGTGAGTCTTTTCTTGCTGCTCTTGTTAACTATGTATTCTTGGTGCTACTTAGTTGTACTAGTACTGATTTTCTTATCGATGTGTACTGCAGATGGATGCCACCACCCCCAAGTACTCGAAGGCTAGGTATGATGAAATCGTGAAGGAAGTTTCATCCTACTTGAAGAAGGTTGGGTACAACCCAGACAAGGTTCCATTTGTTCCCATCTCTGGGTTCGAGGGAGACAACATGATTGAGAGGTCGACTAACCTTGACTGGTACAAGGGCCCAACGCTTCTTGACGCTCTAGACAACATCAACGAGCCCAAGAGGCCATCAGACAAGCCACTCCGTCTCCCACTTCAGGATGTGTACAAGATCGGTGGTATTGGAACTGTGCCAGTGGGTCGTGTTGAGACCGGTGTCATCAAGCCCGGTATGGTTGTTACCTTTGGTCCCACTGGGCTGACAACTGAGGTCAAGTCAGTTGAGATGCACCATGAAGCTCTCCAGGAGGCTCTCCCTGGTGACAACGTCGGGTTCAACGTGAAGAATGTCGCTGTCAAGGATCTCAAGCGCGGGTTCGTTGCCTCCAACTCCAAGGATGACCCTGCGAAGGAGGCTGCCAACTTCACCTCCCAGGTCATCATCATGAACCACCCTGGCCAGATTGGAAACGGCTACGCCCCAGTTCTCGACTGCCACACCTCCCACATTGCTGTGAAGTTCTCTGAAATCATGACCAAGATCGACAGGCGATCCGGAAAGGAGATCGAGAAGGAGCCCAAGTTCTTGAAGAATGGTGATGCCGGGTTCGTGAAGATGATTCCGACCAAGCCCATGGTGGTGGAGACCTTCTCCGAGTACCCACCTCTTGGTAGGTTCGCCGTGAGGGACATGAGGCAGACTGTTGCTGTGGGTGTCATCAAGGCCGTGGAGAAGAAGGATCCTACTGGTGCCAAGGTCACCAAGGCTGCTGCCAAGAAGAAGTGAAGCATTTCTTATCAGCTTTTTGTCAAGTGGACGTGGTCGTTTTGTGTTGTTAAGTTGGCGGAAAATGTTGTTGATGGAGGGTTGTTCGTGGTGGCTTTTCGATGTCCGTTGTTAGAATTTATCATGTGAACATGGTGGTAATGGTTGTAGTAGGACGGAGTCGCTGTTTAGTAATGTTTTTCAATTTGCCTGCGTCGGAGGTGCTCTCTCTTTGTCCACTAGAGCGCGCAGTTCAACAGTTTTGCCCTTATTTTTGCATCGAACAGTTAATATTGGGCAAGTGACTTTCTGTTTTGCAAAGCTTATCGGTATGGTCATTACAGTAGTTATATCAAGGCTGCAAGTGTCCACAGCTCAACAAGATGGAAGAGTTCATTACTGATGCCGTCGCTCTGTTGGTGTCACGATCATGTGTCGACTGTCGAGTAATACGAATGCAATTGGTACTCCTAGGACTCAGAGTTCATACATACAGAATAGAGCTAGGCTGTGTACAATCTGGGGGTCACTTGTACTGATGGACCTGCCCCTGGAAAACTGAATGCACAATTATAGTCCAATATAATGCAAAGCTACAAGATTTTGCCATTCTTACGTTTAAACACTGCTGAGATTTCGACGCAAAACTCCTATCAGCAAAACCTCAATATCTAGTATCACTCCTATCATTTCTGGTAGGGCATGGAGTTACGCTGGACTACCAGGTCCAAACATGGTTGCCGATTGGAGAGAAATAGGCATCAACCACTCTTCCGGTGAATTACAACTCTTTGTCAATGTCATTGTCATTCTCTTTTTCGGCTGCAGCCTTCTCAGCTTCTTCCAAAACAAACGCCTTAAGCGAATCTACATCCCTTTTCCCTGCATTTTATTCGAAGTAAAAAGTTAACACAGGAAACCGTCCTACACAATTACTATCTACATCCTTGCGCTCAGCTGTTTAGTATATGCAAGGGTTTGACTGGATTAGAAACAGCAAACTTATGTCCTAGCTGGAGAGAGAAAGCAAGAATACAAGACCAACCAAAATTTTCGTAAGTGAAGGGCAAAAACAATTTGAAGCAGTAGTTAAATACTCGAACAGAGTTCTTTCCCGTTTTTGCACAGTACAAACCAGAGTTTTCCCGTTGTTTTGCAATGAATGTCCAGCACCTATCCAAAATTCCAGTCTCCTCAATTGTTACAGAAAGCTCCAGAAGAGCAGTTTATATCTTCTTAACTTCAAACATAGACCGGTTTTTCCTCATATTCTATTTTGAAGTGGGCTTCGAACTCAGTATGACTTTCCTATGGAGATTCAGCACAAGCAAACATAAAACCCATTCCCTTGCCCTGTAATTGTCTAGGATGTCCTAAGCACTTAAAGTAAAGCTGCTCCATATGTTGAACATAATGGATATATGAAATCTAGGAAGAACACATATACATCACAAAGTGCTTTAAGCTGGCTCATGGGTAGCTGAATCATGTCATACAAAAATGGGAACAGCTGCTCCATGACATGCTCCAAACGAAAAAGGAAAGCAGAAACTTTCCGAAGGCCAACAGAATGATGGTAGGGAACACTGACGAGCATTTCAAAGACCAAACACAATGATCCTTTTCACTAATGATCAGGCACACAACTTTCATCAGATTGTTTGAGATTTTAGTCTTTTAGTCATAAGTTGGACTATTCAACTCACCTTGATATTTAGCAACTTCTTCTCCTTCATAAAAGACCTTAAACGTGGGGTATGAGTGGATGTCCACTTTCGAGCACACTGATTTGCTGGCACCACAATCAACTTCACCAACCTCTATCTCATCTTGGCCTTCCATTGCTGTCCCTAAGTCTTCCCATAGGGAGCCCAGATTCTTACTGAACCCAAAACAGGATTTGTTTGTGAAAGACATAAAAGACTTCTAACAGATAAGATATCTTGTCTGCTGGCAAGTGATAATACTCATATACTTACCAGTGCTTGCACCAAGGAACACAAAACTTGACAAACCATGCAGTGTCTTTCTCCTTCACCTGAGAGATGCAACAAATTGAATTAACAATCACCAGTGTAAGTTTGTTATTACATAAGCTCATATAGTTAGACGAAAACCCAAATCTCCCATCTCTGCTTCTCTGTTACCACTTGTTTCCCATAGAATAAACTGAATAAACATAAAGTTTCATTACTCAATATCAAAACTTGTAGATGCACTTGAGATTTTTTTATGGCAAAGACAACTGCGGGAAACTGAGCTCATCTCAAAATCTTACTACAAACCGCAAATGATCTAGGAGGATTGCAAGAAATTACCTCCCTTTTCATCCAAGTTTCAGGCCTCGTATTAGAAGTAATTTTTTTAACAACAGATAAGTTTTTAACCATAACCCAATCCAAATGGACATTGCAAACTGCAAACTTCCGCGCAGACCGGATTCTTACTACGCCCTTTCCGAATCCAATTAAGCAACAATGTGATCTCATCAACCAAAACCCAGTTGGAAGCAAGATAGGCCGAAGTTTATGATCAAGCTAAATTCAGCTCACAGAAATACACCAAAATTCTATACTTTCGGGAGAAACATTAGGCAAAATATATAGCTAATTCAGTAAATCTGAAGTAAAAGACGCGCAACCCTTAAACCCTAATCTGTAGTAGAATGTAATTCTCGTCAGAGAAGACGGTGGATGTACCTTGTCGGAGAAGGTCTCAGGGGTTAGGGTAATAACTTCGGGTTTCGTCGGCGAGATGAGGAGTAGAAGCAGAAGGGAACATAAAGTAATAGAGCGATTCAGGTTAGCCATAACTTGCTGGCGCTTCCCGTGGAATGGCGGCGGCGGCGATCGCTGCTGCAGAACACGATTTTCAGGCAAGATTGTTAAGAGACGGAGATCGGCTGCGTTAATGTACGATGGATCAGTCCGAATTTGGATGGGAACCGTGTTCACTTTCTCAACTCAACCTGACTTGATTCGAACTCTGTCTGGCACGTGGGTCGCAACTTCTTTATTTTTGGGCTATATGGCAATTTGACTCCCCAACTATGTGATGTTTACCGTTCAAGTCTATAAACTAAATTCTTTTACCGTTCATTCTTTTTTCTTTTTCTTCAAAATTCGATAGTCTCATCGTCGACAATTCATATTGAAGTACTTGTTCGTCGGTGTTAACTAACGCTAGAGTAGTAGGGATGACAATTTTAACCTGACCTGTTATATTCAATTTGTTTGACATGTTTTTGGGGCGGGTTATGGGTACTCTCCTCGACTTGTCCTTACCGGCTTCATTCTCAACTCGTTTCTGGATAAATTATATGTAATTATACTCATTATTTAGATTTTTACTTTTATTACCTCATATTTTATAGCTATGTAATTATACTCATTATTTAGATTTTTACTTTTATTACCTCATATTTTATAGTTTAGCTATAATGAAGTTGTACATAGATATAGATTTATAGGTTAGCTATAATGAAGTTTTACATAGATATAGGAGATATTTTATAATTTAGCTATAATAAAGTTGTACTTAAATATAGGAGAGAACTTTAATTTCTAACGGTCAATCTACCCCGACCCTTGCCCCATAATAAATTATCCAACTTGCGACGGGCGAATATAAACAAGTATGGACATCTAGATACCCGCCCAGACCTGCCATTGCTATTCCTTGGCAAAATGGAGCAGTATCCACAAGGGCAGGTCAGGTAGAAATATCTCATGCCTTCATTAGGACTCGATCTCTATAACCACATTCAGACTGGTCTTGATGACCACCAGAAAACATAGCCTTTCTTTGGTTAGAAAATCAAATAACTTCCACAGGAAGGGCTGGCTCATACCGTAAGTCCATAACCATACGCTACTACATTTAGAAAGGGTTGAAAAGGTGAAACTTGCAAATCGTTCATGACATTCATGGTTCTGCTGGAATATAAGTATCATTCTTGATCCAAAGACAAAAGGAAAACATTGTCACAAGGCAGGCATCTGAAGCCCACTTCTTACACCAGCAGTCTACCATGATCCTTCAGCACCAGCAGTGGGATTGTTGAATGCTGTGAATCCCCAGAAGGTCTTCAGAGAGTAAGGCTGCGAAATGGTGACACCTTCCTCGGTAATTTTTGCTATCTGCAAAGTGAACATCGTCGCTTGTAAATGTAACAAAAAAATCAACCCTAAAGAAAGTGATTATGAACTACAGTTTCAGGAAATATTGGTGAAAGTTAGACACCACTTTGATCTTTTAGGTTCGACGGGAGGCTACTTAACCCTAACCTACATTGGGCTTAAAGTAAAGCAAAGATAAGGAACGAACAGTGCAGTAAGTGAAAATGAGGATGGTGCCCGCAAACTAGTGAATAGCATTGACATCCTCATTCAACCGTCCGAAACTAATTCACTCTGCTGGAAGCTATCTGTCAGAACAACCCTATCCAGAAATGATCACCTAATGAAGTGCTGTGTGCTACATATAAACTGATTGTTTCAGTCTTTCCAACCAAAAGAACACCAACATGGAGGGATGAATGAATGACTGTTATTATACTCGTTAACAGCTGTGTACAGGTTTCGAGCTATTGCAGGATCCAAGGTGGGCCTGAACTTGTTAAGTCCAAAGTAAATGTAATACCTATTTATTTAGGCTCAACAGCTAGAAACTGTAGCAACCACTGAAATGTCCCAGTTTTTAGATGAAAGGATCCACATAGCAAAAAAGTTAAAGACCATCTTTAGCATACAGGAATTAAGAAACCGAACCTGAAGCTTGTTCACAGCAGATCTATCACGGTACAAGAGCACACGCATACACTTCTCCAGCAACTTAACACCATCTTCAAAGCTCAAGTCTTCACGCCACTCATCACGGAGAATTGGTCGAGCAAGGTGGTTTCCAAATCCAGTTGCAACATGATCATCCACAAAACTGAGACCAATCATGCTTACCTGAGAAGCTCAAAGATTAGGAACAGTAGTAACTTGAGTCTTTAAACAACAAAAAATCCCCAACTGCCTGATCAAGTTATGAAAAAGTGGAATCGACTTAAAAGAGGGCTGAAAATTATATTCAATAAGAGGCCTACCATGCCGAGATACTTCTCTCCCTTTTTCACGCCACCAAGAACAAGCGAGTTCCAAAAGGGATCAAATTTGTTACGCCTATTGTACATCACTCTAGTCAGATAGTTGTGCACCTCTTTGGGCCCCAAGGAGTTCCCATCATCCCACATGCTATCATGTAAGCTACAGCCACCAAATCAACACAACCACAATTATCGTAGGAAGAAGAACAGGTTCTCCTCAAGGAGGAAAAGCAATGTTTTCCCGATAGTATCCCCTTTTGCATCCCAACCATAAAAGAGAACTTACATCAGCTCATCAAGATACTTGCAAATCTCCTGGAAATCACTGATTTCCCCACTAGCACCCAACAGAGAGTGCTTCCCAACTGGAGTCATTCGACTCATACTCTTGTATCGCAACGTGGACCCATATGAACCTGCCAATTTCAACAATCCACATCTCAAATAAACCAAAAAACCCAAAAAGTGATTCAATCCAACAGCTTAATATATATCATAGACCGTCAATCTCCGTGAACACAAGCAGCACTAACCTCCCATGTCAGCAGCCATCAAAATCCCGTCCTTATACTTCAAAGCCACCACGGACGTACCAGTGACGTACGGAGACCTATACATTCCCCAGATAAAGTCAAACAAATGAAGAGCTAGGGTTTCCGTTCCCACGATTCTACGAACACCACCCCAAAATCGAAGAACCAAAACCCTAAAACAAAAACGTATTTCCAGGCACACAAGCAGCAAACTAGGTATACATGCACTGTAGGCGCAATAAAAAAGGGGGTGAACGAGAATATACGTACAGCGTTCGCTGGGAGTCAGATTCAGAGGCCAGAAGGCTCGGCTTGGCTTGATTCGACTCCATTGGGGAACTGTCAAAAGAGGGGTATAGAAAAGGAATTAAACAGGATGCTACAAACTGAGAACGAGTGGGTTATGCATAGAAGACGAACTCACTGTGCAGAGACCGTAGATTGGAACTTGGCGAAGGCAAGTCTGAGAGATGCTTCGGCCGACGAAGAAGAAGTGCTGTGTGCCTGCCGCGATCTATAGGAGCTTAATAATAATTCCTCACCTGAATTCTCCCACAAGAAAGAAAGCCGTCCTTTCGTTTTTTTTTTTTTTTTTTTCTGTTTAGCTGGGTTTTGGGTCCGAATTCACAAACTGGGCCAGTCTCGGTGTGGCTGAATCGGGCAATGGCATACAAGCATATGGGCTAACGGAAATAAAGCCCAGTAAATGGTTGCACTGAGGGATGGCAATGGGCGTAGAGGTGGCAATTGGATCAGATTCATGGATTGGTGGATTGGATTGGTGGATCCATGGATCAAATGAATTGGATCCAATGGATTGGTGGATTCATGGATTGGATCAAATGGATTGGTGGATTGATCCATTAATCCAAATGACATCCAAAGCTTGGACCAAAATGTAAATTTTGAATAGTTTAGGTACTAAAATGTCATAATGAAAAATTTTAGGTACAAAAATGTAATTTTCCAATGATATTTTTCGTATAAAAATATAAATTTTAGGTACCAAAATGTAAAATATAAAAAATATAGGTACCAAATCGTAATTTGTCATTTGGATCCATGGATTGATCCATGAATCCACCAATCCAATTGGATTTGGATCAAATGGATTGGATTAAGTGGATAATTTGGTGGATGGATTGGATTGGATTCATGGATTTGGATCCGAATTGCCACCTCTAAATGGGCGGGTTTGGGATGGGTTTGCCTAAACCATCCCCATACCAGTTATCAAATATCTATACCCATACCCGCCTCATACCCATGCGGGGAAGGTTTTGCAAACTCATACCCATACCCGTGGGTTTTGGGTACCCATGGGTAATACCCGCCCCGTACATCCGACACTATAATACCTAAAATTTTAGATGTACATTCTCAATTATAACATTAAACGCAGCTATTATCGTGAAGTTGACAAAAAGACTCTCATTCTTTATACGATTCAAAGCATATTATCCTAAACAATCCATTAATCCATAAGATAGAGTACAATATAATGTAATACAAATCATTCTTCTCGGACTCTGATACATCTACTAACTAATAACAAACTAACATAATCTTGTTAACATGAGGGGAAAAGTGAAACAGTGAAGGGAGAGTTGACGAAAATGAATTATGTTTTGATTTGGGTGGTCACTCAATTACATTTCTAATATTTATTTTTTTGAGGTACCCTCACTATCATTCATATATCACAATTTTATTCATATATTTGTTATATGTGAAGAAATGTTCTTAGTGGGGTGGGTGTGGGTATGGGTATGGGGCGGGGGAGGCTAAAACCATACCCGCCCCATACCCATCAAACGTTTTGCGGGTTTTACCCATACCCTCCCATTACCCAGTCAATGCCGGGATCCCCGCAATGATTGAGTCGGGGACGGTCGGATACCCGCGACCATGGGTTTGATTGCCATCCTTACACACTACCAAAAAATTAAAAGCCTAATCTATAAATATACTAGCACAGGACCTGGCCCGTTGGTCGGAAAATTTTTGTCGAGAAATATGATATATAATAGAAGATTTGAAATGCACAAAATGATTGTTTTCTAACTTAGTTATGCACATAATATTTTTGAAAGTGATCCAACTATGCATATTGTGTTTAGACCTTCATGAAAAGAGAAAAATATATATTTTTTTATGGGAACCTGTATTCGATTCAAACTTAACCTCTATTACATGGGCCACGGCCCAAATCTTCTTCCAACAGAACAAGCAAAGAGAGTGGGGGATTTTCGGTCCAAACCACTTGTCTGTCCCAAACCGACCCCGAGTGGGCCAACCAGTGAGCAACCCTGTTCTTCTTTCTACCCGCAAACGACCAAATCACTTGAGAACCCGACAATCCTTCATTCACCTTCGCCAACCTCAAGATTTCATCGCACCAACTTCCCAACTCGGTGAAATCCTCCTCCCTCCTCCTCAGCTTGTTGATGAGCACTTGACAGTCTGATTCAACTATTAAGGGGCTCAAATTCCTCCGATTTGCTTCCACCAGTCCTATCACCAACGCCCTAGCCTCAGCCTCAATTGGACTGCAAGATCCCTTCTCCTTCTTCATAGTAGCTCCAACGAAAGCTCCCCTCCAATCTCTAAGCACACAGCCAAAACCCACTCCCCCATTTTGGAAAACCCCAGCATCAGAGTTAAGCTTAACAAAGCCGACCGGGGGAGGACTCCATTGATGAATCCGGGAGTCGCTTAGCGTGGCCCCAGAAACTGTAGATCCGAGCGAAGAAACTTGGGCTGCGAGATAAGAGTCGATCCAGGACATCGCCCGGGGAATGATATCGCCTTCCTCAAGCTTATGGTTGTTGTATTTCTGATTACACCTCTCTTTCCAGAGGAACCAGAGGATCGAGGTAAATTTCTGGATTTGTTCAATACTGCACACCCTCCAAACCTCTTTCATCCATGCAATTGGAGTTCGATTTTCCCCTAATTTATAGACGTTTTCCACTTCACAGCCCTGCCATCGACGCCTGATCCAAGCACAGTCCCGGAGCGCATGCATCTGGGTTTCTTTAAGATTACAGAATGTACATTCATCTCCAGCCGTTTCAACCCAATCAGTCACGTTTGCCCCAACTGGTAAGATGTTCTTACAGAGTTTCCAGAGAAAATTTTTCACTTTAGGTTGGGTGGGAGGACTCCATAGATTTTGCCAGAACTCAGAATTATCCTCCCCAGAGCCGTGAGAAAGATCGATCTTGCTTTGCTGCTTGTTACGAATCCAGAAATAGGCTGATTTTACAGTATAGGAACCCGAAACAGAGTCCTTCCAAATCCGAGAATCCTCTTTTGGAGGTGAACTTAGAGGAATCTTAGAAATCAACACCCGGTATTGAGCAGAGAATAATCTCTCAACTTTCTCACTATCCCATGTCCCCTGTTGTTGATCGATAATCGAGCTAACCAAATCATCCGGGAACTCATTAGCTGGCACAGGATCTGGATAGAAAAAAGATTTTCCAGGGATCCATTCATCATCCCAGATCCTTATTAACTTCCCGTTTCCCACCTTCCATCTAAAGCCATCCATTATAGACTCCTTAGCTGTCAAGATACTCTTCCATATGTAGCTAGGGCGATATCCCAACTTAGCTCCAAAAATATTATTCTTTGGGAAATACCGAGCTTTTAGCACTTTAGCATAAGGGATTGAGGCCTCGATCTCAAATTCCAAACATGTTTCCCCAACATAGCCAAATTGAATGCCTTCAGGTCACGAAAACCCATGCCTCCCTCCTCCTTCCCATCACAGAGTTCATCCCAAGATATCCATTTGATTTTAGTTTCTTTCCCCTTTTGACCCCACCAAAAATTAGCCATCAAACCTTGAATTTCCTGGATAATCCCATTAGGGAGAAGAAAAACTGACATAGGATATAGGAATTGAGCTTGTGTCACGGCTTTAATCAGAATCTCTTTCCCAGCTTGTGACATAGTTCTATTTTTCCAATCTTTAAACTTCTTCCTAGAAAAATATAATATAAGCATTAATTATAATTATTGAATGAAAAAGGAAATAAATGTAACTAATTTTCATCCATTACTTAATTAATCCATATAGTTGAATATTAGATTTGTTTCTCATAATACATACATAATTAACCTTTAAGATGAAAGAAAATGTCTCTCATAGAGTTTAGTATGTCCTTGAAGTTTTTCCCAATAGAGAGCATTATTTTTTACCACACCATTTGTAATGAATTTGAAGTTGCTTGATTTGAAATATACAGGACATGATGCTAAATTGTCGCTAATAGTTGGTTTTACAATGTATTGTGTATGGATTTCCAAAATTATTCTCATATCGCAGACATGTCTAACAAGAATGTAGTAATTTTCATGCAACAAATATTTTTTTCATTAAACAATTCAATAAATAAAAACCTATGAAAATCATATTACATGAAATATATAATACTCATTAAGTTGATGAATGAGCAAGGGTATAAGTAACATACATTTATTTTAAAAATATAGAAGTTGCAAAGTGTCTTTTGGGTTGAATGAGATCGTATATTCTCATTATCGCTAACTGACTTATGCTTTTGTGCAATAGATAGTTCAAAATGTGTCTTAAAACTTTTGTTTCCACCAGTGTAAAAGAATTGTTTGAACCAAATGATTATAATAGTATCAAAAAATTTGGTAGCAGAGTATTTTATACTGAAAGCATAATTTAACTGTGGTTCAACAGTTTCATATTGCTAAATATCACCTATCGATTTAGCCTATGGTGTGAAATTTTATGGTTGAACTGCCAGTATGTACGATCTTTCAATTCAAACTTTCAATCTCAACAAAACAATCGCAACTTTCAAACGACCCCGTAATTGAAATGGAAAAAATCTAACAAATATAATGTCATCTCCTAAAATAAAACAAAACTCAACAAGGCCAAGAATGCCCACTAAACAGAGTCGGAGGGCAATTATTTCATACTACCTCATTTTCCCCCTCGTTTAAATATGTCCTCTCACTCTCTCTTATGCTTCGTTCACTTGCCATTTTGTTTTCTGTTTTCTAGTGTGACAACAAAAATAAAAAAACAAATTGTAAGAAATGTGTTCACTTGCAATTTCATTATAGATGGAAAAACTCATGGGGAACAAAAGAGGCAGTTGGGCGAAAACAATAAAACATCATTTGCTGGAAAATGAGAGACGGATTTCCCCGCATCGCCATTGGGTTATGCCCCATTCCTTTTAATGAGCCCAGCGTTCGAATCCCTCGGTCAGATTTTTCTCTCCTTTTGTTCACTTAGACCAACGACGTCGTTTTGCTAACCCCAGCTCCCATCGTTCTTCTCCCAGCCTCCCCCAAACTCGACCTCCCCATCGAATGAAGCTGCTACAGTCCGCCTCTTCTTCCTCTAGCAGAGGGAGAGAAGTTTGATCCGGCGAACTCCTTCTCTAGTTGGCGAAGCTCCAGCGGCGAAGGACGGGTTTGCTTTAAGATGCCAGCAGATATTACCCTTCCACTGCTAAGTTAATCATTCTCAAGGGCTTAGATCCTCGAGGTCATATGTACAGAGGTGTGGATTAGGCTGGATGAGACAGTGATGGCTACACTTGCCCAACGGGTCCTCGATAATCCTCTTTGATTTTCCATTTGTTCTTCCATCTCTCTCTCTCTGAGCTTTGTATCCCACCACTCTCCCCCTTTCCTTCCTCTTTCTTCCCACCGCCTGGAATTGAGAGAAACCAAGAAACATCCCAATTACTTATCCAATTTTGCGATCGAAATGCTTCTTCTCCACTCACAATCGATAGTGTGAATCAGAGGACCTGAAACCTGGCGAACAAATGACCGCTTATTCCTCTCAAATGGCGCATTTCTCCATAAAACATGAGTGTAGCAATATAGACTATGTGGTGCTCGCACTTGTGCGCGAGTGCTTGAATTTTAAGTCAGGTACGACCCATGAAGCATTCATACTTGTATAGGGTCGATCCATATACATTATCTTCATGGTATGCTCTAACTGTGTCATGCTAGCTCGATTATGTGCCTGCGTATAGTTACATGCATTCTAATAATTAAGTTTTTAACCCATTTTTGTTCGGTCATAGGTTGGTCCAAAGGTACCTATTCGCAACACCAAGATAAAAAACAATCATAAATGCACATAGTATTGGATTTTGACTGCATGATAAAATACTACATTTGAACCAACTACCACTGATGCCACAAATAATAAGTATATCTCTAAATCATACATAAGATATTTCGAACACCACAAATATTAAGATTAAATTAATTATTATAAAGAGTAAAAATTGTATAATGATGTTAATTATAACTCATTTATACGTTAATGCACTTAAATTGATCAACACACCCAAAAATGGTAAAATGAACATCACATTAAACCTAATATCGTCTCATTATTGTCGGATCTATTCATGCTAGATTAGCAAGAGGTTTAATGTTTAGCAATTAACCAGGCTAAAATTTTAGAGAATCAGTCACCTATAGTTTGTACAAAATATTATTGTTTCGTAGTAGATCTGAAAATTTATATTAATCAAAGAATTCTACATCTCTGTTGCATATTCAATACTGTAATTCGATATGCAATATTTCAAGCATTAAAATTTGTGTTGCAATTTTAAGATTACCCGTCATTTTATAGGTTATAAAAAAATAATAAATCACGTATTAAACTTTGATTTTTAGAATATTTAATAGGCTAGCTAACTATGATGGAAAGTTCTTATGCTTTTCAAATCTTCGCTAAGTGTATGCTTACAATTCAAGAAGATAAAATAAATTTATTTAGTGTAATTGGTTGTGATTTCTGCTTTTTTATGAGACCATAGTTCAAATCTAGATGTTGATACTTTTTCATAGGAAGTAGATAAATAATTGCGATGAAAAAATACTCTTCCTACTTTCACTTTCGTTTCACGAACTTGGAAATGAAAAATCTTAAAACATTGAATATATCTTATAGAAAGAGCTTCTTCAACCAGGTAAGAAGGGCATTTTACCTGAAATTATTATATCTTATAGAAGTGATTAATTGTGAAATCGGAACTCAAGTAACATTGATTCAAACATTAAATATTAAATTGTATGTGTGGTACAGTTTAGATAAAATACATATGTGTAGCCAAAACATGGGTCTTCGTGTGCACTGTGACGGCTCCTTTGTTTCGGAGTCTCAGTTGGCGGCTTGTGGGATTACCATTGTTGATGCCCACGGTCAGGTGATTGATGGCAAGACTGAGAGGTTCTATTGTTCCTACCCGATTCAGGCAGAAGCATTTGCTATTCTGGGTGCTGTGGTGTTGGCGGCCCAAGAGTCCTGTCCGACGTGTATCAAAAGCGACTGCCAACGTTTGATTGTGGCTCTTATTCAAGCCCCTGCGATTGGCCTTGGCAATGTCCTGCGACCCTGGCCCGGATTGTGTCTCTTCTTCAGGGGGCTCCTTGGATCAAGTTGTCCTTCGTTCCTCGACGATTTAATTCTCTTGCGGATTGGGTCGCTAGGAATGCCCGACTTGATCTCTTACCACAGGATTGGATTGTCATTGCAAATTTGATTTCGCCCTTGTTGTAACCTTTTGGTTCTGCTAGTCTGGTTTGGTATAATAGAAGATGTTCCATTGTCAAAAAAGAAAAAAAAGTGACATATAGTAACTTTTTGTGACAAATATACACATAATATAAAGATAAATTTGGCACTATGACGAAAAAAGAGGTTCGTAGAATCACTCTCATGCCACGAAATTTAAAAGAAGACTCTCATTTTCCAATTTTATTATTATATTATATATAGATTTGTCACAAAAAATGGCTATACTCGTTACAACTTACAAAGGTCCATATTTTGGTTACACTTCTGTATTTTGTCTAAACTAAACTACACATACAATTTAATATTAATGTTTGAATAAATACTACTTGAGTTCCGATTTCAGAACTAATCTTATTCTATAAAATATAAATAACTTAAAGATAAAATATAAATATAGAAGCATCATCACCAAACATATTCTTAGAGTTTAATTAAAGAAATAACAATAAATAAAATGTAGCCTAGTTGTTATAATGCTCTTTCTTCGTTTAATTGACCAAGGTTTGAACTCCAATAATAACATTTTTAATATAAGGATAAAGTGAGTACAATGACAAAAATGACCTTCCTAGAATCACTCTCAGACCACGAAACTTGAAATGGGAGAATTACAACCCATGTTTTGCAGGTAATTTAACTTGTAGATTATAGTGGAGTTATAGGCGGTTATTCAGCTTTTTGAATTTCTTGATGAGAGAGTGAATTTAGGAGACCCTTAATTGTCATTTAACTCTGATTAATTTTACTTTATTTTAAAATTTTATTTTCATAATTATTTCTTCCCTCCTGTACACGGCAACGCCATTTTCTCGTACTCGACCACCCTCTTTATTTTTTATTAACAACAGTATAATTTATAGCTGAAAAGTAAAACTGCACCCCCATTAAAAATTTCCTGCCCATAGAGTGATTTTAGGAAGCTGATGTGGCAGAGTGTTAAGCGGGATAAAAAAGGAGTCCCGCCTGATTTCAGAACCAAAAAACTCTCCACTACCCACTTTTTTCTCCTTCCACGCCCACGTTCTCATTTTTTTTTTTGGCCTGATTTCAAAACCAAAAAACTCTCCACTACCCACTTTTTTCTCCTTCCACACCCACGTTCTCATTTAATTTGTATTAATTTGTATTTTTTATTTCTGATTTCCCTTCCTTCCACTCTTTCCCTTCATTCCGTTTTCTTTATTCTCTCTTACCTTCCTTGCTTCATTCTGTTGATTGGATTCTCTAGAGATCAAAAGGGGATTTTTGATTTTTCCCTTTCTCTTGAAAGTAACAAAGCTGCTTACTTTAAATTCCACTTCGCTTAGACTGTCTTCCAGAGAGCAGCCGACTGCCGATTTTGAGCTGAGTTTTTCCGAGCCGCAGAGAAAGAAGAGGAAAGAAAGAGACGTTCGGCCGCGGCAGGCGGACGATAATTTTGGTGACGAGATCTTGGGGAAGGTGATCGGACATTGTGGTGCCAAGAGAATCGGCTTGGAAAAGGGGAAACGCGAACACTTTTTTGAGTCTTGATAGAGACGAGTGGCCAAAAAATAAGGTCTGCAAGTTCGGCTGATCGCTCTAATGGGAACAGGGGAAGGCTTTAAAGAGTTTTAGTAATTGCAAGTTTGATCACTCCGCTCAAAATCGGTGAAATAAACATATATTTGTGTTGGCCATTACATTGTTGTCCTTCTCGCTCTTCCTTTGCATCCCCAAGCTTGGAAGCCATTCTGTTATATGTGTTTTGTTCATCAATTTAAATTATGCCTTATATAGTTATATTTTTCTTCGACTGTTATGTTTGTGTGGTGTGTTGTATGTGTCATTAACTCGCACAAACTTATAATTGGTGAGGAGTTCAACTTCTGTTGTAACAATTAATTAATTTATATGAATGGCAGCTGCAAAATTTACTGGAACGGGTGCATCATTTACAACGACCTCTATTTCAGATTGCATCAGGTTATTGGAGAATCAACAGTATAATTTATAGCTGAAAAGTAAAACCGCAACCCTCATTCAAATTTTCCTGCGCATAGAGTGATTTTAGGAGTCTGACGTGGCAGGGTGGTTACACGGAATTAAATTAGAAATCCCCGCGTGACAGGAGAGATAAGAAACCGTCGGTTCCCACTACTTTTTTTTAGGCTGAAATCATCTTCCGTCACTGCCAACGAAGGGTGTTCTGCGGAGGGAGTGGAGGTTGCGAGGCTTTAGGAGGAAGCGCTTGAACTCGGAGTCGAGGCGACGCTCGAGGGCTCCATTGTGTGGGGTGGTTATGTGTGGTTGCTGACGGATTACTCTAGAGAGTGGGGAGTGCTTTCTCGACAAGGTCACCGAGCTCGGTGTAGTGGGAGTCGAGGAGGGAGACAAGGACGGAGTTGAAGTTACTTTTGTCCAGCGGCGGTGGAATCGGGGTAAGCGGAAGATTGAGAATGGTGGCGCTGCGGTTTAGGGGAAGAAGAAGTGGGCAATGTTGCATTGGAAGTAATAAGGAAGAAGAGGAGAGAAGAGACACCATAAAGGTGTTCGTCCCATGGTGATTGGCGGATTGTCAAATTCCTCTCTTCGATGGTGAGAAAAGTTTTGAACTATAGAAAGTTAGAAACACATGTGTTTATCTCTCTGTTTACTTAGGTTTTGATTTAAGTTTTCATTCCGATTCATTGGATTCCACGGGGATCTGACAGTAGCGATCAGGTGATGCATACCAAGTATTCTCCTGGGGAAGGACTCTCTTTGTGGCTGTAAGGCTTGCTGATTGTGGATGAAGAAGATGGATCTTTCCAAGGAAATAGAGAATATGAAGTTGTGGATCCGAATCAGGCCCGAGGAATTCCTTAAGTATGTCATCTCGATTTTTTTGTTTTGTTTACTTCACTGAGAGTATCTCACGGTCTTCCTCTTCTTTGTCCCATATATCATTTAGGGGGAGAATGGGTGCTTCAGGTTCAAACAACACAGATTTTTGTTGGAGATTCATGGTGGAGGCGACAAACCCAAATCAAACAAATAGAAAAGGAACCATAAGCCCTATAAGCAGTGGTCCCTCCAATTATTTTGTGATTGAGTTTGTAGATTTCCATTCTTTTATTCTTGCCAGTTTACTCTGCTGTTAGCTAAGTTTCTTTGGGTTCTCTCTATTTTCCTCCACATATGACATTATTTAGCCTCTTTTTAGGAAGCTGTTAGTAGTGGTGGGTGATGAACCCATTGGACCAGCAATGGAGATTCGTGTTGTGATGAAGGAGTGTTAGATTCCATGAAAATCACTAGGGCTTATCGTGATTGTTGGCAACTAATTTCTGGTAAGTTTTGTTGTAGATGAGGCCTCCCACGGTGAGATAGCTGTCAGAACTCAGAACTATGACTGTTTCAAAGCAGCCTCAAGATGGGAATTTGGCTTATGGTTTCCTGATCATTGGGAAGATGAGTACCTAACTAAAATCGTTTATGCCGTATTTATTCATCATGTTTTTTTTTAAATATGCTAACAGAGTCTTGCTGTGTTGCATCTTGATGAAAGGAGGAAATCGAAGATCATAGCTGATGAAAATGGTGATTCTTTTTGTTTGTCTTTTCAATGACAATTTCAAGATCTATATCAGATTTGAGTTCTATCTGACAATTAAAGTTGGAGAACAAATAACCCATTTTAGAGCCTATTCTTCTTTTGCTCATCCTTATAGCCTATTCTTCAAAGAGTGGTAAGAGAAATGAACACGCATTACATTTTATTATTCTCTTTGGAGCAGCATTAGTAGTTTTGTATCCTTTGAGGCTTGAGCTGCCTTCTTTGAGCTCTTTGGTCATGGACGAGAATCACAGGTAAAGAAAAGAGAACTAATTGATTAGAGTTGTTGGATTAAAGATACACATTTTAAAATGAGGTTTGTCCAAATAATGGACTCACTCTCTAAGCTTCTCTCTTGGTTAGTTGGTCTATGATTACCATTGTGAGTTCACAGGTCAACGCGTACGTACAAGCAACAGTATCGTTTTCATGACGCAGCTCAAAGACTCAAAGTTGTTCCTTGGAGGTTGGAAGGAGAGGGATCGATAGGACAAAAGGTTCAAGGGATAATGCTGGTTTTCTATGGGGTTGCAGGCTGTCGATAAGTGCACCCGTATCATTTTCATGGTGCAGGTGAACCGCTGAAGAACCTTCTGCAGTAAAAAAGACAATAAAGCAGTTTGGAAGACAAATTAGGCTAAATAAGTACATCTTCCACTATATATTGTTTTCGAACTATGTGTGAATAATGAGTATAGAGTAGAAACTATAGACTGAGTTTGCTTATGTATTTTCGTTATTCTTGAACACTCAATCTCTTGAAACTGGCGAAAGAGCAGCTACCGGTGGCTTCTGTTCGCTGAGAGCTGCCTTCACCAATTTGATGCGGAGACCTTGACCTCTATTTCATGAGGTCATTCCACTCTGCCTTTTTATCCTGCTACAATTGTTCCATTCTTTTTGGTTGTTTGCTGTAATTTGAGTCTCATCAATTGCGTTTGGGTTTATAGTTTGCGTTTTCATTCTAATCCGGTGGATTACATAATTTATTTGCTAATGTCTTAGGTGCCAGTTTGCTATGGTGTTGCGGTATGATAGATTAAAATGAGTTTCTGGTAATGTCTTGCTTTTGTTCGTTTTTTGTTTGGTGTTAATAATCACTTGGTCACTATATTTTTCATTTTGGTTTTGTGCTGCTACTTCAAGCTTTATATGGTTATTTCAGTTTTTTTTTGCGACAACGCAGCATGCCAAAAAAAATTCAAATGGGGTGTTTATGAAAAACATTAAAACTCCATGATTCTAGGTGAACACTAATTTTACTTTACAGGTGAAAGAGTGGAGAGCCGAAGGAAGAACCAGTAAAAGGGATGGCTGTTGTGAGATCCAACAGGAATCAATCAATTCCATGAAACAAACCAAATTTAACCCCATAAAGTAATTGGATGTCAGATAGATTTTCAGGGCTTCATAGTTTGTGATTTGTTTCTCTCATTTTGGTATGTTTCAGAAGATTTGGGGCTTAATACAACAATGACTTTTCCCTTGAGGTTGATGATTCTATCTAACCTATAGTTTTATAATTGAAATCCCTCGACGGTTAGACTCCTTAATCTAGGTTCCTCTTTGTCAGTTTGCATTTGTTAATGGGAAATTTTGACTAAATACATTCCTCTATTGAGTTGTTATGGAACATAATACAATGCCTTTTTTGTTCGTTTGTGATGATACATAATACTTATAATGGTTGAATGTATGTTTATGCTGATAAACATGGTTCACCAAACTGGCAAACTCTTAATCTTATGTTACTCAGATTCATGTGTTGTCTATTGAATTGTGCCGCGTGCTTGCAGTGATACCTAATGATTCTGCTGCCGCTATGAGAACTGTAAGGGTAAGCAACTTAGGTGGGTGAAAGTGTAGTCAGTGGAATGCTCGCTAAAAAGCTCAAAGTATGGTCCATGTAGATGTAGTGTTGTTGGTGCTATATATGCAAGCAGCGAGGGAACTAAAAGGGGGATGGAGACATGCATGTGTGTAATTGTAGTTAATTTGGATAATTTGTGAATGAGCTGTCAAACCATTCAGGGGATATATGAGTTTCAAAGTGGAATTTATGTGTTGGGTAAAGGGTTTATATAATTAATGGGGTAAAAAATTCGACGTGGATTGTGAGAGTACACAAAATGCTGCATAGTTTGGAGACTAATTACACTCCACCTACATGTGATGGTGGTTAATAATGATTAGCGTAATTGTGAATGCAACCATATTTAGCCAAATAAATTCATTCGAGTTCAGTTAGTTTTCTTCCATGCTTTCATTCATTGGAATTGTTTTTCTCACCTTGGTATCATTTGAGGGGATTTGTGGATTTAGCAGAGCAAACCTTTTTCCTTCTATCTAAGCTATTCTTCAAAAATAGTAATTGACAGCTCCCCAGAGCTTCTGTCTTCCTTGCTATATGGTGTTTACATTGTTCTTATTTCCAGTCTATATGTCCTGACTTCAAAGTATTCACTCTTCATGTTATCTGTCCAAACTCCAAAGGGAATCATGTACAAACCTATTAATTGAGAAAAAAAAAAATCCCAATCAAGTATAAAACTTTTCATCAAGGAATTGATTATGATAAGTGAGAACACCATTCATCAATAAGGTTCAAGGTATACAAATTAAACTCTCAATATATTAATTCATATGATTGCTTTAATACTAAGAATTGAGTTTTATTTATCATGTTTTAATAATATCAATCTCGATTATAAAAAGTCAACTATTAGTTCCAAACAAAATCTATTTAACTATTTATCAAGACTAGGGGTGTCAGTTCGGGTCGGGTTCGGTTACCCGAACCGAAACCCAAAAAAACCAAAAACCCGAAACAAAAAATCACTAAAACTGAATCCGAAACCGATAAGGACTTGCGGGTTCCGGTTACCCGAAACCCAAAAATTCCTTATCGGGTTCGGTTAAAGCAAAACCGAAACCCGAAAATCCGAACGCCTAAGAATACGGGTTGAGTTCTATTCATTGGAGGTTTTTAGCCGGAACCCGAAAAATCGATAAGCAAAACCGAACCCGAAACCGAAAAACCCGAAACCCAAAACGAACCCGAACCCAAAAAACCAAAAATATATATAATCGGGTCGGTTTCGGGTAAACCCGAAAAACTGAACCCGAATGGACACCCCTAATCAAGATATATCATCGAAATAGATATCTCAAAATATTTCGACCAACGGACGGGTATAAGCTAGTAAATATATTATAGTGGAGTTATAGGCGGTTATTCAACTTTTTGAATTTCCTGATCAGAGAATGAATTTAGGAGATCCTTAATTGTCATTTAACTCAGATTAGTTTTACTTTATTTTAAAATTTTATTTTCATAATTATTTCCTCCCTCCTGTATACACGGCAACGTCATTTTTTCGCACTCGACCACCCTCTTTATTTTTTTTATGTATATCCGTTTTCTTTATTTAGTAACTGTATTGTTCTTTTCTTTAAATTTTTATATATACCTTTTTTTTTATATAACGAGGATATGGAACTGTGACGGAAAATGAAGTTGTTTTAACCTTATTCTAAGCACTTTTTCTACCAAAAATAATTATTTTAAACACTTAAATAAATCAAACCCACCTTTGTTATTTCTTTTTTGGGTAAATACAATTTATTAGCCAAACCTTTCGTTTTAAACAAAATAATAGCCAAACCTTTCAAAAAACAAAATAATAGCCAAACCGTTAACTCTCCGTCCGGTCAATTGTTAGTTGACCGTGACGTGGCAAAATTTTAAATGAGATGGATAGTTTATGATGATGTGGCAAAAAGTCAAACATTTGACTATGTCACATGGATATTAGATAAATTTATCAAATAATATTTATTTTTTCAAAAAGAATAAACTAAAACTTTATTTATGGTAAATAAAACGAAAAATGAAAAATGAGATTTCCCTTCCTCTCTTTCTCTTCACTCTGCCCTGACCGTCGTCAGTCTTTCAGGTCGCCGTCGCCGATTCGTCTACCAAATCACCACCAGAGAAAGGAAGGAAAGGGCCCATGTCGTCGTGCAGATCTGGATTTTAAACGATTTTGTTTCCCTGAGATCTGGGTTTCTTCAAGAAAGCCCGCTGCAGAGGTTCAACTCTCCGATTTGGGCAGTGTCGCCAAGAAGGAAGGAGAAGTCGCGCCGTTGCCGAGGAGGAAGGAGAAGCCGAGTCGCATCCGTCGATGAAGGAAGTCACCTTGCCGCTCATCGTTGTCGCACCCAACGGAGGAAGAAGGTCGCGTCGAGGAAGGTCTCCTCAGCAGCGTAACCGGAATCGGAATCCGATGATTATTCCTCCGCTGGTTCCAACTACTGGGCTGGTTCTATGTAATTGGCCGATATTCCCGCGACGATGAAGGAAGATGAAGGGAAAAAGGAGGAGGAAGGGGTACCTAAATCCGTCGTCTCCTTCAGAGCTCCGTCGTCTCGCTCCGTCGTCTCCTCGCCAGCGCTCCGACGCTTCGTTCGCCAAAATCCCCGGCCTGGGAACACGGCCGGGAGCAACGCTAGCCTTTTCCGGCTTTCACATGACGAGGGACGAAGCCGGCGCCGTTGATTTTGGTTCTGTGGTGGGCGATGGGTTTGGTTTCGCCGGAGTCGTCGAGGGCTTCTTCTTTGTGGGAGAAAATCGAACGGGGAGATTGGGTGGAAGAGAGTGAAGAGAGAGGGAGTGATTAGATAATGTTTCTGATTTTCCCCTTTTCTTATTTCATTTTTTGGTTAATTTTAATTAGGTGCCACAACAGAAAAAATGTGCCACGTGTACAGTTTCATTCCACGTCGGAGTCAACTGACGGCTGACCAGACGGAGAGTTGACGATTTGGCTAATAAAATGTTTTCGAAAAGGTTTGGCTATTATTTTGTTTTAGGGTGAAAGGTTTGGCTATTAAATTGTTTTTACCCTTCTTTTTTTCTTAGTAACTCACCTTTGTTATTTCAAACAAACATATAATTATCGATTAATTTGAACGGAATGAAATATTAAGATTACTCAATATGAAAGTTATGCCTATGATATTCTATCAATGTAATTTATATGCAATATGTGGTTCTTACTATGATCACTTCAACAATTTTATCAATCACACTCATTTCATTTTCATTTCACCTATATTAATACAATTCATTTGCAATTTCAATAGATAAGCATAACGTAAAACTTTAATGTAATAAAAGCATAAAATTTGAAATAATTAAAAGTAATAATAAATGAAAAGAAGACTGGTTTATTTGAGATTAAACGAATCTCATAGTTTGGGTAAGAAAATTAGGGACTAGAGTTCACTCATTAGAGGTTAGGTTATAGTGTTATTAAAGCCGAACCATTCGGACCGACCGGTAAAACCCCCACCCGGTCACAAAATCGGCTCGAAACAATCTAAAAGCGGCTCCGGTTTTATGTAGCGGTTGGCGAGTGGCCGAGGCGGTTAACTGTTCGAGCCGCTCGTCCGGCTTTTGCCATTCAGCCACTAAATTTAATTAAAAAAATTGCAAAAAATTGAAAATTGAAATAAACAAAAAACGTCGGGGTCTCAAACTGAATCCTTATTTCCATTTCACAATTTCGAAGGAAAGAGATGAGCTCTCATTAAAAAATGTCCACTATTTTTACTGATAACGTTTATTAGGTAGCGGTTCTCTAACGGTTTTTAAACGGTCTAATGCCGGTTGGACGACTAAAGTGCGAGTCGTTCGCATTACCGGGTCATGCTCCGGTTCGGTTCTGACAACATTTGTGTCATGGCCCAAACTCTGGTTAATTCATGGTCTAAATAGCAAAACTTGATGGACGTACAATAAGATAAGCGTACGCTTGGTATACACTAGCCTATAGTCCAAATGATTTAACTGTTAGATGTACTTCGATGAGCTCCGACCAATCTCAATGGTCAATTATTATTTTCTATTAAATTAAACTTTGGGTTTGGATTTAGAGAATTAGTGTGGGGTTAATCCATTAGAGGTTAGGGTATAGTATCATACCCCAAATTCGGAATTGATCGTCAAGATAGAGATTTCTCACTACAACAAGTACATAGAATATAGTATATTTCATGAATACACCAGTCCAAACAATATATGTATTTTTATGGGGCAAAGGCGAGCATACGCCAGCCTGCGTTCACACCAATTGTTTGTACTTGAATAATTCCGACGAATCAAAATTCTTGATTTTTATTTTGAGATTAAATGAATCTTATAGTCTGGGTTAGAAAACTAGGGACCGAAACTCACCCATTAGAGTTCAGGGTAGAGTATCATGCCCAAACATTGACTAATTCAATATGTAAATAACTATAATAGAAGTGTGTACGATAAGGTAAGTGTACGTTAGGCGTATGGTAGCTTGAAATATAGGGTTAGATTGGCGTACGATAAGGTAAGTGTACGTTAGGCGTATGGTAGCTTGAAATATAGGGTTAGATTGGCGTACGATAAGGTAAGTATACTATACTACTAGAGTATACCAGTCTATGGGTTAGACTGGTGTACTTCTAGAGTATATTATACTTCAGGTACTCTTAGTGAGATATCTCTATCTTGATTCTCGACCATGATTTTAACCGAGTTTGAGGTATGATAATATGCCCTAATCTCTAATGAATAAACTTCAGGCCTCGGTTCTCTAAACTCAACCCCAAAGTTCAATTTAATAGAAAATTATAAATGACTGTTGAGATGGGTTCTCTAAAGTCAAACCCAAAGTTCAATTTAATAGAAAATTGTAATTGACTGTTGAGATTGGTAGGAGCTCAACAAGGTGCATCTAACGGCTAGATCATGCAGAGTATACTATACTCTTCTATTATGCCAGTCTTTATCACATTTATGTATGGTGCCTTCTACGGTACCCCGGATTACCTTAAGTACGAAAACGTTATATAGACCTCGAATTAGCAGGATTTTTGGGCATGATACTATACCCTAACTCTTAATGGGTGAACCCTAGGTTCTAATTATCTAAATCATAAACTATAAACCCTAAGATAGTGCATTGATTTTTTTGCCTATATTTGGACGAATCATAACCATCTATTATTATTTCTAATTAAATTGATCTTGGAGTATAAGATTTAGAGAATTAGGACCTAGATTTTGATCTTTAAGGGTTAGAGTATAGTATCATGTCCGAAAGATCAATCAATTCAAGTTCTGGATAGCGTTTTCTTACTCCTGGTATGCGGTACCCTAGATTTCACCCTGGGTACCGTACAACTCCCCATATATATAATGCACTCTTCACACTTTCGATATCAATTCATGAAAAACATTTACTCATCATCTTGCTCATCTATTACGACTTATATATATAGAGTGATTTTTAGGGTTACGGCCAACCGGCTGGGTATAAAGCTAGTACTATAAAATGACCCATAGTTTAACCTTTTTGTCAATTTTACCTCCATATTCTCCATGCGTCAATATTGTCCAACGGATTGGGTTATGATGTGAAAATGTCCTTAACTGTGTTGTTAACAGTTAGACTTGACAATTAACCAAACGAAGGTCAACGATTGGTTGACTTCGTGTCACCATGACAGTTACTGTTATACCCCGCTCTTCCCAAAAGTCAAAATCACTATTTTACCCTTGGGTCAAGTTCCACCATATTATTGATGAGGATTAAAAATGTGAACTAATAGTTCAAATGGTGTTGAGTTGCAACTTGAAACGAGAAAATTACTGACGTCACTTAGTTTCGGATTAAACTCACCAATAATTATGAAATTCCCAAAATACCCTTGAGCTATTTTAAAACCGAAGCCTAACCCCCACTCGGTTCCCATTACCCAAGAAACCCGAAACCCTTGCTTATAGACCCTAAGTTGTAGCAGCCGAGAGAAAACCTCTTCGAACACTTTCATTCTTTTAATACCTCTCACACGAGCCAGCCACACAGGATATCCCTATCATTTCTCGCTCCAATTTACCTCTCCATGGAATACCACGGCGCCACAACGTGAAGAGATGCATCATTTGAGTGAGAGGGGGTTTTCTTGGATTTTAAGGGGTCGAGAGGGATTAAAGAGGGGTCTTGGACGAGCTGAATTAGATGGGACGCCCGAAATTATTGGACCGGAGTGGAGATTAATTGGATATCAGGTAAAGTAGAATTGGGCGGCGAGAGAAGAATGGAGGGGAAACGGTCGCCGGGTATAAAAATGCTAGAGAATTATCAAGCTAATCACGTCGGAAGATAGGCTAAACGTGAAGGTGATGTTGGGGCCAACCTATTTCGAGGTCTAGCATGGGGGACTCAATCCATACGTACAAAGGTGCAAAGGACTTGGTGGCGGCGACACATTGAGAGATTCAACCGGATTGGTCACAATCATATTGAGAGGATTCGACATTGGAGAAGAAGCTGTGAATGTCAAGGCAGCTAAGGATTCAACACAAGAGCATGACTAGTCAGGTGAGTATAAAGGGGGTAAAATCTCTGTCGTAGGTCTTTTAGTTTATGCTTTCCGTTCAAGTTATTATTTAGTTAATTTTTCTAGTATGCGCGATATGTGTGTGAGGCATCCCACCGCCTGTAAGGGTGGAGGCACGCGTTGTGCTATGTATGAATGTATGTGATGTTGTATGGATTGATGGTATGAGGAACCCCCGGGCGGTTGGGTCACTACTGGATGGCGAGACGTAACGCAGTAGTTGACGGGCATGGACTGGACGACGAGACGTAACGCAGTGCCATTGCCGAGTTTGAGTATGCAACCGTACGATGAGACGTAACACGGTTGGCATACTAGGGTAGGGACACCGGACGGCGAGACGTAACGCGGTGGTCCCTTGTGTTGGTGTCTTTGGATTAAGAATATAAGTAAGGAAACTCTAAAGATAAGATCGGAGTAGAGATCTCTTATAGACTGTTTGATAGTAAAGTTTAAAGGATGAAAGTGAGAACGACTTTCGTCTAAGGAAGTCATTCCCCTAATAATGTGTTTAGCAAGGAGTTTTCCTAGGGCAAAGACCTTAGGAAGTAACGACGAGACTGTCCCCTTCTCACTCACCAGGTTGAGGATAGTCTAGCATAAGTGAATCACGAGAAGAAGCAGGGCGAGGCGAGTAGCAGTACTAGCGTCGACGGGATATCAGAAAGCTCGTGAGGAGTCAAGTTAGATTAGTTAATTTTTTTTTTCTGTTTCATGGTTATTAGTATAAACTGGAGATTCTGTGTTAAGTCGTTTTAAGTGTTTGAGATTAAGAATTGTGCCCAAGTGTTGGGGCTTTTCGTTAAAAATTCTTAAAAGATGTCAGTTTGTTTATTTTAAAATGTGGTTGAGTTGTTCTGGAGTAACCGGTTTTTGGTTTGAGTTATGGTTTGGTTTTTGAAAAGAGATGGGACGTGTCAGTTACGTCAACAACACATTATAAAATATATTTTTTAAATATAATTAAAAAAGTTTTATTTCCACTCACACCACCATTGATCTTTGTTTTCTCTCTTTCACCATAACTATTTCTTCAGACAGTTACGAAGAGAGGTGGTGGTGAGTGAGGTGATACATCTACAACACAGGAGAGCAGGAGATATTGAAGGCGACAACTATTTCGGGGGGGGGGGGGTGACACCAACTCCGATGCCGATCTAAGGCAAATCCGACGGATCAAAGGTGAGAACCACAACGCTGGACTGGGTAAAAGCTTGGATGATTCAATAATCTAACTTTGGCGCCATGGATGCAATGAAAATAAGGAAGAACATAAGTGAATCGAGTTGTGCTAGTTCCCATGTCCCTAGGTGCGTTCATAAGTGCCCAACTGTTATTCTCGTCTCTGGAACTGGGAAGAATCCGGGGAGGAAAATTTATCGTTGTTTGTTTTGGAAGCTAAAATCAATGGATTGAATATATTTTGTTTGGGTTGATTAGTATTGTGTTACCGGAGAAGAAGCTATCTTTGTTACACTCTCGACAGAGAATGATGATATGAAGTAGCAGATTCCTTCACTTGAATTGAAAGTCGAAAGTTTATAAAATTAGGTTGAGCGACGAAAGAAGGCAAAACAATTGTTAAACCATGATTTAGTAGGGAGGATAATTATATGTTAGCTCATGATCTGAAAGCGGTGAATAATAGATTGTTTGTTTCGTATATGCTAATAATAGTGGTTTTTACAGTTCTGTGTTTACGGTTGAAATGAGTTGTGTAAGTATGCAATGTATCAGTGCTAATCCATTGTGTTGTGTCAATGTATCTCGTTTTGTGTTAAAAGTAATATCAAAATATGAAAGATAATCCCTTCCCATGCCAACTTCCTTAGTCTTTCCATTGACGAAACGCGGGCTGCATTCAAAATAATACACACGATCGCCATGATGGATAATAATATCAATAGTGCCCCCTTCGTGTACCGTTCAAGAAAGTTGTAAACAGATGCTCAACAACACATTCTTAGAGATTGTGACTAGACAAGAAAAATCTGGCGACCTAGTTTCCTAGGGAGCTTATTTTGCATAGGGGATGGAAGATCGAGTAAAGATTGATTGAGTAAAATGATTGAGAAAGCTATAGACGAAGATCTATGTTCAATCGCGATGGCCTCATGGTTCATATGAATAGGATGTAACAATCATCTTTACAACACCAGGAAACTTGAAGAAAGAGAGGTGATTTGAAGATTGTAGCTTTACCTTAATGAATACCAAACCAATTAATCGTGTGAGTCTCCGACAGGGATGAATCATAATGAGTACAAGTGGGAAAGACCGGTAATGGGATCCCTTAAGATCAATGTTGACGCGTTAAAGGTGATACCAACTCCGATGCTGATCTAAGGCAAATCCAACGGATCAAAGGCGAGAACCACAACGGTGGACTGGGTAAAATCTTGGATGATTCAATAATCTAACTTTGGCGCCATGGATGCAATGAAAATAAAGAAGAACATAAGTGAATCGAGTTGTGCTAGTTCTCATGTCCCTAGGTGCGTTCGTAAGTGCCAAATGTTATTCTCGTCTCTGGAACTGGGAAGTATCCGGGGAGGAAAATTTATCGTTGTTGGTTTTGGAAGCAAAAATCAATGGATTGAATATATTTTGTTTGGGTCGATTAGTATTGTGTTACCGGAGAAGAAGCTATCGTTGTTACACTCTCGGCAGAGAATGATGATATGAAGTAGCAGATTCCTTCGCTTGAATTGAAAGTCGAAAGTTTATAAAATTAGGTTGAGCGACGAAAGAGGGCAAAACAATTGTTAAACCATGATATAGTAGGAAGGAGAATTATATGTTAGCTCATGATCTGAAAGCGGTGAATAATAGATTGTTTGTTTCGTATATGCTAATAATAGTGGTTTTTACAGTTCTGTGTTTACGGTTGAAGTGAGTTGTGTAAGTATGCAATGTATCAATGCTAATCCATTGTGGTGTGTCAATGTATCTCATTTTGTGTTAAAAGTAATATCAAAATATGAAAGATAATCCCTTCCCATGCCAATTTCCTTTGTCTTTCCATTGACGAAACGCGGGCTGCATTCAAAATGATACACTCGATCGCCATGGTGGACAATAATATCGATAGTGCCCCCTTCCTATACCGTTCAAGAAAGTTGTAAACAGATGCTCAACAACACATTCTTAGAGATTGTGACTAGACAAGAAAAATCTGGCGACCTAGTTTCCTAGGGAGCTTATTTTGCATAGGGGATGGAAGATCGAGTAAAGATTGATTGAATAAAATGATTGAGAAAGCTATAGACGAAGATCTATGTTCAATCGCGATGGCCTCATGGTTCATATGAATAGGATGTAACATTCATCTTTACAACAACAGGAAACTTGAAGAAAGAGATGTGATTTGAAGATTGTAGCTTTACCTTAATGAATACCAAAGCAATCAATCGTGTGAGTCTCCGACAGGGATGAATCATAACGAGTACAAGTGGGAAAGACCGGTATTGTGCTCCCTTAAGATCAATATTGACGTGTTAAAGGTGAAGGGAGGAGGAACGAAGCTGGGTATGGTCATAAGAGATGATTATGGTCGTTTTCTAACGGACACAGTAAAAAAGAAAAAGGATCAATTGGGAATCGGAGTTAGCAGAAGCTCAGGCAGCGCTCTGGGCTATCCAGGTCGTGAGAACGCATGTCTCGAAGCCTGTGCTGCCAGAGTCGGATTGCTGAACTCTAATTCAGAAATTGAACAAGAAAGAGGAGGTTGAGATCAGGGTCGGACCTAGGTTGGTGGTAAGTTTGTCAACTGACAAACCTTGATTCAATTTTAGAACAAAATTCCTTTGTAAAATTTTGATTTATTAATGATGGTATTTGAACACCCTTTATGTAATTCATGGGTCAGCCACTGGTTGAGATGGAGTCGAGAATTATCACTCGAGAAATTCGAGAATTGAGCAAGGAAATGAGTAACGTGAATTGGAAGTTCTGGGGATGACGAGAAAATTGAGTACAAGAGATGGCAATCGTTCTTCGCATATGGGAGGAAATAGAAGTTTGAATGGTAGGCCTCCTGTTTTTTGCATTAAATTTTGTTGGAGTAGTGTAATGACACTTTACCAAATTAATTAAAATTCCATATCTTTTTATAAAAAAAAAGCATTAACATCCAAATAATAAAATTGTCTATAGAAATCAACAATGAACACTCCATAATTGAGAAATTTCATACGAAGTCTTCTTTTTTGCGTCTATAAAATTGAAAAAGAGCCAATTGCCACTACGAGGTGAAAAGAAAGAAAAGAGGCCAAGTCTTGGCCGTGCCCTGCGGTTGGTAACGCTACAACGAGAAATAATTCATTATTTAAATAGGTTTTCTTGGGGGACTAATCTGATGCTGTCGATTCCATGTGAATGCAGTTATGGTCGATTTAACGAGCTAGTATTATGCAGATCCAACGGTCAAAAGCTCCAGATGGCTGGCTTATACGCTTGGTAACCGAACCATCTGCGCGGACCGAGAAATCCGGGACAAGATCATGGTTTCCCGACCGCTGACGTGTCCTCAAAAAAGTCTGCGCTAGAAACAAAAAAATTCCGTACTCAAGAAAAAGACCTATCGAAAGTATCGACCACTCGCAGGCCGCAGCTGTGCAATGTGCATGGAAAAAGAAAAAACAAATAAAGGAAAAGAAATAAAGTAAACGGAAGGGCGTGCATGACAGTGCACCTGGACCAGCAACACCGCGAGAAGCAGCGAAGCAAAACCCGGACATTTCCCCGTCTAATTAACCGGAGTTCATAATCGCCGATACGTCCGGCCCTCTTTTTGGGCTGAGAGGTGGCCTCCGCCTGCGTTTTCCTTCTTCCGGTCAATAAAGAGTTGTAAAAAAATAAGAGAGATTCCAAGGAAAAAACGCAGCAACAACGAAGCACTACACCGAGGGAAGGAGAGAGATAGAGAGGAGTCGGCGGTTGAAGGTTTCATCCCGCAGCCGAAACCCTAATTGAGCCTTCTCTCTTCTTCTTCTTCTACTTCTGTTTCGGTTCTGTAGCAGCCACCACAAGTGCCTGGGATTCATGTGATGGTGCTGTGTTTCCCGTCTTTCTCGATTTGGGTGGTGTTTCGTGGTTGATTTCGATTCTTCCCTCGGTCGCGTTGTCGGATTGCTTCGGTTTATTTTGAGTGGATCAGTTGCTGTTTCGGGAGTGGTGTTGTTGTTGCTCGCCAGTCATCATCGATGGTTTAGCTATTGGATTGGTTGCTGCTGGGGATTCTTTTGCGCGTGGCAGTTCTAGGGGAGGAGGTTGTGGAAGATGGATTTGGTGAATAGCTGCAAGGTAAATTGGTTTGAATTATGGAGGCAGTAGTGTTCTTCAATTCCGAAATCTTCTCTTCCCTGCTGCAGCTGATATCTGTTTGTAGTTAGAACTTAGAATTGTCTCGTTGCTTTTTGTGTTACTTTTGTAATGGTAAAACGAAAACCCTGTTTAGAGGTTTGCTGAAGCATGCAGCAAATGGGGAACCGCGTATTCATAATCGTGTTACGTTACTTGTTCAGCGGCTTCACTGTCTTATTTTTGCACTTACTGGGAACCACAATGCAGAAGATGCTTCTGCAGAAATGCTGTTCCGTTTGAGCATGTGTGATATGCTCTCGTTGAATGGCTTGCAGTTTGGATTTTTCTCTGCTACAAGAGAGTATTGGAAATGGAATAGTTTACTGAGGTGGCTACCATGTCTTGTTTGTAGTCGGGCTGAAGTAGGGTAATTTGGGATTGGATTTGGAGTTTTTATATGTAACTTTCAGTGTGTTATGGGCTCTCTTAATCACATAAATGCAATCAGAGTAGGATCTTCTCTTTCTCGATTTCTTGCACTTGTTGTCGCCTGACGGGTTTGAGACATCATTTCTCTTGTAGGAAAAGTTGGCTTATTTTCGAATAAAGGAGCTGAAGGATGTCCTGACTCAGTTAGGGCTGTCAAAGCAGGGGAAAAAGCAGGTTCGGTTCATGATCATTCTTTGTACCCAGCTTTAGCATTCGTTGCTAATTTGTATGATATGTTCTTGATCAAGCTGTTCTCTTCGTTGCTGTTACTTGTACTGTACAGGACCTAGTTGATCGCATATTGAATGTCCTGCACGATGCACAAGGTAAGAGCTCCCCCAGTGTTGCATACTCACCTCTTTGCTTCCCGCCTCGTGCTTTACCTTCTTTGTTTGGCATTGTGGCTTTTGGTTCATATGGTCTGTTGATGTGCATCGAAAAGAATTTGTTTTTAGAATGTTGCTGTAGCTGTTTTCTGAAACCATGGTCTCAGAGGGAAAATGCCTGTTCAGCAAGATCAGTTAAGCAAAACTATGGATTGATATTTTCTTCTACCAAATTCTTCTTTCGGAGAATGAAAATCCAACTCCATTAGTCTGACTACTGACGCATTGACAGGTGCTGTCAGTTGTAGCCATTATTACCCTAATAATGCCTGAAATATACTGTAGTTGTTGCATTAGCTCCCCTTATTCGTCCTTCTGTTGCCGCTTTTACGAACTGTTCTGTCGGGTGAGATCTGCTCATGTGAATGTGCAGATAGTCTGTCACAGTTATTTCAACATGGCATTAATGATTGTGTTACCTATGTTCAGGTTCCAAGGCGTGGCCAAAGAGGGGCGTTCTTGGAAGGGACGAAGCAGCAAAACTTGTTGATGACATTTACAGGTTCCTAATGACATCTCTTGACTTGTAAATTTATTTTCCAAATTGTCCTGATACCTTTGGTATTTTATTATGCGACATTTTCTATTGAGAATAATTGTCTGAAGTAAGTCAGCTTTGATCATCTCTACTATGTACTTCGTTCATTTTACATATATCACACTGATCTCGTAATAAAATGTACCGTTATCGTCATCTTCAGGAAAATGCAGGTTTCGGGTACTGATTTAGCATCAAAGGCGCAATGTGTTTTGGATAGCAGCAATTCGAATCCGAAAGTTGTTAAAGGAGAACCCGAGGAATCTTTTCACCGTGATACCAAAGTTCGGTGTCCCTGTGGCAGCTCATTGGAAACAGAATCGATGATTAAGGTGATTTGCAATTGTGAAGTCTTTGGAGCTGTTCCCTATATGTTTGGCACTTTTGATATTTGTATGCACTCCTACTTTATTGCATGGATGAGTTTCCATCATAGTAAACTAGATATTCTGACTGCTTACATTTCTTTCTTGGAGCAGTTATACTAGCATACCATTTGTGGGTACCTACTCTTTTAGGCGTGTGAGTTGTTAGTCTCTCTTGGGGTATGAGGAGCATGACCCGTGACATTTATTTCCAACGTGTTTTTTTTGCTGTAATATCTTTACCAAATTTGGTTATGAACCAATTGTAGCTGTTTCATTTCTTAATCACTTTGTGATAACCACTTAGGAATTTTAAGTTTTATTTTCAACTGGTCCACTTTTCTTGCACAAGCGTCTGCCAAGTGTAAGGACTTGATCCTCTTAAGAATGATTTGTAATGTGGCTTATCCGTGGAACCACTATTTTTCCAACTGCAGTGTGAGGATCCCAGATGCCAGGTGTGGCAGCATATTGGTTGTGTTATAGTTGCTGAGAAGCCTATGGAGGGAAGTCCCCAAGTTCCCGAAGTATTTTACTGTGAGATTTGTCGACTGAGCCGAGCTGACCCGTATGAATCATTTATCTACTCATTGTCATGTTTAAATTGTGCTGCTGAATTAGGTTTTCTTTTCTGTCTTTGTTATTGCGAACATCTTTGTTCCAGGTGCCTTTGTGACCAGTGACATAGGCCAAACTTTGGGGTGGATTTTATTTTGGAATTTATCCTTGTCTTTAATGGTTGATGATAGCTATGCCTACTAGGGAAGGGGAACTAGGTGAAAGCTTTAAATCTGGTGTTGTTAAGTTTTGTTTTCTCTTGTTATTAAGGCATGTATTCATGAGCTTAGTGGCAATCTTGTTTACAGTCACTTGTATGGAGCTGAACTTTTGAAATAATACATGCTTGTGCCTTAGTTGTTAGATGGTGAAGCAGATCAGGCACAAGGAAAATCCTGTTGTGGGAACAAGATTCGACTTTTCATTTGTTTATCGACTTGTTTGGAATATTCTGTAGCTGAGAGTGAAAGTTTACCGAGTCAGCAGAAGTAAACTTATCTGGATTTAGTTGATACATTGTCTATCCCTCTCCTCATCTCAATTGCTCAATAGTTGCCTAGTGTCAGAAGCTGATTACACGTTCCTTTTTTCTTAAGATTTCTTGTTTTATTCTAACTTTATGTCAGTCCGATTTCTATTAATGCACTATATTTCTTTTCATGGTCTCAGAGTATCCATGTCCTATGCAATCTCACTAGTATTTGTATCTAATATGAAGGAAACTTTATCTGCAGCTTTTGGATTGCAATGGCTCATCCACTATCTTCTGTGAAGCTGGCCATAACAAATATCCCAACTGATGGGTAGGTTTATCGTTATTGTATTACTGATTTTTGAGGTCCTCGAATGGATTGTTCATTTCTTTTTCTTAGACGCTTTGCATTTTGATTTGAGGCGTATGTACTTGTCCAAGTTTTTCAATTTGTTGATAAACATTGAAATAGGCTAGTTTGCATTTCACTATCCATAGGGTTTGGTCTGTAGGCTTTTCTTACAGTTGTCACGCAGTAATTATATTTTTGGGGTGTGTGGGCATATAATATATTCTGGGAGAAATTCTGCTTGTTAGGTTTAGGAATATTGACTATGTAAGTTGCATCTCTTTGTCCTCTACCAATTTACAGGTAAGTTTGAAGGCCAAACAAAGCTCTGTCTTACTTGCATTTGTTTCGTCATGCAATTAATTGATGGACTGTCATATTTTAATCGCTTGCTGTATATTTCATCTGCCTAGTATTGCTACTAATATTCAATATTCTCCAGCACAAATCCAGTGCAGAATATAGAGAAGTCATTTCACCTGACGAGGGCAGATAAGGACCTATTGACTAAGCCAGAAATTGATGTGCAGGTGGATTGATTTAGATGTTTTTCGTCAAATTTTCATTTCAGGAGGTGCCAGAAAATATGTAAAAGTGATTTGTTGTCCGTATTTTTTTTAACTCATCGTAGGCGTGGTGCATACTTTTGAATGACAAAGTCCCATTTAGGATGCAGTGGCCTCAACATGCTGATTTACAAGTCAATGGTATGATGATTTACCTTCTATTCCATAGAAGTGTCTATGAACTAGTTTTCTCTCTTTAGGTTTCTTGATATGACTTGTAATTTGTTTGGGTACACAGGTGTACCTGTTCGTGCGATTAATAGACCTGGCTCGCAACTGCTCGGGGCAAATGGCCGTGATGATGGTCCAATTGTGAGTTTTGGTTTGGATATATGTTATTAGAATTCTTTGCTGTATAAATAGTTGTAGGCTAGTTTGTTCGGGGTCTAGCAGAGTCAGTGGCCACGTAAAGCCTCAAGTAGTAATTTGTCTTTAACCTTCTTTGAACGTCTTAATCATTGGTTAGATCACACCATGTACGAAGGATGGGATCAATAAAATATCGTTATCTGGATTTGATGCCCGGATTTTCTGCTTGGGGGTAAGGATAGTGAAGCGGCGTACACTTCAACAGGTAAGTGTTGACTCTGTCTGAGCATAGTTGCTTGAATTGTTAAATTCCACAGTTCTAGGTCTTTTTTATCTTCCAATCTTCTCAAGATATGGACTTCTGTTATTTATAATATGATAAGCTTTGGAATAAGATACCAGAAGAGCGTGTTTGATTGGTCTGAAGTATCTCACATTATGTACAGTTTTTTTTTTAATTTATCATTTCATTCTTTTTTATCTTGTATTTGGGGTGTGAAATTCTCTTCTAAACATTGAGCTGATTCTAAACAGAGCACACCACACACTTTTGATAAAAATAAGGAGCTGCTGTAGTATGTATAGTTCTGCTAAATAATCTTTAATGTTATCGTTTCAGATACTTGGGTTGATACCTAAAGAGTCTGATGGTGAACAATTTGAAGACGCACTTTCTCGTGTTTGCCGTTGTGTTGGTGGTGGAGCTCCAACTGATGGTGCTGACAGTGACAGCGATCTAGAAGTTGTTGCAGACTCCATTACTGTCAATCTTCGTTGTCCTGTAAGTGAACTTTTTTAATTTGTGTTATGAACCTTTGAATAGCTGTTCTGTTCAGTACTGGTCATCTGAGCAATTGTTTTGTGTGTTTTTAAACCGCCAGAGAATCTCTTATCAAATTGTGGATTTTTTGTATTCCCTGCGCAGATGAGTGGTTCAAGAATGAAAGTTGCTGGAAGATTTAAACCGTGTGTTCACATGGGCTGTTTTGACCTTGATGTTTTTGTTGAGCTCAATCAGCGTTCTAGGAAGGCAAGTAACTGTTGTTCATCCCCTTATTTTTTCTTTAAGGTTCTAGTTATTTGTTCTCTGTGTCTTGAATGTTGTGTGTGGATTTTCTGCAGTGGCAATGCCCCATTTGTCTGAAGAACTACTCATTGGATAGTGTAATCGTCGATCCTTTTTTCAACCGCATCACTACTAAGGTAGTGCTTTCTTGTTTAGTAGTCTAATAATTAGTTTTGGTGTTACATTGACATAATTCTTAGCATCGGGTTTTGTTTATTCTGTGTTGTTTGCAGATGAGGCACTGTGGCGAGGATGTAACAGAGATTGAGGTAAAGCCTAATGGGGCATGGCGTGTGAAAACCAAAACCGAAGCTGAGCGGAGAGATTTGGGAGAACTGGCACAGTGGCACAATCCTGATGGTACTCCATGCAGCATACCAAATGGGGAGGTTCAGTCAAAGGTGGTGGAAACAGGGAAGCAAGTCAAGCAGGAAGGTAATTCTGAAGGTCATGGTACTATTAATGGTTTGAAACTTGGTCTTAGGAAGAACCGTGATGGGCTTTGGGTAGTCAGCAAACATGAGGGTATGAATGGCTCTTCTTCAGGGAACAACAGATTGCAGCCGGATAACTTTCAGCAGAAAGTTATTCCCATGACTAGCAGCGGTACTGGCAGTGGTGAGGATCCAAGTGTGAATCAGGATGGGAATTTGGATTTTAATAATAATAGTGGAGGAATGGAACTCGATTCATTAGCTCTCAATATAGATCCTACGTATGGGTTTGGTGCACAGCATATTTCTGCTCCAGTGGCAGGGGATGCTGCAGAGATCATTGTTCTTAGTGATACAGATGATGAAGAAAATGATATACTGGTGTCTTCTGGCGCTGGCTTCAACAACAACCAGAATGATGTTGGTGCGGCTGGTTTCTCAGAGGGGACCCGATCTGGGATTCCAGAACCACCTTATCATCCCGAGGATCCTAATCTTGGCGCTGCTGCTGGAACGTCCTGCTTGGGTCTTTTCAATGACGAGAATGATGATGAATATGGAGGATTGCCCCTCTGGCCACCACCCCAGGGTGGCCCAGGGTTCCAGTTATTTAGTTCAGATGTCTCAGATCCCTTGGTTGATTTGCATCATGGTCCCACATCAATCAATGGATACAGTTTGGGTCCTGATACTGGCGTGGGACATGTCAATTTGGTCCCACCAGATACTTCAGTGGGTAGATCTGACGGGAATGGTGGGTTGGTTGATAATCCATTGGCTTTCGAGGAAGATCCTTCTCTACAACTGTTTCTTCCAACCAGGCCATTAGATTCGTCAATGCATTCCAATATGAGAGATCATCATCAGGTCGATGCATCGTCTAATAATGGTGGGCTTCGATCTGAGGATTGGATCTCTCTTAGGCTGGGAGGTGGTGCTGCCACTGCTGCTGGCGGTGGTCATGGTGAATCTGTACCACTTGCAAATGGCAGCTTAACTTCAAGACATGCGATGCCTACTAATAGAGATGGTGCTATGGATTCTTTGACCGACACTGGTTAGTTAGTTCTTTTCCATAAAATGCTTAATACAATTATATGGGTAGCGAAGTTGATATAGATGTTTAATTACGAGGCTTACATATGAAAGCTACCTGTGTTTGTTTTGCCAATTTACGTACTACCACCTCTCTAGTGCTTGGGTCTGATGAGTGTGCTGGTGGTTGTTGTTGTGTCTGTTTTGCAGCCTCATTACTTCTTGGGATGAATGACGGTGGCTCATCTGAAAAGGCAAGTCGCCCGAGAACTGAAAGCCCTTTCTCGTTCCCTAGACAAAAGCGCTCTGTGAGACAGCGTTTGTATCTTTCCATTGATACGGACTCTGAATAGACAACCTGCGGGCAATTGATACCATTATTTTATCAATTTTTGGGGGACAGAAGCCGTACTCTGAATTCTGGAGTGTTTCAAGTTTGGCGGCTGTGAAGTCTCCTTCCATCCATCACTCAGAACCAAGAAAACCCTCCCTGATGAAATGTGAAGAAGTCTCAGATATCTTGAGATAATTGGCTTTCAAGCGAATGATAAAAAGGGGAAAAGTCTACAGGAGTGTTATTGAGAATCGAGTAGACATCTGAATTTTGTGCAGGAGCAGAAGTCACCTCACCTGGGGACTGGGGTTTTCGGATGCAGTAGTTCTTATGAGCGACTCTTTTTTGACTGGCAACAGGACCTGGTCCATTTCGGCTAGTGTTTTATCGTCTCTTTGGTGTTAGTATAGCCCGAGTAGCTGGGGAAAATGTACAGTAGGGGGAGGATACTTAGGTAGCAAGGTCCAAGAAAGGAAGCAGCTGATTGAATTGTGTGGTAAGTCCTGTAAGGTTGTTTTGAACCTTTGGGATGGTTACATGGGAAATGCCAAGGCGCGACACGGCGACAGACACAGCAACCAACCTTTTCGGTGATGTTTCGTTCTTGTGTCCATCTAACGACCCAGAAATTGAGCTGAAACTAAGTTAGCGTGTAAATGTTATTCCTGCTACATTTGGTTATAGATAAATTTAAAGAATTTTACCACGGATCACTGCAAACTGTTACTTCCAGTGCATGTAATCGTCTCTTTGGTTTGGTGTATTGTGCACTCTTATTTCCCAGTTGTGTCGTCGCATTTCTGGATGGTCATTTTGCTACTCAATTTTGAGGCATGGTTACGTTTATGGAACAATCTAAAGAAGGCAGACATCGGTTGGCGGTTGCTGCTTAAATGTAACATTGATCTCCCAAATTTACGACCAACTGAATTTGTTCAACACAAGAGACTAAAGAAAAGAACAGAGATGCTGAATTAGGTCATGCATACACCAGAAGCAGAGAAGTTGCTACGAACATGGTCTCTCTATGTGACTTAGTTTACTGTTGTGTTCATTCTCCAGGAGCAGAAATGCCTTGCCTGAGCCTCTCCCGCTTCATCTTCTTCTTGGAGACTGGCTTCTTCTTCTTCATTTGTGACGCGAAATTCCTTTGGGCGTAACGGTATACGAGATAGTTGCTCACCATGAACAGCAGTAGCAAGCCTAACACGATCCCCAAAACGATCATCCCATGGTTGCTGCCATTGCTGGTTTCCCCAAACTCGTTGATTATCGTGTTACCATTTTTATCCCTGGTTACCCGACCCTGTCACACCACAGGATTTCCAATTTCAATATCTATATCACACGAAGAACCATTCATCTTTTTTTGATTATCATGGATATGACATTCAGATTCAGGGAGTGCACAGAGAAGGTTAGATCTTTCAACAAGATATAACATGTGGTCAAGCGTTTTTCCAAACCTGGAAACGATTTAAAGGATCGGTGAAGGAAGTTGACAAATGCAATTGAATGGAATGAAGAAAAAGGATGATGAAATGGGAAGGGATTAAGGAGGAGATCAGATGAGATCACATTACATTACGGATGTAATACTTCTTCTGTGGTTTCGGAGGCGACCAGCTGACGAACTCATCCATGTCCATGATCCCTGATGGCGTTGTAATTGCTGGTAGGAGAGAAATTAATGGAGAAGCTTTGAAAACACTTTCGACAGTAGAATGGCTTCTTGGATTGGGGACCTGACCTGGGTTTGTATTTATGTAATGCAAATGCATGCATGTGGTTTTTTCTCCTGAAAAAGAGGCTGCCGATGACTTTTGTCCCTAAAAATAGAAAAGAGAACTAGGGAGAGAGACAGAGAGTGTGAGCCGTAAAATAAAATGGCAGGGGATGGAAAAAGAAGCGCCCACCGTGGGGCTCGAACCCACGACCACAAGGTTAAGAGCCTTGCGCTCTACCAACTGAGCTAGACGGGCTTGCTGATTAAATTTGCGTTATAGTATTAATTATATTAATCTTATTAGGGTAAATACAATATATTAGCCAAACCTTTTGCGGTTAAACAAATGAATAGCCAAACCTTTCAAAAAAACAAAATAATAGCCAAATCGTTAACTGTCCATCTGGTCAACTGTTAGTTGACTCTTATGTGACTAATTCGTGAGACGGCAATGACAATTATTTAACTGTGCCACACATACATATTTTAAACTAATTATTTATTATTAAAACAAATAAAAAACAATAATGGAACACTCTCCATCCCTTCCCCTCTCCTCCCCTCTCTTCTCCGGCCAAGAAACTTCGAAACCCTCGATATCTCCCAAACTTTTTCGTTAGCAGCAACCACCTCGTCGTCCGAGAACCTCCGCTTCTTCCCGTCATGCTTTCACCTACCTCCTTCCATGGAAACAGGCAAAGATTCGACACTCCAGTTCGATCCGTTGTTCTTAAATGGGGTCGCCGACGATTGCTAGAGCGATCAAGCAGTTTGGATTTAGGGAATCGGAAGCGATGAAGAGCGAGGGGAAGGAAAGGGGTAACAGAGGAAGAGCCACAGGGGTTTTGGAAGCGAGGAAGAGTAGGGGATTTGGGCAATGTATTGATTGGATTTAGCTTTTGATTCTCTTAGTTTGACACATAGATAAATGGGTTTCAGTTTAATTTGTTTAGATTTGGATGGTGTGGAGGGGAGCGGCGGCAAAAGGAGTGGAGTTGATTTGGGGTTCTCAAAGTGGATTGAGTCTGTTCGAGGCAACCCAGGTTTGCTGGGGATTTCTATTTTCATTCTCTTCGTATTGTTGAAAGGTGAGAAAGATGTAAGCTCGTTTGTGGAATCGAAGCAAGCCTTGCTCCTTTGGCGATTTTATGTAGCGTTCGAGTAATTGTCAGCAATAGCTCGTTGGCTTGGGTGGTAGGTGTCGATGACAACATAGGGATTAGGTCACGGCGGCGAGGCTTTTGGTTCCACGGTGGGCAACGATGGCTGAGTTTCATCGGAGGATTGGAAATGGAAGCATTCATGGAGTTTCGATGGAGATTGGAGAGAAGGGGATGTGAACAGGCAAGGAGATAATAGAGTGGTGGCTATTTTTTAGTGGCTTTTTAATTTATTTTCTTTTCTAAACAGAAATTAATTTTTGGTATATCCATGTGGCAAGTCAAATTTTTTACTTTTTGCCACGTCATTGAAAATTTATTAAACATTTTGCCACGTCAGAGTCAACTAACGGTTGACCGGACGGAAAGTTGACGGTTTGGCTATTAAATTGTTTTTGAAAAGGTTTGGCTAATATTTTGTTTAAAATAAAAGGTTTGGCTATTAAATTGTATTAACCCATCTTATTATTATTATTTTTTTATTCTCTATCTACGAACCCCTTTTGTAACTTTTAAGTAAATCAAAAGTTATTTGCTGAATCATAGTTTATCTAAAAAATGTCATTTAATAAGGAGATTTCAATATTGTCTATCAAAACCCGACCAATAAACCATAGAATTACCATTGCTATTTGTTCACAGGGCACTGAAATTTTCTAATGATGTGCATCCATACATTACCGGAAGGTTTTGTTTGGTAATGGCTTAGAAAAAATGGGGTCCACGTAGAAATAGAATAGCCATTTCACAGAGTACAGGATGGAAGGGTGTTTTCGTTAATAAGTGCAAAGTATAGATCTGCGTCGTTTCAAAAACAAAGTGCAGGGTCATATTCGCTAAAGAGACTAATAGAGGGACCGAAAAAGTCATTAACCATTTTGGAAACTCTAAACGGCGAGGACTCCTCGTTAGTTAGTAAAATACGGTACGGGAAAGTTACGTATAAAATATGTACTAGTATTTTACTTTGTTTCTAAGCTAATTTTACGTTTAATAGTATGTTAATTGTCATAAATATATATAAAATTTAATTATTTTATAAATAAATAAATAAATATATAAATTATAGTAAAGTTAACAGTTTAATTCATTAAATACGGATATTAAACGTGTTATACGGATATTATACGTGTTTAGTACGGGAGCCATGAAATGAACGGGGGAAAATGAAACTGCTTGACAATAATACTAATACGGAAGATTTAAACAAATAAAGTACGTACGAGTACATATACGTGTATTAAACGCATTACTAACTATTCAGGAGAACGAATACTCGGGTTAAGTTAAGCCCAATTATGTTCTTTTTTGGGCCAGCGCTAGCTTCTTCATCAATCAGTTCGAGTCCGAGTGTCCGACAGAGAAACGTAGTTTGAACTTTGAAGGTAAAGTAGCTCATTCCTATTGACCTTGTTCTTCTTAAGGGTTTTTGGTTTCGGAGTTCAATTCCCAATCCAAATCGAATCCCAATTCCAAATAAGGGCAGGAAGAGGTCGAGATCAGTGTTAATATAAATAGGGTTACTGATCAATTCCCGAACCATAAAATCCTCTATTTACAATTCTACTATTGTGATGGCTGATAATGGCTCAAAATATGGTGCATAATCTTGTATCACTTTGAATAATCAAATCTGGACCCTTCCTTTAAGTGGCTGCAGATCTAAGGGTGGAGAATTAAAGAAATTTATTTTCCCTAGTTCTCTTGATTGGATCATATCTTTTTTATTCTAACTCGGATTTCAAATTTTGTTGCACAGATGGAACGAGGTTGTTTTTTTTTTTTGCAAAGTGATATCCATTTTCAATATTTTTTGAGATTTTTTTTTTCTTATCTCTCGTTACCAACTCCATACCATATGGTATCTCCTTCGTTTTTTAGTCGTTTTCAGAAATTTTTGCACAGAATGAACGATTTAATCATGATCTATTGGATTTCATTTTTTTCTGGGTGAAAAAATTTCATACCTCTCGTTTCCAACTCCATACCATACTATACCAACCTGATATGGGGTGGTATTTTTCATACCATATGGTATGCTTTTATTTAATACCAGTCTATACCATATGGTATTGATACCAGTAAGGACGAAATGAGACAGCCAATATGAGATTAACTTAAAAGTAGTTTGTAAAGTAAATGATACTCGAAATGACCAGATTAGCAAAAAGTAAATACTGGAGATGACCAGATTAGCAGAAGATAAATACTGGAGATGACCAGTTTTGCATAAAATAAAAGCAAAAAGTAAATACTGGAGATGACCAGATTAGCAGAAGATAAATACTGGAGATGACCAGTTATGCATGAAATAAATAAAAGTTGAAGATGATTCGAAAAAGATGAAGTAAAACTTGATAGTTTGATAGACTTCTCACACAGGAATTCTTGAGAGAAGATGATGGGATGAAGTTTTGCAAGAGAGCAATTCCCACTCAAAACAACTCTACTTACAATAAGTGAAGGGAGTCTCCTTTTATAGAGAAATGCAGTCCCCTTTTGGTAAATAAATTGAAAAACATAATGATGACAATGTAGACACTTATATGATTATGTCACATGTCATAACAAAATTACATTTTTAATATAAAGAAAATAGATAATTTGTGGTCTTCTTTCCATAACCAAATTGAGTGGATTGGAAGTGGAGTCACTTCTTCTTTGTCTTTAGGATAGTGGGTTGGAAGTGGAGTCACTTCTTCTTTGTCTTTATGGTAGTGGAAGAAGCAATGGTGTCACTTCTTCTTTGTCTTCAACTTAGTGCTCTTTGTTGGCAAAGGACCAAGCACTTCTTCATCCGGGTCATGGTTTTGGAACGTGGAATCTGCGTCAGATGTTGAGCTAGATGCCACATCTTTGAGAATTTGGAAGTATTCTTCTTCAGTTTTGGCGCCAGCTAAGAGAGCGCTGATTGAGGATTTTGTTTGCAAAAATTGCGTTGAGGATTTTTCGATAACTTTAGACAATTTAGGATTGTTATTGAACCATTGGAGGACTTGAGGTTTGTAGGCTTGTTCTGGGCGAGGATTTGCAGCCCAATATTTGGTTTTGAAGCTGCGGCCAAACATGGGTACCTTTGTGACGACACATGTTTGGTAACTGAATTCCCAAGCAGTAATCCAAGGAACTTTGATGTAGTAACAAAATTTGAGGAGGGGGAATCCTGGACCAGAATATTTTTGACAGAAGGTTTGATATCCCTCTTGTATCTCAGTTGGATAGATATTTTCAGTTGGCCCAAAAAGATCCCACCAGTGCATAAACCAGTTGGGGAAAATAATGGGAGTTTTGTAATTCCAGAAAAAACTCCAGGAGTGTCGGTACATATGGTTTTGCTTGAAGAAGGCATTAATCCAAGCTTCATGGTAATCCCAGTAATTGAAGGATTGGCAGATTTGCGGGTGGTTAAGAGCAATAGTAGCAGGGAATTTTTGGTTGGTGTTTGGGCTAGTAGGCCATTGGCGAGGGTGGATAATTTGGTGGATTTTGCAGGTTGAGTGGGTATTGAGTGTTTTGTCTGAAGGATCAAATTTGTGGGAAAAGGTGACTGATCCAGTTTCTGTGAGGATAAGTTCATAATATTTGTGGGTTTTGTTGAGGGATCTTGGTTTGAAGAACCACTCATTGAGGAAATGTTTGGCAGTAACATTTGGATATTGATAGTAGAAACCATCTTCGACAACGAAAATGGGTTGAAAAGTGTTTTTCTTAAAATACGTTTGAAATCGATTTTGAGGGGCTTGGACAACCACCACCTCTTGGGTTTTGGGAAAAACGGTTTTGAGAGGGGCTATCGAAGATGCCACCTCTGTTGAGGTAGGTGCGACATCAAGATGATGTTGCTGATAGATTTGTTTGGTTTCTTCGGAAAAGATGGGTGTGGGTAGGATGCCACTTGGCGTTTGAGTATTTGAAAGAATTAGTTTAGAAGGGGAAATTGTTGAGGAAGTTGAAGTGATAACGATGTAATTGCACATATTTGCGCCCCTAGTTCTTATCCGTTTGAGGGGCATAGTCGTGTGTTTTGGCCTATTTTACGCCGGGTTGTGCTATTTTGTCATGTTTCAGGTCCCAGTTGTTAAAGGGAAGGCTAACCGCGAGTTTCGGGGCATTCGGAAGTCATTTCGGTGAGCTGGAGCCAAAACACGGGCAGACCCAAGGCATTACACGGCCGTGTACTGCTGGCCGTGCTTTTTATGCCGAGAGCAAATTCAGTTTGGCCAATTCAGCTGCAAACACGGGCACCGAAGCACGGCCGTGTTCCACCAAAGCACGGCCGTGTCCAACGCGAAGCACGGCCGTGTTTAACTCACTTGCTGGCCGTGTAATTAAGCCCTGGCCGAGACACGGGCGGAGTCAGGCAAAGCACGGCCGTGCCCTCGACCGTGCTTTGGCCACTGATGCTTTTAAGCAGATTTTCAGCCACAACTCATGGGGATTCGAGTTTTTGAGAGAGAGATCAGTTCCTAGAGAGAGAAAGTGTCGAGCAAGAGTTCCCAAGTGCCCTAGATTGATCTTCAACACCATTGGAGGCTAGCTTGAGCTTGGAGAAGTGCCAATCAACGTCCAGAAGCAGGAATCCATCCTTCGCAGTATGAATTCCGTGTCTGATTCTGCTTTTGCTTTCTTCTCCATGGAGTAGTTCTCCCATTCATCTGGGTATGGAGAACCCTAGATTTGTATGTTAAGCTTTGATTGTATGAACCCAAGTACTGATTCTATGATTGATTATATTTGATTGAGGTTTTAATGATTGAATGACTTGAATCCTGATCAAATTCCTGTTGTTTCTGCTTTGACCTAGAATGAGAATATCTGCCTAGGTTAATAGAGTATCCTTGATTGAAGGTAGGGAGTTGGTGACTTTAGTCGAGGAGCCAACTCACTATTCTGTACCGGATTTACTCCGGTAGTGGAGGTTTTGTTCTTAGGGCCTCAATCTGTCGACTCCGGTGGAGGTTAGTCGCCCGCTAGAGAGTCAGATTGAGAGGGTCTGAAGACCTTTAGTCGAGACTTCAGGCTGTTTAAGAACCTTCCGCAGTATAACTGTCATAGAAACTGAACTTGGTAATTACAATCCGGCTTAACTGCAGTCTAGGGGGAACCATATCCGGGTGACCTCTCTTAACCTGAATACAACCGTTTACCTGCTATGTTAGTTTGATAGTTTAGACTTGCATTCCAGTTTCATTGCTAGATAACACGAATTCACTGAGTAGTCATCATATCTAGGACCCGGGTTGATAATTAAACCTAAACCCGCTATACTACGCTTTAGGAAGTGGTTACACTTGGCCAATTCCTGGAGTGACAGTAGAGTCGAGTCATGAAGCTTCAGTGGGAAGCTTTTGTTTAGAACCAGAAACGACAATAAATTTCTGAAGGTAATTTTGGGCTTCAAGAGGAAGCTTATCAATATTGATTAAAGCTTTGGATGAACTTGAGTGTGAACCAGAATCATCAGAACTTTCTTCATACTCACTTTGATGATCAGGGCTTCCTTGTTCATCATCAAATATCTCTCTCCATGTTTTGATTTTGATTTTCTCTTTATTTTGCAATCTAGTGGTAGGGGGCATTATGACTGGAGATTGCAAGCCTGAGAGTTTTCCGCACTTCGTCCTCCCTGCAAAAATTCCCGAGTAAGGAAGTCTGGAAGAGAAGGATTGTGGGAATCATTATTACTATGTCGAGAAAGGATATCTTTGACACTATACGTCGAACCTTGATGAAAGGGATTGGTAGGTGGAATAGTCACAAGAGGTTTCTCCATGTGCTCATGAAGCTTTTTGAAATATTTTTCTTTGAGATGAGGATTATCAATATTATTGATTAGATCTAAAATAAGCTCTTGATCTTTAGTTAAAACATTGATATAAGATTCATAACTTTCATCGATGTCATCAAATTGTAAGGCCTGAAGATTCTCATCATCAGAAGAAGAAGAATCCTCATGAGAAGAGTAGTGTTGGAGAAAAAGATTATTGATTTTGTAATGAATCTCTTCATCAAGATTAAGCTCATTGAGCTTCTTTTTTATACGACAATATTTGGAAATATGACCTGTTTTTCCACAACGGAAACAAGTAATGTTTTTATTTTCATTGTTAGATCGTGGTCCCTTATCTGGGCGGGGATTCCTATAGAAATGAGATTTTTGATTCGTGGTTTTAAAAGATCGGTAGGGACGATCGCGATGTTTTTTATGAGGTTTGGTGCTACAATCCTCACAGTTAGATTTGGAAGAAATTTTTGAGTGAAATTCATCAAACTGAGCACAAAAAGATCCTAGTTCTATTCGAGTTAGTTTTTGTTCGCGTTTGATTTGTTTTTGAAGTTTTAAATCATGGAAAATTTGTAATCCTTCCTTTTGTATAAAGCTAATAAGTTCTCCGTAAGTAAGTTGCTCATAAGGAATTTGACCATTACAAGTGTCTTGGATTTTGTTTCGGATTTTATCTCCTAAGAGCCGGGGTAAACCGGCTAAAAACTTTACTTTCCAAAATGGTTGATTTCCATCTTCTCTATGAATAACCCTAGTTAAAAAGGTATCTTTGTACCATCGGAAGTCATGAAACTTTTTACAATGAAGATTAGAAAGTAGTTCGGCATTTTTATCTTTTAGATGTGAAGGATCTCCAATAAAATATTTTGAAATGGCAAAAATCAGAGATGCAACTGCATCTTGAGAAGATTGATTATTGGAGTCTAAAATAGGAGTTCCAGAAGAATCACATTTGACAGCTGTAAAAATAGTTCTCTGGTCTTCTGCGGTTAAGATATTATCCCACCAACCCTTTAATTGACCAGCAAAGCCGGCTATAAGTAGTTCAGCTATAGCGTCATCAGAAGTTTGATTTTGTGTTTTGTAAGCATTAGCTACCATGGTCATTTGTTGAAGAAGGTCCAAAATTTGATATTCTGAAAATCCATCAAGATTCCATTCATAAATATAATTGGAGTTGTATTTATTTTGGATAATGGTGGGTTTCTCTTCGAGAGCTAAATCAGGTGTTGTGGGACGTGGGTAATACATCTTAGATGCAGAGGGTTGGTTCCATCAGAGATGATTGATTTCTGTTTCAATATGACCTTCTTGGTCTTGAATTACTTCGGCTGAGTCATCGGCGATTTGATCCTCGTTGCTCGTGGATTTTGAGTCAGAAATATAAGGAGTCTTAGAAATGGATAGTTGTGTAGAAAGTTGTTTAAGACGTTTTTTCTATTTCAAGCTTAAATTCAAGACTAGATTCTTTAGAAACTTCAAAAGGTTTGAAAATGGGGGAATTAAGTTTGTTGGAAGGAGGAATAGGAGTATTTGAAGTAGACGCAAAACACAGAGGTAAACTGATTTCAACATTAGTAAGTTGATCTCCTAGGTCTGAAGAAATCGGTTTGTATAATTGTTTTGTTCAATCAGACGTCGAATGTCTTCTCCTTTGACATGGTCACTATTTTCTCATCTTAATTTAAAAGGAGAGGCTTGAACTGCTGTTCCATAATAAGAAAAATTAACAGGAGCATTAGGGGGGTGAATAGATTGGATCTTAGAGTTATTAGTAGTTAACCAAGTCATAGGCTTGGTTTGAACATTTATTGAAGATTGAGAAAAGACTTGTTCGAACCAATTAAAGAAAGAATGGTGTTCTCGTATATTATTGAGATAATCATAGAAAGAGTTCTGTATAAGTACACGTTCTTCTTTAGAGTGATCAGTAAAAAATTTCTCGCGTTTAAAACGGTTTCGTTGGGAATAGAAATCATGGCGAAGAAATTCTTTGTTGATTTTGAACTCTTGTGTAATGACATCAAGAGCAGAAGGGATTTCGTTTTCAGGAAATGCAGCTTGTGAGGCAGTAGGAGACATATTTGGTGTTCTCGAGGTATTTATATTTGGAAAAAGAGTTGTGGGAGGTGGTGGAGTATAAACTGGCTGAGGTATGTTGTTGGAGTTATTGATTCCTCGTAGATCATAGTTGAGTGTAGAGTAGGTATGTCGAGTGGGTGTAGATATGGGAGAAAGATTTCTACAAGATTGGCTTCTAAGAAAAGTATTGATGCGCTGTCGAGCATCGTCTGTCAATTCAAGGTCTATATCAGAAATGCTAGAGATGGAGTTCCTAGCAAAAGAGATGTTTACAGTACCATCAAGATGTTGAGTAATTTGATTAACCTGACAATGGTCGATGCTTCTGGGAATGGTAGCTCCTTCAAGGGTCCATTGTGTAGGAAGAGTAACTTCTCCCCATTTGATAGTTTTGGGAGTAACAGTGTTAGTACGAGTTAAATCAGTTTGCCAAATTATAGTTTCTCCTTTTGTACCATATTGAAGAGCTTTAGAAGAGAAAGCAGATTTCATAGCTTTATAGTCTAAGCGGTAAACCAAAGAGATAGGTAAAGATCCTTGTTGGATTTTATAGTTGAAAGTTTTTATTTGTAGGGTTAAAACATCTAAAATATTTTTGTCATGAAGAGAGACAGTAAAGTTTGGAAAACAATTGAAGTAAATGGGGCCATTACAAAGACTTGATTCAACAGTTCCAAGTAAAGAGTCGTTAAACTCAAGAAACCGACAATCTCGTAAAACCATTAAAATAGTAGTATTAAGGCCTTCTTTGGATAGAGGCTTAATCCCTACTTGAACTAACCCAATATGGATATAGTTGTACTTCTTTTTGTGTTGTTGAATAGAATTTTGAGACAAAAATTTGATAGTTTCATAATCATTGAAAAGATGAATATCTCTTTCTTCGATTTTGATGGTATAATCCATTTTATTGAGGAAGTTAAATTTGCTTTGCTCATAAATTTCCTTTTGGGCAATCCTAGAAATTTGCCAATTATCAATTTCTTTACAGACAGTTTCAAAATTAATTTCTTCTTGGTTGATCACACGGTTCCCGGTGATGTCAGAATTAGAGGAAGAAGAGGAAGGTCTAAAAATCGAACTCATGACTAGAGGAAAGAAAGGTAAACAAAGGCTGGATCTAACTTACAGGTGAGATAGGTTAACGGCCAAAGACGGTCTTACAACTCTCTCACAAAGGACTCAACTAGGATCTAACCATGGGGTACCCATCTCTCAACTAATACCAGTAAGGACGATCAACCTGATGTTGTTTTTATGCCAAAAAGCATTGGGAGTATAAGCACAAATAGAGCTTTCAATGTGCTCTTTTAAAGAGTTTATTCGTTTTTGCAAAAGAGGTTGAGAAAGCTGTTGTAAGATTCGCTGCAAATGTATCTCATCATGCAAATAAGATATTTGATTAGTTTTACAATGAATTATATGATGTATATATTTTATAGAAGAACGTCGTAAAACATTTAGGTTTCGAACTTTTGGTTTTTGGAGAAATGAGAATTCAACTTTGTTTCCTAACACAACAGTGTTAATTCCTTGGTCGGTGATGGTAAAAGGTTTTAGAAGATTTAGAAAAGGTGTCCCTAAGATCACCTTTTGTTGCATGTCACGTACTAGGATAAAATGAGTTTTGAATTCAACATTTTGATGGCAAATTAAAGCATTAGAAAGTTTATATTGTATTTGAAGAGGTTGAGAGTTAGCGGTAGATAGACGCTCGAGGGTCTTTTCATAGTACTTAGTTGGAATTAATCCTTCTTGGATGCAGTGCATGTCTGCTCCTGTATCAAGAAGGGCCACTGTCCTTAAAGTAAAATTAGAAGAAACCTGAATATTAATGATAACATACCATTTTTGGGTAGTAATGGTAGATAAAAAAACATAGAAAATCGTCATCAGTTAGCATTTCCTCTGTTTCTAAACTATTGGTTGCGTGAGGAGTTTCATCTAAAAAGTTTTTGGGGCTAGATGTTGATGGCTCTTCTAAAGGTTTGAGAGCTATTAAAGTTTGTAATATTTCATGATCACTATTTTGTAACTGTCATAATTGTACCATATGGTATTGACTGGTAATAACTTACAATTTTTTTTTGTTTCAAAGAATATCAAAGTGGATATCATTTTGAAGAGCAAAATTAATATGATCTAACTGTGCAAAAAATTAAATTCCGAGTTAAAACGAGTGAGAAATCTTCCGTTAAAGATTAAGTAAAGGAAAATTAAAGTTTTTTCGAGGAGAGAGAAGGAGACGCTGATGTGACCGATTCTTATTGGGTTATGCATGGGATTAATGGATTATAACACCACAAGGTTACTTACTGGATCTGCTCCCCTGATAATGTGATGTCTGCGCGGACAGCGCCATGGTTGATGTTGTCGTATTGTAACAACATCGCCGATAACAATGACAATAACGATGATGATCCCTACTGTCGATGTTGCTTTTACGATGTGGAGGAGCAGCAACCTCGCCACCGCATTGACGTGCTCGTGGACAGAATTTGTCGGGGCTCTAGCTTCAGTCGGCTATTTATGGTCCAACAAACGCCTTTTGTGTCGTTGATGAACCCTTTGACAGGGATTGAAATCCCCTTGCCTCCCATCACTACTTTCCCTCGTGTGTTGGCCTACCGCCCTGAGAAGCTCCGCCGTGAATACCTGCTTCGTCTAGGCAACTGGCCGGACGGTGGCACAGGACAAGAAGTTGACCCAGAACCAGTACATATCAAGAGTTGCTTTTTCAGCTGAGCCCGACAGTAGCTCCGAGGAGGAGGAGGAACCTTTGTGATGGCTATCTGTGTGAACAATGATTACCGGCTGGCGTTTTGCAAGCCCAATGGTGGCACATGGACGTTGATTCCTCATGGTGGCGGTGTACCTCGCCTCATTGCTTTTGCTGATGTTGTGTTCTGAAGGGGTCAATTCTATGCCCTCGACTATGGTGGCTGTGTTTTTGTGTGTGATATTTCTCGCCCCGAAGAACCCAAGCTCTCCTTCATTCTCGGCCATACACTCCCAAGCATTTGGCTCTCTTAGAGTACGACCATGATGGTGGTGTGTTTTACAATGAGGAAGAAGATGAGGAGGGTGTTATTGAAGCTCCTGATGTTGTTAATGAACCTGATGCTAGTATCAGGATTTACTGGACCAACAAGTTCAGAGTTTACAAGATGGTGGACAAGGAAGATGAAAAGGGCTGGGAGGAGGTGGAAAGCATCGGTGAGTTTGCCTTGTTCTTGGGTTATAATTTTCCTGCTGCTTTCGTCTCTACGGTAGAGCATACGAGATTGACACCCAACTCCATTTACTTCACCGATGATCTCACTGTAATCCAGCCACGGTGGAGAAAACAGCACAAGGGAGGTCATGACATGAGCATTTACAGTCTTACCACCTGCACTATCCAGCCCCTGTATTTCGCTACATCTGTAGATGACAAACCTTTTCTCATACGTCCACCGCCTGTATGGATCTGTCCTTCTCCTTTGGTTTCGTTTCATTCATCTTGGAACCTGCGATTTTTTTTCTTCTTTTGGTTTTAAATGTGCATATGATAATGAATGTTATTTAGCGGTAGGTTATTTCTAAAGCATGCCACAAGATTTTACTTAAAATGATAGACCATGAGGCTTGTATTAATGAGCACAACTTATTACCATAATGTCATATGATGATAAGATCATGCAATTGAACCATCATAGATAATGGTTGACTCTCACGTAAAACGATTTTTTTTTTGGTAGTATCACGTAAAACGAATTTAACATAATTGAACAGTTACTGGTTCACAATAAAATAGTTTTAACATATAGATTACTCGGTTTATAAAAATATCATGTTCATCACCCAAAATATGTAATGAACAACCCCAACACTGCTGACATAATGATGATTCAGGAATGAAAACATTAATTACACCCTAAGCTTGAATCTTGAGGCCAACAACCAACGAAAAAATGTTAGGAACTACTAAATAATTTAATATCCAAAATTTTAATATAGATAAAATATAAATGCAAAACCTGCCCAAGATAGGTCAGATGCTATTTGTTTTAACAAATACTAGCTTTGTCTCTGGCCTATTGGACGGGTGAGTTTTGTGTTATACTACTAATCAAGTAATTCATAACCATACTTAAACTACTTTAAGTCTCAAAAATAATTTATGTTTACATAATTTGTTTACAATAACATTTTTTACTTTCTCGATATATGGATTTTTCTTGAATAACAAAAAATATATGGTTGATCAGCGAATTCGAAATGTTTATCCTCAACTCCCAAACCGATGACTAACCATCTCATGTGGCCCCTGATCCTTACTATTAATATAGGGTTTAAAGGATAATAACTACGTAACTATTTATTTCTCAACTAACCGTCGACATTCAAATGATTTTTGCTTTAATTGAAAGTAACACTTTTAACATTTAGTTAATAATGGATGAATATTCGTTTACGGCTAAGTCTACCATATGATTTTTAGTTTTTGATTTGATGAATGTTGGTTTGTTACACTTTTTTTATGAGAAAAAGTTACAAAAATATTTATGTATATTAGACATTTCTAATATGCTTATGCTAGAAGCCTTCTTTTTTAGGCTAAAGAGTAAAGCCATTTCTAATATATTATATTTTTACATGACACGATGAATTTGAAAATTATACAATAATATCACACGCCAACATAATAGTTCAATCTTACTAATTTGTACTCATATTTTCCAAAGAGCTTTATGAATTTTTCCTTGTAGAAATTTATGTTGAAAATTTTCAATTAAAGCACTAAAATTTTCATCTACATGAATCAGTTTTGGTTCTTAATATCTAATGTTCTCGTTGAAATATTATTGATACATAATGAAATAAACCAATACAAAATCTGTTTCAAGATAGCATATTTCAAAACAACCTTGAGGAAACCCCTCTAAAATCTTTAAATAAAAATTTATCCTAAAAACAAAATAAAAAAGAAGAGAAAAATTGTAATAGAGAACTAACTTCTGGCGATAACTGTCGAGAAGTTCTGATATTAAACGTAAATTCCGGAGGTTAAAAATTAAATAGCATTTGCGGAAGCAAGGAAAATATATTAGATATTTTCCATAAATTGTGCATAAGTCGGGAAGGCTGACGTGATGTGGGTGGTTTTCTGAAACTACTTTAATATTTTTTAAGATTAAGATTAAGACATAATCATTAGGTGACTTACCCGCCAACTCTTACTTGTATTTAGAGTTTACATATTCGTGATATGGTGCTAATATTTGTCATAGACATCAAATTCCGATGATATAATGCTATTATCTTAAAATGGCCTGAACTTCCCCATTTTCTCGAGAGGCCATCTTTTGCACATCATGTTGCTATTGCTCGTTCATTCTTTTCTTTTCATCATGCTTTTAAGCATTAGTGAATTTGCCTTGTTCTTGGGTCATAACTCTCCTGCGTTCGTCTCGACGGAAGAGCATCCGCGATTAACACCCAATTTCATTTACTTCACTCATGATCTTACTCAAATTCATCCATGGTGGAGCATAAGGCATAATGGAGGTCATGGCATAGGCATTTACCATCTTACCACTGGCACTGTCCAACCCCTATATTCCACTCCTCTGTAGATGACAACCTTCTTCTCATGCGCCCACCACCTGTATGGATCTCACCACAGGCTTGCCGTTAACTCGCATCCAACCATCCAGAAGTGTACTAGGACAGCAACCATGGCGTTGCAGTAATTTCACAGGCTATTAAAGCTTCAGTGTCAAATACTTATTCAAGCACATTTAAGTAGGGAATCCAAGACCCACGCATAACTCTTCGCAATTAGTTCATAGCAAATCCAAAAGCAATAACTGATGATAGCATAATGAATCAGACAAGTAAGGTACAAATGAATAAACAACAATGAGTCAAACTTTGCAACTATGAACTTACTTCCTCGCAAGTTCTCTAAGAGATTGAAATTCAAGAATCGTATCTTACCAAATCTCTGGTAAAGATGGTTGTAAAACTTCAGTTTCCACTGACCACTTTTGCATTGCCAGCCAAGACTTGGCTTTTTTGGCCCTCAACGTACACTTTGTTTCCCACTTTTTACGCGATCCCTAAATTGGAGCACTACGCTGACAATTTCCATTGTGCGCCAAAATCTTTACGAATTAGGATACAAAAGAATATTCCGTCGCTCTAGGTAATCTTCAAGTTCTTGCGGAATCTCAAAACAAGAAATAAGAAAAAATAAGCACCTACGGTACAGAAAGAGTCATCGGACGACGGCGGATGTAAGGAATTACTGATTGGGCGGGGTCGAGTGGAAGACGGAGGTGCACCTCCAACTCGTGGAGGAGCTCCTCCCCCTAGAAGTTGAACCTCCTAGGCCAAAAGGAGCACTGGTTTGGGAAATCTTTGGGGTAACTAACATAATGACTTTCACACATATAGTAATGGACGATAGGATGTGAAGTACATGTGAAGTTGCAGAGTTCACAGTATGCGTATGCACAGGTGTAAGTTAAACGTGTGAACATTGTTGTATTCATTTAAGAAGCTGTCGGTAGGCATTTCGAAGAAAGAAGTTCATGCATTTCACTTGCCATTACGTACAAAGTTTGTTATTAAATATTTTCTCACTTTCCTTCCATATATCTTCCAAGGCTGTTCTGCAAGAGGTCTTAGAACAAAATCTAAATTCTACAGCTTAAGACAGGAATCAGAAATATTATTGAGATTCAGCTTGTGTTGAACGACCGTATAAACTTTCACTTGTGTTGTTCCTGTAAATTGTTAATTCTGAAAGAAACTGAGATGGCTACTGCCAAACCGAAAGTAGAAATGATGCGGCATTCCAGCTTTGCATCATATGCTGGATGGTGGTTCTTTTTTCTTCTATAGCTTTTCATGAGAATGGATCTATGCGGCCTGTGTGGCTAACCATCCTTACATCCTGTATTTTGTGATGGATTGGCATCAATTTTGCCGAATCTTTGTAATAAAACTAGTTTGACATCTACTGATTGTATATTGGAAGTCTTGGTCATTTTCAGTATTCGGACCCTTGTTCAATTTCATATTCAGTCGCGTGCCTGGTTGAATCGAAGGACTGCAAACATGGAAATATAAGTGTCACTAGATTGGTGCAAAGATGTTTGGCTTGCATGGGATGGTATTTGGTAACTTTCCTGCCATTGTTTTCCTTCTGCAAACAGGTGTTGTGGGCAAACTATTTGAACGATCATGTTCATTCTTTAAGTTGTGGAGTAATAGTTCAATCATTGCACCACTGTAATTAGTAAAACTCATTCTCTCTTTCTCCTCCACCACCTCGGACATTACCTAGAACTCGACCAGTGCCCACCACCATCTCACCACTACCTCTCTAGACCAACAAACCCACTACCATCTCTCTTCAATAACGCATGTAGGAGGGAGATGCATAAATCACAGAGGATATAAGCTCGATTTCGGAACCCAGATCCAGGAACGACATCTCGGCGAGAGGAGGGTGCAAATCGCCCGATGCTGGCTGTGCTCAGCTTGTTCGGATCCAAGAACAATCCATTTATCTCAGAAGGTCCATCTTCTCGAACAGGAAAAAGGTGGGTTGCCGATTGCGAGCAGGGCAAAGTCTCGGCGAGGGGATTCGAGATTGGAAAGAGCTTGATGGTGGGGACGGCTGATAGATGGCCTCTTCCAGCCATGTTTCCGCCGGTTGGAGATGGAACGACAAGAAGCAGAGAAGGCTTCTGCGAAGCGACAACGACCACACGTTCTCGCCAAAGTCGCCGGATCTCAGTCTCCCTGATATGATCTCAATTACAGCCTCTTACAAACCCCAATCAATCGTTCAAAGTTCGGATAAAGTTAATGAGAAACAAGCTGGAATTTGCCTAGGTGTGAGAACAGTTCTGGGAAGTCTACTTTGGAAGGTTGAATCTCTCAAATGGCTAAGTGAAAATGCACGTGTGAATTCTTGTTTTGAAGCTTGGGTGTTCCTCTATAGGTTGATGCAATTGGATCGTGGAAAGAAGGTCATGAGGGTTGTTTTTCAAGGCCATCAAAACCTATCCTGCATTCTGGAAATTAGCAATTTTTTACTAAAGCGGAAAGACAGTTTGAGGTCACGACTTTGAGCTCGAATTCACGACGTTCGGGGCTTTCGTGTTTTTCGTGTTTTCCTTTCCTTGTTTTGTTTGTAAATTGTTTCATTGTTCAATTAGGATTGTGTAAGTTAATCTCAGCTATAAATAGCCTCTTTCATTGATTGTAATTGACGTATTGAGTTTAATCGAAAAGTACTCAAGGAGTTTCCCTTGAGCTTGAAAGCTTGAGCTTGGTCTGGGGATTTTCTATCCTTGACTTGCAGACTTGGCCTCCCTTCTTTAAAAAGCTTTGACCTCAAAGCTTGGATCAATCTGTACTCAAAACAAGAGACAAAATCATTCCAAACAGGATCGCAAAAATTAAGTTCATAAACCTTTCTTTTAGGCGAAACCCGATTTTCCGGTGAGCGTAATGATATTGGGGCTTTCCGCTTCAAGCATTCTTGTTGCGATTTCTTCCTTTCATTCAGCTCTACCAGCTCCTAAGAAGCGAATGCAATAGTTTTCGGGCTTTGATGGTTCCCAAATCGGCTTGAATCGAGTCTCGAAGGTTTTCCGCCACCGGGGAATTCAAAATTCCCAGATTTCGGCGACAATTCTCCAAAATCCAGTGAGCCAACTTGAAAATTGGGCGTTTCGTTGTCAAGCGTTACCGAGCTGGTTTCTTGCTTCCTACACCTTCCTTGAGACCCTAGGAGTAGATTCCCAGTGCTGGATTGCTTGGAATCGTGCCCGAACTCCACATCCAATTCACCACTTTCTCTTCATTGTTCGGCGCTTTTGGAGGCATAATTGGGCTTTTGGGATTCGTAGGTGGAGCTCGCTTCGGCAGGATTTCATTGACTTGACACGTTTTGGGGCAAATTTGGGACGTGTCGTCGTGGGTCTTTCGTTCCGACTTCACTTCAGCTACTCCAGCCAATTCAGAGTGCTTCAGGGCGGCTGGAAAACAGGGCCGACGAACTCTACCTCTTCGCGAAACTGTTTTGCCGGCGAGAACAGTCAACAAGTAACGACGAGCTGCCGGACTGGAACCTGCTTTGTGACTGGTGGAAAGCTACTAGAATCACCTTTCCCTGGTGCTCGACTTCGCGCCATGTGTTGTTGATCGGATCGAAATTCCGCGGGTGACATCGGTTTGAGCACCAATTTTTGCCCCTGAAATTTGAATGAATAACAATTCGTTCGGCCGTCGTGGGAGACTTGGCGATCAAACTTCCAAGGCCTTCCAAGCACCATATGTGCTGCATGCATCGGAATCACGTCGAACAACAGCTTGTCGTGGTATTTCCCTATCAAAAAGGGCACCCATTGATGACGGCGTGATCACTAAGCCAGTGCAAAGAGTAAGGCTCAGGTCTGGGAATCATGGTCAGTCCAAGCTTCTTGGCAGCATCAAGACTTACCACGTTTGCACAGCTCCCTCCATCCTCAATGACGGTAAGAATCTTACCTTGCACTTGACACCTCGTGTGAAAGAGGTTACTTCGCTGGTCCACAATAGGTAAGTCCTCCTCCTGGCTTGCTAAGGCCCTCTGCAGTGCGAGCAACGAACCATCAGCTGCTTCCATCTCTTCTCCAAGCTCGGAGTCTTCTGTATGATTCTGCTTCTCCTCTTCTTCATCCTCAGAGCAGTATTTTCCATCCCGAAGAATCATAACCTTATGATTTGCACATTGGTGTGCTTTGTGGCAATACCCATGGCACTTAAAGCAACGAATTGTGCCACTGGAGGTGCTTGACTTCTCTGGAACAGCTGGAGTAGTGTTCCTCACCATGGCCCGAGGTGGTTCAGGCTTCAAATTGGGTTCAAAACTTGGCTTGGGACTGTTGCTCGCTGTAGGAAACCTCCTGCCAGAACCCTGATGTTTCAATTGCTTCTCAACCTTGGCGGCAAGCTGGACAGCTTCTTCAATTTCCACGAATGGGAAGAGCTCGACCTGGTTTTTTATCTCTCGCTGAAGACCTTGCAAAAACCTGTTGATCGTGGCTTCTTTGTCTTCCCTAACATCAGCTCGGATCATAAGGAGACCATCTCTTGGTAGTACTCTTCAACGCTCCTTCTCCTTTGACGAAGTGATTGCAGAGTGTCGTGGAGGTCGCGTCGATAATATGAGGGCTCGAAACTGTCCCTCATTAAGCTCCTCATCTCCAGCCAGGTAGCTATGGGAGGCAGACCAATCCTTCTTCGCTTAATGCGAACTTGTTCCCACCACGCAGCCGCATAGACTTCAAACTCGTAAGAGACAAGTTTGATCTTTTGTTCTTTGGTGTAATTGTTGCAATAGAAGAACAAGAGCACTTTCCGTTCCCAATCCAAATAGTCAGATGGATTGAGACTACCCTGAAACGAGGGTATACTAAGTTTGATCCCATGGAGCTCGTCAAGGACCCTTGTCTCTGGCGGTCGTCGATCGTGATTATGAAACTCACGATTTCATTCATGATGACCATCCCTGGAGAGAATCAATTGGCACTCCAAATTTTAAATGTGTGCATTCAGAGCTTGAGTGCTTTGATCGCATTCAGGGATCGTTTCCTGCCTCGTCGGCGACTTGGGCTCGGGTGTCGCCGTCGACTTCTGCTCTGCCAACTGCTTATTGATGTTGTCAAAATGTACTTGGAACGTGGCGTTCATCTGCGCTATTATTGTTTGCATCAATTCCGTCGTATTAATTTGTTCGGTCATGGTTGATTCTTGAACTTCAATGTTCTCGTCGCACTCAGAGTCGGACTCTGTTTCTTCGAGTTTCCTCAGATCAATTGGATCCTTCTTTCTTGTTCTAGCTGCAACAGGACGAACGTCCTCCTACCTCTTCTTCGTCTTGGCCACTGCTTTGAACCAGGCGATGATGCCACTTGATGAGACCTAGCTCGGCCTCTAATCAGACTTTGCGCATCTCAATTCGAATGGTGTGTATAGATGGATGTCAAAGGGAAAACAGAGGGTATTTGGTGAGAGTGATAAACCAATCTAGCTACTTCAACACGTTGGGGAAGGAGTTGGTTTGGGTAGAAAACACAACGAGATCAACATGTGTGTTGATCTCATCGTGTTTTCTACCGAAACCAGCTCCACATGTTGATCTCGTCGTGTTTTCTACCGAACCCAGCTCCTTCCCCAACGTGTTGAAGTTGCTAGATTGGTTTATCACTCTCACCAAATACCCTATGTTCTCCCTTTGACATCCATCTCTACCCATGTTGATCTCGTCGTGTTTTCTACCTAAACCAGCTCCTTCCCCAACGTGTTGAAGTTTCTAGATTGGTTTATCACTCTCACCAAATACCATCCCCTTTGACATCCATCTATACACACCATTCGAATTGAGATGCGCAAAGTCTAATTAGAGGTCGAGCTAGGTCTCATCACTCCCAGCAGCGTTTTCGGATCTCACCGCCTCCCAATCTCTCAGCAGAATTCCACTGAGTCACCATCGGAGAAGTAGGGGGAGGCAAATCTGTGCGTCGCGACGAGCAGGGCAAAATCTGTATCCCTCGATTATTGCATAATTCAGGAGTGTAAAGGGAGGCGGAGGCTGAGGTAGCGGATGAGAAAATATGAGACTGAGAGGTAGCAATGAAAGCCAGAGGAGGACCTAAATTTTGGTGAAAAGGTCTGCGATGCTTGAGAATTTATTTGGGAGGTAGGGTTTTTTTTTTTCCTTCAGTTGGGTCAACTAGAGGAAGAAGATGAGGGATCGGGTCATGGGTTGGGTATCTTATGTGACGGGTTAGTTTTTATTTTTTATTTTAGTTAAAATCTACACTACTTATAATGCATTTTAAAGAGTTTGATTTGCTCAATTTCAAATTTCCTGCAACGAGAGTGAAAGTAGGAAGGGTATTTCGTCTACACAATCAATTTTTTATATCATATTAAAAGATATCAATGCTAGAATTTGAACTATGATCTCTTCCACCAAAGGCAAGAATTGTAACTAATTAGACTAGACACATTTGTTGTACTTTGTTAATACAAAACATAGAGGAAGTTGAAATTATGAAAAACAAAGTACTTTTTTCTAACTTATAAATGAAGGATAATCTTAAAATCCCAACACAAATATTATTGGTTGGAATATTGCGCATTGAATTGAAGTGTTCAATGACGACATAAGAACACTGGTACCATACATTTAAAAAAAAAAATAAACATGACAAACACCAATACCAATTATCTCGACAGTCTATGCTAAAATTCGAAATTGTTTAATCATTCAATTTGAATGATAGTTTAGTCAAATCAAGCAAATAATTCATGATTGTGTATGAACAAAAATAAAAACATATGTATTGTATCATGAAAAATGTATTTATTTTAACAATCTAAAAAAACAATCACAACTTTCATACGACCCCTTATTTCAATAATATAATTAATGAAATAATTTTAATCAACATGATGCAATGTTCAAGCTAAGGTCCAAGTATTAATCACCAGTATATAGTATTCATCATAGTTAACTATTTCAATATCCATAGGTAACTATTAATGGTTACTTGCTTTCTCTTAGAGAGTTTAATGTAGCACTCTCATGCCTAGCTATGCTCTAAACATTTGTTTTCTTTTTCACAATAGCATTTGTAGTTCTTTATTAAATTAACTTTGTTTCTAGCTTTCAATTCCTAATTATTCACTTCTTCATACCAACTTATGGGAATGCTAAATATATTTTTTATGTCTAATCTATTAAACATAAATTTTGTTTATCACTTAAATTCAATGGTATCCATGTTAGGTTTGATGTCACCAACATATTTTCCCAATTTCTCCAAAAAGCATAATATCTTGCGATTGATATCATAGTTTCGTTAGGTAAAGTTCAACAAACTCAATCAATATTCGAACTCTTCGAAATAGCTATCTACATGCGAATATGAAGTAATGAGTAGCTAAATCTCTACTTGAGTTAGTAGAATCTTTTGCGCTATCGATTCAGAATTCAATACATGATTATCTTATTACAATTTAGTCATACTAATTGTGCATTAGGAGACATCTTATTAAAATCTTAGTGAAAGACTCTTTGATTGATCGCTTTCATGATGTAATCAATTATACCAAAATAGAAGTGATCAAATTTATAAGATGCACTCAAAGTTTGCTATAATTATTGAGGTTCAGCAGCACGTTAGGCATACGGCAGTCATTGGGCATTTGTCTATCTCCTAGCTCGCCTAGACATGCTTAGACATTATAATAAAAATAGCAATTTTAATAATAATGAATAAAATAACGGTTCTGAACACTTTCATACTTTAGTTCAAATGATTTAACAACAAACGAAATAACTCTCAAGTTTATAAATTATTTTCTTTTGCCAAATGATATAATTAATTCATTCATGAGCTGAAATAGCTAATTATAAGCACTTCACATTTAAGTTAAAGCTCTATATGATGCAATTGTTTGACGAAATGGGTTTTTATAGAGTGGTTCTATCGAGCGAGTGCTCTAAGAAACATGGCTTACTTTATTATTCCTTAGGTGGATATAATATCTATCTTCATCATTACTTCTACATTGGATTCAATTTAGTATACTTTTTCATATAGATAGATTTTTTATGATGTTCTGCGATATAATATATCATTATATATGATGGTGTAGGATATTAATTCCTCTCATTTTAGGTTCAAATTGATACATTTTCCCCTTTACCGTTCCCTTTTATTGGTTAATAATTTTATGATATTTTTCACTTTGAAATATCGTGAGCGGAATCTATACACAACAATTTGTGTTTTTTCGCTTCCTCTTCTCTTGGTTAGATATTGTATCCATATTGATTCCTATATTGATTCTCGAATTACTACTTTTTTGTTCTTTTTTCTGATGCAAGATATGATTTATGTTTGATAATATAGATTTATTTTTCAAGCATGTGGATGCTTGACTCTTTTCATTTGCCTCATAACTTACATTTTACAATGGCTCCAAACTTGGATGGGTTTTTATTCGACACATAAATTTTTAATGATGTAAAATTTATGAAACTAAGATGCATATTAATAAACAATGTAAGGTCCCATCTTCTCTCTTAAGCACTACATATCATTGTTTACTTACCATTAAATCAAAGTCTTTCTAATTTGAGTAAGAGCTACAATGACTTTTATTAACTTTCACTACTCATATTTCACGATGTTCAAATCATTATCAAGTGTTCATACAATGACTTTTATTGTTGTGGATTTCCCCCAAAATGTTAGGCATGTTGCTTTTAGTTTTTGCCTTCTTTTCGCTTTGATTTAGCTTTTTATGTGTTGCTCTATTAGTTGAACTTGCCAGCTGGAGATCGGCATGCTTTGTTTCATTATATCATTGAATACACTAAAGTTAATGGAACCATGACTGTGTGAGTTAGTTTGTTTCTTTTTAAGGACACTCTAAACATATACTTTGTTTCATTATATCATTGAATACACGAAAGTCCATGGAAAATGCGAAAAAATTTATGGTATACTGAAGATTGATTATGTACGTGTGATGTAAAACAACTCTTATCATTGTTCTTCTTAGACATTTTTATATAGATATGACTTTGTTTGAAAATATGTATTTATGTTAGTGTAGTTAGACGTTGTTTGTCATTTTTTAAACTTCATTAGTCAAATAAATTAAATACTTTCCTATATTATTCATGGAGAACTTACCAAATTAAATAGTTACTTCAATCCCCAACAACATGAACCATAAAAAAAATATACCTCAATGTTTACTACACATGAAAATCAAACTCTCCCGGCCAAGAAGCCGAGCCTAATCTAGTTAGCTTATTAGGCACTTCTGTTAGCCACGTCAGCAAAATATTGATGGCGTTAACGAAAGTTGACGGAAGGTAAGGGAGAGTGGCCAAACTTGGGTTGTTTGATTAATTCTAATGACTACGAATGGAATTAAATATTTGTAGTGACCAAATATGAACGTTTTTATTAATCTCAGTGACCGACATTGCAATTAACCCTTTACATAATTTTAACCTTTTTAGGTCACTTTGCCAAACATAATTATTTTAGGTACTGCATGAACATTTCTGCCACATTTTTTCACAGGATAATTCCATACTTCATGTGTCTCTTTGGTATTCCATAAGAGAACATACAACAAGAGTCTAAATATATGTAAACGGCTTAATTGCAAGTTTGGTCACTCGAATTGCTATAAAATTTCATGTTTGCCACTCGAATTGGTTTATTCCTTTATAGTCACTCGAATTAGTTGAACAGTCCAAGTTCGGTCACTCTTCGTTAACCTCCGTTAGACTCCGTTAATGACGACCGTTAAGTGATGACGTGGCCAACAGAAAATCACAGTCATAATATTTTAACACTAAAAAACGACGACCCGACCCGTCACGTCATATTTACCCACCCACTCAGCCATTCTTTTCCAACCTGCGAACCAACCCAATTAATTGACCCAAACCCAGACCCGAACCAACACAATGGCTGCTTCCCTCTCATCCTCGTTCACGCTTCCGCCACCGACAACCACCGCCGCAGACGTTTGATATAACCGCTTTCCGGTCGATTCCCCTTGCCCTAATTTGGTCCGCGGGTCAATTTCTGTTTCTTTTCTCGACGGCCGCGGTGATCGATTCAGTTTTCTTCTCAAGACACACGCTTTTCGTCGCGATTTCGCTCCTGGTCTGCTCCAATTGCTTCGACTCGGTAGATGGCTCGTGGCGACTCGACAAGTTTTCTCGGTCCTGGTTTCCTGTTCCACCCCACCGATGAGGAACTGCTCCGGTACTACCTGAAGCAAAGGTCACTAACAAGCCCGTCTGATTTGACCCGATTTCCGTCATTGACATCTACCGGACGGAGCCCTAGGATCTCCCTGGTATGTTTTCTTTCAACTTCTCATCGTCTTTGTTTTTCTTGATTGGGGTTGCTCTATGAGTTGGAGTAGGTCTCTACGAATTAGTATCTGCCAGGATGCGCGGCAGCCTCCATCCTCCTTCTTCGGCGATTTCGATGGCTGCTTCTGGAGAGACGCTGCGCTGGAGGATGAGAGAACGATGGAGGAAGGGAAAGTGCCCTACCCTCTCTGTTTTGATTTACATTTCAGGGGGGCGAGTTCCGTTTTTGGGTTTGGATCAATTAATTGGGTTGGTTCGCCGGTTGGGCAAGAAAAGCTGACATGGCGGGTAAATGTGACGTGGCGGGTCGGTTCGTCGTTTTTTAGTGTTAAATTATGTTGACTGTGATTTTCTGTTAGCCACATCATCACTTAACAGTCGTCATTAACGGAGTCTAACGGAGGTTAACGGAGAGTGACCGAACTTGGATTGTTCAACTAATTTGAGTGACTATAAATGGAATAAACCAATTCGAGTGGCAAACATAAAATTTTATGGCAATTCGAGTGACCAAACTTGCAATTAAGCCATATGTAAACAGAAGCCTACAGTAATGCCAGCAAAATTTGGCCAGCATGTTATATGCCAACTTGTGTCAAAAGAAGAAGCTCCAGTTGCCCTAATCCCTAACCAGCAGTAAAGGGATCCCCCCGCAATTCACTTGGACGAAAGCAAGATTCCATACACCATCTTCAACTAACTGAGCTTCATCCGGCAGTCAGAAATCAGAATACTAAGGTTTTAATCTAAGCTCACTAGCCACTGAAAGTTAGTCTTCGTTTTCAGATTCAAGAACTGGAAGAATGTTGAGGGCTGACGAACCAAGATGCATTCCTCGAACAACCCCTCCATAGCCAACCTTGATTCTGTGGCACAAAAGTATGATTGAATCCCACAAAGCTGTCCTCCCCTGCAACAAGAGGAAAGAGAAAAATAAACCGGTGTTAGAAACTCAGAATGCTGGACAAATTGTTAAGTGATGACTGATCATATGATGCAGCATTGAGTGTCCTTTACCGATTAATCACATACCTGGAGAGAGAGCTGCTGCTTCTTGTCCCAATACAAAGCAAATACTGGAGGGCTTTGCTTCCCGACGACAAGCACGCAAGCTCCAGGATGAAGAATGGAAGGAACAGCAGAAACAACAGAAATGTAGTTCTCAGGAAACCTTTCTTTGGCTGGTAGAACGCCCAAGAATAATGGGTTTTTGCTGGATTGGGCACCAGCAGAGGAAGTTGGATCCACATGGAGCATCCACTTTGGGTGTTCAAGGAAGGCGCAGAATAGATACAACAGCAAATGAGAATCAGTTGGAAGTTCAAGAGTCCACTTCTTGTTCTTTCTATCATAGGCCTCTCCTGTTGCAACATACTCATAATTCTTCACGCAGGTTCCTTCTGCAAGATCTATTGAAAATATGCACGAATGTCCCAAGTGTTAGTAGCAATACTAAAGATAAGAGTAACACCTTCATGGATTTCAATTAATGGTTGGGCATCAAGGACCACAACGAAAGAATATTCATGTGCACCTCGAATTCTTTGCACCATGTAATCTTCCCGGACATTACCATGTGGCAGCAAACCTTTACCCCACTCTCCTTTCATCAATGTATGGAGCTTTTGATGTACAGTAATGGCATCTAAACATTCCTGCATAATAGGTATCATAGGATTCTGCTGCGGAGACTGCTGTAGATTGAATTGGTTAAACTTAGCTGCATATACACAGCTAAGTTAGTTATATGTTTGGAAAATTATCAACACCCAAACATATGAAAAGGGTAAATCAAGAGTCAACATACGTGTAGAAGCATCAATAGCATGTAAAAGGCTAGCACGTAGTTGATGAAGAAGTCCATCTTCATCAAGTGTGAATGCTGGTTGCCATTCCTTCCTATCGATAGAAGAGAGAGTAGCAGGTGTTTCAACAGATACTGAATCATTTCCCACTTGACTAACTGTAACCGAAAACCCAAGTTTTGCAGCTGTTTGCATAACCTGGAATGGTAGATAGATGAATGAGAAGGATACCACAGAACTAGAAGCCAAGAATACAATAGAAAGAATTATGCATGCCAACTGTTTTCCTCTGAAGAGTTTCTCCAGGCAAGTCATTGGATGTTTACTCATTTGCTAAAATGCAACAAGTTACAAATTGTTTTAGAAGTTTCTTGAGTAAATATCAGTCATCAATAACATATTTCCTGCAGTTGAAAAAAGTAATGCACTTGTCACCTATCTAACATACTCTAGAAGCTGTTTGGCTATGCAACCACGCCTTCTCCCGATAAAACCTGAGGATTTTCTTTCACATATTGCTGTAATGTTATCTCAGGTTATATTCAGTTGTAACCTTATATGAGCTCTTAATTTTGTGAGCAACCAACACTCTATTAATACATATACAAAATCATTCATAAAAAAATAAAAAACAAATAAAAAAAACTCTAGAAGCACTGAACCAAAATGCAGCCTTACTAATTAGATGATTATGCTTAAATAATAATGATTTTAGGTAAAGTAGAATCACTGTTCTTATATTAATCTCTCAACTCCTGATTGTTAAGCCCTATCAAAGAAGGGCAACAAAAGCTACATCAGTAACCTTTCCATTACGGTAAGGAGATTCTCCAGAGAGATAGGAAATACAGTGCTTATCAAGAACTCTATTTTTCTTGTCCGGATGAATAAGCTCCCCCAACAACTTATTGGCAACAAACTATTAATAAAGTATGTTGTATCTATCTCTCCGTATCATCAAAAAACAATAACTTATCAAGAACTCCTGAAATAAGCCAAAGAGATAAAAGCACAAGTACTTATGATGATAATATATACCTGGATATGACTGGTCTCTATCTTGTTAACCAAAGGACTAAGTAGAACTGAAGAAAACCATTGTCTGAGGCGATCACGCCACTGCTCTACTTGGGGATAGATCCCTAAATGCTTGAAAGCTTCAAGAGCCTCTTCCATGGACATTGGCGAAGGAAGTTCCCCTTCTCCTTTCTTTGGAGGAGTGGTAAATTTCTGGGAACCAGGAGACATTCTCACCGGCCTCAAGGGTGTACTCCTAGTAGTTCCAGATGTATTAGCTGGACTCGAAATAGTACCAGGACTTAATATGCCAAAACCTCGTACTGTTGGGGGTGGAGTTGTGTGCTTCCCAGCTGATACATTAATTTTGGCATCAACATCTGCCAAGAACTTCTCAAGTTCCTCTTCTGTTGCTATTTCTTTGACAAAGGAGGCTCTCTTACTTGACCAAGGAGTTGAAACAGCTGATTCCATTGCAGGGGAAGCTTGTCCAGAAGGTAGCGGCGAACTGGCTCCTGGTACAAGATACAGAGACGATGGGGAAGTTTGTGATTTGGATGGCGCACTGAAAGAGGTCATCCTATTCCCGCTACCAACACTTGATTTATCAGAGGTGACTCGAGACTTGAGATTAGAAGCAGTAATTGGTAGGTGAATCGGAACAAGCATGTCTGATGCTGGTGTGTTTTTGGACTTGGGAGGTTTCTTTGAAGAATCTGCTGAAGTTGCTTCAAATTTTGGCCTTATACCCAAAAACCCTAGTTGACGGTTTGTCAATTTTGGCAGGTCCTTTGTTTCTTTTTGAGTTGGCACCTGAGCAACATTTCCAACCCAATGCCAGGAACTGACTTTAAGAAGGCCAAAAACACATCCAAGGAAGAGCAGCCCCACCACACCCTCGATTGCCTTGGCAAACACATCTGAGAAGTTGGATCAATATTTTAGCAGCAGGGAAAGTAAGTAAATGGAGCATAGTGATTTAAATTTAAGTCAGGACAATTTACTTCTTAAAAGAGGAAGAATGAACTTACAAGCTGCTCCTGAGGAGAGATGACCAATTTTCATCATTTCTATTAACCCATTTTCCCTGCATCAATTCGGAGCAAATTAAACAGTAAGACACTGGCATGAGAATCTAATGAAACAAACTTTAGTCAGTGGATGCTATTTCAAAGTGGACAACAAGAATGGAAGTAGAATCTGAGATATTCGTAGACAACATGTCAACTAAACCACGTTCTTCAGAGTGCACACCTCTCTGACCCCTAAATCAAACATTCATTTTCCTCGCCTTAGACAGACAAGAAACCTGCCCTCCATCCTTATCCCCTCATTAACAGCAATGCAAAGAAAGGAAAATATGAAAATCCCCTAGCTATGGTTACATAACAGTCAAAAGTAGCGGTAGAATGTACGAGACTAGAGCATCTCAAACAAGAAGTGCATTGCATTGTAACAAAGAAGTTCCAGATAAAATCTCCATTCTTTTCTTCTTCTTCTACTTTTTTTTTTTTTGTCCAAATCTTTCCAGCAACCAGCCCATACAACGAAAAGAGGTGGCAGATAACGCGAGCTGTTTTCCCTAAACCCCTCTAGAACCCTACCAAGCAAAAAATGCCATCAAACATAATTCCAAAGTAACAGCAGCAAATCATGTCATAAATCAAGCGACATTCTCGACGAGCAAAGAATTGCCATGTTTAACATCAACTCGGACTATGAAAACCCTACACAACAATGAAGACTAATCCACTGGAGGTACCTGGAGACGATGGAGAAAAGGGCGAGCGCGGAGGCAGAGGAGAAGAACACGATGTAGAGCAAAGAGGATTTGGAGGGTTGAAGGCTGGCAGCGGTTAGGGCAGCAGAAAGGGATGGGTTCTGGTAGACCGCGAACTTGGCCGATTTGGTCGTCGGCGGAGAGGCCCGGCCTTCCATTGTGTGGAAAATGCTTGGTTCACCAGAGCGCAGCGAAGCTGCCGCCGTTACTTGGATATACTTGGGCGACGCCGACGGACGGCGATGGATGAAGGGTGGGCGGACGTTGGAGTTTTGGAGCTCAATTTTTGAAATGCCTTGGGGGAATTCTCAGCTCATATTAAGATGCTCTAGAGCTGGGCATAAGTAAAGTAAGTGGTAAGTATTTTATTTAAGGCGAGAATTAACTCTTAAATTTTCATGATTTGCTCATTCTGATACATGAACATTATGTTTTGGGGTTAAGACACATGTGGTCACTGAGATTACTAAATCGGGACATGTTTAGCCACTAGAAGAAATTAATATCAATTTTAGTCACTCGAATTACTGAAACAGGTCACATTTAGTCACTCTCCGTTAGTCTCCGTCCAACTCTGTTAATGAAGTCCGTTAAGTGCTGATGTGACAAACAGAATTGCCTAATCAGCCAGATATAACCCAACAAAAATAAAACCCGACCTGTCACTTCATTATAACCCGCCACGTCATTAAAATCAACCCAACCCATGACCCAACCCAACGCTTCTTTCTCCTTCCTCCCACCTCCTCCTTTCCCCAAAACCACCACCACCGCCGTCGCTCTCCTCCTTCCTCCCACCTCCTCCCGCAAACCTGTTCGCGCTTTGATTCCTGATAGCTCCCGAGTACCCAAAATTTACCTCTTCCTGAAGGTAATCCCTCAAATCGACATTGTAGCTCAGCCGCCGAATCACCGAAACATTCCCCAAATACCCTGTCACCACAACGCTCAAATTTCAAAGAGTCGAATCGTAAGAAATCCAAGCATCGCTCTTATTCCCACCCATTATATCTCCTTCCCAAGGCAATGCAATCACGGATCGCATCAAATTCATGTCGATTCCGACGTGGCTCCCTGTCGCCGGATCGAATTCGTTGCTGAAAATGTCGAACTCACGGCGACGAATCGATTCGCCGTCGTGTTCAGCAGCTGTCCATCTCTCATTAACCCCATGGAGCTGGCATTGGTTAGGTCAGGGGGAAGTCTAGATCCGACTGGGGCGAGGAAGAAGGTGAGGTCGTCGGCGTAGCCGCCAGCGTCCTCAATTTGGGAGGAGATGCTGAAAGTGAAGTGGGTTTTGAAGTCGGTGAGGTTTCTGGAATTGGGGTCGTAGAGGGGTAAAGGGGAGCGGTAAGTGGCGCGGCCGAAGCTGATGTTGAGATCAGAGCCGAGAAGGTTGCGGGTGAGCTGGATTGAGTTCTCGGCGGCTAAGGCTTGCTCGTATGTGATGTTCTGGTTGCTGCTGGTGAAGGTTGTGAAGTTGAAGGATAAGGCGGTGGTGGGTGAGGGGATGGTGGTGGTGGAGATTAGGAGGAGGAGGAGAAGACCGAAAATCATGGTTGCGGCGGCTGTAAGAGGAGGGAGGGAGGCGAGGAAGAAAGAGCTAGCATTGGGATTTGAAAGAGAGGTGGAAAGAGGTGGGTCGGGTGGGTGCATGGGTTGGTTGGGCATATGACATGGCAGGTTTAGTGACGTGGCGGGTCGGGTTTGATCATTACCGAGTCAAAACGGTGCTAACTAGTCGCCTCTGTTTGCCACATCAGCACTTAACGGACTTCATTAACGGAGTTGGACGGAAACTAACGGAGAGTGACTAAATGTGACCTGTTTCAGTAATTCGAGTGACTAAAATTGATATTAATTTTTTCTAGTGACTAAACATGTCCCGATTTAGTAATCTCAGTGACCAAACGTGTCTTTAACCCTTATTTTTTGTTATACCAGTACATGAAGCAAAGCTATTCCGAATATAATTAGGAACAGTTCTACTTTCAATAGGGTTGGTGATTCTTTTTCCCCATAAATATATTTAAAAAAAAAGAAGGCACTACTAATGAAAAACAAGAAGAAAGAAAAATTCATTGTCTTGTGTTTATAGATTTCGAAGTATACAACAATTAAACTCCAAAATCAATTGATGTTAGCTCTAAATAAAGATATCGACGTGAACGTACATACTACTATATGAACAATCGAATTAGCGATACGAGTAATCACGCTAAACTCAACACCAGAGGAGACCAGCGGGAAACAAATGCTCAAGTTCTGATCACCTAGGACATAAGACCTAACACCCTTTCGGGATGGGTTAGTAAGTCTTATTATTAATTAGAATTAAGGTGTTGGTTGCTGAGAAAAAATGAAGCAACTCAAAAGCGGAAGAGAAGACTGTAATAAAAAAAAATACACTAATAAATGTATGTATACTTATTGAACCAAGTGAATCGTATTTCTTCGTCTCTATGAGAAACTAGAGTTCAAGTTACCAAATATTACATTCCATAATTTCACAACAATATTCGAACCCGGTTCTAATGAGTGGATAAGTTTTCAAAATCCTCTCTCATTATATTAGTTGATTTATACTCATTTACTTAGGGGTCTTTTGGAAGTTGTGAATGTTAAATCGTTGCATTGTAATGAATCACAATAATGTAAATACGAGGTCGTTTGGAAGTTGCGATTGTTTTGTTGATATTGTCATTATGCATGTATGTTTACAATGCATCGTTTTTTTTTTTGTTTTTATTAGCAGAAACAATACATGGATTGTTTCTATGATGTGACAGAAACTATCACTCATTTTGAGTGATTGTTATATCTCAACTTTTAGTTGTGATTGTTGAGATAGTTGAGTTGAGATTATTTTGTCTCAGCTTTTAGCTGATGCGACATACACAATTACACATACCAAACGTTGTATTCTACAATGCATCAAATTCGACAATACATGTATAATATTATACATTCATTCTCAACAATACATCTATTTAACAATCGCAACTTCCAAACGACCCCACGTAGGTACATAGATGCATTTCAATAATACATTGTTTGGTTGATGAGAATCTACATGATGTATTGACTTGCATAAAGTTAATTTATAGGAAGATGTCACATTTACCCTCAACTTTTAGTTGAGATTGTATAATACATAATTTTATGTTTGGTAGGACCTACCTAAAACAATACATGCATTGTTTTATACTTTGGTACTTCCAAACATTGTATTGTGCACAATTCATGTATTCAATAAACACAAGTCTAACAATCACAACTACCAAACCACCCCTTAGTAACATTGCACAATCATTCTTCTAAACACATATCCCTTGCACCTAGGGCTGGCTATTTGGTCCCAGACTGTTTGATTTTACCCAAAATCGGACCGTATAACCTGGACCGGGACCGGACTGGGACCGGATAGCAAACAATCCAATCTCATATTCGGGCTTAGATTTGAGGTAAAAAATCGGATAAAGACCGGATAAGAGATCGCCAACACCTAAAATCAAGATCAAATTGGGACCGGACCGGGTCAAGACCGGACCGAATCAAGACCGGACTGTATCCAATCCAATCTTTGATCCTTATATTCCCGAAAAGATCGGACTGAGACCGGATCAATTTAGTCCAATTTAACCGGACCGGACCGTATAGGCACCACTACTTGCACCACACATACCAAATTATACGAGTACCAAAACCGATTGGACAAGTACTCCATGACCAATTGGCAATTGGTTTAGTTTCCATGATGAAAGGTAGAGTTTTAGAATTAGTTTCAAATTAGGAAGAGTTTCAATGCTTTAGAACAATTATCAATCATTGGGCTAGGAAGAGAAAAATGAGTGTTTTGATGATTGGGCCGTTGGGCCATACACTTTTTGAAAATGGGAAGTACTGAATTGGATTTATAAATAAGAGACTGGAGTGGCCCAGGTCCAGGAACGTTCGTGGCACCTTTTGTTGTTTGAGGTAGGTAGGTGGCTCCTCGTTGGTTGATGATTAGCAAAAAGTGAGTATGAAAAGAAAGTTGTTTCTATCCAATTATAGTTCTAGAGTGTTTTCATATACAATTGAGTGACTTATATTATATGCCTTATTTCATTAAGCAAGAAAGATCGATCTGGCCACCGAATATCGCATGCACGTTTGAAGTTCAAAAGTAATGTTGCCATTCTACAAAATAGATGTTTTTTTTTACAACGATATGACAAAATAGATGTTGACATAGCTATAAATTTGATCGAATTTATTCTGTAATGGAATTGGCATTCTATAAATACTCGCTTCTAAAATCACCATAATGGAACTGATAGATCTGGAACCATTGGATACAGGTTGGACCGCTGGGGTTGGGTACTTCAATATCCAGGCTCGAATATTTTGGTTTGGATGTGGGTCGGGCAGGTCAATGCACACGGGGTGTACGATTGGTCATCAGTTCAAAGGGAAAAACACTCAAGTTTGTAAAAAAAATTTCATTTAAAGATTCGATGGATAAATGTTATTATATAAAACACAGAGACTATGACATGATAAATGACGTTTAAATTATTAGAAAATAGAGATTCTTACCTGATTGCGGGCGGTGTTAGAGCCAAAATGTGATGAAATAGAAGTAAAATGATAAATAGTTTTAATGAAATTATACAAAACTCAAACAAAAATGATCGAAATTGTAGCAGGTCAAAACGAGTCTGAGCAATAAGAAACCTCATCTGTAATCCGCGCCAAAACAAATCGAGAACGATCTAATGTATTGAGGGGTCGTTTGCTTCAACGATTGTTATCATGGATTTGACACTAAAAACCTAACCATTAGGAATTTAACCACAATCCCTTGTTTGCCTGTCATAAAATTTTTAGACAAATCTGTGGGCCCCACGGATTTGGGTTATTTTTTTTGTTCCAAATCCGTGGGGCCCACGGCTTTATAAATCCCACATGATTATTAGGGAATTGGTGATGTGCAGAAAAACCAAGATGCCAATTGACACTCCTATCCTCATTATTTTTCATTAACCCAAAATTGCCCTCTCTAACACTCACATATCTGTCGTTTCCACTCTCCCTCTGCCCATTGAACGCCAAACAGAGAAGTTGCTGTGAAGAGGAGTTCTCCACGGGGATTTCTGGAACAGCGGAAGAGGAGTAGCGCGCACGATCAGGCTACGTTCAGGCCGGCGATCAGGCTACGTTCTTCGGCCGGCGATCAGGGTTGCGTTCAGGCGGCATCTCCGGCAGCGAACCTGAAACCCAGGTGAGCACTCCCTTCCTTGCAATTCCCCTCTTGTTCGATGAACCATTACCCTTTCTGCTATTCCCAACCATTACCCTTTCTGCTCCCAACCATTACCCTTTCTGCTATGCTCCCGTGTTCCAACCTTCAAAATAAAAAGAGAAGACTACCACCAGCCCTGCTTCCGCATCGTCAGGCAGCATCATATGCTGTGTTTGTTTGCATAAAATGTTGTGGTGTTCAGTAATGGAGAAAGTTTACTGCTTTGTTTGACTCACCAATCGACCTGGATTCCCAAAGGGCCACAGAGATCATGGATGACTTAATTACCGAAGGTATTGAGCTGCAACATCCTGCCTTTTCACCTCCATTTGAACCAGTAGGAGCTCCAGCCACCAAGATTCAGCCTTGTAGACCAAAGAAAGCAGCTGGCAGCAACATCTCTGTTAAGAAGAAGGAAAAAAAATTGAAATTAACACTGATGAAGCTATAGTTAATGTGTCATCCCAACTTGGTGAGCTGAAAACATTAATCTTCAAGGCTGTAGAAGCTCTTGGCTCGATCACAGGTGAACGTGATCGTGATGGTGACCACAGCAAGCAAGCTGCTTTGATGAAGGAGATAGGAAAAATTGAAGGACTCACTCGTGACCAAGTCATTGATGCTGCTATGGCTTTAGTGGACAACGAGGCAAAGACTGGACTTTTCTATGCCCTGGAGAACGAGGAAGACCGTTGCTATTTCATCAAGAACTTGCTACGTTGATAATGGTGGTGTAGGTGGTAGTCTATTTTGCAGAACACCGTTGGGATGAATGTCAAACTTCCTTTTTTGTGCAAGGTTAGAGAAGGAACTGTAGTTAGCCATTGCAAGTGCTTGGTGGTGGAAATATCACCATTTTGCAGAAGTTTCCTTTCATCCCAAAATGTTAGAGTTGTGTTAAACTTATGGTTGCTGGTTTTAAACAGTTGTGATGGCTACCTTGTTCATTTCATAACTGATGTAAAACTTTCTGCAGATATGTTCATGTCATTATCAGTGTGTTTTAATGGGATCTGGTCCTGCCATGATCCAAGAAAAAGTGAATATGAAATTACGGTCCTTTTGTTTGGTTATCTGATTCAATGTGCGGTAAAGAGAGCCATAAAAGTGCAACAGATGCTCTGCGTGGCTTGCAGCAGTAAAGAGAGCCATAAACAGTTCTGATGGACATGTTTTGCGTGGCTTGCAGCAGTAAAGAGAGCCATAAAAGTGCAGCAGATGCTCTCGGCTTGGTTCGTACCAATTCATCCTCTCCTTAAGATACTCCCTTCCATACACTCTATCCTTAAATGTTTTTTTTCCCTGTGTGTTTTGTGTTTGACTTGGGTTGTTCATTGTTCATGCATTGCTGTAGACGCTCTCATCTGAAGTATCTGAAATTGGGCGGCTTCAGGAAGACAGCAGCAGAAGTCCGGTAGAATGCTCACAACCTATTGTGATGTTTTTATGAGGTAGAATTTGGAAGTACTGATGATCAAAAAAAGGGCAATAAGGTAAATGCAATTCTTTATTTCTAAATCCCAAATTATTAAATCCATGATCAAAATGAAGAAACAAACAAAGGATTTTTCCAAATCCAAAATGCCCCAAATTCCAAATAAAACCTTAAGTTTTTAAATCCCACGTTTAAGTGAAAACCCTTATTTTACAATCCTTGAAGCAAACGACCTCTGAGTCGAATCAAAATTATCATCCCTAAGCAATTGGATTAAGGATAAGATATATTGGCGTCAATGGCGTGTAGCCGTGTACTAGCCCCACACCTTTTATTTTTCCTTAACAAAATGGAATGACTGCGCTGATCCCCTTTCTGCCGGGCGCCGGCCCCCACTCTCCTCCGTCTCACATACGGAAACCATATATCCAACTCTTCCTTCCTTCCTTACACGTTCGCTCCTCGTCAGTCATCAATCATCATCATCCTCCCAACTCTTCTTTCTTCTTCTTCTCTCTCGGGTTTAGTCTTCAAAAGGGGAGATCCCTCGATTATAATAAAAAAAGAAGACCTCTTGATGATTATTCTATAGAATTCAGACTACCCATTTACCCAATAGTGTTCCTTTCATTCTCAGCTCAACTATTCCATAGTTATCTTACTTGTGCTTTCGATCGCCTCACCTTCTCCAAACGGCGGCGGCCATGATGATGCGGACCCTGTTTGCGGCGAGGAGGTCTCTCTCTGCTTCTTCTTCTCTTCTACAGCGAGCTTCCTTCTCCTCGTCGCTTCTCTTCGACGAGACCCAGTTGCAGGTAGAAGCTATCCGTTTCTCGCTTCCCGAGTCAGTAGAAGCTAGTTTATTTTTTTACTGATTTGGAAATGAATTGAGAAAGTTACGCTGTATCCACGTCTTTATGACTGTTTTATCGACTGTTTAATCTTACTGTGAGAAGATGCTCTGATCGATGAGTGTGTTGTTGCTGCTTGCTTGCTTGTTCTAATTGGGTTCTTTCGTTACTGGTGGCAACATTGATTGGGCAGTTCAAAGAAAGTGTTAATCAGTTTGCACAGGAGAACATTGCTCCTCATGCATCTAAGATAGACCACACCAACTATTTCCCAAAGGTGGGTAACACTGTTCAATCATTGGGTTTTAAAGAAGGAAGTGATCAAGCAGAAGTTTTCCCGTCTCCATGTAAATTGACCATGTTGTGAATTGATGTTGCAGGATGTTAACTTGTGGAAACTAATGGGAGACTTTAATCTGCTTGGAATTACTGCACCAGGTTTGATTACTATTGCTGTGCGAATCATAATAAGAATGATTACCCTCATTGACCCTCTCAGATTTTCCATCCCGCTCGGGTTTTCGATTAGGCAATGTTGTTTCAACTGTCCACTGTTGTGTTGTTCTCCTTGGTTGAAGAATTGAATTGAAGGGTTGTGCTTTGATAGTTCTTTTGGCAATGAATTCAACTGCTCCCATGTTATTGTGGTTCAAATGTACTTGTGAGGAGGAACTAAAACTCCTATTACCAAGAACAAAATAAAGTCCGGCTCTCTCTCTTTACATAACGGTGTAGAGGTTGATCTATTTGAACATATATCTGGTAATGATATCCACACTCAGGAACGTTCTTGAGATCAGTTTTAGTTACTCGGCTACCTGAATAAACGTCTGTCTGCTACACCACACTGTGGGGGTGAGGGGATTAGCCGCATTCAACACAAACAATTCGTAGGTGACAAGCATTGCGATAAGAAGTAGGGTTCCCGGAAATTAGTGAAGGAATTCTCCTTTTTCGAATGGCTTTACTCTTTGATAATTGTGGTCCTGAATTCTATTATTGCATTCTTATGTATATCGCTATATGCATATATCCAGTGTTCTACAGACATTTTCCTGAGCCATTGCATTTGACTGCTAGAACCTTAATGACTTTTCTTGTTGTTGTTTTCGGACTTCTTCCAAAGCATATTGGATGCTGACTGATCTGTCCAGTCTGACATGTCTTATTATTTGGTGTTAGTAGCCTAAGATATTTCTTTTTATGCAGAGGAATATGGAGGCCTTGGGCTAGGCTACCTGTACCACTGCATTGCAATGGAAGAACTTAGCCGAGCTTCAGGATCTGTTGGTCTTTCCTATGGTGCCCACTCCAACTTGTGCCTTAATCAGTTGGTATAGAAGAGAGCTCATAAGCGATATTGAGATAATGCTTTCACTCCTCTCCCTGTTCTTGAATGATCAGTTTCTTGTTTTAGGTGCGAAACGGAAATCCTGATCAGAAAGAGAAGTACTTGCCAAAGGTTGTATATCTATCTCTTTTAAGTTATTTGCTTTATTAAACAGTTCCTGAATTAATCTCTTGATGCATGACATATCTAGCAGCTTTGGTGCTTTTTGTTTGGACTCTATGCTGTTCCTTTCATTAGCATAAATTTTCATGATGCTGAACATGAACAAATAAATAAGCCATTTTGCTTTGTCATCTTGTTTAATACTTTAAGTCAATGTACAAAATATCCCTGATATTTTTTTGTCCCCAAAATATCAAATTCCCATTTCTGGCATCTTATCACACAACAACTAGCACCACTTTATTCTTTCCTAGTTTATGAATGACTGAATTATCTCGTGTTATGAAGCTAATCAGTGGGGAGCACATAGGAGCACTTGCAATGAGTGAACCCAATGGTAGGCTTATACATACTGTAAACAATTGTGTTCTAATGTATTTATGCTCATAAGTGGATCTCCTGGATCAACTAATTCTAGTATTTCTCTATTATCCTCAGCTGGCTCTGATGTTGTTAGCATGAAATGCAAAGCTGAGCGCGTTGATGGTGGCTATGTCTTAAATGGAAATAAAATGTGGTGCACAAATGGTCCAGTCGCTCAAACATTGGTGATTATTCTACATCGTTTACTTCGTCAATTTTCCAACAATTAGTCTTTTGATTTGTTTGCTGGTGCGTATGACTGTTGGTTATTTTTGGATAATCTATTTTTCGCTGTTAAGTTTTGGTTTGGTAAGTAACTATTATGGAGATTCAGAATGCCATTATCTATTGCAGTAGCTACTTCCTAATGTGGTATATTGAACTTGTTTGGTGGTGCAAGTGCACTGTAGACCGGCTATTACAAATCAATCTATTACGTACAGAACTGCTTCATTTACTATGACCATAGCCACATGTAGGTACGGGGGATGAAAGTTGTCTAAAATGGGGTTGTTCAATTAGATTGGTGATTTTGATTTATGTCTATATGCAAGCAAATCTTCAATTCCTCATAGTGAGGAAAATTTTCAACAGATTGTATATGCGAAGACAGATATTACAGCTGGCTCAAAAGGAATCACAGCCTTCATCATTGAGAAGGGAATGCCTGGGTACTTAACTAACTACTACATCTTTCCATGTGAATTTAAGCCTTTTGCTTCTGGGGAAGTGGATTTTGGATCGTTTTCCTTACTGGCAATTGACAGAAATCTTTTCCTGTTGCATGCAGATTCAGTACAGCCCAGAAATTGGATAAACTTGGTATGCGGGGGAGTGATACGTAGGTCAACAATTTTCTTGGTGAAATTTGTTAAATATGCCGTCGATTGACCTTACCCTCACCCTGATAATATGGAATGATGATCTGATCAGGTGTGAGCTTGTCTTTGAGAACTGTTTTGTCCCTCAAGAAAATGTGCTTGGCCAAGAAGGAAAAGGTTTGTCTCACTACGACCTTAAGTTTGTGATTGAGAAAACCCTCATTTGAAACATTTACCTTCTGGTCGTAGTATAATTTATTATTACCTCCCAAACTTTCAGCACCGAGAAGTAGTTGTTGATTTATATTAAGAATTAAATCAATAGCAAGATGGAGCCTAGAAGTTGTAAAAATCACAGTATCCAGACCCATTTGTTGCTGAGATCACAACACTGGAGAACTGCAGATTGCCGTTTTCTGTTGACTTGCATAAAAACACAAATGGGCACTGCTCTTCTACTTCTTTTTCACTACTCTTACTAGAAGTTCATTGTTTGTTTGCCTTTCCTCTTTTCAGGGGTTTATGTCATGATGTCAGGGCTGGATTTGGAAAGACTAGTCTTGGCTGGCGGGCCTCTTGGTATAATGCAGGCATGCCTTGACGAGGTTCTTCCTTATGTCCGACAAAGGGAGCAATTTGGCCGTCCAATCGGTGAATTTCAGTTTATACAGGTCCGCAGTTTTTTCATCTCACCAGAATACTAGTGCTGGTACTTCTGTTGCCTCACTTTCTTATTTGATCTGCAATGGCAGGGCAAAGTTGCTGACATGTATACTTCGTTACAATCGTCAAGGTACCCAATCACAATCGAACAATGTGCTCATATCAAGTTTTCTTATTTAATCTGGCAAGCATCTAACTAATGTGAATTGTTCCAGGGCTTATGTATACTCTGTCGCAAGGGACTGCGATAATGGAAAAGTTGACCCCAAGGTAAACGACTCCTATTTCCATTGCTGAAATAACAGATATTACATCATTTGCTATAGCTGATGTTGGCAATATACCAATGTCCCCAGGACTGCGCCGGAGTCATACTAACCTCTGCCGAAAGAGCTACCCAGGTTGCTCTACAGGTGAATACTCGGTCAAAAATCATTTTCTTACATGTAAAGCAACTCAATGGCTTCTCCCTCTGTAAAGCAAGAACCTCAAACTGATCATACCCCATGCTGCCTGTTTTGGGCTTTATGCCCACCCATCACAGGCAATACAATGTTTGGGTGGTAATGGATACATAAACGAGTACCCGACTGGCCGTCTTCTTCGTGATGCCAAACTGTACGAGATCGGTGCTGGAACTAGCGAGATTAGAAGAATGATTATTGGCCGTGAACTATTCAAGCAGTGAGTGACTCAGTCAGCCGCCCATGACAGCAACACCCAGCTGAAGCCAACCCTCATCAGGACAAAGGGTAGCTCTCAACGTCAATCTTCTCGTAATAAACAGTCCCAAGAACTTTGAACTCTTTGTAGATTCCACCACTACAGCTTGGGATGAAAATGATGTATTGGACCATACCAACATTCTGTCTCCTCGTTGTTAAAACAATTCCAGAAATGGTCGTTTTCTATCCCTGTCAAATTCATACTTAACCGACAGCAACTGCTTTCCACTAATACCTTAGGAAACTCCGGCAGAAGGGAATCTAGCAAGTTGCTTAGGAAATGGCTCATACGGCTGAAGAGAATTAGCATCAATGCCGACATGACAAAGTCTACTGTTTGGTCACGTACCAAAAATCCATATAAAGTGACCCGTCCCATATTACAGCATTAAAATTAGGTTTAATCCTGCGACTGCGAGTGCAACATTTATTCAAACAACCTAGACAACCTCTCTAAGGTGTCAATGTCATCGTAGATTCTAAAAAAAGATACAAACAACCAGAGCTCAAGATAGCCTAGTGCATGTTTTTGACTTCTCAAGCTTTTGCTACAGTGGAAGAAGAATCCGGCTGGCCAACAGACGATGACTTGGATGCCTCCATTACTGCTGGTCCTTGATCCAAACAGCTCCGGTTATCGTCGCCCATCATTCCTAGTGTCATCTTCTCCACCTCTTCTTTAGTGTGGATGTGAATCTTCGTCACCACAGTACAGAACTCGCTGAAAACACACCATTTCATGCAAAAGATGAAGGAAAGATGAGCTTCTTATGTGGTAGTGATGTCCAAGCCTTTTGAGTAAGTTTAGTGTCACTTACTGCCAGGGATCGTCGCCAACTACCATCACATCATCCTCACTGTCGGTGTACAAAATCCTCCACCCTTTCATGGGATCACGTAGCAGACCCTCCATACTAAACAGACGCTCCAGCTCAATCAACAGGTCGTCGTAGCTCTTCAGCCTCGATAGATCAATAGCGCGACCAACCAAGCTGCCTTGCTTGTGCACCTTTCCAAGGCAGGGTTTCAAAAACTCAAACGACAGTCAAGCAAAACTAAAACCAGTGGTGTTTGAGCATGATCTTATAGTTTCTATAATAACTATGTAAGCTTACCTTAGTACAGCTCCTCTTACCAGAGTTTTGTGAGCTTGTTGCTGCTGACACTTCAGCTGCGGTCAACGTGAAACCGAATAGCTTGCATCCAGTGGCATTCCCAGCAAAAGATGCCTCATTGTTTGGGTTCGCTTTCGGGTTATGCTGCTCGCTTGGTGGTTGCAGTTTTATCTTCCCAACTTCTTCATCCCCAACATTTACGACGTCGACTTGTATGGGAGATGCATTGAAGTGGAAGTTTCTTGTCACGTAAGGATGAGCTCCAGGATCTTGAACAGTTTTGCAGACATCTCCATAAGGGAAATACAAACTTCTATTCAGACTGTCAGTAGTTGCCAGAGTGAAGAAGTTGTTATTGTTGGCTCTAGGTGGTGTTGGATATATGTTGGGGTTTCTCCAAGCACCAAAATCAAGATCACCTCCTTTGGCTGTGAGGGATCTCAATTGGCATATTTCTTGACCTTGCAAGACCTTTGAGAATCTATCAGATTCCGTAAAGCCTGAGTAAATAGCAGCAGGGTGAGGGTGGTGTGGTCTTGTAACAACCTCACCAATGTTCATCATTGCCTTTGGCGTTCCTGCTAAAATGGGATTTTGAAGTCGTCTAGCGACCTCAAAGTCCGGTGGTGGACGGTGGTTCGTTGTCTCACGTCCAAACAGAGGTGATGAGACAACAAAACCAACATTTTCTTGACCTTGCAAGACCTTAGAGGGTCTTATGATTGACTCCTCAAAGTCGAGGCACCCGCTCCCTCCTGCATAAATGTGCATGCAAGATTGAAGATTTCATTTGAACTGTAATTAGCTTGTAAGAAAACAAAATGTAATTTACTGCTTTTGGATTCCAACCATTACCGGGTCCAGGGTTATCGGGTGGGATTGGATGCAGACCGGTTCGTAGTTTCTTCAGCCTTGAAGAAGGTTGAATGGTTAACGGTGGAAGGGACACGGAAGGATCAATTTCCCAGGGTGAAACACGATCTTGATGGTTGGGAACCACATTTTCATCCCACCTGACCTGATAGATTGCAGTCATTATGCCCCAACATTAAACAGTCAGGTTTCATTTATGAAGTTCTGATTTCACTGCAGCTCAGAATAGACTCTCAGTTTGCTGAACATTTAGAAACAATGAAAGCCAGATTGTTGGGTATATTTGGGGGAGTGATAGCTGTAATAGCATGCTATTGAACGTAAACATATCATTTTTCATTGCACTTGTGATGTAGTTGCATGCATTTGACATCTCACATGCAATGCATCACAATGAGACAATCTCAAATGGGTACAAGTTGTAAGTAGCTGAAAATGCACTCTAAAGAAGTAGGTCACATTTGCCTGTTCACATGATAGCATAGACTAGTCCATGTAATTGCAAACACGCATCACATGATAGCATGCAACCGAACACACCCTTAAGGAAAAAAGAAACTGAAAAAGTGAGTGAACAAAATTAAAGTGGTTGCCATCAAGAGATGTGGTAAAAAGAATACTCAGCTACAACGTGGCATCAAAAGCAAAAGTATGATGCATACCATGAAGCACTTCCATTCCGAATTGGGCCATCTGTAAGGATCGAAATCACTGACTCCTGTTACCACTCCACTACACCTGCAAAACCACAAAAGAAGTCGCAATTTTAATTCTCAACAGTAAATCACAATAGAAAATTTGAGTTGCAGTGTCCAACAGAAGGAAACCTTCTTTCTGGAGAATCATCCATTTCAAATCTCATTCTGAATCTTGTTCCTGGACAAACTGGGTTTGTTATGCTTTTCATATACTTCTGGTAAGGCACAACAAACTCAGAATGACTGGCCCTGCATCCACCAAGCAATTTTGAAACAATTGTGTGTTACTTTCTCATAAGCATAAACCACAACAGCCAAAGAAAAATTCAAGTAACTTGACGGTCATGGCTGGATCCACGGGCTAACTTCCCAATGCAATGACATCATACAGAATTAATATCAGTTCTATAAACTTCATGAACTAATATCCAGTTGACTGCATATGCTTTTGGACCAACCATCAGAAACTGACCATATTTACAGGTTAGCACGCATAGGAGACCCACCTCGTATTTCAGCCTAAAAGATTCATGTGGTAAGCATAATCATTTTACCAACAAGAGTATGTTTCATATGAACAAGTTTAGCCATGGAAATCAGAAATTCGGTGGCCATAGCAATAGATGGAACCTTCACCTTGGACTGTAAATAACATTGAATATGCTCTTGGTGGATGTTGCATTAGCCACTAAGGAAAGAACATTAGGGTAAGAATTCTGCTTCTTGAAGACTGCATCAGGAATGCCATTTCTAGGTCGAATAGCCCTTCGGATGCCAAGCCTCAACTCACCATCCTCACCCCTGTGAAGACCAACGGCAGAAGGTTATGAAACAATTGCCAAAATCAGTTTTTCCCCACCTCCTCTTTAGTTCAGTATCTCCATAATTAGTTACTCATTATTCACAAGCCGGTGCAACATAACAAATATCAAGGCTCGATTGGACCATCAAGAATACCAATTGGAAAATAAAAAGGAACATATTCCAGAAACAGAACTATCCCCTTTGAAGCCTACCTCAGAAATAGGACAGCGTCCCCAGAAACAAGGTTCTTTTGACTCACAAAAATGCTCCATCCAGTAGTGAGCAGATGCCTTCTTGGTTGACCTGAAAGGAATTACAATTCCCATACAAAGCATCATATGATATCAGCAACCCAACCAAGCTGCACCAGAAAGGATATAAATAGTCTATATATATACCTCTATAAATATGTCGAAATCTCCACTCCACTCCATGAAGATCCTTGGCCACGAGCTCTTGTGAAGGTCTTTGCTGGTTGTAATCCTACAGAAACAACATAATCATTCTCGTGTTCCCTTCCAAAGAAACTAAAGAACAAACAAGTATCAACGAAAAATCCATACCAAAGGAGGAAAACAGTCCTCAGCAGCTCTACGAGGAACAGAAAAACCTCCATGCGTGCTAGTATCAGAAGCTGTGAGTGTCTTACAAAACATATGAGGAGTTGATCTTGGAGGGGAATCTCCACCACCATCACCATCCACTCCTAACCCTTCAAGTTCTTTACTTTCTAACTTTCCACCCACCATCTGCACAAAAAGAAACACTAAGCATCTTCAAATCTACTACATGGGGACAAAATCCTTAGCGAACACTACATGACTTCATACATGGTTGGGAGGTGGGGGGAAATTATCCATAACAGAAGGAGCTATGGCAGCAGGCAGTGAGTGAAGGTGATATGATACCTCTGGCAAAGGAAGCAAGCTAAGCTGAGTGTAGACCTCATCATTCTCCTTATTGGCCTGATTCCAGAAAAGGAAAGGAAGGGGGCGGAAAGTAGTCCAGAATCATTAAACACCAAACAAGCATGAAAATTGTACAGAGCAAAACGGAAAGACTTTTATCTAGCCCAAGAAAATCAGCAGAAAAGTAAATGAATTTTCATACAAGTAGGTGAACATTCACAACTTTGCAGAAGATTTGGGGATGAAGACCAAAGGTGGAGCGCATTTCCACATGGGAGTAAAGAGGGGAAGAAGCAAGCTGCTCCAAATGACCCTGAGGGAAGTACACAACCACATTCCCTTTCTTTGGGAGACAAGTGAGAGGGCCAGCGCAGGCGTGCCACAGTTCCAGGTAAATGGTAGATGCCATTGGGGAGTCAGATGAATTTTTGGAGGAACATGACGAAGATGAAGAATTCCCATTGTTGATACTGTTGGTCTTCTTCTTGTTCTTGTCAGCAGCAGCAGTAGTATGGAACGCATACTTCTCCACCTCAGTCACTGCATGGTTCAGATCAATTTCCATGGAACACCCTCCTGTGCCAGTGTTCTAAAAGAACAGAGAAATTCTCCAAGAGCAAAAAAAAAGGACTTTACTGTTTATTGGAAAGAGGGTTAAAAAAAAGTTCAGAACTTGTACTGTATCAACCGCATAGCAACCATCCTAACAGAAGGGAATTAGAGAAGGGAAAAGATGGTATCAATCCCAGCAATGAAGAAAGAAAGGGGGGAAAGGGAAAGAGAGAATTGTGGGAAATGAGGGTCAAATCATGGGGGGGAAGCAATTGAGGGAGGGAATGGGAAAAGGCTAAAACAGTGGTGTTGGAGAAGAAGATGAAAAGAAAGGAACAAGAAAGGGAAGGGTCATCCTTTATTTTTCATTACTGTTTTCTATTTTTTACCTCTTGTTTTTGTGGGAGAAATGGCGTGCCTGCAGGCGGAGGCAGAGACAAACAAAGCTTGATTCTGAGAAGGAGAGAAGAGAGGAAAATGGGAGAGATGGTGAAAGGAGAAACTGAAAGGGAAGACTCTAAATGATAACAAGGAATTCAAAGTAGGACTCTTCCTCCTTCTCCACCATTTTTACTGATAAAAGCAGAAGCAGTAGTAGTAGAATCAGAGCCAGCAACAGGAGAAATAGACAATTGCTTAGGAAACACAGTCATGAGAGGAGCTAAAGCCAAACCCCAGGCCAGAACCAGGCAAAAACCCCACCACCACCACCACATTCAGGATCTTTTCCCATTTTTTTCTTTGGGCAATTTAGATAAATAAATGAGGAAAAAGGCAAATGTGTGACAGTGGGAGGAACTAAGGACGGATGGATGCTCTTCCTATTGCTATGAGAGAGAAAGGGTTTTAGAGAGAGAGAGGGTTTGGTGTTGGGTGGAGGGGACAAGGCAAGACAGTACATAACCCACACTCTTCCCCACTCCTTCCTTTTCTGTGCTTTGCCTTTATCCCTCTTCAGTCTTCTCCCTTTCCCTCTGTTTTTCCACCTTTTCTTTTTCTGCTTCCCCCTTCCTCATTACTACTTGACTGAGTCGCTTTTGTTTTCTTATTATATCTTCAAATTCATGCACTGATTAATGGTGACCGGCTTATTATATAGTTATATATGGTTCTGTCGGAAGAAAAAATCTAGGCTAAAGGGTTCATAAGTTTCTGAAACAGGTAAAAATTGTAGCTGATAAGTTCCCTTCAGTGGAAGAATAAGCTACTAGGTTGTTGGGATGATATGTTTTTTTTTTGGTAGAAGATGATATGTTTTTCGTCACTTAGTTTTAGTGACGAAAATAGAAAGTTCGAAAACTCATTATTTGTATGGCATTTTTAGAGGAAAATTAAAGATGCATATAGGAGTTTCGGATGCATAATATCGAAGTTTTGACATCAGATAGACCTAATATCGGCCGGAGGAGGGGGGTCAAAGTTCAACATGACCTGTCGTTATTTGTTCTCTTGAATAGCTGATCGAAAACTACATATAGAAATGAAGACACACAATTTTTACGTGGCTTCTCTAAGATCATAACCAATCAGCATGAGAGCTAGAGTTCTCCAATCTAGACATTTTGTGGGGCTACCGGTTCCATCATCCAGATATATACAGAAACCAAGATTATATTCTCGTACAAGCATCCACTGGTTAGGAAGACTCGTAATTAACCAAACAACAAAACGAAAATAACAACGGACGGACTATAAATGAGATAACGAACAACACAACCGGACCTAACGATTCACCAATACTCTGAGTCTCGACAACTCTAATTCTAAGTAGTGATTTCCCAGGTTGTTGCTTGTACAACTTCTTGTTCTTAGCCTCTTATGCTTCCAAAATATCCACACACAAAAAATTCCACACTGTATTTCAGAAATCATAGTTTTCATAAACTGCGACATGTGGCGAACCAACCAAATTGATGGTACATTGACATAAGCCTAAAAATTTCCTTAAAAATTCCAGCTGCCGAAGAACTGGAAAAGGGTCTGAAAAGGAGCTAAACCTTTAATATTAATAAATAAACAAACACACCCAATTTTTAATATTAATAAAAGAAACCATCTTTGTGTTCCTGTTCTGACCACCAGCAGAAGAAAAAAATGGTGGGTGCTCCTACTCTCTCTCTCTCTCCCTCTCTCCCTTCTTATTTTCTTTTTCTATTTAATTAATTTTGGAAGAGCCATTAAAATGCAACAGATCAGGAGAAGAGTTTATTGTTTCCTTCACTGTAAATAAAATAATTCTGGTCGCTTATTATTGTTTTTTGATTTTGTTGGTACAATCTGCATAGTGATCACTGAATTTTGCCGGATCTTGATAATAAAATACAATCACAAAGGGACACAAAAAGAAAGGAAAAATAAAGGATGGGATAGGAATTGGATTCAATTTTCTCATTTTTATAAATATAAAAGTTTGCCTCTTTTTGCTTCTTTCTTTGCTTTGCTACAACCTCTCTGTTTCCTCCTCAGCAGTCCTGTTTTCCCACATCATAGACTTTATCCACCCTCATACTGATTGCTCCTATGTTTTGTTCCCTGCAATTTTTTATTTGTGAAGATTGTGATGAATTTTTAAAATTGTTTGGAGTTAATCAGATGAAGTAGCCAATATTCTACATAATGTGGATTCAATTGTAGGATCATTGATGTCTGCTGGCAATGAGCTCAATGCCCGACTGGTGGAGGTCGAATATGGTAGGTACTAGGTACACAACAAAATCGCGAGGAATTAGTATGATATCGAGGAGGGCTTCATACAAGATTCTTGTAACCGGTAAAAGTAATCCAATTGGCTCAAAAAGTGAAAACTAAAAAGCTAAAAGGAACCATTGACATGTATTGGAAAGATGATCCGCCAATGCATTCGATCAATTAACCTAATAATTTAAGAGATGATTGTGAAGCGCGTATTAGTGTGGCTAACACTATGAATAAGTTTGGTTCCAATCGTTTATTTTGTGTAACTTTCAACGACCATTTTCTCGGACTTTGAATCCTAAACTCCAAATACTAATTGATTGTTCTTTGTCGCAATAAACACTAAGATGGATTGTCCTTATTGTGTTGATAATGCCTCCCTCCGAAATACAAATTTTTTAAATGATTAAGATTTAAGAGTTATATCTACAAAGTTTGATAGTCATGCAATTTTAAATTCATTGATACATAACCCATTTTTGTATTAATATAAGAAGTATTTGAGATAATCCAATTTTTTTAAAAGGAGACGCTCTATATTAGGAACTTCGTGCTTGTACCATGTTCATTCAGGATTGTATGTGCAGTTTGTTAATAGGCATATAGGATAGTTGATATAGTGGCTAAGAATGCTCTCGTTGATGTAACCAGTTTTGATATTTGTAGTTAGCTCTATACATTATTCTTTTTTTTTTTTTCCTTCTTTTTGGTGAAAAGGGTGCAAGCACCACTACCTCAGATTACTTAACCTCGCGGATAACAAATCCGCCAACAGAGTCATACAAAAGCCAGCGATCAATGTCTGGACTACTCGCATTAAAGGAAATGGAACCCGGGTCTAACAGGTGACCCTGATGAGCAAGACAGTCGGTTAAAAAGTTAGCCTCCCTATATATGTGTTGAACCACAACCTCCCAATCTCTACGAAGGAGCTCCTGAAACTCAAGAACGATGCTTGTGTGCTGGTGGGTTGTGGAAGCATTCGGCGACAGCAGGTTGACCGCCGTGGTGGAGTCCAGTTGAAGCTCGACTTTGCGGTGACCTGTATCCCACGCCATCTGCAGCCTTCGAAGGGCGCCCCAAGTTCTGCCCGAGTAATGGTACATCTTCCCAGATTCATTGAGAAAGCCCCTAATAAGCGACTCTGCTCGTCTCTAAGTGCGCCTCCTGCAGCAGTTGACCATGACGGTCTCAGGAGAGACCCATCAGTGTCCATTATGATCCATCCTGTCGAGGATGGTCTCCACCCAACAGCCATGTCTCGACTCAGCCCCGACCTCCCTAGTGAAATAGTGTGTTCCGATGCTTTACTCCTCTACGCGGTGACCTACCAGGCGAAGATCATTTGCGTTAACTTACTAGGGGATTCCTCAATGGCTGAAAAGACATAATCATTTCTCGAGCGCCATAAGAACCAGCAGATTATGCCGAATCTTTCCTGCTGTGTGGGACTCCGAATGAAGTGCATGAACCAGGTCTTCATATCTCTATGGTCTGTAGGGTCCGCTGCCGCCGGGAGAGCCTGCCTCCAGACTTGTTGCGCGTAAGTACACGTACGCACTGTATGCTCCAAGGTCTCCCTGCCCATCTTGCAATGAGGACAAGTGGTAGTAGTTGTGAGATGTTGTCGTTGTCGCTCGAAATTGGTGAGGAGAGCTCCATGCGCCGCTAACCAGAGAAAATGACGCACCCTGTTGTGTCCCGGCCAGCTCCACAAGTCGCGCCATACTTGTTGTTCGTCCGCCCCATCCACCTCCGCAGCGAGCTGGTATGCTGAGCGAAGGGTAAACTTCCCCTTCTCCTCCAGTCCCCAAACAATGGCGTCATCTCCCAGGCTAGCTTTCGGTGGTGGTGTGCCAACAACCTGCAAGAGAAGATCGTGGGGTAAGTATTGTTCAATGAGAGCCAAATTCCACTCACCTTATGAGGTTGTCATGTCGGCAACTGATGCCTCTCCCCAGAAGCCCGGTTTAGTCCTCCAAGCATAATTAGCCAGTGCCACGCCGCTGTCTAGCCATCGATCCTGCCAAAACAGCGTCATTTTGCCATCCTGAACGCTCCAGCTTACGCCCTCGAGCATCAGACCCCATACCTGCCGGATCCCGCGCCACAGCTAGGAGCATCTCGTTTTTCTTCTGATCTCAATTCCCATCGGCCTTTCCTTGAGGTACTTCTCCTTAAGAACACGAACCCACAACTCCGTCGGTTATTTTAGAACAGTCCAAGCAAGCTTCAGGAAATACGCCTTGTTCAACTCCCGAGCCATTCGAAGTCCCAGGCCTCCCTGGTTCTTGGGTAAGCACAACTTCTCCCAGCTGACGAGGTGCATTCGACAGAGGCCTTGTTGTGACCCCCAAACGAACGCCCTTATCTTGCGATCGATGTAATCGCAAATCCCAGCAGGTAGAACTGCAGTCTGCATGACATACGACGGTATGGCATTGATGACTGATAATGCTAGTGTTACCCGACCTGCAAGGGATAGATTTTTAGCTCTCCAACCAGCCAGCTTCTAGTCGATTTTGTCAACGATGTACTGGTATGTCTGTTTGGTTACTCGACCGTGAAGTACCGGCACGCCCAAGTATCTCCCCAGGTCTTGCGTCATTGGTATAGCAAGTACATCACTTATTTCCTTGCAGAGCCTACGATCCAGGTGCTTGGAAAAGAAAACCCGGGATTTGTCATTGCTAACCAGCTCTCCCGAATCCGATCCTACGTAGAAATAATTCAGGCAATTCATCACAATTTCCGCCTGCTCCACATTAGCTTCTGCGAATAAGACTAGATCATCTGCAAAAAAAAAGATGGGTGAGCTCCACTCCTCCTTTAACGAGTTGTAGCGGCTTCCACTTCTTTCCTGCAACCAACTCGAGAATCATATGAGATAGCCTCTTAATGCATAGGGTGAAAATATATGGGGAAAGGAGGCATCCTTGGCGTAATCCTCTCGTCGGGCGAAAAGGTTCTGTACAAGCACCATCCCACAACACCTCAAAAGAGGGAGATGCAATGAAAGCCATTACCGCCTGGTTGAATTTGTCCGGTAACCCCGCTGCCACAAGAGTGCTCGCTACGAAGCTCCAATCCAGACGGCCGTATGCTTTACCTAAATCAATCTTGAGAACCATATGACCGCGTTTTCCTTTCCGGGTTTGCATCGTGTGTAACCACCTCTTGCAGAATAATGATGTTGCTCTGGATGCTGCGTCCTGGAACAAAACTAGTCTGCGTAGGCTTGACCAGCAACGACATAAGAGGCTTGAGCATGTTCGCCAAGCACTTGGTAAATGCTTTGTAGGACACATTGCAAAGACTAATGGTTCTGAATTGTGCCACCGACGATGGGTTTTGTTTCTTGGGAATGAGCGTGATAAG